AAATTCGCACTGACTAGCACACTCAAAAAGAATGGTTTGAATACCAGGAATCTCGAGTTCCTTGTTGTGAGCTGAGGGGTTAAAGAAAACCTCAGTTGGCAAAAATCTCTCAATCTGTCCAATCCATATCTTTTTACCGTCAGGAAGAGTATAGTCCTTATAGTAATTTAAAGTGGCAGACTTGGTTTTAGCTTGTTTTTTCTTGTCTCCTGTTTGATCACCGGCATCCGCACTACCTGATTGCATGGATTCCTCAGTCTTTTGTTTTAACTCTTGTGACATTTTCAATTGCTTAGAATATTCGTAGTTTGTTGTAAAGACTACCTTCCGTTTCATTTGTTCGATTACTTCATCATTAAATGTATTGTTGAGCTCTTGTTCATTCATAGACAAAAAGTCAGTATTCAGAGTATTCTTAGTGGTAGGTTTTGAATGTGAGGAATCATCAGAGGTATCCATACCATCTAATGGTTTTTCGGAGGATTTTTGTGACTCTAGTTGCTTGAAGATTAATTGCTTAAGATAGTCATTCACATGTTTTCCTCCAATATTTACAAAATCAGCGGCATGTGTGAATGCCAAGCCTTCATATATTGGCGTAAATCTTGTTTGTTCGTAGCCAACATCACAAACAATACCAGTAATTTTACCACAACTGTATAAAGCTAAAAGACCTTGATTGGCGATGTAAAATGCTGGTACTTCATATTGTTCAAAAATGTGTTGAGTTATCTTTTCAGTGTGTAACTTGGGAGCAAGAGGATGTTCAGACATGATGACACTCATTTCCAATGGCGAAGAATCCAAATCATGTTCGGGTTTTTGAAGAGCATTAAATCCATAGCGCCAAACTTTATCCATGGCATCAAAATCATTGATCAATCCTCTTTTCATTGGTACCTGCCCATTATGTAGGAATTCCTTGTCCATCGTGTAGAATGTCTCGAGTGGAGTCTCATCACCCGATAATCCAAATCTCATCTCGTAGGAGCCATTATCAACCACCACAGATTTACTCATTTTTTTTGGAATCATAAAAAAAAAATTTATATTCTTGCACACTCCACATGAAGAAGGTGCCAAACGATGACTTTCACCACCACACGATCCACTGATTCCTCCGAACCAGTATCATCATCATACACCAATCATGACCAAGAGGATCCTCTTCATTATTTTAAAATTGATTTATTTCAACCTGAAGTGCAAGAATATTTGGTACAAGTGATGGAATTGAAGGAGGATGGAGGAGAGTGCTTGAAAAAGGCTTTACAGACACCTCCGAATATTTCAACAGTACGAGTGAATATGTTGCACTTTAGAAAAAATTCAATGGATGAAAAGAAGAGTAATGACGAAATCATGGAGCAAGTGAGAAAGAAATTAAGCGAAATTTTGGAGCACAAGTATGAAGTGAAGAGAGATGAAAATGTACCAGATTGTTTAACTGTAGGTAAAATGTTGGAAATATACCTTGTTTTGGAACAACATGGTGGATTGACAATTGTTATTGCAATATTTAGATACCTGTAAAAAAATTATATCCCAGTTTTGAAAACATTACTGAATGTAGGTGTTAGATATTCGGAACACATTCTTACAACATGAAATATTGTGATGAAATATCTCAATAATTGAAATGTTATTAATACATATTTAATATTCGACATTTCAGTCATTGTGGTGGATCGACTATGTGGACAAGCTGTTTTGAGGGGAGCTCATGTATTTAGCCCTGGAGTTTTAGCAACATCAAAGAATATTCGCGTAAACTCAGTAGTTGGCGTGTTGTGTGACGTACAATCTCAGACCCTTAAGGGTTTTAAGTTTGAAAAATCAATCTCTGAAATGCTTAGTAGTTCTTCCAATAACAATTTTATTTATATTGGTAATGGGATTATTAAAATGGAAAGAGCCAACATTTTCCAGACAAGAAAAGGCGTTGCCTTAGAAGTTACTCAGCCTCTCTTTGAGACGTGCCCCCTCAACGATTTATCACAGAAATATTATCATGAATTTTTTGCGCAAAATATTTGCTCAATGGTTGTTTCTCATCTCCTAGAGCCACAAAGGGGAGACAAAATACTGGACATGTGTGCAGCTCCAGGTAGGTTGAGTCGACTCGTTAGGCAGCGTCAACATCATACTTAAAATTTTAATCTTCAACATCAAAGGTGGAAAGACAACTCACATCGCCAATCTCATGCAAGATGGTGAATTAATTTGTTGTGATCGACAAAAATCAAAAGTTGACAAGTTGATCAAATTACGGGATCAGCTTGGGTTTCACATGATGAAACCTATGGTATTGGATGGTACAAAAGCAACAAGAAGAATACAAGATTTAACTTCACTAGCTTCAAACGATATGGATTCCCAAGACTTACAAAAGACAGAAAATGCATCACAAAATTTCCTTGAAGAAGAATATTTTGATAAGGTTCTTGTTGATGCACCATGTTCAGGTTTAGGACAACGGCCCTCTCTTTCTTTTAATGAGTTTTCTCTGGATTCCCTTAGAAAAACGGCAGAATATCAACGCAAACTTTTATCGGAGGCTTTCAAAGTTCTGAAACCCGGAGGTGTGCTTGTATACTCAACATGTACAATTAATCCAATGGAAAATGAGGAAAATGTCATGTGGCTTTTGAATCAATACCAATCGAAAATAGAATTAGTAGAGCCCAACTTGAGGGCATATGCAAGTGAAGGATTACCAAGTATTATCAAGGATCCTTCCATTCGAAGTAAGGTTCTTCGCTTTGATCCAATACGTACACCTCAAACGATTGGTTTCTTTGCTGCCAAGTTCATGAAAAAGATGTTGTGATTTGCATGAATGCAAATTAGAACTTTGAATTTCACAAGGACATGCCAAAAAAAGAAATTCCATACTAGTATTGAAAGGAAACTGTTGTTTTCATGCAATATGCCTTGAATCTTTTGCAACATGATTGAATCAATTCACATTATGAAGTGAACTATCCTTCGTTACTGATGCTCCATATTCCATCATGACCTCCAGTGAATGCAAGGCCAAATTGAAATGCTTGTTCAACTCTTAGTTTTTTTTCAATTATTAAATTCAAAAAAATGTCCAAACATGCCACCATCGACAACAACTCATCATCGGACGGCCTCGTGGCCAAATCAGATGCCGTTGCTTCTTCGCAACGTCTTTCAAGAGAGGAGTACAAGAAACAACAGCTCATCGAAGAAGCCCGTAAAAATGGTTTGATCATGCCTGAGAAAGACGAACAAGGAAGAGACATCAATCCGCATATTCCGCAATACATCAAACAAGCACCATGGTATGTAGATAAAGGTGCTCCGAGCTTGGACCATCAAAGATATTCAGAACAAGAACGTGAAGAGTTTTCAAATTGGTACAACAGAGGAATTAAAGTGTTGGCAGCAACAAAATATAGAAAAGGTGCTTGCAAGAATTGCGGAGCAATGACGCATGCAACAAAGGATTGCACAGAAAGGCCCCGAAGAAAGGGTGCTGCAGTCACAAATCTTGACATCGCTCCTGATGAATATGTACAACAAGTGGAGTTGAAAGGATTCGAAGCAAAAAGAGATCGTTGGAACGGTTATAACCCTGATCTGTATTCAAAAGAAGTCATTGAAATGCATCAAGAATTAGAACAAGAAAGAAAGAAAATTAAGGATCGAAAACTTCATGAAAAGATGATCGAAAAACAGAAAAGAAAAGAGGAAATGAAAAAGAAAATGAATGGCGAGTCAAGTGACAAGCAAAAAGAGGATGATGATAACTCATCAAGCGATGACGATGAATATTTTTCTTCTTCCGATAGCGGAGATGAAGATTTGGAACAATCTGCACGAAATGGAAAGAAAGAAGTTAAAACTGCCAGCGTCTCTCAATCAATGCGTACACGTGAGGACATTCCTAAATATCTGTACAATTTAGAATTAGATAGCGCTCACTATGACCCTAAAACACGTTCCATGAGAGGAAATCCCTTGCCTTTCGTTGATCCTAGCGAAGCTACATACGTTGGTGACAATGCACTCAAAAAATCAGGAGAATATCAAGAATTTATTCAAGCCCAAAAGTTTATGTGGGATGCAGGCAAGAGAGGAGAGGATATTAACTTGGCTGCTGTACCTACTCAAGCTTTTATGGGATTTTCAACCTTCCTTTCGAAGAAAAAAGAATTGGAAGAATCTAGGAAAAAAGCTGTTATTGAAAGATATGGAGGAGAAAAATTCCTTAACAAACCAACAGAATTCGAAAGTGCACAAACAGAAAACTATGCAGAATATTCAACAAGTGGTAGAATAATTGGAGGAAAACAACAGGCTACAATTAAGAGTAAATATGAAGAGGACATGTACTATAATGGACATACTAGTGTCTTTGGATCATACTGGGATCCAAAGAAAGGATGGGGATTTAAATGCTGCAAACAATTCGACAGAAAAAGCTACTGTACAAACATATCACCACAAACAAATACTGCTACATCACCAGCATCCTCTTCCACTGTTCACTCTTCGAATGGAGACGTTTTACCTCCTGCAAAATCTTCCTCACAAAATACTGTTAGTGCTACGAACAACAAAACTCAACAACCACGAACAACAAATTTAACAAACAACAACAATCATGCATCTAGGCAAGATGGAAGACAAGACGGAAAACAAGATGGTAGAGTCCAAAACGAATCAAGCAAACCAAAGAAAGATTTTGCAGTTCCAATTCCACAAGAAAAGAAGAGAAAGGTGGATGAAAAGACCTCGTGGAATGAAAAGAAAACCAAATACTCTGGCTACGATCATCACAACTATACCGTCTCAGAACAAGAAATGGAAGAATACCGTAAAAACAAGACACTTTTCGACGATCCAATGAAAGATTACAAAGACTAATAAATCTTAAGCTCACAATTAAATTCATTTTTCATGAGTCAGCATTATGTTCAAGAGATTCGACAAGAACATGAAATAGGCCACGGATCCCATTCGGGTCAACCAAAAGTCCTCAATCTTTGTGGAGTTAAGAGACACAACGAAACTCCGAATTTACCGAATCAACGAAATTCCAAAAAAATGTTCGCACCTACATTTTCACTTCTCAATCAACGAACAACAACAACAACAACGACAAACACTCACAATCGGCTGTTCGTTGTCGGAGCAATGACACTGCTATTGCTCGTGTTCTTTTCAAGGTGCATGGAGGCTTCCACTCAACAATACAGAAGATCGTCGGAATCAAAGACCTATGTTGCAGATCCCACTTCTGATATTTACGTGAGAATGGCACCCACAGACTACGAGAAATGGATGGCCATGCAACCCTCAATGGACAAGGTGTATAAACTATCCAGGCGTTCCAATCGACGAAGAGAATCATCAATCAGGAAGAATTCTTTCTACAAAACAGAATATCTATTTGTGTTGAGTGATCATAATGAAAGTCCAATGTTTTTTGTGGATCGTGATGATGATCATGAGATTATCACAATTCCGAATGGGATGAACATTTCAGTCGTATTCGATACACTCGATGAAGCATTGGATTATGTCAACAATAATGAAACAGATCCAGAGAGTGTTCGATTTGTCATTGTGATGGAACATGGAGAACATAAAGTAGAAGGAAGAGAAGCTAGAATTGCAAGACCATACACCAGTATCACATCGACCATGCCTAAATATCCAGAAAAAACAATTATTAGAGCTAATGATATTTCTGGTCAGGTATGTTTTTGTGCAATGATGGTGTTACTGAATGAAATTTTGTGTGTGATTGGAATATTTGCGTATGAAAAAAATTATATTCGTGTGTCTCATGAATCAAATAGTTGTTGTTTTTGGACGCAACTCATGACATTGATATTCGTGGAATCACACTTACTGGTGGAAGATTGGCTGCAGCTAACTTTACTCATCCTCATGTGCCAAGAGCTTGTGGAAGTGGTATGTTTTACTGAAGTTTACAGTCATCACTGATTCCGAAAATCATATGGATTTTTTTAACACTTTGAAAATTTTAACCTACGACATGAATAGGTCTGCTTATTTCAAATTCCAGAAATATTTATGTAGAATCAGTCATATTGGAGCACAATAAGGCTGCGATTGGTGGCAGTGTTTGTGTGTTTGCAAGTGCACAGGTGACATTTCATAAAGTTTTTATCAGGAGTAGTATTGCCTTTATTAGAAATCTTCAGTTAACAGATAGTATGAACCATTTACAGTTCTCTCTTGCCTCCAATTTTAATATTAATCAAAGTATTTTTGCACAAAACTTACCTGCACTGAATGATCCTGAAAAAGAATACGGGTGTGGTGGTGGAGTTTCTCTCTTTGATTCAAATGATACTATTTTTTCTTCTTGCATCTTTACAAATAATTCAGGTTTGTATTAGTTTTTTTATTTCACAAAAGACTTGAAAATGTTTTCAAATATAGCCATTAATGGAGGAGCAATTTTCACTTCAAATTCAGATTTTAATATCACGAATAGCAGAATTAGTGGAAATACTGCATACAATCAAAGCAGTGCAATTTATAGTGACCTAAATAGTGACATTACCATCGATAAGGTTTACTTTTTAGAAAACAAATGTGTCCGATTGAGCTGTAAAGTCATTTACTCTCCAAAGAAAGAGCTATTAGATGATTTAGATAATTTTCGAGCTTTTATTTATCCCATGATATGTATCACTGGAATACTTTTGTGCCTTGTATTGTTCAGCATCACTTGTTTTGAATTGGGAAGAATGTTCAAACAACGTAATCATTTCCGCAATGTGGTTTGGGGTGATATTATTTATTTGTGGCTTCTTGGAGCGATTGGGGTTTATCGGCCTTATCGATCTGTTCCAAGACCTTTCAATTGGTTCCACAGAACAGTGGTAATTTTTGTCTTAATTTTGGGATGTGTTTTGCAAACCATGCAATCCATTGTAGTTGCCATGCCAGAGGTAAGTGGAGTGACATGTGTTGGTCAATTCTTCAAAATGACAAACGAAAATAGTTCTATGATAGCATGGATCGAGTGAGATTTATTCTGGGTGGAGTTCAATCTGTGATTTATAGTGCATTACCATTAGTGCTTTATATTGCTTTGATTATTGCTGTGAAGGCAAGGTAAGTGGTTTTATAATTTTCAGATTGGAGTATAGTGCAATGACTTGTTAAAATGATCTTCACATGAATTCCTCTCTCTTGATCTCCCTGTACCCCAAATGGAATGCATTTATTACATGTATAGCTACAAGAGATTATTTGTCAATTATAAGGTACGTATTGAACCATGAATTGCCTTCTGAACAAAACACTAAATAACTGGTTCTTGTTTTCAAAATTTAGCCACCCATTCCCACCGAAGTAGAAATGGAAGAAGAAAAAACAAGTCTCATCAACTTTTATCAAACTCAAATTGATAAGGAATCTGAGGAGAATGCCATTATTAATGCAAGTCCAACCTCGGAAGCAACCACCTCATTCAAGAAAAAGAAACGCAAATACTTTTTTGATTGGAAGAAGGACACGCAAAAAACAGGCCTTCAAAGAAGTATCCACAATCGAAGAGCACTCGCAGGATGTATTATTTCATTACTCTTTTTGCATGGAACTTATGGTATTATTATTTTGGATTGTTACAACTTTTTACAATCGAATATTGATATTGCAAAAGCAACCAATCAGACCATTGGTATTGATACCATTTCTAGCGCTATATTCTATTTAATGCAATGGTATTTGAAATTCACAATCATGTCAATGGTATTATTGACGGTATTTCTACTTTGCAATAGAATTAATTCGTACCAAAATACATTCTTCTCCACATTGTATCATCAATTAGAAAAAGCAGGTACGTAATTGAATCTAGTTATGGACATGTGACAAGGAGAATTATTAACTCAACCTACTCCAAATACATATGCACACATGCACATACATGAATAGTATTTAATCTTCAAACTGGAGTTTACAGTTATGTTCATTTGAGAAAAGAATGGTAGGTTTTCAATGTGTGTGTGAAATCTCTGAAATCTTTGCTGGAATGTTCATGAATGGTTTGTTTAAATTGATGATCAATTTGAATAGCAAACGATTGGTGAGATATTCCTGGATCTTAACCATTACCTATGTTCTCTTGTTTTTAGCCATGTGTGTGAATGAAGTCTTGATGATTTTGTGGGGAAGTTCTGAATACAAATTCTTTGCCTACTATGTTGTTGTACTCACCATCATGATGTTTTTAATTACTCATGTGAGTTATACCAGTAATCATTGGACCAGTTTTAGATTTGATGACTTTTTAGCAGCCGTTCCTCACTCCATTACGTACGATTATGGAATTTTCTTCGTGCCTGGAGCGAACAAAAAGTTTAATATTTCAGATGCAAATGCAGACATTTCAGGGAGCAACAATAAGAATGGAAATAATAGTATTGGTAAACCACATGTGGGGAGTGGTAACATGTCGATGGATCATGGAACCTTCCCTACATCATCGGATAGTAAGGACAGTAAGGCTGAGAAATTACTTCGAGATTTGACCTTCTTCCACATGTATATTCGTGATCGAACCTTTGCTTATCGATTTCCTCTTGAAATTCAAATGCAAACCTATGTAGTAGTTTCTGTGATTGGTTTGATTGGTACCGCGTACGCACTACTGAAATATGTTTCTTCCATCTTTGAGTCCTCTCGTTACTATCAATATTTGTAAATGTTCACAATAATTGCGCATGTCACTCTCCAACGAATGTTGAAAGATAACGCATCACCATCAAAACAAGGAATTGATCATATTTAATACAGAGGATGATTTTTCAATGGTAACTGTAGTCTCGTACAATTGTTGAGTAATACTTACTTCGATTTGATGCCAATTTTCCAAAACAAATGTCATCGAATGGCTCTGTAAATCCAAGTAAGGAAATTATTTCTTCTTGAGAGAGGTGGTAATATTCCATAACCTAACATAGTGAAAAGATAATTCCAAACTGAAGTAAGAGCTAAATTTATTGAAGTACATGTACACCGAATCCAGCTGGGATTCTAATTGACAACACAATAGTGTCGTCAATCTGCATTCTTGTCAAGATAGTAGAGTTTTTGTGGCATTTGCCAACGAAAAGGGCAACGAGGACTTGGATTTCTGACCATTTGGAAGATAACTCTTTTATGTGCCTAAATGCATCACTATCCTATGAAGCCAGAGTGATGAATATGTAACATGGGTTGGTGGGTGTCGAATCTAATCTAGGGCATTCGTGTATGTAGTGATGGAGAGTGGACTCACTTCATAGTCAGGACAGCGGAAAAAAAGGAGAAAACCAAAGAAACGCAAGGAAGCAGGAAGGATGAAGGCAGAAGTAACGACTACATGATATGAAGCGCAAGAAGTCACAGTTAGGTGGCAGAGACGAAGACTCCATGATATGAGGTCACATTTAAACAATTAATTGCTTGATAAATCCATGAAAATTATAATAACTTGATAAATCCATGAATATCATGAAAACATGATGAATTAAATAAATGAAATTAAATAACAAAATTAGCTCAATAAAATCCTTGCCGAAAAGATTCGAATCAAGGTGGACCTGCACTGTCACAATGTTCTTACTTACCACAAGTTCCTTGAGCTTACCTTCCAATGAAGCATCAACAGCAATATTCTTTGATTTCATGTACTCAAGTTGAATAAGAGCTCTTTGTCCGTCTTGGTGTCTAATATAATTGTCCAACATAGTGTTGAATGAAGCGGCATCAGGCTTTTGATATGGGTTTCTTCTCTTCAAATCATCAAAAGTGTCATGAAGATAAAAGTTGTCATTTGTGTTGGCCAATTCATCAAGATATGTGTTGTAGTGTTCAGTGGTTGGATAAACACCAGAGAGCAACATGTTTCTCCAGCAACGATCAGCAATCAATGGCAAGTCTCTAACTTCTCTCAAAGATTCTAACCATTTGTTTGCGTCCTTCCATTCTTTCTGACTTGCTTCCAGTAATATTCCGATCAGCGAAAAAGGTACTTGAATAAGCTTAAGAAAGCAAGTGGGTGGGAGTGCGAATGGGCGGGAAGTCACTAAGCAATGCAAAGACTAGTTGGGCCTGTGCATTAAAATTCCAAAAGCTTTGATGTTTTCAAATTCTTCAAGTTTTGAGTTTTGCTCTGTTGAATGAAAGGACAAAAATGAAACAAATACGAAAAAACACATGATTTGGATCAAATTCGCATATCGATGTTGAATTAATTTCCCTTGTTTTTGCTTGATTTCATGGTTTTTTCTTGTTTTCCTCGAATTTTCACTTTTTAATGCACAGAGTCAACTTATCATTAATATGCAGAAAATTTTTGAGCATGGAAAAAATTTTTCAAGCTCAACCAAACTCTTTAATTGTTTACAATCGAAACATTCATGCCCTTCACTACGTTCAGAACATATCAATCCAGCACCATGTCCGCCCTGAAATAAAAAGGATCCAATTTTTTTCAATAATTGTCCATTATGTCCATTCAATACTAAAATATAATCGTCTGTAGAAATATAAATTACACCACTTTCATGATGATCTATTTGATCATCATAAATGTCAACAATTGAATGATCTAAACTTACGTCTGGAGTGGTTTTAAATGCCTAAACATGCTGTAATTCTTGTTTTTGACATGCCAGAATTTTGGGAACATTGTATCTATATTTATGAAATTGATTATTAAGAGGCACAAGTAATGAATTGTCATTTTCACAAATCTTAAAGCGTATAGATAGATATCTACACTCGTTTGTCAAACGAGTTATTTAAAAGCAATCACTACTTCCACTAACAATTCCGACTCTTCTTGTCCCAACAATTCAACAACAGTAAAGAGAGTTGTAAAGATATCGCATCTCTTCAGTAAATTTGGTTAGCATGAGAAAAATCTCACCATCTCCATCTGTTGAAACTTTTGAATCAATAACTTTCAATGATAGAGCTGAAATAGATGTTTCCTCTCTGACAAATTCCAACAAGATGGCATTCATTTCCTCAAATCATTGTGTATTCAAATTTGTATGAAAATTTCAAACCAATGGAGACACATATCATTTCGAATTCCATCTCTTTCATACTTTACTGTAGATGATCATTTTCAAGTTGTTGATTGCTGATGATATTGGACACTAGACCCCCAATAGAGAACACAAATTGGTTTTGGAATGCCGTCACTAATATATTAACTGTCCGTTGTCAATTCATTATTTTTTTGACTTTTCAATGACAAAACAACACTTCCTGTTTTGATATGGAAAGACGTCATCACACAGATTTCTTAATAAATGTCACGTTCGTCACGTTTTTTGAAAGACAATTTGCCTGATGCGTTCTTGAATTGAAGCCCTTTCGAACATCAAAAAGCCAAACAACAAATTGGTTAAATCCAATAAAAAAACATCTCACCTTTTCATTCTCCTCCTTCTTTCACCGGATAACAAGTCTGAGAAGAAGAAATACCTGTCGGTTGTGTTGATTTGCTCAAGAAATTTTGATCACATTATCTCTCATTTGACGACTATTCCATTTCATCATAAACCCAAATGTCCACTTTATCTGAGTCAGAGTACTCTCAATCCACAAGGACACAGCCTCAACCTATTCGAGTCACGAACATTAGTCCTCATATCCAATCGAACACTGCTCCATCACTGAATATGATCCATCATTTCACAAATCCAATGAACAACAAAAACACCACTAGTGATCCACAAGAAGTAGTACCTTCAGACAAGGCAGTTTGTGGTCTCATTCTCAAAAACTGGAAGTCTCGACACAGCACCAAAACACTCATTCGAAAGGCTTTCCATGTGCAAGATTTTGAAAGTTCCATTCCACACAATGTGTTATTGATGGCAGCTCAAGAGTTGTCATCCGTGGTTTCAGCACCTTCACGAAATGGTGTTGCTTCCATGATTTCGAAAAAACCACACATGATGAAGCATCATCATTTGAACAAAACCAAACAAGGAAAACAAACATCTTCTTCTTCCGCCATGTCTTCGAATCGGACTGGAGGATCGAGTAAACTCAAATTTCATCAATATCAACCCTCCCAACAAGGCTTTCCTATTTCCTCTCATCCTTCTGTTGAGAGTATGAAGATGATCACTACTGGCCATCATTCAATGCATGTGATGGATGGTACCAATGAATCGATTGTTGTTATTAATAATCCAAGTACTACAACTTCTACTACTACTACTACTACTACTACTGATCAACAACACAAGAGCTCATCCTCCTCGTCCATGCTCAACCATTCTACCTTAAATCCCAATAACAACAACAAAAGTACAACCTCATCATCACTGATCTTTATCGAAAAACAAGTGCCTTTCAAATTTGCAACTCTTCCTCACCAGTCGGCTCCATCCATGAAAAAGCCTTTATCGCCACTACCCTCACCAAGATCTTCTCTTCATCCTTCCTCCTCACCAAACATGATGCCAAATGGTTTGAATCAATCAGTAACTGTATCTTCTCCCTTAGTACCCTCTTCTAATTGGATTCAATCAAGTTCTCCTGTTTTGAAAGATCAGCACCATCCTCATTCCTTCCAGCACGATCAAGGTGATTCTACGGCATTCCAAAGTAGCTTTTCGTTACCTCCTCTCTTATTCGTTCATTCTTCTAACAACAACAACAACTATAATCATCATTCGGAAAGAACCTTACCAAGTTTCTCTCAATTAATAAATCAACTCGGAGTTTAGTTTTGATTCATGTGTTGTCATTTTGCTCTCTCATCAAGGTGGCTTGAAGATAGTTTCTCAGTATGCACACTGAACTCTGAGGGCACATATTTATTAGGAAATCACGAAAATTTTTGTTTTTCAACCACAAATTTGAGACCGTTACAAAAGATATTCAAGTTATGAGATCTTTTATTTTCAAACAAAAAATAGAATCGAAACATGCCATCTTCACAATGCAGCTCTGTTTCATCATCACCCTCTCAATCCTCTTCGAGATCCAATACTATCAATAACGAATCATTGATGCTTTCTCCTCCGAGAGAGAACAAGCAAAGAAGACGTCTCATAAAAACCAGTGATGACCATTCTCGGAGAAGAAGAAAGGAATCCTCGTCTTCAACAGCATCAGCATCGGAATTGTCGACAAAACCAAAACTAACACTCAAGAGAAAGAATCATTTGAACAGCAACAATAATAATAATAATGGAGAGTCATCATCTTCTTGTTCACCCTCATCATCATCCAAGAAATTGAAACATTCTACTACTATTGAGGACAATGATGATATGGCACAAATACTGATCGATGATGAAAATGGTAAAGAAAATAAGCGACCGCAAAATGTAAAAGCTTCTTCGAGCTCTCGTCATGCAGAACCTTCGTCGTCATTATCATCATCGGAACCTGAAACATGTATCATATGTTTGTGTGAAATGTCCTATCCATTGGCTAAGCTTAATCATTGCACCCATAAATTCTGTCATGCATGTATCGATATGTGGAGGAAGAAATCAAATACATGTCCAGTGTGTAAGGCTCGCTTCACTTCCTTGAGAGTCTTTGAGAACAAGGAAACAAGCACTTACAAGGTTATTCCAGTTCGAAAGAAGGTCTTTGAAATTACTCCAGAAGAAATGGTCAACGGTTTCTATAGAAATGAACGAGATGACTATGAGGAGGATGATGAAACATTTATCAATGACGACGAAGAATTTGATGGATTTATTGATGAGAATGGAGAATTATACTTGGGTGAAGCACAAGAGGATCCTCGCTATTCGTTACGGAGACACACACGAGGAAATGGTGACGAACCAGAGAATTCGGAAGATGAAGAGGATGATGATGCCAATGCTAGTGATGCAGATGAGCATGGAAATTTAGCCGGTTTTGTTGAAGAAGATCCAAATGCTCCACATACCAATGATGATGAGAGCTTTGTTTTAAATGAAGATGACGAGGATGAAGAAGAAGATTTTGAACTTTCTCAAGTGTCACTTGTGGATGAGCATGACTCGACCATTGTGGCAACTCCAGAAAGACCTAGGAATGCATCTCCATTCAGAAAAAGACCTAACAATCAATTACCACATCATGTGATTGATATTTCTTCACCCAATGAGAACGCATCGAGAAAATCTAACCGCACAGCTCCTCGGAATAGAATCATTAATGTTGAGGAAGAGGAAAATAACAAGGAGGAAGAGGAAGTCATCGAAGAGGATGATGTCACCGTGGTGGTTGACCCAAATGAAATTCAGGAAATTATTGAAATTTTGTAAGTCACATTAAAGTTGTTGGGTCACTTCAAAATATTATCCAAAATAATGATAATTATTCTTTTTAAATGGATTCAATGGCCAATGACACTTGATTTGTTAATTTCCGAGTGAGAGTAATATTACGAACACTTAAAAACGTTAACACAGGTAATGTAAATAGAGTGTATATTTTGAAAGGATCTTTTTCAAGTGTATACGTAATCAAGTATTTGATGATGGAAAGCAGAGTGAGAAGCGAGTGTTTCAGGGTGGATCCCGACAATGATGTGTTTGTTCGCATTTTTTTTTATTAATAAAAAAAACACAGTACCAATTAATAATTTTTATTTGTACATATAAAGAAGAATCTTTAAAACCAAAAGCAAATTCTGCCAAAAGAAATTGAGATTAAGGATGCAACACAGCTTCCGCAGTACTGCTGCCACTCTCCGAGAGTTTTTCAAAACGATTCACTAAATCCAAAGAAACAGACCACAAGCGTTGCCTTCTCTCCTCTTCTTGGGAATCCTCAAATTCCAATGGTCTCACACATTCGCATTCTTCATAGTATCCTCCTCCTTGCAATTGATCGAATGGTAACAAGCAACAATAGAGAATAGTCTGAATACCAAGCCATGGACTTTTCAATAACAACCATTCTAAAGGTCTTGTGAAAATTCGAGTGAAAGGTGAAATTCGATCCAATGAAGAGGTTCGAGTCGCTCCAGGAAATACTGAAACTACTTTTGCATGTTGCGGAAAGAAAGACATGGCATTCTCCTGCTCATGTACTTGCTGATGCCAATCAAGACTTGATGTCATACCTCCAAACATTACCGAAGCAATGGAAAGAGAACCAACATTTAAAAATACTTTCTGAAGTTGGCGAGAGAACAAGTATAAGGCATATTTGCTTCTTAAATATAATTGTTCATAGTCGAATGTTTTTGAACAATTTTCAATTAAATCTTGAATGTCGAAGTTAAATAATTTGGGATGAGATAAATGTTCTGATTTTGAAAAGAGAGAATACGAAGTGACAATATTAATCAAACGTGAATGATTGTTCAACATTCCCTTCTTCAACAACAAGTAAGTTAAAAAAAAATGTCCCAAATAATTTCCAGCAAATTGACTTTCAATTCCATTGACACTCACTCCATGTGTGGTGAGAAAACTTCCTGCATTATTAATGAGAATATCGACAATTGGATGTGATTCTTGTCTTTGGAGTTCAAGATTTAGTTGTTGTGGAGGAGGTTGATGATGGTGGTGATGGTGTGATGAATGAACGGAGGGGTGAGAAAATGAACTTCCCAAAGATGAAGAATGAAAGGAAAGGTTATCCAAGTCTTGCTCTTCCTCACTGTCTAAATGTTCAATAATTTCATGAAGAGTGACTCCTGAGGTTGACTCGCCTTGAGGTTTGTGACTTTTGACATCATGAGCAGAATGAGGTGTTTGTAAAAGATTGGCTGGGTTCGCATTCACTGGTTGAGCTGCAACCTCTCTCTTCTCTTCCTCCACCAACGAATTCTGAAAATTCACATTCTGACTCACATGCAGAGTAGGATTTCCACAAAACATGATTTGCAAGGACGAAACAAAATCTTTCACACTTTCCAAATTCGACAAGTCACAAATAAAGACATGCACACTTTCCAATGGAATATGCGTATCATCCGGTGCATTGTGTTGTTTCATTCGTGTCATCATTTTGTGAATAATTAAATCTCGAGCTTTCAATCCACGTTTCGGATTGCGAACTGCCAAAATCACTCGTGCACCCATTAAGGCCAATTGAGTGGCTGTTTCTAAACCCAAACCACTATTTGCTCCAGTAATCTTTTGCAACATTTGTTTACAATAATTTCATTGTAAATAGAAGGATTATTGTTTTAATAACGTTGAAAAAGGTTGGATGTTGTGTTCATGGTTTTGATTTGTAAAAAACCAAAAGATATGTTCAGATATATTTAAAAAACCAGTTGAAACTTACAATGACAAATTTTCCTTTCATGGATTTTTGTTGTAATAAATATGAGGGACACAAGGTTCCCTCCAGAAAATGTTTCCGAATGAGATAAATTGCAATCCAAGCACCAACCAGGCATGTAGCAATGGGATGTGATTCATAAAGTCCCATGAAGGCAGTTTTTACCTTTTCCAACCACTCAATCGTTTGTTTTTTAAGAAAGGAAAGTGTTTCGTGAAGAGTCTGAGAAAAATTAGTTCTTTGGAGAGGTTCATCCTTTGTATTTTCGGGTGGAATTGAAAATAATTTGAAATGTGAAGCAAGAAATTGTGAAATCATTTTTTTAAAGATGTTAAATTCAATTAAGGAATTCACGAAAATGGCAATCACCCATTTTTGGGAGAATTGTTTTTCACCATTGAACAATTCATACTTGAATATCTTTGCATTAATATTGTTGACATTCATTGGGTGAGTTTTTGTTCATTTTGTTGACTTATATCTAAATTGTACAAATAAATTTCTGAAATTAGTCGAAAAAAATGATTTCGGAAATCCTCAAGACAACAACAATGATGAGCTCGTTTCAAACAACACCATCACCTATAATCAATAATAATGACTCGTCATTGGGTAGGGATACCACTACTTCTACCACAACAACAACAACCTCGAATAGTACCTTTCATGCCTGGTTTTGCATGGCAGTTTTCATCGTAGATATTATATTTATTATCGGAGCACCAAGGATACCTATATTTCCAACCATTCAAACCTGGAAGAGATGGTTCCGATGGTTACAATTAAAGTTATTCAAGAGAAGAAGTGGAATGGAAAATGATGATGGTTCTTTTACTCGTGTGGTGGATGAGAACATCAATGAAAATTCCAATGACAATAATAATTCCATCACAACTATTCCATCATCGTCATCAACATCTTCATGGCAAACACTATTCAATCATTCCGTTCAATTTTATCATATAGATTTGGATATGAGCTGGGCCTCAGTGATTGCCATTGTGGTCTTATTTGTGAGTGGAACGTTAGATTGGAATAATATGAAAATTGGATTGCTTGGTGCAGAAGGTCAACATTTACAACCGTACAGCATTTTGTTACTTTTCATGTCATTGTCCTATGTTTGTGTTTCATTGGATGTCACTGGATTATTTAGTTATATTGCTAATTGGATTATCAAAAAATCGAATTATAATGGACACAAATTATTTATTTGGTTCTCAATTTTTGCAAGTGTATTGACAATATTTACTTCCAATGATATTGTCATCTTGACATTAACACCAATTTGTTGCTACATGTGTTTGTCGAGCAGAAATTTAGATCCAGTGCCGTACGTCATTTCTCAATTTTTCCTTGCAAATGTTTGGAGCGTGTTGCTGGAAATTGGAAACCCAACAAATGTGATCGTTGCTCTTGCCTATCAATTGAACTTTTTGGTTTATTCCAAGTGGATGGCTTTACCTGCAATTAGCTCAGGAATTGGTTGTTTTGTTCTGTTATATACTTTCTTTTATTCCTCAATACCAAAGAAAATTGAGCTAGTAAGCGAAAATCCTCAAAACGAAGAGGTACGAATGTCAGGTCAATCTCAAAGCATTGAAGAGTTGGAGGAGCCCTCTTCACAACAACATGAAGAACCCCTCGCATCGGCCATAGTAGGATCCTTAAATAATGATCCTGCCTCAACTCATTTAAATAATACAACGTTGTTGGATGACTCTCCAGCGTTACTTGAGCATAGTCTTGAAGAGAACAGTAATGTGACAAAATCTTCTACCTCAGCATTGGATGTGAAATCAGCAGTTGTGAAATCAGTGGCATTGCTATTATGTTTAGTGACGCTGAGTGTCACTTCCCTCATCAAATTTGGAGATACAGGAGAAACTATTCCTCCATGGATTGTAACATGTTCCTTCTTTGGATTTTCGCTAATTTATGATATTGTGATAGACTCGCTACAATTATTCAATATTTATTACAGAAAAACCATTCAGAAACCTTTTGATTCTTTAATTTGGAAAGTTCTTGTCCGTCTTCCTTGGAAAATTATTCCTTTCATTTTGTCCATGTTTACCATTGTCCAATTATTGAATTATTATGGATGGACTGATTTATTGGCAAAGAAAGCAGCAGAAATTATTATCATGCTCTCAGGAAATCAGTCACCTGAAGCACTTGCTGAAGGAAAAACAAGTGTTCAAGCCATTCTCGCAGCTACTATGGTTATGAGCTATCTCTCCTCTCTAGCGTGCAACGTTATTAACAATCAACCAATGACTATTCTTTTCACTAGCGTCATTTCAAGTAAGGAATACAAAATTTTAACACCCATTCAAAGAAAGGGAAGTATGTTCTCACTCATTTTGGGTTCGAATTTTGGAGCCAATATAACATTGTTTGGAGCTTTGGCTGGAATTATGTTCTTGTCCATTCTGAGGCAAAATGGAATCACAAATAAGCAAGTCAACTATTTTACATTCCTCAAATATGGACTCATTATCACACCAATAGTTATTTTGGTTGGAAGCTTTTTCATATTTGTTGAGCTTCTCATTTTCGAATGAGAGTTTGAGAGAATCTGATTTCTGCATTCCACAACAACAACATCAACGAGAGGATTCTTTAAATGGATGTGCGAATAATTCAATTGAATTTCGTTGAATTTCAGTCAGCTACGTACAATCAAAAGGGTTGTAGTGTTGTGACTTCAACAAACGTCAACGAGTGATGCAACTTTTGATTACAATTTTTTGTAGTAGCAACAATATTAATGGTTTTGAAACCAAGAATGTTCGTTTGTTCATGTTCGTGTTTTGTTTGGTTCTCTCATTGAACTTTTTTAATATCTTTCCCATTATATTTTACATGCAAAAACGAAACAATTACCAAGAATTTTCAACACTTTTATTCTTTTTTCACTCCAATTCTGTACCTTGTTGATGGTTGAAAATCATCAAAGCTGCAGTGACTAGATGGAACGCATGTCTCTTGTCATTCAGAATCAAAAAAAAACATTTCCTCTTTGATTCCTCTCATCGCTGTGTTGAGCCAATCTCGTAAAAAGAGGACCATTCATTGAGACTTTGGTGGTAAAGAAGAACATTGTGTTCTATAAAACGACTTTTAAACCACCCATCATCAACAACAAGAGATTGATCATTTTTCAATCCGAAACTTATTCTTCCATTATCGTGTTGCTTCCTCCTCCCAAGAACAAGAAGAAAAATTATTCATTGTTGGACCATTGAATAACACTAAAACACGAACCCACCACCTCTTCATCACTCATCTCGCATCAACATCATGAATGCTGTTGTGGCCAAACACTGTGCTGCTACTGCTTCTTCTTTTTGTAAAAATAATGAACCATCCATGATGATCCACCTTTCCAACGCCAACGCCAACAACAACAACAACAACAACAGAAACAGGAAAACAGAATTGTTCCGAACATGTACTAGTAGTAGTAGTAGCACTAGTGGGAATAACTACAACAATAGTGGTCGTTGGATGATGTTGAGTGTGTTCCTATGGTCGGTATTGATCCTTTTGTTCCTTTTCAGTCCCATCATGATGGTGGTGGTGGAGGCTAAGAGTACGACGACCTCAACCACTGTTTTGAATCATTATCATCGTTCAAAGACCTTGATGTCTGCCAAGGTTGATATGAATGGAGCCATTACTCTTGCAACCTATCAAAACTCATCTTCCTCATCGGGAGAGAAATTTGGATATGTTACGAATTATCAGGTATTTATTGGACGTAATTGTACTCCTGAAACTGTTGAGAAAGATTGTGGAGGTTTGGAGACTCTAGTTTGCATTGATAACAAGTGTTCGTTCTGTACTAATTCAACACAATGCTCCGATCAAATTCATACAATTTATTCATGTCACAAGATTGGAAAATTCCCTCCAGCTCAAGGAGGTGTCTGTGAGCACAAGGATTTGTTTGAATATGTATCATCTTTGGATATTTTGGCTACAATTACGTGCTTTATTGGAGGTGTGCTCTCTGCTGCTTCAGGAACAGGAGGTGGTGGTATTTTCGTGCCGTTGTTGCACGTGGCTGGTCAATTCCCTCCATCATTAGCAGTTCCAATTTCAACTCTTATGATTTTCGGTGCTGGTATCATCAACATTGCTACCTTGAGTTTTAAGAGACACCCTCACGCTGATCGTCCTCTTATTGATTACGATATTGCATTAATGTAAGTATAATGATTATAATCTGTATCATGCAAAAGATGTCAATCCATTTAATCTATTATTGTGATTCTTTTGGGTGACACAAATTTTCTCTCTCTTGTAAACCAACTCCTGTCAAACACAGGATGGAACCTCCAACTTTGTTAGGTACAATTATTGGAGTCTTTTTCAACATGATGTTCCCTGATTGGCTCATTGTTGTATTGGTCATTCTCACCTTGAGTATAACTTCGTTCGTCATGTTCAGAAATGGTTACAAGAGATTTAAATTAGAAGCTGAAGCAAGAAGAAAGGCAGCTGAATCTTCTGAAGATCAATCTAATGGAAATAGACCAACCACTGATTACAATCAAGTGAATGACGACGAAGAAAGCCTACTAAAGGTTGAAAATACTAATCAAAGAGTTGACGATTCTGAAGTCAAAATTGAGCATCACACTGAAGAAGAACAACAAGAAGATGAGGGAGTTGGTTTCTCCACTAGGGATCCAGAAGAAGAGAAGGAACTGAAGGCCATCTATGAGGCAGAAAAGAAAACTCCTCTTGGAAAAATTCTTGTTTTGATTATTTGTTGGTTGACAGTCTTTACATTGAGTTTGTTGAAGGGAGGTCATGGTACCCCATCGATTATTCCAAGTGTTACCCGTTGTAGTGTTGGATACTGGATTTTGACAGCTCTCAGCTTCCCACTTCTTGGAGCTATGGCATTGGGTATTATTATTTATTTATTGAAGAAGCATGAAAGAAAAGTGCAATTGGGATATCAATTTGTTGAAGGTGACGTTCATTGGAATAAGTACAATGTTACCATTTATCCAATTGGTTTGTATTTGTTTCATGGTTTTTCTAACTTTGAATTTTTACATTATGAAATATAATAATAATACCTGCAAATTCATTCAGCTTGTATTGGTGCTGGTATTTTGGCATCCATGCTTGGTATTGGTGGAGGCATGGTCAAGTCTCCGTTGCTCCTTATTTTGGGAAGTGACCCAGTTGCCTCACAAGCCACCACAAGCTTTATGATTCTTTTCACATCCTCTATTTCGACTGTTCAATATTTAATTGCTGGTATGCTTCCATGGGACTATGGATTGTGGTTCTTAGCAACCGGTATTTTGTGCGGTATTTTTGGACAGCTCATGTTGGACTTGTGGTTGGACAAGACTGGAAGAAGATCTATCATGATCTTTATTGTTGCGTTTGTGACGCTAATTGCTACATTCTTGATGGGCGGAGCAGGTATTTACGACATCGTGAAGTCTGTGGAAAGAAATGTTTACATGGGATTCAAGAGTCCATGTCTATAGGCGATTTTGTCATTCTCAGAATTTGCAGAATAATAAATTTTGTAAACTTTATTCAACAACAACTTTGCTTCATTATCCTTTCTAGAGAGAAGTCTTTCCCAGAATGTAAGTCCAATAATCAACCCTTGCAAATGACAAGGCTTCAATTTCAACCTTACAACAATATTCTTTCATGAAACAAAGCTGACGAGATAACATTTCACAGCAAGAGTGTTCAAATTCGCTCAAGCTACTCAAAAGAGAATCAATCTTGCCGTGATCGTTGGTATCTAAGGGGAGAAGACAACTCTTATATTGAGGATTCAACTCCAATTTACCTCGGTCTCTATTTTCAAGCAAAAACTCTTCCAAATGAACTCCAATCCATTGAATATTCAAATAAGTCTGCATTAGCCAGTATTTGCAAGCTTCTTCACATTCTGCGTGAAGTAAAGTTAGGTATTTCTTTTCGTTCTTGAAAGACTTGGAGCCATGAATGTAAACATGGGCGATTTCTGCTCCAAATGGATCCCCATCAGTAAATAGATAAATCTTGAGTGCTCTCTTCTGATACTTGGCGACATAGGTAACTAGAGTGACAATAAAATCTCTTGTTGGCACGTCTGGATAGCCCTTGGAAGTGATAAGAATATATTTTCGCAATTCGATCTTGTCCTCAAGTGTTTGCTTGAGCTGTTGGAACACAGATTCCTTCTCTACGATGAGCAGTGAGTCCACTTCGAGAGGAATATCAAAACCAATAATCTGTAAGTGAGGAATGGAAGGAATAGAACATGTAGACAGAGCACTGATATGCAATGCAGCATTAATCACTCGACTATCGGTTGCATTTCTCGTCAATGTTTCGTTCGTGCTCGCACCCACTACATCATTCAAACTCAGTTGAACAAAACTAACGTGTCCACACACTTCTCCTCTGGATTGTGGTACAACATGCAAGTCGTGCCTATGGACATTCCAGTTTTCAGAGAGTTCCTTCAACACCTGGTTGCATTGTGTTTGGGTTTTCATTAAAGGTTTCATGCAATAGAACATGTCTCGTTTCGTGGAGAATTTATGGTAAACGCAAAGTTGGAGAATGAGATGCATTAATTGAAGTTTAGAAACAAAACGCAATGCTGAGTGAGCATTAAAGAGATCCTTCAATGCAAAAAAGATGCACCTCTCTGATAATGGTGGCTGCTCTGTGCTCTTCCTTACTTGATTTTCAGGTTGACCTTCATGATAATCAATGCCAAGTTGTTGCTCCGACGTTAATTCCCTTCTCTTCCGTTCTTCCTCATGCTCTGAACAAGCTAGGCCTGCGGGCAACACGGATTGAGAAGATCTCTCCTTCATTTCCTCAGTATTCATCGTTAATTCTCTCAATAATCGCAACACTTGCTCCTCAATACATGACATCACTTGTTGAGTTCGCAGCATTTTTAAGGCTTTTTTCTGAATTGATTGTTAAGGCTATCGATCGCTTGAGGTCAACCGACGAAGGAAATCACGTGATTGAGAGAAAATTCAATAATTTATAAAATCATCATAGTATACATACTAGGTGCTCATGAACATTACAACAATATCCATGCATATGTAAATTTCTAGAAAAAACATTTGTCTTTCCATATCGCATATGATATTCAAAACGCAATCGCTTAATTACCGGTAGGTTTGCATCTGGCAGCATATTGTCGGACTCTTCTATTATATTCTTCACGATTTGACACATAGAGTTGGAATGGCTCTGCTTGAGCTGGATCTTTTACATTAGGATTATCAAGCAATTCTTGAATGCCGAGAAGTAATTGTTTGATGGTCAGAGATGGTTTCCAATCCTTTTCTTCATTCAAAATGCTCAGACAGACAGTTCCGCTTGGGAATACGTTAGGATGGAAAAGTGGAGGAACAAATCTACATTTTGGTGGTTTATCAGGATACTCTTCTGGAAATTCAATATCAAGTCGATATTCTCCTCCTTCCCAAATTGTACCTGGCTTTCCAGGGATTCCACAATTCCACAGCATGATATTTGTTGTGCCATCCTCGTTTTGTGCTGGTCTGGCCCAGAAACCCTATTACAATAGGACACCAATTCGTTACATGATTATTGTTGTTATTATTGATCCGTAATAATAATAATGATTGAATTTGATGATTCCCAAAAATTAATTCAAATGATTTGAATCCAAATTAAAGAATAAAATTCAATTACAAGTCGTGTTCACGTCGTTCAAATAAACATGCGGAATGTGTATTTACACAATTTGTGTTTGTTAACCATCGGAATATCCACAGGAATGATCATTTAAACGATAATTAATCCAGCCATGAATCATTTATATTCAAATGAAAGAACGTACATATGGATGATCCTTTCTCCATGCTTTTCTTTCTTCCATGACTCTCTTTCTTGCCATCGACATTTTCGCTACTGTTATGGTGTGTGAGGTGAAAGTTTTTTTTGAATTTTGCAAGCGCCAAAACTCTTGCCGCTGTTCAAACGAAAGGCAAAAAAATAGCAAACGGAAAAGCATACGAAATATTTTGCTTTTTTTCATCATCAAACCGCTGTTAACAAAAATCATTGAAATCCACTACAACATTGTAACCAAAGAAGTGTCCGTGATCATCAGTTTGAAACTTTTGAAAAATCAGTTCTCTCAAATTTGTACAGAGTTATCGCAATACTTTGAATAGAAATCATCGGAATTTGTTGCTACCTTTACCGAGCCATGCATATCAAGGAAATTCATATTGATGGTTTTAAATCGTATGCCACTCGAACCGTATTGAACGGATTTGATAAGTCTTTTAATGCTATCACAGGCTTGAATGGATCAGGAAAGTCCAATATTCTGGACGCAATTTGTTTTGTATTGGGAATTTCAAATCTTGGTCAAGTGAGAGTGAACAATCTACAGGAACTAATCTATAAACAAGGCCAAGCTGATGTAACAAAAGCAAGCGTGAGCGTAGTTTTCGATAATAGCGATAAGAGTACTTCACCTGTTGGATACGAAGATCAGTCCACCATCACTGTATACAGACAAATTATGATTGGTGGAAAAAACAAGTACATGATCAATGGTAGAAATGCTCAACTCTCACGAGTACAGAATTTGTTTCATTCTGTGCAACTCAATGTAAATAATCCACACTTTTTAATCATGCAAGGACGAATCACAAAAGTGCTGAACATGAAACCAATTGAAATTTTGGGAATGATTGAAGAAGCTGCAGGTACTAGAATGTTTGAGGTAAAGAAGAATCAAGCCCAAAAAACAATCCAAAAGAAGGACCAAAAGTTAGAAGAAATTGCAAAGCTTTTGTCTGAAGAAATTGAACCCAAATTAGAAAAGCTCAATGCTGACAAGACAAAGTATATGAAATATAACGAAATTTTGAATGAATACCAAAATATGGAACGGTATTGCATTGCATTAGAATACTACAAGGCAGAATGTCAGCTCAAAAATTTGAAAAATGAGGAAGAATTATTGAAGAAGAAGAAATCTGAACTAGAATTAAAACATAGCGAATTTCAGAAGAAAGAATCCGAAACTCAAAAGAAAATTGAAAACTTAAAGAAACAGCGACAAAGTGACATGAAAGACGAGGCCAAAGAACTGGAGAACAAAGTTGCAAGGCTCAACAAAGACCTAATCCACAAAAAATCCGAGCTAGAACACAAAAAAGAAGAATATGAACGAGAAAAAACGCAATTGGACAACTTACAAAAACAAATCATGGACGAAGAAAACAACAAATTGGAATTGGAAAAGAAATGTCACAATGCCGTAGCACGATCTGAAGAACTCAAACAAAAAATTCAGGATCTTACAAATAAGATTGATAATATGAAACGCCAAAAAGAAGCAGTTAGTGCAGGTGTAGCTGTGAATATTAGTGACAGTAACGGGAAAACCATCACAGAGCAGGTTTTAGAGTGTAAACAGACAATTACTTCCCTCAAAAGTAGTTTGAAACAGAGTGAAATGAGGCTGGCTCATCTTAAAACAAGTCTTGACGAAAAGAAGGTTCAATTATCAAAGCAGAGTGCTGAAGAGTCATCCCTTAAACAACAGCTAGAAGAGATTGAAAAGGTTGTAAACATATATACAAAACAATTAGAGCAGTTGGGTTTTAACGAAAACAAATATATTGAAATTGAAAAACAAATCGAAATGCTCGAGGCAGATATTCTTGATAGAACAAACAAGATCAACCAAAAGAAAATGACACTCGAACAAATTTTCCTTGACTATAATAAGGAAAATGTGTCAGGTGAAGTTATGGGCGTAGTAGCAAACCTTTTTAGAATCAAGGATACACAACATACTTGTGCTCTAGAAGTAGCAGCTGGACCCAGACTTGGCCAACTTGTCGTTGATACTGAAAAAACTGGAAAGGAAGTCATTGAAAAAGGGAATATTTCAAGACGAGTGACTGTCATTCCCTTAAACAATATCACGTATAGCAAGCGTTTTGAAAACCAAGAATTAATGAAACAAGTTCACAACAATGATGCCAAATTAGCTTTGGATTTAATCAATTATGAAAATAAGGTAGAGAATGCCATGAAGTATTGTTTTGGATCAACTCTAGTAGCTAAAGATATGGAGAGTGCAAAGAAGGTCGCCTTTGACAAGACCATTTACGCACGAACAGTTACGCATGATGGTGACGTTTTTGATCCCAGTGGTACACTCACAGGAGGTTCAAGGCAATTCAACCCCGAGACATCGATACTCTCTAAATTAGAAGCTCATAAGCTCATGGAAGAAGAACGGGATTCCATCATGAAGAAGGTTGAAACTCTCAAATCTCAACTGAACAAAAAGCTTAAGGACAAGTATTATACATTGAAAAACGATCTACGGTTAAAAAAGCATGAACACTCGCTGGCACAAAAGCGAATTGAACAAAGTAGCTATTTTCAAACAAAGAAGCAAGTCGAAGAAATGGAGCAAGAAATTGTAAAGATCAACGAAAATATGAAACAAGCAAAGATTGATATGCAAAACAAAGAGAAGGAGCTTGTTGATTTGGAAAAACAACAAGAGCTGTTTAGCAAGGCCAGCAATGAGGAGGCTGTAAAAAAGCAAAAACTCGACATGATTGACAAAAATATTGAAAAAGCTAAAAAGGAACTACAAACAGCAAAATCAGAATTGAAAGAAGCAGACTCTTATAAACTTTCTTTGCAACTACAGCAAATGGAAGAAGAAATTAAGGATATGAAAACTCAATATGAAACAAAAAAGACTGAAATTGAATCAAACTTGGAAAACAGTTTTAAAAAATTGCAGCAGGATGTTGACGAAGCCACTGAGGCATATGAAAATGAAAGTACAACTCTTAAAGCATGTAGATTGAAGTTTTCCAAGTCAGATGAAGAAATCTCAAAACTCAATGAACTGAAAGATCAGTATGCACAGAATGTATCAGATGTTCTTCTCGAAATTAAAAGTGTAGAACATACCCTCTCTAATTCAGGAAAGAATTCTGGAAAACTTACAACCCTTTTGAACGCGTTGCAAAGTGAATACAAGTGGATCAAAAACGAAAAGGAAAACTTCAACAAACCTGATACAGAATTCCACTTTGATAAGAACAATCAGTCACTGCAAGAATGCAAGCAACGTCTTGCAAAACTGAAGGAAGAATGTGACAGCCTTTCGAAAAGCATCAACAAAAAGGCAATGGCCATGCATGAAAAAGCAGTCGAAGAATATAATACTTTAGTTAATAAGAGAGAAATTGTTCAACAGGATAGACACAAAATTGAGCATGTTATTGAGGATTTGGATGAGAAGAAAAAGACAGCTATCGAGTCTACCTGGAAAAAAGTGAATGAAGATTTTGGCTCAATTTTCTCAACACTTCTTAATGGCACAACAGCTAAGCTTGAACCTCCTTCAGACGCTGTGAATGGTGCATTGGACGGCCTAGAAGTTCGTGTTGCATTCAATGGAGTTTGGAAAGAATCATTAACAGAATTGAGTGGAGGTCAAAGGTCATTGCTTGCACTGTCTCTCATTCTTGCTCTTCTCAGATTTAAACCAGCCCCTGTCTATATTTTAGACGAAATTGATGCAGCTTTGGATCCATCTCACACGCAAAATATTGGTCGCATGCTGAAGACTCACTTTACAAACTCACAATTTATTGTGGTTTCTCTTAAGGAAGGAATGTTTCAAAATGCAAACGTTCTCTACAAGACAAAATTTGTTAATGGTTCATCGATCGTAGAACGTGTAGTTGACCATCGATCAGTTGTTGACACTGATGCTGGTTTGCCAAACCATGCAACCTCAACAGCTTCCACATCGTCCAGAAAAACAAACTCATCATCATCGAACGCTCGCACAAACTCTTCATCGAGCACCGCCACTTCCTCTCAACCGACTGCTCAACTGGTCTCACGACGACGAGGAACCAAACGAAAACCCACGAATGAAGACGACGAAAGTGAAGACGAGGAAGAAGATTAAAAAAATGTCTACAATGAGAAATCTTAATGTCAACTCATCCTACGACCAGAACCATCAAACAGGCAAACAAAAATACAGAAAAAATTCAATATTTCTCTTTCTTGTGTTTTTAACACTTTTTATTCTATTTGATCTCATTTTGCCTTTATATAACAAGAGTTTATATGCTGGATTTGGTAGTGGGCATGGCTTTCACTATCCCGTAACAACGTCGTTTATTCAAGTGATATGCACTGCCATTATTTTACTGGTAGCAGTGCTGTTGCATCGATTAATCATGATTAAATTCATTGAAGTGAAACAACCATACTTTATATTTAGCGGAGGATTGAAAGCATTTCTGTTAAAAGTGTACGTGCTGTTGTTGTAGGATTATCTAAAAATTGTGAATATATTTATTGCAAAAATAATTGATAATTATTGAATTTGATCATTATTGAATTTATATTGAATTTGTATTGTTAAAATGGCATCAATCACCTGTACGGTCATATCAATCATCTGAACAAATTCATTCAAAATATTGTAAAAATATTTGAAATATCAATTATTACTGTCAAATTAGGAAGGAGTTAATACTGGTTGGATTTCTCTTTGCAGGAGTGATTGTACTCACAAATTTAGGTCTTGACAAAGCCTCTATCAATATCAACGTGTTACTTCGAACGTCAAGCATTTTCTGGATCATTGTGCTCTCATTTCTCATTCGAAGTGAAAGGCCGACACTTCTTCAAGTACTTTTCGCACTCATTGTGACATCAGGAGCAATACTATTAAGCTTAGATGTTGGATTGGGATGGAGTGTACATGTCTCTAATATTCCAGCTGTGGTTGTGAATTTAGCCTCTGCTTTCTGTACTGGTCTCATGTTCGTCACTATGCGATTCGTAGTGACACGACAAGAAAAATACGAGCATTTGAGAATGAATATTTTGGAAATGACAATGGTGAAAATGTTTATTGCAGCACTCTTCATGCTCATTCCAGCTTTGGTGATGGAAACGATTTTACCTTTTGCAGATTCTAAACCAACAGTTTGGCAAGCCATGTTCACTCGATTGGATATGTTTGGATTAGTATTGGGAGGAGTGTTAGTCACACTGATTTTTCAGAGTTCAGTGTTGGCTCTTACAGTCTATTCAAAAGCGATTAGTGTTGGCTTGATACAACAATTTTTGATATTTCCTCAATTAGCATTTTATACCATTATTAGTGTTGCTCATTTGGTTCCAAGAAGTTGGAATATTCAATTATTGAAACCAACATGGTCACACATTACTGGAAGTTGTTTAATCATTGTCGGAACATTTTTATATGCAGTTTTGAGGGTTGTGAAAATGATCGATCAGAAACGACGATGGAGAGAGCATGAGAAATTTATTGAGAAACAAAAAGAAGAGGACAATGAAGTAATTTCATTGCTGAGATCGAAAGAGCAAAAAGAGTCCATACAAGGTCAGATTCAAAATCTACCACGAAAATGGTACGATTGGATTTTATAAATTCGTCTCTCTTTCAATTTTGATTGAATCTTCTTTCCATCAATTCGGCAATCTTGTTCTTTAGAGCCTCTTGCTCTTGCTTTAGCTCTTGTTGAGCAACTTTATCCATCAAAGTTTTCACCTTTACGTTTAAACCTTAAAAAAACATCTTCGAGAGCAAGTGCGACGTAAAGCATTTCAAATTTTTTGGGTTTTTTCCCAAAAGTATATATTCCATTGATTGCGAGTCCTTTCAGAATACTATTTTACCTTGAGAAAGGAAATCATTCTTTGCATACAAGTCGATTCAAATGGTTGTGAAATCTCAGGTTGCAGGAGTGTTCGGAGTTAACAAGGACCACTTAAAGAACAATCTCCCGTCCGCTCTCGTGTTGTAAAAAAACGAAAAAAATGCGTTCCTTGTTGATTGCTGCCGTTTTGTTGATTGCTTGTGTTGGTGTTGTGTTGGCTCAAGAGTACAAGCCTTTGGCCGAGAGTGAGATGAAGAAGCTCTTCATCAAGTTCTCCAGAAAGTATGCCAAGGTCTATGGTACTGAAGAACATAATAATAGATATCAAATTTTCAAGGCCAACGTTGAGAAGTCCAGATATTATAATCATGTTGGAAAGAGAGAAAACTTCGGTATCACCAAGTTCTCTGATTTGACCCCAGAAGAATTCAAGAGAATGTTCTTGATGAAGACTTACACTCCAGAGGAAGCCAAGAAGATTTTGGCTGCCCCACAACATGCCGTTCTTTCTGAAAAGGAAGTCCAAACTGCTCCAACCGTAAGTATCTTTGCAATGATTTTTTATTATTTGTTAACATCATTTTGTCATCATCATATGATCACGTATCATCCTTGATCACAATTGGAATGCATCATCATTTCTGCACATCATGATCACTATTTTATTTGAACTTGTTTGAATTCATTATCACTGACTTTTTCCATTATCTCAACAACAGTCGTTCGACTGGAGACAACATGGAGCTGTTACTCGTGTCAAGAATCAAGGTGCTTGCGGTTCATGCTGGACTTTCTCCACCACTGGTAACGTTGAAGGTCAATGGGCCATCAAGAAGGGTAAACTTGTCAGCTTATCCGAACAACAATTGGTTGACTGTGATCACAACTGTGTCACTTATCAAAACCAACAAGCTTGCGACTCTGGTTGCAATGGTGGTTTGATGTGGTCTGCTTTCCAATACGTTATCAAGAACGGTGGTTTGGACACTGAGGACTCTTATCCATACGAAGGAGTTGATGACACTTGCCGATTCAACAAGAGCAACGTTGCTGCTACCATCTCCAGCTGGACATCTATTTCAAGTGATGAGAGTCAAATGGCTGCTTGGCTCGCTGCTAACGGACCAATCTCCATTGCTATCAATGCCGAATGGTTGCAATACTACACTTCTGGTATCTCTGATCCATGGTTCTGTAATCCTCAAGATTTGGACCACGGTGTTTTGATTGTTGGTTATGGTGTTGGTAAGAGCTGGCTCGGTTCTGAAGAGAATTATTGGATTGTTAAGAACTCTTGGGGTTCAGGTATGTTTTTTTGAATTTATTCGGATTTTTAACAAGCGATTCTTTTTTTCATTCATGAATCAACTCTATTACCATATACAGATTGGGGTGAAGATGGATATTTCCGTATTATTCGTGGTAAGGGCAAGTGCGGTTTGAACTCTGTTCCATCCTCCTCAATTGTTTAAACAAATCAACCAAGAATAAATTATCTTGTAATTGAGACTACAACTCTTTTTGCATGTTAAAATCTCAACAAAAAAAATGAGCGAAAATAATAACGAATCGGAGTCATCTTCTCGAACACTGGAATCCTCCAATGCACCACCACCACTATCATCGTCATCAACAGAGAATCATCATCATTCAAATGGAGGAAATTCCGATCAACCCATAAAAAAACCTTCCCTAGAGAAATCACTATTGCAAAAGTTCAGAGAATGTAGTACTAACAATCCTCGCAGACGTATCGACAAGCCTTCGACTGCATCCTCGTTTAATCCCGAGCAACTCGATGCTTTAATTAAAACTTTTAAAGAATATGAAATAACAGCTCTTGAAAGAGTGAAACCAATATCCACAGAAAAATCGTATCACATTAATGCAATGATCGTTAAAAAGACTCATGTGACTTATCATCACATTGGAGGCAACTATCGATACAAGAGAATTGAAATTCCATTGATTTCGTCTTTACCTTCGACGAATAATATGATTGTCAATGAAAAGCACAACTCATCAAAAACCGAATCCACTTCACATAACACACCATCCCAAGCTCTCCTTTCCGAATCATCATCAACCTCTTCTATAAGCACCACCAAAAGCAACCATTCTTCTTCCTCATCAAAAGACAAGACCACAACTTCTGGAAAAAAAGAGAAAAAGAAAAAGAATCCATTTATGAAAGTTTACAAGAAACTACAATTGAAAATTGCAGATCCGAAAAAGAATATTGCAACACCTGAATTGATAGACAAGTACTTTCCAAACTTGAAATTACCTGATGATTTTGTGTACATTTTGGAGAATGAAAGAAACTCGAAAACACCTCCAACGGCTCATAACGATAATCGATGTAATTGTAGCATCAAATGTGTGAAACACGAATGTTTAAATTACTTGTCACAAGTCGAGTGCTCGACAGATTGTCAGTGCGGATCACTTTGTGACAACAAAATGTTCACAAACATGCAATACCCAAATATTGTTTGCTTTTACAGCAAAGGTAAAGGAATTGGTGTTAAATGTAACCAACCAGTCATCACGAAAGGTGAATTCATCACTGAATATGTTGGAGAAGTGATCTCAATCAATAGATTTGAGAAACGAACAAGCAGAAAATATCATAAATCTCTTCATCACTATTGTATGAATTTGAATGAGAATGAAATTATTGATGCGACATGGATGGGAAATATTGGAAGATTTATTAATCACTCGTGTGATCCTAATGCATGTACACAAGTTTGGTCTGTGAACGGATACGATCGAGTTGGAATATTTGCAATTCGAGACATTGCGTTTGGGGAGGAAATTACATATAATTATCATTTTACGATTTATGATGACAAATCAGAGCAGCAAGTGTGTAAATGTGGAGCTGACACCTGTTCGGGTGTAATTGGAAAAAAACCTTCGTCTCCTGCGTTTGAAGAGGATTCAAGTGAATCTGAAGCAGAGACAGGTTTATCCGATGATAGCGACAATGAATCTAATGAAACTTTGAAGCGATCGATCAACACATTCAATGTTGAATTGGGTGACGATGAACCAAATCAAAAGAAACAAAAAATCAACTCTGAAGATGATGACATTTCAGAAAATGATGAATATTTCATGCAATTTGTTGATAGCGAATAATTTATTGAGAAAGCACCAACCCTAAGATTGTTTAAAGGCCAGAATTGTGTACAATGAAGAATGCTAATATTCTTTGAAGAACACAACAGTTACTGTTTTATGAGAACCTTGTCGAGTAAGAATTTGTTAAGAGGAACGTCCACGACAGAGAATTGATCTCCATTGTTTTGATGCTCTAATAACTCCAAAAGCATTTTTCCAACAACAATTCCAAACTAAATTTCATACAAATTTGTTAGCATTTTCAAAAGAAATCGTCCTTTTTTCATGATCAACTCACCTTAAATCCATGGCCACTTCCACCACCAAACATAACAACATTCTTCTTTCCACTTTTAGTTGGTAAATAATCGATAATGAAATCTTCGGTTGGTGTCATTTCATACAAGCACGTCACAACACGATCCTTCTGAGAAATAATCTCCTCATAACTCTCGCTAAAATCAAGATAGCCTTCAGGAGTGGCTTTTTTAAGGAAGTTAATACTTCTATCAATTTTTTCTTTTTGAACTGGTGGCTCTTTTCCTTCATCAATGAGTGCAGCCCTCTCGTCAGGGTCGAACCCTCTTTCTACATCTTTATACGGATGATGAGATGCAGTTTTGATGTAGCCAGGCTTTTCCCAAGATGGAAATCCATAGTACGCCAAATCTAATTTTTCATCGTGAACAAAGGGATCCTGACCCCACATGATCCAGATTGGCTAAGGAAAAGACATGTTAGGAGTGTGTTTGGAACGATAATAAATTATGTTGACAAAATGTTCAATAAATATTCCAATAACACAATACTTACTGAATTGTCCATATAAACATTCTCCTTCATTCCACGTTCTCCAATCTTCCAGTAATAGTAACACATTCTCAATACTTCAAATTGAATATCCAAATCAAAGTGTTTTTTCAGGAAATTTTTACAATAAGCTCCAACACAGATTGCCAATTTTTTTGCCTCAAATCTATTTCCCTTATTTGTCACAATTGTGAAATTTCCACTGTTTTCGTCTTCAATCAAATCTTCAACTCGTTCCTTCTCTACAATGCGATGCTTTTCAACATCATAGGCACTTCCGTCATTGTTTAACAAAATAGATCGAATCTTGTTTGGATTCAGCATTCCAGCTTCTGGTTGGTAGACAGCCAAAGTATCATCTGGAAGACCAGAGAATTGAGGAAATCGATCACGAAATTGCTGACCCTGTAAAACCTCATGAGGATAACCTCTCTCTCGTGAAACTTGAACTACCTTATTGATACTTTCATCGGAAAGAGGACCAATATCAAGACCACCCGTCCTCTTGTAAAAGGTTTCAAACTGAGGGACTTGAGGCCATAATTCAAGAGACTTTGAGGCCATGGATGAATAATGAATATCATCATAGGCAATTCTGTGATAAAGAATGTAGTGAAAATCATCAAAGATCAATAGTAAATGTTTGCAGAATTTTGAAAATCAAAGATAATGATCATAGAATTTGTTATGAATCAAACCCAATCAATATCCCGAACGTTTACATAAATCGACGGATCATCATAAAAGCCAACGAATTTGGTATTATTCCAACCATTGAACTATGAAAAAAAGGCTTCAACTTTTCCGACCTACCTAATAATTCTTGACTCTCCATGTGAAGATCCCTTCGTATGCATCAACTCAAATTGTTCCAACAACAAGACATGTTCATATTCCTTCACGGCATGATGAAACGTACAAGCTCCAGCAATACCCGAGCCAATCACACACAGATCGTACAATACCATTTTTTTTCAACAATTCGGAGTTTCAAACTTTTCCAAATTGGTCCAAATTGAAAGGACAATGATGAAGATTGTTTTATGTACGAATACTAACCATTGCATTTCATTCATTTCAATTTTATTAGCAAGTTGTGTGCCTTTTGGAAAGTTATATTCCAGAATTGTAGCATATGAATAGTAGATCTCTTTTTACTTCTTGAGCTTGGCTTTGAATTTATCGCCCATCAATGTGACAATCACCTCAGCCATGGGTTCTAATTCGGTTGGAGAAATTAAATCAAATTCAAAGGTAAAGTACATGAACTGTGTTGAATGTTAAACATTTGAATAAATATATAAATGTTTCACACACGTGTGGAGGTATACTTACATGTTTAAAAGCAGTATTAAGGTGAGCTATCCATAATTTAAATTGATCAATATTCAAGTGATTGAAAATGAGTGAATATCATTCAGATGGTCATTCCAACATGTTTGAATTCATCATCATCATTATCAAAATCATTAAACAAATATGAACATTATTCTTAAACATTTTTGTGTGTGAGATTCCTTACCTTCTTCACCAAGAATTTTAATTTGTTCCAAGTGATGAGCATAAATGTGTGCATAGACACGGAATAATCTCTTGAAAATGTTCTTTACAATTTTTGAAAAATCTTTTGGAAAATCTTGACTGGCATCTGTTGGGAAAATCTGTTCATTGTTCAACATGGATTCAACCCATTCCATCAATAATGAGACATATTCCTTGGCACTCACAACAGTTGGTTTTTCATATCTGGGATCGTCGGCATTCATCCACAAATACTCAAAGTTTTCACCAGCTGACATTTTAGGACAAGTGCTTGATGTGCAATACTCTTCAAGAGAGCCATATAGAATGTTAATTCCATTCACAAAATCGACCACGTGAACAGCTGTTGTTGTGGTCGATGGAAGTGTGAGCATTGTTGAATTCACATTGTGAATTAATTTTTCAAAGTTGTAGTTGATACCAAGTTGTCATCATTTGTGAAATGAAAGAGAACAAGAAGAACACACATGATTCGTTTCATTTGGTTTTGATCAACTCACATACCTAACCATTCATTTTTCTTCTCTCCAACTGTCATCATCCAAGAACGTCAAATGTCAAAATATCCATATGAACATCATCCGCTACTTACATGGCAATTTCACAGTATTTTCCAATCCAGCAACTCCCAACGATGAAGTACTCTGTTGCATCGCTTGTTTCATTCTCTCATTGAGTTTGTTGTCACAATCAATAATCTTTTTAAAAGTTTTCTTTTTATCACTCACTCCCATAAGACCTTTCAATACGCTTGCCATTTTCTTCTTGTATAATGGTGTTGATAATGTTGTAGGAATGTAAATAATTGATCGAGTGATCGGGTGTTTTTGTTCGTGAGTGTGATGAGACCTCTCAAGTTTTATTTTTTTTTTGATTTGAAAATGTAGTGACAGGTCTTGCTACTTTTAAGGAGAGAACATTCTTGGAATAGATAGACGTGACCACGAATGTGTTTTGTAAAGTCATCAACAATGAAGGTTAATCTTGTGTTTTAAGGTCTTTATGACTCCGATGCGTTCAGTCAATGATCTGACAAAACCATGAAACAAATTTTTCAACAAGAGAACATTTCTGAAAATCATCTTTGAAAAAGTGGAAGGGCTCATTCTTTCAACGACATTCACTTCACGTGGTGTTCTCAAAGATGACTCGTCAGAATTCACAAATAAGGAAACGAAAATTGATCCAAAAAAAATGATCGCCTTCATTGTTATTAGCCACATCTCACTCTACGTGGGAATTATGTTTTTGATTTTGTGTGTTGCTACGGGATTGTATTATTTGGCAGAATTGGCTGAAGAGAATAGTGTCATGACTCGGAAGGTGATTTCGTACATGATTTATGTATGTTTTCAACAACACATGATGAATTTAAAATCATCATCATCATCGCATGTATGGATTTATTTCAAATTTGGCGTGATGATTATTGGACGGATTGATTGGAAATATGAATATGATTTTTCTTGCTTTCAATGATGATGATAACTTTGAAATTTCGGACCGAACGATTCCAACGAACTATTTCGGATCATCTGTTGATGTTTAAAATATTCAAAATATAATAATATAATATAATCATATTCCTATGAATATCACTGAATAATGAAAGTTGGTGGTGATGGTACATTTGATTTTGTGGATTTTTGATGAACTTTATTTCTGGTGTATTTCTATTGGAATATTATCTCATATTGCTTACTATCAATTATTATCAAGCTTCCCATTTGTGAGAGTGAAATCAGCATCTTGCATTTTGAGTATTGGTAAGTGGCATGATGATGAGTTCTAATCATCCGAGAAATCAAAATGCATGAATACATTTAATCTCATGTGTTGACACAAATATTTTTTTGGAAATAGTTGGATTTATCGTTTCACATGTAGGATGGTACTATTACTTTATTGATTTTAATACTCCCATTTATGAGTTTTCAGAATTACTAGGTAAGATTTCATTCGATATGATAATCGTGTGTATCAACAGATCTTTGACATTAATCTTTACGAATATTTCTCAATCATGACAATTACATTTCATTGATAATCATGAAATTTAGGCTTTTTCTTCATTTGTGTTTGGTTTACTCCTCTTGCATTATTTGTGAGCTTGAGCATTGGAGACATGCAATTGCCGGGACTTGGAATGGAAGGTTCAGATCGTGGAAATAAGGATATTCTCAAAAAGAAGAACAATGTCGTGCAATGGATCATGTCACAACTGAATCGTTTCAGAAGAAGTTCATCCTCTGACACAATGCTTCCTCATCATTCGAATTATTAACCATATAGTTCGTTCCTTCAGATTAAAATAACAAATCACTGATGTGCTCTATACATGTTAATCTGCTCTTCAAAAACAGTGACGCAAGAAAGGAGGAATTGAACCTCTGGACTTTACATCCCTACGGCTTTGAAGGCCGCACCCCGGAACCACCGAAGATCATTCTTGCAATGAATATGGAAGATGGGTGTTTCCTTTGATCATGAAGATTTTAATAATTCTGACCAAATTAAGGTTTACAAAAAATGATCAAAAATTTCTTGTGTGTCATCATGAGTGTTTATTGTACTGTGGCACGCCCATTAATTGTTCAATAATGGAAATACTATTGCTTCTTCTTTTTCTTTTGCAAACTCTCTAAACATTCTTCATAGGAAAATGCAGTAGGCCGTTCCAGCAGTCGAACATATTTTGGTCCTCTCTCTTTAGGAGGTCTGATGGCAACAGCATTTCTCAGGGTGATGTACTTGCTCTCTTGATTGTCATAGTCGCTCTCTAATTTAGATCGATCTAATAATGCATTGTTCGCAGCTTGATAGAAAATGTTATACATGGACGTCTTGATTGAACAATGTTTCCACATTTCAAAAAAGTGAGAAGCCACCTCAGCTGGAGTCTCAAAATTGCTGTGCACCCATTTCAAGTCCTCAAACACACAATCATACAATACTAGAGGATACTCTGATGCGATTGGATACTGTGGGCGTGCCTTGTATGTTTCAATGTCAAGCAAATCTGAAACAATACTGGGCTCTTCCTTCCCTTCTCCAACCAAAAAGAGAACAGCTGCCATACATCTAATTTGATGCCACAAAAATGAATATCCACACACCACAATTTCGTACATATCGTAGTAAGTGTCACTTCCATGCTGCTGATGAAACAAATCTGATTTAACAATTTCTACATTTAAGATTTTTCTTCTGAAATTCGATACGTCCTCAGCATTAATTTTGCAGAAATTTCTAAAATCATGATCACCAATGAATTTTTCAGCTGCCTCTCTCATCTTATCGATATTTAAATTTTGTTTGATGAAAAAGTACTTGTATGTTCGTTGAATGCATCCAAATCGAGCATCAAAATCCTTGGTCACTGGACACCATGCCAACACTCTAATATCCTCTGGTAATAAATTATTTAACATTTTCACGTAATCAAAACTCTTATTGGGATCCTTGCTCGCTCGTCCGTAAAATGAAATGACTTGACCCAATGCAGAGACGCCCTTATCCGTACGTCCACAACGTGTATATTCACTCTTTTCTTCACTTTCTATCAATTTCACCTTTTTCAGTGCTTCAAATAAATGATATTCAATCGTGTTTGTAGTATGTGCTTGTCGAGCAAGACCTTGATAATTAAATCCGAGATAGGCAATCTTTAATGCAATATATTCCATGTGTTGTTTTGACCAATCCATTTCATTCTTTTGGTTCTTTTTCTTTGTTTTTTCTTTCCCATTCTTTTTATCTTTTTCAGCACTAGTACTTTGGATGTTGTTTCCGACATCATCGGAGGAAGAAGCAATATTTTGAGAATTAATCGCTAAACGTTTTTCTTGTTGATAAAGAGTTGCAATTTTTACAAGTTCTTCACGAGTCATCTCAGTGGGTGATTTCTCGAGCAAGGATGACTCCTCAGCATGCTTTTCCGATATTGCACTCTCTTGGGTGATGGAAGAAGAAGTGGTTTCGGTTTGGTGTGAAGACATTTTTTTCCAAGTTCTTTCATCGTTTTTGGATCTAGAGTTAAAACTTTTCGAATGTTATTGAAAGCAATGTCCTTTTACAACACCATTCTCTTATGCACAAGGCAGTTTTTGGATAACGAGAAGCCAGTTTCGATGAGGAAAAGTTCTTTCGCCGAATAATAATAATTATCCTAGTCCATTATCCAAGCGAATCTCGGGTGAGCTCACTCCAGCGAAAAATCCAGTTGATAAGAATCTTTGAATTACAAAATCTTTAGAAAAATTTTGTCTTTTCCAATTCAAATGCTCTCTCCCACGAAAAAACACAAACCAACTCTATCATCCGATGAAGAAAATAATTCCAATGCTGAATCAAGCTCGGATGATCAATCACTACTCACGAATTCTCCTTCCGTAAATGTGATCATGGAGGGACTTTTTACGATAGATCATGTTCTTTCACCTTTAGAAACACAGGAATACATCCGGAAGGCGAAAGAACACACGTGGTCAAAAAGCAAAGTTGGACTATCCATCTCTAAAAGCAATGTGGATTACGATTCCGTGAGGACTAGTGATCAATTTGAATTTGAAGATGAGAAATTGGCACAGCATGTGTTCAAGATTGGAGAAAAGACATTGAACGATATGTTTGATGGAGCCTCTGCAAAATTTATTCCTGATTGTATCGATTCCAATTGGAAATGCTATAGATACATGAAGGGTAACTTTTTTGAAAGGCACAAAGACTCGGGTCGGAGCGTGAATGATTTAAAGAGCTTTGTGACAGTATTAATTTATTTGAACGGAAATGAGGAGAGCGATCATCAAGATTTCGAAGGAGGTCAAACCCTAGTTTATGGACCTACATGTAAGGAGGGTGTAGACATTCATCCCTCCCCAGGAAAAGCTGCATTCTTCCTTCATCAATTAGACCACGAAGCTATGGAAGTGCTCAACGGTACCAAGTACATTTTGAAATCTGTTGTTCTATTTAAGAAGAATGATAATTATGAAACAACTAACTCTAATGCATCATCAATTGAAATTTCTCTCAAGGAAGATATTTTGTTGAGAGTAGGGGACGAAGAATTCAAATTGACAAGCGACATGCTAAAAGATCATCCTAATTGCATTTTAAATACCATGCTTGCCTCACCAATGACTAATGGTATCAAAAATGACCCAGGTTCAGGTTTAAAACTATTTGAATTTCCAGAAAGAAATCCACAAATATTCAAAACATACGTTATTCCAGTACTGAGAAATGATATCCTTCCAAACGCCATCATGGATCCTTCTTTAAAGGACAGTATTGATTTAGAATTCAAATTTTGGGGCCTCCTACCTCCGTTTGATCCAATTTTGACCATTTCTTCCGGGCACATGCATGCTTCGAACATGCTCACTTCAAAAGAATTATCTTCCATCTCACTCTTACTAAAGTCAGACCTTGAGGAGAAACTACAAATGCTCGAATGGAGGTTACAATTTCTAAAAATTTTGGAAAAGATCAAAACTAAGAAAGAAAAGTTCTCTCCAAACTTGTTTGAACAAGATTCATTGCAAGAAATAATGAAAGCCAATCGTGGGAAATTCTCACAAGGTTCTAAAATCTCATCAGAACAATACTATTTCCATCAATGGATTGCCCCTCAAATTGGGACATATCTTTCCAACAAGTATGAGGTACTGCCACTGAAATATCACTACGATTCGAATAACTTTCTGATTGGACAAGATCGGCACTTGTATGAATTATGTGTACAAGCATTTGGTGAACAAGCAATTTCTATTAGGAACATTCAATTTATACACGAGTCTCACTCCATCATGGAATCAGGATCCGATCTATTTAATTTTGAATTGCTTTCTGTGACAGATGAAATGCTGGAGAAATGTAAAAACACTGGGTTTCAGCTCAGTTTTTCAGCTAGTTTGGAAGGTCAGTTGGATGAAGGCAAATTTAAAACAGTGAGTGATATTTTGAAACATTACGAGGGAGTATGCATTGGGATGAAATACGTGGATTTACTTTTACACGGAGAAGAAGAACAGCATTGGGAAGGGGAGTACAATGACGAATATGTTCCAAACTTTTCATTATTTGTTTTATGTGTATTGGTGATTGATATATCTAAATTGAAATGATTCATCAGTAATTCATTTCAAAGCCCTTCTTTGCTGGGTAGTCCCTTTAGTTTTTTTAATTTCCCAGCAAAGAGCTCCGTACTTTTTAAGCAAGTTGGTTTTGAGCGAAAGGAATTCTCTAAATCGATTACCAGACATCACTTGTCAAAATTATCATCTAAGATCAAAAAAAATACACAACACCTCACCATGCAATTGAACGCAGACAATTTTCCTTTCATTAACTTGTACCTTCCCACTTCTGCTCTTTGGGAGGAAGATGTATTATCATGTACAAGCCCAATGAATATTGATGAAGATGAGACCTCATCTTCTAATGATGATATCAGTGCAACCAATCACTCTTCTACACAACATCATCCTCTCATTGGACAGTCATCAATGAATGATGAGGAGGCCTCCTTCACCGATATCGGTCAAAGTATCATTGATATCTTTACTGCTGATGCTATTCCTGAAGATTCAGTCAGAAACGAGGAAGAAGAAACATCCAACACCTCTGAAGCTGATTCTTGTCCAAATTATCATTCACCACCCTGTGTGGATGATAAACATCGTGGAAAGAAGAGAACCAAGGAGGAATGCTCTCCTTCTTCAAACTCCAAGAAGACCAACTCGAAAACCCATGAGGAGTACTGCAAGAAGGAATTCGCAGAGAAATGGCCAACCATTCGTGAACAGTTGCTACAAGTGAATCAGATCAGGTGTGGTGACGACACTGAAAGGTTTACTTGAAAATCACTTTAAAGTGAATGTACACAAGTATTCCATCTATATCCAAATTGTAGGATGTCCTTACTATCACATGTTGCTTTGTCAAAAGGGTAAAGAAAAGAAAGAGGACACAAAAGAACGAAAACAAAGGACGCAGGTAACCAAGGCTAAAAGAACAAAGGTTGAAGGAGAAGAAGCGAGAAGTTTGATTCGAGTTCATCTAGAATCCAACTCTTCTCAACAAGGAGAAGAGCCATCTTTGGTTGTTTCCACTCATGCCTTGTGTTTGAACGCATTGTCCAAAATCACAACTAAACCAAAAAGACACGAACACCCAAAACAATCTAAAGTGACAAATTCCAATACGTCGTCTTCTTCTTCTAAGAATTAATCAACCCTCAAGAGTGATTACACTCGGAAGACCTTTAGATGCATGGATACTGAGCCCTCTTAGGTGACATGTTTCACATGGTTATCTTCAGCTTGAAGATTGTTTGATAAGAAACAAACAGAAACATTGGTATGGTTCATTCAACAACAACAACAACAACATTCCCATTCTTTTCCAACAATGTTGATACCATCGAATGAATCACCAACACGATTGGAAACGAAAGTGGGATTTTGGATGACCAACTTACCGATATTTTTGTCTGTTTCCCATCATGTGTTTTTATCCTCCTTGTATATATACATTTGTAAATAAACGACAACAATATTTAAAATTGTACTCCATTATTCATCCATAGCTGACACATGATCAACTTCACATTCCAAAATCTATTCTCCCAGAATCCAGTGGATGTCTTTGTTTTGCTGCAGGTATTTCCGTTATTTTTTTACATACCTAGTAGTAGCAGTAATTCAAAACAAGGAATATCTTAAACAACGTTGGGAATTTGTACAAGTGGGCGTTGGGAAGTTCATACCAAGTTTTAACGAAATTGTAAAGTTTTCGGCCAATCCTTTTGTTTCGATATCGAAACAGACCTGTCACTTTTCTGGGTTGAGAGGAACAAAAATAAAAACACTGAAATTTCAAGATATTCAAAAACAAACCCACAAAAAAAACACATTAAGTGACTCAGCTGTACTCATAACAATACTCTTAATTTGCTTCTTCTCTATACTTTTAATTTACTTCTTCATCATGTACAGCCCATCATTGGATTTCTCCAATAGTAATGACTCGCTCTTTGCTGAAAGCTCATCTCAGAGTTTTTTCTCATCATTCTCTTCAACTAATATTACTAACGATTCTACTTCAATTAGTAATAATAATAATACCACTTCTACTTCTTCATGCAAGGATATGAATGACTTTGCAGATTCGTTTCATGAATCCCCTCAATCACAACAACAATCTGCTGATCTTGTATCTTTCAAAATAATTGAACCTGCTGATGATCCCAACATGACGTTTCTCGATCATGGTGATGAGACCTTTGAAGATTCTTCAACAGATTTGAGAAGAAACAAGGAGGAGGAAGAATCTGTTCCTTCTTTCCACGAACTTGGTGCTTGGATTCAACAGTTACCACCACCACCAACAACAACAACTTGTCCTTCTTCTTCTTCTTGTGCGTATTCGTCTTCTTCATTGGTGATTGCTAATTCAGTGACTCCTCAAGAAGGTATTTACATTCATAGTGGTAGTAGTAGTAGTCGTCGTTGCGAGAAGCAATCATCAAGAAAGAAGAACAAGAAGAAGGGACAACCTCTTCAAGCAACAAACTCCAGACAGACAAAGAAGAACAAGTCTCTGAAAAGTGAACTCTCCAAAGGACAAGAAACCCTCACGAGAGCCTGAAAAGTGAACTCTCCAAGAGACAGAACTCTCTCAATTTGCTTCATGTCATGACTACCACAACAGGTCAAGGAAAAAACAATGCCAGTAGCAACAACATGGATGGCCATGTTGAATCACATAGTTACTCTTCTCTTCTTCCTTCTACAACACTAAATCCTGCACCAAAAGTCAACAACAACACTAGTGAGCAATCTTTGAAGACCTCGATCGATGTATTGAATGGTAACTCGAGTCATCTTGTTGCTGTTTCTTCTGATAAATCTTTTATTGAGAACAGAAAGGAAAACAACACAGCAACAACAACACAAACCTCTGAATCTTCAAGTGAAACGGATCAGAAATTCGCAAAGAGATGGCTGGACATTCGTAAAAAGCTGGAGTTTCATTATCCTCCAAAGATTGTTTCGACATCTTATGTGGTCTTTGAAAGAATAAGCAATCGCCACTCAAAAGCATCATCATCCTCTTCTGAATCATTCAAACTCATCATTCATTACTTTAAAGGCCCTAAATTAACCCATGGCAAAGCCTTTGATGAGAGACAATTGACACCATTGACTTTAAAACCACAAGTGATTCACTGTTCTTCTCGTCATTCAGTCACTTCAATGCAAGGTTTACTTTTGAATCATTTTGATGTGAACGTACACAAGTATTCCATCTATATCAAGATAGAAGGTTGTTCTGAATATCACATGTTGTACTGTCAGAAAGGCAAAACAGAGAATGTGAGAAGTTTGATTCTAGTTCAAGAAAATTCTTCACAACAGTACTTGACAATTTCAACACGTTGTTTGTGTTTGAATACATTGTCAGACCTAATCGTCAAACCATTGGAACACATACTTCCAACACAATCTGAAGTGACAAATTCCAATACGTCTTCTTCTTCTTCTAAGAATTAATCAACCCTCAAGAGTGATTACACTCGGAAGACCTTAATGCTGATGGATATGAACCTTCTTCGTGATCATGTTTTGCAAATGTCCTCAGTAGCTACTCAAACAAACAGAAACATTGGCATTGGTCATTCAACAACAACCACAACAACACATATTCCCATTTCTTTTCAATCATGTTGATCAAAGCACATGTTGATCAAAACGAAGGTATCATCAACACGATTGGAAATGAAAGTGGGATTTTGGATGACCATCGTGCCTTTGTTTCCGTCTGTTTCGAAACATGCTTGTATTTTAATCCTCTCTTTTTGTAAATAAATCATAACTCTATCCATACACTTGTTTTTTGGAGTTGTGTGATTAAGCAGTATAGATCAAGTCCATTATTCAGGTTTGAGTACTTTGATGGCTTTCGGTTTTTCTCAAATTTCAGACCTCACATCTTCAAACAAATACTCCATATTTCCACACAATTAATCATCTCGATTGCTTAAAAAGATTAATTCGAAGCTACTTTTAATTAAGGTCGAAATAAAAAGTTTTGCATTAGCCGGGAGTCGAACCCGGGTCACCAGCTTGGAAGGCTGGTATGATACCGTTACACTACTAATGCTTCTCACATTAATGGTTTAAAAATTAGCACCACGTACCGAATTAAGCATGGAGATTGGGTTTATTGGAGATGGGATTCGAGCCTTCTCTTAATGTCTCCATAAATTGCATCATTTACGTCGATTCGTTTTTGATATTCTGAATGAGGAACTTTTGCTGAAACGTTTCGTAATTTCTATTGAATTTATTGTGAAGAGTTGAGCGCTAGGGACATTCTATTGCTGAACTTACCGACATGCTCAAATACGATGCATTATCTGTCACCATGTTAATGAACCAATAAGGAACATAGGATAATTTTGGATCAACACTTCCCACTATTTGTACATAGGTCTCCTCTGGACGAATGATCGTAACAATGTGTCACAATAATTTTGCATGCTAGAAAACATACCTGGAGAAATATATTTTACGAGAAAACCAGAATATTCGCACTCTGAACACACATTATTAGGGTTTTCATACTTGGAAATGACGTCTTTGTGTTGTGGCAATGACTCTGATGTCACACCCTTAACCACAACCATGATTGAGCCGTCTTTTTCAAGCTTGTCAACCGCAAAAGCATACGAGATTAAGTCTCTTGGGCTAAATGGCCATGGTAAATCAAACGAAAAATATGCCAGAAATCTGTACTTGGCTAATTTGTGAATTATTAAAGATTCTCTCATTTGAGGCACCCATGACTTGTACAAGTCCACTAAATCACAAAACAATTGTTTGCGTTATTAAAATCGAAAAAGTGACATCGTCACAATGTTCAACCAAATGATCGTAATTATTGCGTAATAATAATTCGATTCAACAATTAGGTCCATATTTTCTCTAAAAAACGAACCTTCGTAAAATATGGATAACACTTGAAAAATCGGGGCTGAGATATATCCTTGAACTTTAACGGCATGCATTCCTCTTCCATTATCCTTGTAAAAACTTTGCATCTTATCTTTCTCTACACACAATTTCCACCCATCATCGGAATTGAATTCTCTCATCACTTGCTCTGCCAATTTTCCATCCTGAATAATTTGTTGTAATTTTTGAGTAATATCCGAGGGCAATACTGATTTATTGTTACTACTCTCATCATCCACCGTACGAACAACATTAATTTCATTATCAATGAGTAGATGATAGGCCTCCAACAATCGTTCGTTATCAAACAAATCGATCGCTTTTTGAACGAGTGTCGGGAAGTTGTCAGCCATTTTTTTGGAGATTGAAGAACACGTTGAGTCGAGGCTGTAAGTCGAAATGGCAATCAATTCCAAAACCATCACAATGGGGTAGTCAATCTCCACCACAATGGGAGCAATATTATTTGGAATCGTTCTACTCCTCTTGAGCTTTCTTCTCTCTTTCATATATTTTCGTCAACAATTTCAATTCCTTTTTTAACTTCTTTTTTTGTTCCTCTTTCAGTAACTTCTTTTCTTCTTTTTTTCTTTTCTTGTGAATTTTGTTTAATTTTCGATAGCATGGTGGACATAGGCACACCTTCACCAAACATTGTTTGGGAATGTTGTGTTCTCGGTACGAAAAATTGAGGAGAGAACTTTCCAAGTCATTAGTAGCACTGCACGCCACATTTCCACAAACAGAGTCTCCTTTTCCGTCGAGTACTTCTTTTTCATTCCTCCATCTCAACCCGAGCTTTCCTTCCTTGTATTTACTCAAATCCGCAACTGCATAATCTCTAAATAATTTACTTTCATACTCTTTTGCTAAAGTTTTGCCATACGCCTCGTCGGGATCATCGTTTTCATCCGCTTGTTCCGATGATGGTCGAACAAATTGATAATGTTTTTTTAATATTTGCATATCATTTTGATATTCGGATTTGGAAATTTTCTTGATGTCACCATTAATTGGTTGGTTCGCATCACTCTCATCAAGAAGACCATGTCGTTTCAAAAATTCTGTTCTCTCCTTTTCTCGATCTAATTTTGGCATTTTTTTAGTGTGGTGAAGGTCTTTGCCTTCTTACTGCACATTCGAATCATTGTCTTGCAGGACTCACATGCATGACATTCAACATTTCAGGTGGTTTCACTGCTTTCCAAGCTTCTCTTTGACCATTTCTATTAACATATCCGAGTATTTTTGCAACACGTCTTGAGTAGAAGGCATGTTCACTTGCCATGCTCTCGATGCAAAAGTGCTACTCATATTTTGTAGCAACTTTTCTAAGGCTTGTTTGGATTTGGTGGCAATTTCAGTATCCTTGTTCTCGGCATTCTCTAATTGATCAATGATGGAAAGAGCTTGAGTGAATGAGTGAGAAATTTGGTTAATTTTCAAAATGAGTGACAATGGGATTTCTGATAATTGAGGAATGGAGTGATCGGTCAGGTTCAGCTTGGAATTGTTGTGATTATTATTTGGCTCTGTAGTATTCGAGACAGCAGTGTTCGATGATGTGATGGTGCCATTACTGCTACCTGGTGCTGATGCGGAACAAGAAGGGACGGAATTTGTTTGTTGTGATTGCAAATTAGGATTTGAAGTAATTGGAGTTTGATGTTGTTGAGGTAGTTCTTTGGAGTTCATCACATGGTTGTGTTGCTGTGATTGAGGTGGTAGCTGCTTTTTTGGAGACTTGTTCTTCTTACCAATAGCCTTTCTCAAGAATTGAGAAGTTACACTGATTCTTCCGTCATGTATTTCATTTGGATCGAAGGACATTGGTCTTGCAAGACTTTCATAATTTTTGATAAGGAAATCTTCTTTGGCTGGCTCTACAGGAGGAGGATCAAGCTTAATTGTTGTTGTTTTATCCTCGTCTTCCTCAACGTCCGTTGGTATTGCAGTTGAAACCTTATTCTCGGCACTCACTAAAAAGTCTGGAGGCTGTTCGAGAGAGGTGAAGTAGACCACCTCTTCCTCGGCATTTTCTTCAGTGTCGTCATTCATCAAATCCATTTCTTCCATTGAGGAAAGTTTGAACTCTTTCTCTGTGGAAGAAGCTAACCATTTGCTTGTGGATGGAATGGATCCATTGTTGATGGTGGTAGGAGTGTGCTGCATATCCTCTGCATTATTGCTGGTGAGCTTTTTCTGCTTGGCCCACGAAGGCAGAAGAGTATCACGAACTGTCAATTCCACCATATTCGTGTTGGATTTTGGTGTCTCCAAGAGCGATGATCTTGTTTTTAAGGTTTCTGGTGGTCTGTTCTTGTTCAATAGCTTGACAATATTTGGAGCCAATCTCCAAATAAAGATGCATCCATCACCTGATACTGAGATAATGCGTCTTGAATCCTTAGAAAGCTTTACGCCGGTAATAATTTCAGAATGACCACTCACGCGAGCAATGCATTCACCATTGCTTAAATTGTACAGTCTGATAAATTTGTCTGCTGAGCTTACCACCACAAATTCTCCAGAGTAATCGAATGATACTCGAATGGGCTCCGAAGATGGAGAGTATGTATCTTGCATTGATTTTGTGTCCACCTTATAGCTTTGTTTGGCCTTACATTTATCAAGCTCCCAGACATTAATTTTCTTATCTTGACCAACAGTAACAATTTCATTGTGGTGACTGATATCTAAATCAAAAATTGTTCCATTGCACTGACAATTCTGATATCTTTTGAAGCTGTATTCTCCATTTTGGTCCAACTCAATCTTTCGAAACACAATAGACTTGTCGGCGCTACAACTCACTAGATATCTTTCACCGCTTTGATCCTTTGCAAATTTAATGGAAGTGACCGATGCAGTATGATCGTCCAACGAAGTAACTAGCTTAAAGTCTGCATTCTTAAATTGAAAGACATGAATGAGTCTGTCACGGCTGCTTGTGGCAAACAATAAATCAGAGGGATCCTTTGGATTTGTGCTAAAATCTATTGATAAAATCTCGGCTTCGTGAGCAACCTCAGCAAACTCGTTATGAAAACTAGAAACTTGATATAATTTGATTAACCCTTGTTTGGTTCCGCAAGCAATATGATCTCCTGAGGAGGAAAACTTAACACTTCGTATACCCTGTTCTCCGTTTGGATTTGAAGGTTTATCCTCAATGACATGTAGAAGATCTTTGCAAAATACATTCTTTGAAATGAAGGACTCTCCTCTCTCAATCTTTTCGCTCACGTGAAGAGTACTACTCGCCTCAACATTCCAAATTCTTGCTGTATTATCACTAGAACATGTAATGAAAGAGCCTGGAGGTAAGTTTTCATTGCTTTCTGGAAAGAGATCAATATCCCATATAGAGTCACTGTGGCATAAGAAACTTCTGTACTTGGCAATACGTTGTAAATTGCTGATATCCCAAATGAAAAAACTTCTGTCACTGTAAATGGTAACGACCTGTCTTGAGTCTAGCAATCGACATGCAACACAATCAACATCAGCAATTGATGAGGTCATGTTTGCAAGTTTTGGAGGCTTGGGTAGAGTACACTTAAATTTTAAGGTTGATGGCTCGAAAAGTCGAACTATGCCGTTGGAGCAGCCGCAGCAAATAATGTCCTCATTAACACTGATGGAAAATGCAGATTTCACCTTCATGTCAAGCCATTTGGTTATCTGTCTATTCTCATTTAGCATGCATAAAATTCCATCAGAATTGACAGTATAAATTCCAAGAGTACCATCTTTTGCCTTAGCAATATCTACACTCACAAAATTCGCTTCTTTAAAATTGCCTAGTATACACCTAGAAGATTTAAGCTCAATAGTTCCATTTGTTGTTTGAGGATCAATATGATGATACTTTACAAATTTGTCTCCAACTGTCACGAAGAATGTTCCATCATGAGAAAATGCAACATCAGAAGTCTACGATATGAATGTGTCAATTCGATTATTAATCATGAGAATATCTCACAATAACTTACCTTCCTGATGTTTTTAATCGTATGTATGAGCGTCCCTCTTGTATTATTGCTGTTGTTGTTGTTATTACTTGTTGAGGAACCATTCGAAAGAGATGAACCCAATCCACTTGAGTTTGGATTTGAAGAAAGATCCCATAATTTGATGGTTCCGTCATGCTCATCTCCCACACTCACTAAATATTTAGCATCGTTTGAAAAAGCCAAACATGAAACTCCGTACTGATGACCATCTTTTTTGAGCTCAATAATCTTTTTTCCACTCAAAACATCCCACACTACTATGGATGGTTTTGAACCTCGTTCTCCAGCAGCTAAAAGTTTTCCGTTTTTTGAAAATTGCAAACATGAAAAGGGCTTATTGGGTGAAGTATTTTGTAAGAATTGGTATTGCTTGTTTTTTCTCGGATTGTAGCATACGACAACATTGGCAGCACAGTATGCAACATATTTTGTTTGGGGGTGAATGGAAAGTTTAGTGTTGGAATCGGTGGTAAGTCCAATGATCTTCTCAAGTGTTATTCGGCTGCTGGCACTTCCAGAGAGCGATGAGGAGCCTCCACAAGCTCCGACACCATTGTTATTGCTCGCATTGCTATTGTTGGCAGATGCTGATGATATGCCCGGTTGAGAATTTGGCTTTCTCTTTTTCGTTTGTTGTTGATGTTGTTGGGAAACGCTAGAAGTTGATGTTGCCGTTGTTGGGCCAATGATTTGATTCAGAGGTCGTTTGTTCAACACGGAAGCAAAGGGTTGTGGACCGATCATCACTAGAAATTTCAATTTTTTGATTTTTTTTTGAGTGTGAATTTGAATGGCGGGAAAAAATTTTAACGGCCGATATCCTTCTCCGGGGCTTGGAACAAACACACACAACAAGTCCAATAAATAGAATGTTATTATCATAATAATTTAATTTCAATCAATAGTGAGTTCGGTAAGTATAAAAGAGTTTTCAATATAATTTACATATTTGTCGATTGATAGGTCTTGTTGTCCTTCTTTCTTTCATCCAATAAAATCTCAACATAGGCCTGAAGTGTACGACTAATGTCACGACCGTGAGGAGTTGCAAATTGGAATTTCTGTTTGCTCAACACTCCTGAAACAAAAGCAAAAGCATTTCTCTTATAGGCCCACGAGTAAATATCAGCATAACGTTGTGTGAGAATTGGTTCTTTTGTTCCTAACTTCAACAATTGAATGCCATTCGAGTTGACAGCAAGAATAACTTGATCAGGTAAATTTGCTTGATCCTTGTTCACAGTTTGTACAGTCCAAAAAGTACTTCCGTAAAAACTCCAATTACGAACATAATTGAGATAGTGAAGCATGGCATCTTCTTTCTTTAAACCAATGAGACGAGCGTGTTCTTGAAAGACATCTCTTTCCCAATCTTCTAATTTACGATTTGATTGAAGTAATGGAGCTGGAATGAAACGTCCGATTTTATCCTTCAAGAATCCAGCTGTGTGTTTCTTCTTGTTGTGATCACCAAAAGTGACTTGCATTTGCAAGCCAGCCAATTCAATGGCAGCAGATTGGGAGCAAGGATATGTTCCATCTCTCACATCAGCAACAGCTTGTATATAACTGTAATTCAAAAACTTTTCTTGTTCACGTGGAATTGCTTTATGTTTCAGGAAGACTCTTCTCTTGAAAACCAATTTCGAATCCTTCTCCCAATCCTTCTTCAGCTTTTCCCATTCCGCTTTATCATTGACATATTTCTGAAAATCAGCATCGGATCCAACAGTCTCGTAGACCATCAATTTGCATGGCTGTTCATCATCATCGAGACATCGGCATTCACCGTTTTTATAAAAGAAGAGCGCGAACGTTTCTCGTTGTTCGAGTTCAATCTTCTCGGCCACCACAATTGAAAGTTCACGAGCACTGATGGTTGGAGCAACGGCAAGAGTTTTGAATGAGTCATCGACAAAGTAGGTACGAATGACTAGTTTGTTATCCATTTTTTATAGTGATGATGATGATGGTGATAGGTTGGTGATGGAAATGATGATAATGTTGTTGTTGTTGGTGGTGGTGGAAAATGATCAATATCGAGAGAGAAGTATTTGGAGTGTTGATGTCAATTATTCTCTCAGTGAGCTCAAGTGAGTGAAAATTGTGTTTAATGTTGGGATCAACAACAACAACAACAATAACTGGTGATGAGTGTTACTGATGAAGAAAAAACTCTGATAAAAAATTTGATGAGAGCTTGTGGTGATGATGTGGCTCTCTGTGAATTTTTTTGATTTGTGACATTTGACAGAAAGCCAAAGAGACTTGCTCACAAAAGGTGCTGTCACTGAACTTGATTCCCAAGAAATAAGGTATCTCATTGTCCGTCGTCACGTCGTCAGATCTTAGCGAATAACACACTCCCTTAAACCTCATGTTCTCTTTCAGATCTATTCTGATCCTTACAATTATTCTTTCGGAAGGTATTGAAAGCACAAGCTATACGTACAGAATAGAAATCAGTTCATCCCAATTTTCCTAATGTGCGCGTCCTCCCTCCTTATTGATTTATTTGTATTCAAATTCATCAGCAAAAGAACCTTCAAAAAATGCATTATTTTGGAATTGAAAACCACCACCGATCAGTGTTATGGTGTCCCATGATGATTCTTCTCCTATTTCTCCTTCTTGTGGGAGTAGCCTCCTCCTCATCATCATCATCACCTACAATAACAACTCCATCATCTCTTAATGACTGTCCAACCTTTAGATCCATTCCGTATCATCCTAAATTTCCCTATGAATCGGATGGCACTGTTGAATCCAGTACCTACATTACCATGAGAGATCAAGTCAAGATTGCCTGTGATCTGTACATTCCGTTCCGAGCTCTCAATGAAAATCATCGATTACCAACCCTCTTTCATGTAACCCGATATGGAAGATCTCATAGAATTCGGTGGCCCTTTTCTCTCTTGTTTGGTGAGAGAATAAGCTCGAGAGGAATTCCTTTTAAAACCTATAACGCAAGAGGCTATGCGGTGGTTTCATGTGATACGAGAGGAACTGGAGCTAGCTTTGGAAAACGTTTGTATGATTTTCATCATGAAGAAGTTGAAGACTATCGGGAATTGTTGGATTGGATTGTTCAGCAGAGATTTAGTAATGGAAAAGTTGTGAGTGTTGGAATTTCGTATGACGGAATGGCAACAGATTTTATGATGTCATTGAATCATGAAGCATTGGTTGCAGTTGCAACCATTAGTTCCCCTTTTGATATGTATCGGGATGTGTTGTATCCGGGTGGATTGTATCAGGTGAGTGTGTGTTTGAAATTGAAATTTTGAGTACGAAAGGAATGACATGAATGTGTGTGTGCGAATTGGATGGAACAAATGAATGATACATTGATTTAAATTCAAATGAAATAATTTAAATGACAAAATGCATATTGAATGGATGATGACAATGATGCTGAAACATTCAACATTAATGAAATTTAACCAAAAATGGAATGGTAACATTCCGACATGATCACATATGATGAATAATATCAAAGTATGCCTTCTTGGACGCATATTTGAAATCGACCAAAAATCTTGAAAGTGGTGGCTTACCTGATCGATACAAGGCTTGCAAAGGTTGTGAGCCAGTCACGTGGAGAGAGAAATTCTTCGTATGGTTGGGAAAGCTCATGATTGATGGAGTTGAAAAGGTCAATAATGATGTAGTGTCTTATCGTCGTGCTTTGGAAGACCACAAAGGATCTACGAACATGCTCGATTTAATGCCATTGATCGAAGAAGGTATTGACAAGGAGGTGAAAGCTTCAACATTTACTTATATTATGGAAAGAGATAGTAATTTTAGAGTAATTAATGCAACAAAACGACAAATTCCAATGATCATGTTTGGTGGATTTTATGATGGTACAATTCAAAATTCTGTTGTGAAAAGATTTTATACAATGAAAAATAACAAGAACAAATTGGTAAGTCTAATTTTGAAGGGCAAAATTAATATTGAAAAAGAGTGCTCATTATTCAACACCATCATATTCATTTGACCTTTCATTTTGCATTAATAGATTCTGGGATCCTACACTCATGGATTTAGAAAATGTGCATCACCTTACTTGACAGGAAAAACTCCTTGTTTTAGTGCCATGATCGAAGCTATGCGATTTTTTGATCATTATGTCGGAAAGGATACAGAGACTGGTATCGATACGGAGCCAAGTGTTCATTTTCATACTGCTGGAAGCGAAAAGTGGCACTCTGCAACGGAGTGGCCTCCAAAAGAAGTGTCAGAAACTACACTCCATTTGGATGGTAATGGAAAATTAGTCACTGCTGCTGAGTCTTCTAATTCTTTGCAATTTTCACACAAATTGAAATTGAATTTGACAGAAGAAGTCGTCATCCATTCGAAATTCAATATCATGTCACATTTATATGAGAAATATCCTCAATATACAGAAAAATTGTCTGATACGAATTGGAAGAATGGAAAATTGAACTATATTTCAGAACCGCTGAAAAATAGTATTGAAATTACTGGCTATCCAAAAATTGATATCGAAATTTCTGGAGACAACAAAGATGGAGTTATTTTCGCATACTTGATGGAATTTGATCATGTGAGTGGCAAGATACATCTTATCATGGATACTCAATTAAGACTTGTACACCGAAAGCTTTCAACAAGCTTAAACAATGGACTTGTGGATGCTGTGCCCATCCATTCCTTCCGCGTCGTAGATAAGGAACTCCTTCATCCAAATAAGAAGACCAAACTGACCCTATACTTTCCAGCAATTTCATATCATTTGCCAAGGGGTAATTCCTTGTCTCTCTCTCTTTTCAGTTTTGACTCTCTCAATTTTAAAATATTTAACGGCATTGAGGATTTGTCACAAGAGCTCACCATTTATTCAGGCTCTCTTACTCTTCCAACCATTGTTAGAGATGATGACAGTAGTGTGCCATCCAGCCCAAACAAGTCAACAAAGGATGAATTTTAAGTGAAACAAATGACATTCGTCTTTTATTGACGTGACAATTTTATGGTAAATACAATCTTTGGTATTTATTGCTTTGGTTTTTTAATTAAGGAACTTTGTTCAATGACAAGAGGCTGAAAGCTAGTTCTTTTTCGTTTTGTTTTTTGGTCTTGATTCAAACTTGATGTTAATTCCTTTTCACTTGTGTTCGAGTTATCCATGCAGGGCGAGTGACAAACAGGATTTGGAACCAATCGATCGAACAAGCTCCATTCAAACTTGTCGGAAGCTCGCTTGCAGAATTCAACTCCTCTTACACTATTTCCTCTTTTGTCTAAACGAGGTGAAAATATACACATTCCCATCACTGATGGAATAACAATACAGATTGCTCCAGCTACTCCTGATTTGGCTGGGAGGCCCACAGTGCACGACCAATTTCCACTAAAGTCATACATTCCACACGATAACTTGCGCAGTCAAATGAATTAAATAATGAATGATTGAGGATGGTGTCAGCAATGATCAATAGCTTACCATACTTACCATAAGTTGTAGGGCACATTTCACAGTATCTGCAGAGACAATGATTTCGTTCGTGAGAGGACAAGTACCTCCGTTTGCAAGTGTTGCTGCCATTGTAGCTAAGCTGTTGCAATTCACTAAAATAGAGCACTGTTGAAAATATAAATCAAGTGTATCTTCAATATTGGTTCCTTCTGGAAACACATTATTTTCCTCCATATAATAGGCAAGAGCAAAATTTCGATCACCTGTTGATTTCTCGCTCAAAAATGTTGCATTGTCAAAACCAATCTTACTCCCACCAGCAAACCTCGAAAATTTGCTGGAAATATAAGTGAATCGTTTTGAAGGTGGCAGTTCTGGTTTCACTAAGGAACAAACTGTTATTGCACCGGCATTAATCATTGGATTATGAGGCTTATTGTGTTCATCTAATGTGAAGGCGTTAAATGAAACACCGCTTGGTTCAAATCCAACATATTGATGGACATTATCAGCTCCTATGTCTTCACAAACTAAACAATAGGTAAATACTTTAGAGCAAGATTGAATTGTAAAATCCACGTCACAATCTCCGAGAGAAAATCTCTGACCATCTACCGTACAAATACTGAGTCCGTAATAATTTGGATTCACCTCTGCTAACTGTGGAATGTAGGTTGCTACATTTCCATCCGTTAAGGGTCTTGTTTCTTCAAAAATTTTCTCAATTTCTGCACAAAAATTTCTCCAATCAGTAATAGCTAACCTTCCAGTTAGTGCTCTGCTAATGATATTGTCCTTCTCTTGGATGATATTGTAAAATGTGTCAAAATCAATTTCTAAGTTTCTATATTCTTCCGTAATGTCTGAAATGGTTAAAGTTTTTTCACTTTGCATTCCATTCACAATCGTTGCCGCTAATTGTTGAATAATACATGAAAGATCTGGATTATATTTTGAGTCTAGACCTTCCTTCTTGAGAGCTTGTTCCAGATCTCCAATTGTTACAAAACCTTTTTTGTTTTTATCCAATGATGAAAATAATTGAGAAATAGAATTACGTTCTTGTTCAAATTTGGATTGAATAAAAGCATCGGGAGAACGTCCCGTAGCAGTTCCTGAGATAGGAGGTGAAACTGTTGGTAAATTCTCATTTCTATGATTTTTAATGTTTTTACTAATGTTGTTTCCATTCTGTGGTAGTTGTGTTGATGATGAAGAAGATGGTGAAGAAGAGGACGATGAGGATATTGTTGGAGAAGCATTAATTAATGATGATGATGGCTCGGATTGTTTTTTATGATCTTCAGTTTCTAATTCCCTTTTATCATCATTATGTAAATCCATCAAAAAATCATGAACATTCTTTTCCGATGTCTGTGGAGATGTGAGATTTGTGTTTTGATGATGCAACAGTTGGTGATGATGATTCGGAGGATGAGTTAAATGCAAAGGAGTGTCAGCCTCTGCTTCATCCACATTCGTCAAGGAACGATCTTTCATTTTTTTCAAGTATTGAACAAAAGTTGTTGTTGTGGTTGCTTTTAAATTATTATCTTAGAGGATCATTGCTTCTTAAATGATAGATGTGAATGTGATCCAAGTACTTGGAAGGGACCTCTGAGTGTGAAGAGAGGTTTGATCCAAGTGAATTCAAGAAGGGAACAATTGATCAATGTTGAAAGGAGTTTTGTTTATTTACAAATAAATATAGAGTTTTGTTGGGTAATATAATAATGTGAGAGAACAGACACAATCATGGGCAAGCATCCCAATTCCACATTCGTTTCTAATGTTGTTGATGCTTTTTTGGATTATTTTGTTGATTCTTTCATCAACATGATTAGAAAGGAATGTGTGTTTGGAATGACTCACGCCAATGTTTTTGCTTGTTTCTTTTTGTGAATACTTTTGGAGAGATCTCATGAGGATATATTCAATGATTCGTGCTAGTAACTCAGTATCCAAATAATTAAGATCTTCCGAGTGTAATCACTCTTGAGAGAGTTGATTAATTCTTGGAAGAAGATAGACCATTTGGAAGTTGATATTCCAATGGTGGAGTTGCAATGTTTGACAGTTTGTTCAAACACAAACAATGTGTGGAAATGTGTAAAGCATTTGATTCGTCTTGAACTCGAATCAAACTTCTCACATTCTCTGTTTTGCCTTTCTGACAGTACAACATGTGATATTCAGAACAACCATCCATCTTGATATAGATGGAATGTTTGGCACGATTCACACCAAAGTGATTCTCAAGTAAACCTTTCAATGAAGTGACTGAATGACGAGAACAACGAATCACTTGTGCCGATTGAGAACTCAACAATTCCAATTCGTGTTCATTAAAAACACGATCACCAGTCAATTTTGGTCCTTTAAAGTAATGAATGGTCAGTTCAAAGGAGGAAGAGTTTGACGACTCATCAGAAGATGCATCTTCAAAGACCACATAACTCGTTGGAGAGATCTTTGGAGGATAATGAGAATTCTCCACCATCGATGAGGAAGAAGGATTTAAAACTTCATTGAGCAAGTCTTGACGAATGGAGGACAATCTCTTGGAGAGTTCACTTTTCAGAAACTTGTTCTTCTTTGTCTGTCTGGAGTTTGTTGCTTGAAGAGATTGTCCCTTCTTCTTTTTCTTCTTTCTTGATGATTGCTTCTCGCAACTACCACTACTATTGTGAATGTAAATATCTTCTTGAGAGGGAACTGAAGTAGCAGTGGCAACCACCACCAATGAAGAAGAAGAAGGATTAGCACAAAAAGAAGGAGCAGAACTTGGTAACTGTTGAAGTAAAGCACCAAGTTCTTGGAAAGAAGGAATCATTTCCTTATCGTCCTCCTTTCTTCTCTCTTCTTCTGTGTGGGAATTTTCAAAGGATTGGAGCAAAGCTTTCCATTCTTCTTCATCATCGAGAGAGATGCTGATGGAATCAACAACCGATTCAACATTGCATGTGGGAGGAGCAGCAACAACAACAGCAGCAGATGATGGTTGTTGTTGTTGTTGATGAGATTGATCATCAGCAAACAACTCTGCAAAGTTGCTCAAATCCTGGCTTGTAGCAGCACAAGCAGAGAAAGAGGAAGAAGAGATCAAACTCTGAAGTTCAGAGTCATCTCTGAATAATGGAATTGTCTCTTCCAAAGAGAGAAAGTCATTATCAGAGACAATGGAGAAATCGAATGCTGGACTGTGTTGGAACATGGTGATTGTAATTTGCGTGGGGTGAGTAATAAAGAGAAATTGAGTATACAGTAACGTGATTAGAGTGTTTTTTTTGTAGTTTTGTTGGACCACCTTAGAAATTTTCAGTATTTTTATTTTCTTTCAAAGACAAGTGACATCTTCGAAGAAAACCAACGATTGGTTGGCCAAAAACTTTACAAAATCATTTCCCAGTTCTATTGGTCCAGCTGAGAGAGACTTCCCAACGTCAAATCAAAACAAATTTTGCAAACACCTTCGTTGGTACTGAAGAGATATCTCGCAATTTATTATCGTTGATCACAACCTAATGGATAGTATCAATTTGAATTGAAAAGATTTGTTTGTTGGTTGGTCGAGAAACACCATCATGTAAGGGTCCTTAATCATTCGCTAATGAAATGAAGTTAGTGATAGAAATGGAGGCGATTATGTGAAAGCATCCATTCGTCTATATCAACAGCTTGTTGCTCCAGGTCGAAGCGATATATTTGAGTGTATATATTCTTGGGCAGATCGATGCCAAAATATTGTTGTGAACTTTACTGAAGGTGTGCCGCAGAGAATTCATCTCGATGAACCACGTTCCACACCGAATGACACCAAATAAGGCAATGAACAAACACCAAAAAAATGAATAATTTGAACAACACAGACCCTATCACAGAAGGAACATCACCAGGAATAGATTTAAGGAGTATTGAGGTGAGCGAGCCTATGCCAATCGCAACTCCAGCAATGAATTCGAGTACCATGAAGGAAGAACAAGAAGAAGCAAGCAAATTGGATGAAGAGACTGAACACAAGCATATCATCATTGCTAAAGTATTGTTTGGCTTCGGATTTGTAATACCTCTGACTTGGCTGGCGAGTATCATTTGGGCCCGAAAGACTAAATCAAGAGAGGTTTATAGATGGAGAAGATATTCTCTGCTTGCCCTTTCATTTCTTATAGCCTTATTGTTTTGTGCTGGGTGGTGCGTCATTATTGTCTATGCTCTCATTCCTTATCCGGATCCAGAAAAGTTCAATAGTGGGCTTGAGAATATTATTCAAATGTATCCCGGTGAATTGATTGCCATTTTGTGGGGTGTCTTGATTGTCGTGGTTGTATGCTTTGAATTCATCAAGGATATATATTGGAGAATTAAAAAGTTTAGAGAAAGCAGAAGAAACAAGCAATAATTGCCACATATTGATATCAAAACCATTCATTTGAAATGTAAAATATTTACACAAGTCATATTTCACTAACACAATGTAATTTGCTGTTAATTTCCAACGATAATGTACCATAAGTCAATAGCGAATACGGAATTTCATTCTTCTCTTCTCTGAGAACGACAATATTAATCGTATTCCAATAAAACATTCCACAGCATCATGACCGATGGCAGTCATCATCGGAATTTTCATTTCCGATAAAAGCCATCCAACATTCAATATTTATCGCCATGTTGAGAATAATAATAATTCATTGCTACTCTCCGAATGAAATCTTCGTTGGAATCAAAGTAAATTGGCATCAATGCTTGTTGTCTTCGATTTACAAAATTACGATATTGCATCATATTTGCAGTTCGTGATGAATAAAAATCAGGAGGCATGTAAGACTCGGAAGTGCGTGTTCGATTTCCTCCCAATGATGATGACGAGGTTGCAGTTGTTGTGAGAGGATAGTGCTCTGTTGTTGACGGAGCTAATTGTTGAATGAGTGAGGAGAGACGTCGAAGCATGATCGTTTGTTGTTGTGGTCGAGGAAATAGGAAGGAGGATGTGAAATCATTGGGACGTGAATGGTTTGTCATTTTTTATTTGAATTCGAGCCCTTAAAAAATACCGCAAGATGAATATCAGAATTGACTCTAACAGTTGCTCAACACAAGCATGTAATCTGTTAATATTTGATATATCCTGTTAAAAACATTCGACATTCAGAAGTAGTATCTAAACGAAAATGAAGTCCAATGTTGTTTTATGACAAGTATTGAGGCACCGAAGGGCCAATAAACAATATTTAATTTTTTCTTTGAATTCGATTGCACCTAATCGACACAATCAAAACAATAAAGATGCATTATTCTGCTACTATGGAACATCAATTAATTTTTTCATTCAAGGGAGACTTAGGACGTAAAATCACTCTTTAATTCTTCTAAATTGACTCTAAATTAATTGTTCGAATGTTGATCTTGAAATGTTTCTGCATATAGTGTCTTAAACTTTTCAATCACACGTGAGAGAACTCGAAGAAAACCTTGACTTGGTTGCCTCATCAGGCCATTGGAGTCACACGACAAAGTTGTTGACTGAGCAGAGAAACTGACATCGCTACTCAAGTTTCCAATAGAGGATACACCATTACTGTCGCTACTCGTGCTGTTATTCGCTCTTTCATCTTCTGCAAGATATCTCACAAGTCTCTCAATAATTTTAGGTCCTTGTTCTCTGAAATGAGCTCTAATTATGGTCTCAAAATGCTTGGGTGGATGTCGCAAATTCTTCATCATGTGGCGAACGGAGAGCAGCAATGCGTTTTCGTTGTAAATAATACTATTGTTCGTTCCTTCAATGGTCTGCAAGTGACGGTCGTAATTGGCTTCATTGAAATAAGGTTCTGGAACTAAAACTAAACCTTGAATACTCAATAACAGTTGTAAAATATTTGAGGTTTTTGGGTTCCATGCTTCCGTGTCATGTTTAGCTTCCCAAGTATTCAATAAGCTCAAACATATATTTCCATTCTCATACAAATTTGGATTCAACTTTTCATTGTAAGAGAAAAATTTGACTACTGGAGGCACACTTGGATAGTTATGAGGTAAATAAATATCAAACACGAAAACGCCATCATAATATGGTGTTCCGGAAGCTCCAATGATCATTGCTCTCATCAAATCAATTCTATTTTCGTAGGTTTTGACAAAAATGTTTTTAGGAAGAGTCCTCAATAAACGCCACTCTTTTTGGACGGTCTGGATGAACTTCTTGTTGGCATTGTGTGAAAATTGATAATTTCGAAAATGATGGTCTGATAGAATGTCAGAACCTTCTTGAACTGGAATCACTTCAAATTGTTCAAATTCGAGGGTATGAGTTGTGTTCGAAGAAGACGATGCGCTTGCTGTCGAGAAGCTTACGATTGCTTCCTCACTTGGTAAACTTATTGGTTCTTTCTCAGATGCAGCCAATGGTTGGATCAATGGTGGCGAGCTATAATCGACGCGTGCTTCTCGAATCTTCTCTTCCTCATTCGTTCTAATATACTCCTCTGATGACGAGGATTTGTATGTGATTTTTCCTTCTCGGTCTCGCATGTCATTCGATAATTGGATCAGTCTGTGAATGTAATCTTGAACACCTCTCTCATAGAGGTCTTCATCGTCATCGTCTTCAGTACTTTTGGAGGTCTCCTCATCCTGTTGTTGTTGTTGATCTTCATCTGAGAGAGTTTCCCAAGACTGTTCATCGTCCTCGTGATCATTGGCATCACCAGACACAGTTTCCCAGGACTCATTCTCTTCATCATCAGAGTCATCTTCCTCCTCATCACTGTCATCATTCAGATTCAATCGAGCTCTTAAATGAGGCGGTAGCACCAATTGGACATCTCCATTGTCGGATATTCTCTGTGCAATCCGATTTGCTAAGGCCAATTCTCTCTCAAATTCTGCTGCCTTATCTGATCCTTCAATTTTCTCAGGATCAATATTATACGGATTGGACTCGTCATCTCTAAAATCAGCTTCAATTTTTTCAACAGTGAGCACCGAGTTGTAAGCACATTTCGAAACTGTGCCACTGATCCATTGAACAGTCAGCTCTTCGTCATTCATGGATATAATTTCTCCTGCCCAATCCTTACTTTCAGATGAAGCCATTTCTTGAATAACCACGTCTCCCAATCGGTAACAATAATCTGTAGAGTCTAAGAGATCAAAAATTGAAAGATCCTCTGTGATTGGATTATCGAGAGGTATACCAAATTCGTCTGTAATCCACTTCACTTTACAAATTCTCTCTCTGGTATTTACACTTTGTACACAGCCGACCTTGTGCTGTATGGCTTTTTCTTCGTTTTCATCGCTCTTATTTACAACAAAATCGTGGGGATAAAAGTCATATTCTCCAACATGGTCCAATGGTTGAAGCATAATACTTGGAATGTCTTTCTCTATGGTTGCATCTTGCCATTCAACATCGACCATGGTGTGTGTATTATCGATAACGACCACTTTTTCTCGAATGTCCATTGATTGCGACTCAAAATCATCAATTTCAACAAAATTGTGAACTTCATTGTTTTCTGATAAAAGCACAACATCGTTCACACTCCAATTTGAATAAGTAAAGTATTTGAAAATTTTCAAGTCTTTCAAATTAATATCCTCGTCAGGTGGTTCCACCATCATGTAAATAGAATAAATAAATGACACAGATACGTGTACGGGTGTAATGTTAATGACTTGTCCTATCTTGTGCTTTTCGGAATTATATTTCGCTCCATTCAACCAATGAGCTTGGCTGAGAATACGTTTTCTTTGTTTTGTGTTAAAATTAATGAGTTGACATGGATAGAAAGCCTGACTCACATCTTCGATGTCTGTATCTAATAATTTTTCTGGATTAGGTCTTTTGAGAATGCATTTCGATCCATCATTAAATAAAATTGCCACATTAAATTCACAAGATTCTATTTTTGTTAACCAATCATGATAAACTGCGTAGGAGCCAGTCTTGTAATAGTGAAGAGGTTTTAGCCATTTTGAGTTTACATTCTTCATCTTGACTGCATTGTCTCTGCATGATGCTCCTGTGAGAGATTGTTCTATAGTGTTCATAAAGCTAATATCGCAATACATGGTCACATCAATAACAGTTCCACTCTGTTTGAAAGGATCACTGATAGAGCAAATAATATCTCCATGAAGTAACGATCGATCAATCAAGCTTAATGTATTCTCCGCTACGACTTCCTTGGTTCCGCTGTCCCACTCTACCACGACCTGTCCTTTTTCAAGTTCGGGAAGTTTATCATCATCGTCCGATTCATCCTCTTCATCACTATCATCATCAAGTGAGCCATATACTTTTTGAACAACACCAACTATCATCTCGGGATGGTGTTTATGGTGATGATGTTTGTCGTGAGAGGTTTCCGATAGGTCCGTTCTCGTGGTCTTCAACGTAACTACATCTTCAAAACAGAACCGAGTACAGTTACATGGTGGTACAACCGATGTTGTTGTTGTTTTTATTGATTCAGTCTTCGAGTTCGAAGATGAATCCTCTACCGTTGAATGATCGTTGTTGTTGTTGCTTTTACTCTCGGGTTCCGATTCTCCAAAATTGTGCATTTTTTTTATGCTTTTTTTTTGATTTCGGATTTCATCTCGAAATGCATTCAATTCAAATTTATTCATGTTGGGGTTTCACACTAGAGATTACCAGTCCCTTTGGGAATTGGCTTGATCAAGCGAAGGCGCAAGGAAAAAGATGTTTTGTAAACTTCTGTGCTATTGCTGGATTTTTTTTCTCCGAGAATTCTTTTGATTGGTCGGAGAGCCAAACATCATTTTCCAGAGTTAATTTGTAGTGTATTGCCATTGAATAGGTGCTTGTAGTCCTGTATGAATTGATCCATTGTGAATGGCTTCCTCCCGAGTAACGTTTCAAGATCTTGTGTTATTCGTCCGGCTTTTCCAAATCGACACACTTTCATTGTCATTGAGAGAGCAATATAGAGTTGAAAGTAGGTGATGTGTGTCATTACTTACCTGTGTAAAGAGCAGTCGCAACCATCAAATACGAGAATGGAAGATCAGGATTATTCTTCCATGTACGATACATGAATTTTGGAATGGATGGATTTGCATACACAATGCTTCTTCCACACGCTTCAGAAAGTTTTCGAGCAACCTCAAAATAGGTCAATGCTTCACTTCCCGTTAAATCGAACGCCTTATTTGCGAACTTTTCACAATTCTCTTCCATAAGTATTTGACAAGTCACTTGAGCAATATCTCTCACATCAATGAATGAGGTGGAGCCATTTCCTGCAGGCATGAATAGTTGTGACTCGTCTCTAATTTCTCGAAGATGAGTGGTCGTGAGATTTTGCATGAAAAAGCTTGGCCTTAGAAAGACATAGGGTACCTGTTTCGAATGCTCCATGAGAATTTGTTCCATTTTGAAGTGAGGTACCATCTTGTTTGCTCCCAATACAGACATGAAAACAATCAACTCGGGAAGAGAGTAGGTTTTAGTTGGAGTAGTAGTAGTTAGGCTCGTGGTGGAAGAGGTGGTGATATAGCCGAGAAAGGGTTTCATATCGCGTTGAATGTTGGACAAGTCAGGAGGTCTCATCAGGAATAATCGATGAAAACCACCACAACAGTATCCACAATTGCAAGCATCATCACTCTCTTGGAATGACATCCGCCATTCGTTGATGCCTTTCCCTTCCATCATGGCTTTGAATACTTCTCCTCCGCATTCCTGTTTAAAATCAAAAGGCATTATTCGTATCAAGAACAGATCATCCTCGGAATGATTGGGAGCATCCTCTCGTCGCTGATGCTTGAAGATGGCAAAAGGTTGATTCTCTGATGGCTGTACCACCTGAATCGAGGGATCATTATTAAAGAGCTCCTTATGAAATTTGGATATTGTGGATGCGTTGATTTGCCTCACTCCTGCAAATAAATTCATTCGTCTTCTTCTTCTTCGGAGGGAAGAAGGCTCGTTGGCATTCGAAGAGCTCGTTGGAGAGGTTTGAAGGAGTGCATTCTTCTTCTTTTCATGGAGAAGACATTTCAATACTTCGATTCCAACATTTCCTGAAGCTCCTGAAATGAAGATGTTCATGTTTTTGCAAACTGTCGAGGAAACACCTTGTTGGAGCATGGATGTGATGTTTGTCATTGGGATGTGAATTGCAATTTGTTTTTGGGTATGTTGTGAGTGTGGTATTCAATAGTGGTTTCGGAGCTTGAGTCGCAGTTATAGGACAAATACAGAGTGGCAATTTCAAAGAGAAGAATCGAATCACAACAGTCAGAAGCACGATGAGAAGACACGATCGCGCTACGTTGATTTATTAAAACACGTTTATTATAAAAAAGAATTTAAAACGTCAATAATAATGAATGCTTCGACTTATCTCTTGTTTTCATGGGTTGGCTCATTCAGAACAAACACTGCACAGGTATATTAACCAGTTGCATAAAAGAATACATCGATGAGCATCAATGAAACACTTATCACTAATAAGGTCACTGCTAGACAAGTCACATGATACAACACACCACCATACGTGACTGAAGGTGAAGCAACACTGACTTGACCCTTCTTTGACTGAGATACTGGAACAGTACCTCCTCCGCCGACGGAGGTATGACAAACAGGAAGTGCAGGTGATCCACCAATAGCAGTTCCATTATTGACTGAGAAAGCATTGTTGAGGAAAGCGAGTTGGGAAACTGTTGTAATGGTGGTTCGGTTTTGAATTCGATCAGTAATGTTCACACCAAAGAAGTATTTAGTGTTGGTCTTGAGAAGTTGAGTGTTTACGATAATTATGCTCGTATTCACAGTGGTACCAGAGAGCGTCGATATCACACTTCCAGCAGGGGTGCTAGCTGTGGTTGAGTTGACGAGCCATGTAAAGTTTCTTGAGAGAAGGACACCTCCCTGAACACTTGGAATGGTTGCAATAATGACACTCAGAGTGAGGTTGCTTTGGCATGCGTTAATGGTGTTTCCCAAAGGGTTTGCCGTAATGACAATGTTTGGATTGATTTGCTGTGTCTTTATGGTGCATGTTAATAAGAGCATACCAACAACAAGCAGCATCACAGGTTTAACGACGGAATTCATGGTGAATTTCATAATGTTCACAAACAATAATTTTGGGTAAGAGTCGGACGTGTGCAAGTTCAAATTTTTCAATGTTGTAATTAAAAACAGCAGCTATGAGAAGAAATTCAAGTCCCTTGGCTTCTAATTGCCTGTAATCATCAATATCGTACTTCATTAATCAGTCTTACATTTTGGAAATGGTTCATGAATAAAATTGTTCTCGATATGGAATTAGAAACAATTCCAAAAAAGTAATTTCAAATAATTATTGTCGTCCTATTGCTTTTCTAATTCCATATTGAGAACAATTTTATTCATTATTGTGCATCTTATTGCTTTTCTTCTTCTTCCAACTTCTTGTTCCTTTTTTCAAGTTCGTCAGCTTCGTCCTTTTCCTTCACCTTCATTAATTCTAATTTCTTTTCTAGGCGAGCAATTGACTCATCTGTATATTGAAGCACTTCATTGTGGGTCTCTTGAGCTCTAAATTCTCGAAGTTCTTCAAGCATGTTCAACTCCAAGCATCCCTTTACACATGCAATTCTTACGCTTGGAATTAGGTGATTTTTGAATCTTTCGAATATCTCAGTTTTCCAATTAGAGTATCGAAGAATTGCAAGATGTGCAATTGGAATGGAGGGGTTAAACACATTTTCAGGGATATTTTCCATCAAACCAGCCTTGATCATGTCCTCGTCCTGTTTCACTTGCTCCAAAAGTTCAGCCAAAATTGATTCGGCACTGCTATTCTTTTGGCCGAATAAAGCCAAACAAACATCAACCGGTAAATCTGCTGGAAAGTTCGTACCAAATACCTTGTTCATTCGTTCTGGACATGGCTTAGAGAGTCTTTGATTGCTTGGATACATGATACGAGCAAAAATTGGGATCATCACATCGGATGAATTTGAAGAAAAATCAACATGCAAATCGAATCTGGCCTCTAACACGATCAGTGAACGAGAAAACACTGTGTGAAACATGCTGGTTTGAACGCTTTCACTCGATACAAATCTATTGGAGCTACCTAAAAGGACAGGTGTGTTGAAAATGAACGGATTGTTCATAAAGCTTTGCTCCAATATTTCAAGTTTGGGAACATTTCCCAAGAATAAGGACATTTGATTGGGATATTCTTGAAGAACTCGTTCCTTAAATTCCAACTTATTTGGATCCAATGTCTTGTTGATATAATCTAAAAATTTGATGTGTAATTCATTGTACTCCTTTTCAGATGATTTTGGATCATTTTCCAATTCTTTCAATTTCTCAAGTTTGAATCCAATCCTTGACAACAAGTCCTCATGAAATTGAAGATGTCTAGTGACATTATTTGTTTCAATATCCATAATTTCTTCGAAAAGTCTCCTCAATGACTCACTCGATGGCTTCAAAGGAATCCAAAACATTGGCGGCACAAAAGGGGCAATTTGATAGAGAATTTTAGGTGTTTGTTCCTTTCCACTGCTATTATCTGGCTTCTCAATGTACAATAAACTTGGACATGATGGAGTATAATGAACAGGCAAATCTCTAAACAAAGGGAAGTAGTAAGCCTCTCCCACACAAATATAATCTTTTGTTTTTCCTCTCTGTACGAAGCATAATTTACTCAAATCAGCATCTGAAAGAGAATCAGGACGCAAGTGGAACATGGTTTTATCAAGACCTGGTGTTGCGTGAGGGTTGTTATCCACATCTGGAAAAGTTTTGATGGTTGGCTGTTCATAAAATTGAACATCAAATTCGGAGAGGGCCTTTTTAGCCTCTTCATTATTATAGAGAGATGATTTAAACCATTCAGGTAAAAGATTGCTATCAAAGTATGTCTGTTGAGAGGAGTTTCTATTCACATTCGTCATGATTGAGAAATCTCTCATCACGATATCCGATGATGATGACGATGATGATTTTGTTATCAATAACAATGCTAAATTATTAATTTTACTCTGATTCATACAGCCTCTCGAACCATGACGAACAAAATTCTTCTTTGCCATAGTTCCGAAGGCGTTCTTGCACAACGATGACCGCAAGCCCGAATGAAGCATGACAGCGAGTGGATTTTTCATCATTTTTTTTTCAAACAAGAAAATGATTGGAAGCAAGCTTATTGCAAGACGATGCATCATCACAATCGCACATGCCTTAGAACATCCTTTCCTATTCAATAGGAGGACCCTTTGCAATCTTTGAATGAATCAAATGATTCCTCCTTCTATTTCCAATTCAACCTTTAAATTACAATCAAAAAAATGTCTTGGGTGAACCGTAAACGAGAGTTGAAGAAACGCATGATGGAAGAGGCAGAGGATGATCCAATTCTCATGCTCTCAGGAGGAAAGCTCAATTCTTCTCGCGATACTATTTCCAATAATAATAACATTATATCTCATGAAGAGAGTGGATCAATGATGAAGAAGAGTGATCGTCCCGATTCGGAATTTGTAAAATCTTTCATTCATTCATCGCCAAGCCAAAATTTATCGGGAGAAAAGCCTAAGAATAATAATAACAGGAGTATTAGCAATATAGACTCATGCTTGAATCATGTGTCCCCATCACTATCATCGTCATCATCATTACTGGTGAGCAATAGTTCCATGACAAGTCAGAATCATGCTCAATCATCAAATTCAATATTTGATTATGATCCACCACAACCGGTTCAGCCTCAACAGACAAAACAATTACCAACTGTACCACAATCAAAGAGCGTGTCACAAAACGCATCAACTCCCAAGCCTCTACCAAAAGTTTCTCAACCGGTTGTGTCAAAAGTGAGCACAACTGAAGCACATGTGAAAAATTCTGATAATGCACAGTCACAACCACAAAATCAAGAATTGACTTTGGAAATGTTTGAAGCTTTGAAAAAACAAATTTTTGATTTGGAATTAGAAAATCAAAAACTAAAAAGAGAATTACAAGATTCGCAAGGAGGCTCACTGCATGATATGGTGGAAGAAATACCATCGAATCACTCTACACAAGATTCTGGTTTTGACGACTATTTTAGTGACAAGAAAGTGATTGTTTTAACTCTTGCTGATGAAATTCGAGAAGGCCTGCGATGCAATGAATTGAACAAAGTACACATTGTAAAAGCAAAAACAAACTCTAAAAAGAAACCTCCTGTTTTTGGAACTGAGGAGGAAGATGAAGAAACAGAAATTATCAATCAAAGTAGCAAAACTGAGGATGGCTATAAATATAAATACAGTAGAACCAATTATTATGTGGAACAAAACAAAGAACTTGATGCGTGGTGTAATTTGAGGAGGTTAAGAGACTCCAAGCACAAAATATCATTACTGAAAAGCTGTGGAAAAAATTATGACATTGTCTTGCCAATTTTATTATCGATAGAACAATCTTTAAATTTTCGATCATTTATGGAAGTACTTGTAGAGTCAGATAGACAAGAGGGATATTATTTATGGCTCTACATTAAATTTTTAAAGAAGCTTGGTGACACATCCACGCTGCTCAAAGTTTACAAATTTCATGGAATGATTCGAGAGCAAGCTCTGCTTCAATATCAGATGGCCATTCAGAAACAAGATGTAAGTATTATTTAATTATAGAGAGAGACTCTATGATTTAATAATTGGTTTTTAATCATGTTGAAAAATTAATTGTTTGAAATGACAGCCCCATGAGAGGATTGATGAGCTAGAGCATTGTCTGTCATTCATTCAGAAAAATGCACAAGCCATCGACAATCCTGCTGGATTTCTGTCACAAATGTACTCCCTAGACTGCGCTGAGGAATTAAGCATTGCGGTGGCCAATCTGATTCATCTCACCACGAAACAAATCAAAATTGATGAGCAAGATAATATTATTGCCAAATCTGGGAAAAACTCACTATTTATTCAATTCAAGAAGTATCCAATTTACAACACAACACTCTCAGAAACTTTAAAATATTGCCTGTTTTACCACAATGCAGTCCCTGACGATCAAGTATCCTCACCAAAATCGATTGCCAAATTCTTTAATTTGTCACAACACCGATTTTTGTATGAAGCCGTCGTTGCAAGAAGCCGCATTGGTGATTGGAAAGGAGTCATGAATATTTTCGCAAAGGCCAAGAAAGACGGTCTCTGTTACTGCTCTGCCTATGATTTGAAAATGCACAAAGAAAATAGTTCTTTCATGAAACTAATTTCTGGAAAACCAAATAGGTCTGAATCCAACTCCATTCTCAACATTCACAACATTCTTCAAGTTTTGAAAATATTTAAGGCTCCACGACCCATGATTCGAGATTTACTCGAATCGTATGCTTTCCAGAAAACAGAAGTTGAGTTGAAGTTTGAAATTGCAAAGGAGTACAGAATTTATGATGTTGCAATTCGATGTATTGTGGATGACTTGAAAGACAGAGATTTGTTGGTCAAGCTGAAAGAAGACCTCAACAAACGATATCATGATGCTGACAAGTCAGCTCTTCAAGATGAAATCAACAATCACTTGTATAACAAGAAAATCAAATGGAAGAAGGCCACTATTAATGTATAATTTTTGTGGAGATATATCCAATTCTTTTATGAATGGTCGGCTTTAGTAGTGTAACACTATTTGACTCCAAGAAAGGCATTTTACATGATATTCCAATAAATTAGGAAAGTGAGTAAAGATTTCTACTCCTTATTGTCTTCATTGTTCTGTTCTTGAACAAAAACAAGTTTTTCTTCACTTTTTCGAGGTGCATTTTCTTGATGAGCTGCCTCTTCACTTGCATCCAGAGGGTCATTGTGCATCATCATCATTTCTACATCTTTTTCATCGCTATCATCACTGTGATACTCAAGTCCAGTACCCTCTTTCAACATCAAATCAGCATCCAACTCATCAGTTGGCAACTGCTCTGCATGAAGATAGAGTGAGTTATGTTTTGCAGGGCGATACAAAAATCCAATTAAAACTAAAATGCAGAAAAATGCCATTTGAAAAGATCCCGTATCGAAAAACCAATTCAAATACCATGCAACAATGTAGTATCGTCCATACTCATATAAGAATTGAAGAGCTAAGAATAGCATGATCATCGCTGCATAAATAATCATAGCAAGCATTAATCGTCTGTATAAATAAAAGTAGTGATTGTGAGCTACTGCTTTTTTTCCACTCGGGAGAAACCCTCTCACTTGCAGTCACAGCTCTTGGACTCGATGGTTTGTACATTTTCATAGTAGAATACAACAAGTAGAGTGACCAAATGTAGAATATCAAATCTAGAACTGATACAGGAATGGACATGACTAAAAAAGCAGTGTGGGAAATAATTTCTCTATAGAAGAGCATGTCTCCAAGCTCTGAAATGCTGCAAGTAATCACAAAAGCAGCCACAAAACATAAAATAGAGCATGATCCAATTCCTGTTGATTTTTCTGAGCCTTCTGAAGATTCTTCTTCACTTGATTTTCCAATAAATCCTGAGCAAATAATCAGAACTATCAATCTTGTAAATGTTTTTCGGAGTACTGTCATGAGTACTGCTGCCAATTGAACCATAATCATGTATCCAAGATCAATGTATCCAACTTTGTTTGTTAAAAATAGATGAAAATAGGCAATGACTGATTCTGCCAAGCAACACATCAAAACGGCAGTGATGTAGAACTGAAGTATGAGAAATTCTTTTCTGTTAATGATAGATACAAAGAACCAACAAACGGCATAAATAATATATGCAATGGTCATGACAGCTTGGAACTATTGAGAATATTGTCAAAAAACCCAAAAATGCACGAATATTGGAACGTGTGACATGTTTTGTTTTGAAACAAATCAAAGTTCCATGAGAATTGATACTTACTGGCATGAAGAAAAAATATTGTCCAGGCAGATGGCCATATGGATTAATGAATTGCACTTCTCCATTTAAAAAGAATGAGACAGTTTTTGGTAGATTGGGCACTGAGGTCTCTGTTGGAGGGCAATAATGCAGTAGGAACACATAAAAATCTGTTTTTGCAATCTCAAAATTCTCATTAATTTCGTCGTCAGGTGTCAATGAGCGATACAGTAAAATGCTGGAAGGAACGCTTTTCACTGTACAAGCTCTTTCCTATTATCGATTGATGAATGTAAAAAGATAATTTTTTAAAGTGTGTACTACGCGTTAGATTTGAAAAAATTCAAATGATGTATGTACATACAGGGTTATCCAATTTAGCAGATACCACTTCCTCCATGGAACCCATTAAAGCAAATAATTTAGTGTTTTCTTTTGGAATGTTTGATTGTGTCACAGCCACTGCAAGTTGAATTTAAGCTCAATGAATGACTTGAGAAGTGAAATTCATGTCAACTTACACTGCACTTTCACAAATGTATCACCGTTAGCGATAGGCCTTATCAAAAAATTCAATGGTAAATCATTTCGAGCATACATTCCCAATTCGTACCGGTCGACCTCTCTTGCTTGTTGCGTTGGTATTGTGATCTTCACAAATGTAATTGAAAGAATCAATTGAATGCAATGATGAACAGATGGGATACAAAATTTTGTATATCAATTATTATTTTGAGAAAAATATCACAAATCAGTCATGATATTTCAAATCTTGAATCAAATCTTACATTTTCGTTCCTAAAAGTAATAATATGTCCTTGAACTCCAAAATTCGACCTTGTTGTTGATAATAAAATTACAAGTGTCGTAATGATCAAAATAATTATCATCTTTCCATGAACATGTCGAGACTTTCCCGATGATGATGATGAAGAGATCCACAGTGATGATCCTTTGTGTGAGCTCGTCGCGACCGTCGACCTTCCGATTATTGGCTGAATCATTTTTTCAAAAAATCTTTTCATGAACAACACACCTCACATGAACGCTCTTCTTCTTCTTTCATTTTCAACAAGTGGAACCATGAAAACCTTTGGATCAGATATTGGGAAAGGAATTTCAACAGCAATGAAAGAGAGGGTTCGAAAATTCTAAATCAATCATCGGAAAGGAAAAAACCTTCTTCTTCTATATTCCGAGTGGACTTGAATCTAGATGACGAGTTAGATTGCATCAAGGAAATTATTGCAAACACTCAAACAAAGGCCTTGTTGAGGATGAACCAGTGTCATCCATTGTGTTTGAAGAAAGACACACAAACGGGAATACCGAACCAATTGAATTAAAAAAAGACTTCAATTCCGATTACAAAACTTGGCGCCTTCCATATCCTCAAAAATCAATCTTTCGTAAAAAAAACGATAGACAACTGTCCGTTCCAAACCCTACACACCACAACACCACTGTATAAATCATCATGTCGCTCAAAAGAATCCAAAAGGAACTCAAAGACCTTCAAACTGACCCACCACAAAACTGCTCCGCTGGACCCATAAATCCTGAAGTGAGCATGTATGAATGGCAAGCAACGATAATGGGACCGGTAAGTTTTCCATCACCGAATTTTATGAAAATGTATTAACGAAGAATGATATTTTATGGCGTGCTACATAACTTGGTGCTCGTTCGCAATTTATTGCTGTTCCGTAATTTTGTGCTGGCCAATTCGGTTATGATGATGTTTTCATAATGGATTTTGGATGGTGTTTTTACTTTTGTAATTGGAAATTTATGTTTGAATATTTACACTTTGACGTGATTTGAATAATGTGTACATTGCATATATCATCGTCATCAAATGTAAACAACAACATGAACCTTCTGTGTGTGAATCTATACTGAAATCTCCGCTAATTTGCCCAACGAATAACAACAATTATTTATTGCGACAACTACTGCAACAACAGGCCGACAGTCCATATCAAGGAGGCGTCTTCTTCTTGAAAGTAACTTTCCCAACAGACTATCCATTCAAGCCACCAAAGGTACAATTTGTAACTAAGATCTACCATCCAAACATCAATTCAAACGGCTCTATTTGTCTAGACATTTTAACGAAAGAGTGGTCTCCAGCTTTAACGATTTCAAAGGTTTTGCTCTCCATTTCATCACTTTTGACCGACGCTAACCCTGATGATCCTCTCGTGCAAGACATTGCTCAACAATATAAAAACAACAGAAAACAATTTGAATTGACCGCTGCTGAATGGACAAGAAAGTATGCAATGTAAATGAGGAGAAGAGGACAGCAGGTTGAATAAACGTGCTACTTGTGTAAAAATAGAATGAATCTGGATAAAGTACTTTTACTTGTCAAGGCTTTCCAAGAATGAAACTTGTCGTGAAAATTGAAGAATTTCAAAACAACACGATTTATTCATCGTCATCACTGCTGAGCATCAAATCATCATCATCATCTTCACCTTCTGACGACGAAGAAATGCTAATGGAAATATCCGAGTCATCCTCCTCCTTTTGTTGCTGAGCTGCCACATTGGCATGTTTTGTGGAGGCAATCACTTTAACATTGGAGACGGGCTGTGTTGAGTTGTTGGACGTTGATGTGGGAGGTGAGTTTGATGTCGTTGTTGTTGTTGGTGAAGATATGCTTTGTAACTTGGAAATCAAACTTGATTGATAACCTGAGACTTGAATTGGTTCTGAAGAGAGTTTGGGAGCCGTGGTTGTTGTTGTTGGAGTCACCGTAGCAGTAGAATTGGAGGAAGATGTCGATTGAAGTGGAGACAAGGAAGATGCTTGCTGGTGGCTTGTTACAATCTTGGTGATTTGAGCTACCTTTGAAGAAGTACTGACAGAAGATGTATTATGAGTGACACCTGTCTTTGCAATCATTGAAATACCACCATTCTTGTTTGAAGGAGTGGAAGAGACTTGAGTGACACTCTTTGTGACATTTTGAACATAATGCGCCTGAATGGAATTCACATATTCTTCAATGTCATTTTCCGAACGTTTCAATAACCAAGCGTATTCGTCTTCTTCAGGTCCTGTTCCAAGAGTGGAATTCTTCTTTGCTCCATTGCCGTTGTTGAACGATGAAGTAGTTGTGACTGATGGAATGGTGACAAGATCCTCCTCCACCAAAGTTGCCTTCTTTTTCTCAATGATTTTAATTTCTGTCAATTCTTCTTCATCTTCCATATCTTGATAGAGCGGATTTAGAAATTCAATTTCATTCACATCCAATTCATATCTTTCAATAAAAAAGAGAACCCATTCGAATGGTTGAGGTGTGGACTTTGCAGCACCAGATTTCGATTGTAGGCCATTCATACTACTATTACTGTTATTCATTAAAGCGGATTGCAAGAGAGAGCTATAGAGAGAAGAATTGTTGTTGTTGTTGAGTGATTTTCTTTTCTCTTCCTTATTATGTAAACTTGAACTCAAAAGAGAGGATGTAGGGGAAGTTCCTACCGAAAGAATGGATGAAGACATTTTCGAGGAAAGTTTCTTATTTGAATTGGAAATTTGTGACGAGAGTGATGCGAACGATTGTTCAAGAGCTTTTCTTTGAATTTGTTGTCTCAGCAAGATGGATTGTTGTGACAGGTTCATGAATGTATGAGCTCTCTTCATTTGATCCTTAATGTTGGAAAGTGATGTGAAAAATTGATAACCATTAGGAGGTCTGTAAATGTTAGATTTCGTTTCATCATACATTTCATCTTTGTATATGGCATATTCCAAATCATAGGGAAGTTCAAATATTTGATCAAATGTCAAATGTTGATTCTCCACATCCATTTCAGAACAAATATTTGACAAGGTCATGAGACATGTCATGAGTTGCTGATCATTTTGAAATGAAAAAACAAAATCCTGAACCAATTCATCTTCATTCAATACTTGATAGAGAACCAAACGAGTGGAAGATGCCAGAAATTTGTGTCTTTTCCATTCTTGTTTTTTAAATTCATGATCATCACTGAGAGCTGTGTAATCATCTTCGTATTCGTCGTCATTCTCGTCCGATTTCAACCACATGTTTGATTTTTGAAATTTGATGATCATTTCTTCATCGTATGGATTTCTCTTGACGTGGTGGTGGTGGTGTTGAGAATGTGGACTATTATAGGGTGGTTGTTGTAATTGTACAAAAAAATTAAAACTCTTAATCGGAATACATTCTCTCAATTTTAAATTTTCATTAAATATAAATACAGCATATTCTCCTCGATTTTGTCGATGATAAATGAGTGATAGAATGACCACTCGATGGCGACTCTCCGATATGATTTGAGTGGCAGGACAGACAAATCGACATTGTTCCAATTTCGGATTGAGAATGGAAGAAATTTCCTTGTGGATGGCTTTGAGAGATTTGAGAGATTTAATTTTTGAAGTGGGTGAAGTGATTGAAGGAAATAAATCTTCATAGTTGGTACTCGACTCTTCATCATCATCTTCATAATGACCACGATGACCGAGTCTTGTCGAGGGTGACATTTTTTGATGTTGTGGATCTACAACAATGACAGGTGACACGAGACGTGATGTTTTTTGTGGCGGGAATTTTTTAATCTCGGCTTAATCTACAATCATTTTCAAAAACAAATTTGTTGAATTCATTCCAATTCATTCCTCGAATGCATCCACAAAGCCATTCATTACAACCTGTCAGAGATTTCAAAAAAAATTGACACGCAGCCTTCCTCTCTGAATTTTGTGTGCCACACATCACGTCCAACAAATCCAAAGCCTCCACTAAGACAACGAATCCTTTTTACTTTCTCTCATTCCGAATCATTATTCATTGACCATGATTAGGACTCATACTCAACAAATGGATTTTGAATCTTCTTCTTCTGAGAGAAATCATGTTGCCATCATGACAGACATGATTCAACAAAAGAATTCTAAAGATCATATCACCCGTAATAATGATTCTCATGCAAGTCTCTTAGAGATGAAGAATTTGAGAGAGAATGAGAAAATGCATGCTTGTGCTCATCAGTTGTTGAACGAATGGAAGAAGATATTGAATAATCATGCTCAACCTCCTCATGTCTTTGTGTATAGTGGCATTCAAGGTTGTCAACAACAATCCATGAGGTTGAGAAAAAGGCCTTCTGTGTCGACCCTCACCACACATTTGACAAGTGACAACCTTTCACACCAGGTTTATGAGTTTGAATGGTTGCAACTCGCGAAAAAGAATCAATTTTTAAGAAATGCTGCTCATTCTGAAAAGGAATGTTTTGAGAAAATTGAGAAATATGTGTTGGGAGTGAGCTCATGTCATGATGATGAAAAGAATGATGGATTTCTGAATGCAGTTGAGAATTTATTGACCTCCAAATATCAAATGAATTCTTCAGAAGTGATTGGAAAGATGATCAAAATGGATTTGTCATTGCTTTCAACAGTGGAGGAGCATTCACATGATACACACCTCTCATGTGTAAATTATGAACCTGTGAATATGAAATTGAAGGATTTAATTGATGATTATGGACTAGTGTTGGATGTATTTAGTTTATTGAGATTTTGTCATGCAAGAAAATTTGACTATCAGGCTGTGAAAACATTGATCGATGAGACCATTGCTTGGAGATTGTATAAAAAACCACATTTAATTACGAAAGAGAGTGTACAGAGAGAATATTCGAAAATGAAGGGCTTTTGGTTGGATTTCACAAAACAGAATTCTCCAATTATTTATATTTATCCACAGAATCATGTCACCTACGATAGAGACTTTGATGAATGCATCAATTATACACTCTATATGGGAGAATATGGAATGAACATGATTCAATCCTATAATGAAGAACATGTATTACCTTTATTGCGTTCGATTGAAGATGGAGCCGATTTGGCTGTCATTGAAGATAAGGTGTTAAGTCAATTCGTAGAGCAATACACGATCGTTTATGATGGAAGGACAGTAGCGATGAAGAATTTTGATTTGGCCATTATTAAGGAATTTTTAACCTTATCGAGTTACTATGCAGAACGTATGAAATGTGTGTTGGTGTATAATCCAAGTTGGTCGTACAAGGTGCTCATGAAGATGGTGTACCAATTTTTAGACAAGAAAACAGCAGACAAAATCAAAATGGTGTATAATATTGCGGATGTGGAAGACGTCTTGGATGTGACAAAAGTACCAAAGGATTTCGGAGGACAATTCGATTATAAATTTCAGTAACTTGACCAGTCTCAAACTCATCTGCAGCTCTGAATCATTCTTTGCCTCAAAAAACAAGCAACGAGAGCGCTGACAATAAATTAATTCAGCTGTTTAAAAATGTTTAATCATGCTGAGACAATATCAATATCGCAAAATCGTTGGTAATTCTCGTCAGTGATTTGCTTCATCAACCTGCTTTTCATAAAGTCATTTCCAACATATTCAGAAATTAACAGTAAATTTACATCACATCCAGATTGAACACATTCAATATTGAATCGTTCCATGAACAAATATTCTGCTAGTTTTTTGTTATGTGGATTTGTAGATACAGTTAGTGATTGAGCTGATATCAGAGGACTGAATAATCCAGTTGTGAAAGGTATATCTGTCAGTTTGGCTGAGTTGAGCTTATTGCCATGAATAAATAGAATTTTCTTATTAATGACTCCAAACATGCAATAATAACCACCAAACAAGTCAATCTCCATGGCTCCAAGTTTGGGTGAAATTGAAAACAACTCCATTTTCTTTTGCTCGCTGGATGTGATAACTGGGTTATCCGTTATATCTGTGACCCAATAGGAGGTGTTTGACATGTGACCCCCTCCAAAGGCAGCCACTCGTTTCTCCTCCATCTTGAAATCCTCTCTTTCTTTTGGTTGACAATGAAGAGAGTTATCATCCAATAAGACGTAGATACTGGCATCTGTCTGGGCAATGTCCTTCACTGGATGCTTGAGTGAAGTACAATTGTGAACCAAATAATTGCCACCTTTTGATGCTTCACCACAATTATAAATTAAATGTCGATTGAAAACGACACAACTTGAGAATGTTCCACACGACGAGTGTGTCACTGTATACTGGCAATATGGATTTCCATTTCTAAAATCATTAAACAAATCAATTTTTGAATTCAAAACTGTAAAACTCTTGCTAAACTCGGCACCAAACAACTGTCCAAAATATGAATGACCTGCACCCAAAATGATATTCCCATTCACAATGACAATGGTATGGAACCAGCCACAAGAAATGTGATCCACACTGTGAATGTGATCAAAGTGAGTGGATTTCATAAATTCTTGCAATTCATTCGTCAATGATGATTGAGATAATCGTGAACGAATGGCCTCCTTTTCTTGTTTCATGGCTCTCAGCATTTCATCATTCATGCATGTGAAGAGCTCAACATCGGTGGAACCAGTACCACATGGAGTGCTTCCGAGTTGATTGTAATTGTTCTTTCCACAGCCATAGATTCCACCATCCGTAGCTGTTTGTTCCAAACAATTATTTGAGAAGAAGAATTTGCAAGGTTCATCATGATCCGTTTGTGATCATTTCATGTGCATGTACAATACAATATATAATGATTTATAAATATATGACCAACAATTCTACCACTACTCTTCAATACTACTACTACTACTTACTAGCAAATAGAGAATGTGATCTTCCAACGGCAATGACATTAATTTTGCTCAGGATCAATTCAGATTCGGTTGCAGAAAAGCCTTTGATCTGATTCACCTGCATCCATTCACCAACACTATCGGAGGTTGAACTTTTCGTAAATCCCATTTGACCACTATCATTGGAGCCTATAGAATCAACCGAGAATGATGATATTGGTTGGAATCCGTCGTGTATTATTGAAATGATCATCAATGGTATTGAAATTATAATGAATATCAATATTTATCAATATTATGATGGTTGAATCTATGAATTAGACTTCTACAACAAACGCGCTTCTACTTACCCGAACTAAATAATTTCGTTCTCTTAGTTCCATTCTCTTTCATATACTCCACACCACGGCACGAGGATTGAGATAAACTTCTCTTCATCGCATGAACCATCGAACAATACTTGAAAGAAGAAAGTGAATCTTTTTTGTTGGAATTGTTGTCGAGAGTGGTTTTTTGAACCGAGTCAAGATCTTGTTGAGCTTCTTGTTGGGAAGAATGGCTGCCAAATCCTAGACGGTTGAAGAATGCTTTCATTGTTTTTTCTGGGTGTGCAGACTAGAGTTGTGAAATTTATTGATTGGCTGAAAAAAAAGTAGGTTGCCTTTTTTGTCAAATGACAGGTGCATGGTTACTTTATTCAATGCGAGCTTTCATGAAGGAGGAGCATGAAGAGATGGTTACCATAAATCAAGTCGTTGCAACATTCTGACTGAGGAATACAATGCTCAAAGAAGAATAATTTTGATTAGAGTGACATTTTGACAGTTGGTGTTTCTAAGGTGACATTGGTCATATTCCTCAATCTTGTATTCTCATCAACTAGCTCTATGTATTGTTTCAAAAGTTGTCCTATTGTAAACACGTTTAAACCTGTCACTAAAAAACTTTCTCCATCATCATAACGTCTCTCTCTCTATACAACTCCCAACATACAAAAAAAAACAGCTTTCCTCTCTCAAAAGGAAGTATTGAGAAAATGAAAGCACATGGTGGTTCCGAAATGATGACACAAAGCACTGTCATCACCCTCTCGTTATTATTGGTATTCATCTTTGGTTGTTTTTATATCATTCCATCCACAAAAGGAGAGACAATACTTCCATCGGTGCACAAGCAAAAACCTCTCAAATACAATGCTTCGTCAAATTCGACCTCTCTTCATCACTTGGATGCTTTGAAAGGGAATCGACCTAATACCACGAGTTGTTATCATTACCGAAGAAGAATGGCGAGTGGTTTTTGCAAGTTGAGAATTGTGACGAATGAGAAAAAAGTGGAACAAAAATTGAGACGATGGAAAGCGTTACGTCAACGAGTGACAAGGATTGAGAAGAAATTGGACAAGTTGAAATTCTCTTATTCAAAAGCCAAAAAAAGAACCAGACACATTATTCGAGCCATTCATAGAATTTCCAAAAGTCGAGCCTCTAAAAGTTGTAAACGCCGTCTCCATCGAAAAAAGAAAGCTTTAAAAAGAGCTCACAAGAAAGTCAAAAGAATCTTCAAGCACCTTAAAAGGTTGAAACGAAGAATGAAAAAGGAATCCTCACGAAAAAGAAAAGCATTCCAACATTATCAAAAGACAATTTCTCACCTTCTACGTGTGATGAAACAATGCAAAAAGAAAATTCACAGAGTGGCTCGTTGCAAGTTAGAGGGTCGGAGAATGGCAGAAGCTCTTCCTCTTCCAAAGAAACTTGTGGATATTTTGAGAGTGTTAAAAGTCAAGTTTGCATGTCTCAAGAAAAAGTCTCATCGATTTGAATGTCTCTCAAAGAGACAATGATGACACATGAGAATTAATGGTTCACAGATTGATATGGATTATGACAAATATAAGCAGTCTGCTGCCAAATGATTAAAAACTGTAAAGTCATTTATTCCTTAGTGTTATCCTTTTCTTTACCATCTTTAGCTTTCTTTTTCAATCCTCCAAATAATTTTCCTAAAATTGATTTCTTCTTTGATTTTTCATTGCTTGATTGTGAAAACAATGATGACGAAGATGGAGTTTGTGGTGTCGAGATTAAAGAAGCAGAGCCAGTAGTAGTAGTGTTCGAACTAAGATTCGAAGAGAGTGAAGACTGAGTGGAAATGGTGGAATTCGTTCGAGAGAGCTCAGCCATGGAATTTGTATGGTTGTGATGACGACCACTGTGTGGAGAAGATTGATCTCGTTTTGGAGATTTGAGAGCTCTTAAAATTCTTCCAGCTCGTCCACTTGTTCTCACAACCGATTTCGATCCCTTCGACATGAATTCTCTCTTTTCATTGACTTCTTCGAGAGCTTTTTCAATTTCAACCACCCATTCCATTTTCACTTCGAGTGATGGGAAGAAAATTTCCTTTTCTGTTCTTTGATTGGTGTCTGCATTGGTTAAAACCATGGTCAAACGATTCTGACCACCTCCACTAATGTATGCATCCAATAAGGAGTATGCCTTTACAGTTTTTGAAACTTTGGTCTTTTGTCTCTTCTTTTCTCTAAACAAAATAAGATCATTGAAGAGATACATTTTCCATTCGACTCGTGAATTTTCACCAAAAATCACTTCTCCTTCACGAACTAATCGTCGATGAGGTTGTACCAAATCACTCAAATTCATGAGTTTTGATAATTGATAAACCTTAATTCGATTGTTGGTTTCCTTAATTTTAGCATTTTGTGTGGATGCAGATTCACTCACAGTCTCAATGGCAGACATTAAATTCGAGTAATCGCCATGATTTTCAGGCGTGTTTTTGAATAGATTGGTCAATAAGAGTAAATAACGTGGAATTCTTTGCACAGGCATGATCATGAAAGAACCAATTTCTAAACCTGCTGCTTTTGGATGCATCTTTCGTTTGTCCAGCCATTTGTTAAATCGAGTATCGTGTTGTCGATAATCTCTAATTTTGGTCATGCAACTCTCGTAGGAACTGAGATAGGAGGTGTAAATCTTGAAAAATGGTGAAATTTTGATAAACATGTCACCAATAATCATGTCATAGATTTTCGTTGGATCATCTCTATAAATTTTGAATCGTTCTTCCAATTTTGATAAAAAGTTCTTATTAAAGGTCTTAATCGTGAGTAAATCATGAGGGAAAAATGATTTAGCAATAGACTTGGGAACGAGTCTCTCAGATTCTTCAGGAGTTTTCACCTTATCATGTGGAAAGTGATTATACACAATGGGTTCATAGAATAAATCCCACAACACGTCCAAATATTTCACATATTTTCTTTCACTTTCTAAAATTTCAAGAACCATGTTAATTCTTTCCTTAATTTTTTTGGCTTCTTTCAATTCTCGTTCGTGTACACACAATTCTTCTTCTTCTTCTGTATTTTCGTCACGATCTGACCATTCCTCCCACTCGTCGTTGTGTACACTCGATCTCTTCTTTTGTTGATTCTTCTTCTTATTGGAATGACCTTGTTGGAACAATGGTTGATCCATAGAAACCACTTCCGAGTAGGTTTTTTCATTACCTTCTTTTGATAAGACTCCAAATACTCGTTTTTGTGAATCTTCATAGGATGGGAGTGATTGTGGAGAAATTTCAGCAGAGTTTGTTCCTGGAGAATCCAATGATTGCTTCTGAATGGCATCCAATGTGATTTTTGGAATGGCAATTTGTGGAACATATTTTGGAGGAGTGGTACTCAAATCTTCAGAGTCTGTGTCAGAAATGGGTTGAACGGTTTCATTGGCAGCGGAGGGAACAGTCAATTGAGAGGAGGGAATTCCAGAATCTAAGAGATCAATTTTTGAATCTGAATGAGTTCGAGTGGGTGGAGTACATGGAGTGTCGAGGGGTGCAAGATTGGCAGATGACTGATGATTTCCTCTTGGAGATAAATTACCTTCTTCAGTCATCGTGTAGTCTGATTCTTGCTCTTCATCGTTATACATTTCAGTGGCATCTGACAGATCTGTCAAATCCCCATATGGATCAAGATAGACATTTTCTTTTGGCTTTGTGACAATTTCCTTATAGCCCAACGTATCAGTATTTCTCAATTTTTGAACAATGGTCTTACTCTTCTCACCAGTGATGGCAGAAGCAATTTCAGCAATTCTTGAAATTTCAGATTGTAAATAGGGATTGTTATCATATTTGAAAAATTTGAGACTTTTCAATTCTTTCATATCTTCAGGAAGAGTCATTAAACAATTTCCAGAAATATTCAACTCTTCAATCTTTTCTAAATGACGAATCGTTGTTGGTAAACTCAACAATACATTTCCACTAAGGTCCATCTTTTCTATGGATTTCATTTCCACAATTTGTTGAGGAATAAATTCAAATTTGTTTTCACAAATATTAATTTTACGAAGAGGTAACTGTGCTAAATCAAAGGGTAGCTCATACAGTTGATTTCCATGAAGATCCAAATCAGTGACATTTTTAAACGTTTCAGAAAACCACGAAGGTAATGTGGCCAAATTATTATTCGCCAGTCGTAATGAAGTCACATGTTTACATTCAATAGCAGCATACGGAATGGTATCCAAATTCAATCCAGATAAATCCAAAGTTGAAGATTTGTTTCGAATGCATTCATCAATGAGTTTGTGAACTTGACTTCTTTTTTGAATGGGTTTTGTACTCAAGTTTAGGAATGCAGAATTACGTCTGTCCCTTCTCTGATGAGGAGCTTGATTGTTTGTTAAATTCAAAGCATTGTGATCTCGATTGGTCAAAACAGATGTAATGGATTGTGATTTTTTGTGGAAATGTTGTGAAGAAGATTCCATCAATAGGGATTGAACACTACTCGTGGAAGGCTTATTGAAATGATCATCTTGTGTTTCTTTCTTTTGTAAGAAGAGTGTTGAATCTACAGATTCGAATATTGGAGGAGCAGTCGATGATTGGGTCTCTTGTGAATTCATCTCTCCGAAGAGTTGGTTATTGCTAGTTGTGACATTTGATTCTTTTTTGGATAATTCTTGTGATTTCATGTTGTTGAATGCATCGGATGTGTCATGGCCAAGTATTTGAGTGCATTCTTTTAGATTTAGTTTTTGTAAACTTTCACGAATGGTCTCATCCTTGTTGTTGTCATTGGTTTCGTCTTCTTCAGAATGTGCTGCTTGATAATATTCATCTTCCTCGTCATAGAGTTGACGTAAAATGTCTGAAGTCGATGGAACCATCACACTCGAGCCAGTATCTGCATTCTTGTGACGACTCACGTATAATAAATCATCTCTCCGATAGAGAAATCCTCGAATGAAACCTTGCATGACAGAAATGTCATTCATTTTCTCTCGGAAATGGCGTGCTCGCCCCTTGAGTGCACGCCACTTGATGTGACATGCACGAGATTGAATGAGTGCTTGTAGAATGAGTACTCGTTGCAAGTCACGAGACAAGTAGAGTTGAGAAAGTCTGCCTTTGAGGACACTCTGCACCTGTGAAAGAGTATTCAGAGAATGTTCAATTGTCAATCGAGCATGACTTGCTTTAACGAATGCTTGTAAAGTGACAAGTTGTGATAATATCTTTCTCCATTGGATTTGAGAACAATGGTGTCGTCGAAGAAGAGACTGCATTTGAAGAATCTGTTGGAGTGAATGTTCCACTTCTTGGCGAGCTTGTGTGGAAAGGAAGCACATGCTCACTACTTGAACGAGTGATTTCAATTTGAAATAATGGTCTCTTTGTTGTTTTGCACGAAATGCAGATTGTAGGGTACGAATCGCTCCAAGTGAGAGAAGTAATTGGTTGGAAGTCGTTAACTGTCTGAATCTAGCTTGAAGTTGAAGAGACTTTTCCAAGAGTTGATGTTTTTCTTTTCTTACTTTCTTTGATCTGATCCATGACTGAATGAGTGTGATGACATTCCTGTCACGGGTCATGTGTTTTATGCAGTGTGTTGACATGAACATGGATTGCAGTTTTGATAGTTGTGTCTTGGAATGAGTCCATTCAGTTAGGATTAATCGTCGTCTTGCAAGTGCTTGAAGGAGTACGATTGATTGTTGGTTTCCATTTTTGGAATGTCTATCTTGCCTTCCTCGAATCATTGCTTGTGCCATGCGAGCCGAAGAAAGGCATGATTGTAAAAATTGTTGCAACATGCGAGATCGAATCAATGCTTGAATTTGAACGAGTGCTTTTGATTCGACTTGGACTTGTTGACGTGAACGATTGGATCTAATGAGAGAGTTCAATATAAATATTCGATGTAAGTCTTGGCGTTGGACATGCTTCTCGTGGAAGGATCTCATCAGAGCTTGCAGAGTGAGGATTCTTTGGAGGGATTGTTGTGATTGTTTGTATGTTAATGAACTCTTACTTTTTGCTTGAATCCATTCGATAGCTTTCTTACTTGCATTCAAAGCTTTGGAACACAAATAGTGTCTCATCTTCGCTTGCAAAGTAATGACACTTTCTCGACTCTTGTCGACATGCTTCTTTTGAACACATCTCCGAGTATGACATTGTAAATGTCTGAGAAAGATGAGGGCGTTGGTGACAGAGTGCCGCGTTTGCGTGCTTTTGTGCAAGGATTGAACAATTGTCGAGAGTTGATGCTGTCTCTGTAAATTCTTTCTTATGAAAGCTCCATGTAATGCGGATTGCAAGGAAATGACATTTAGCACTTCATGTCGGAATTGGTGTTTTACATGTTGCGCTCGGATAAATGCTTGCAATTGTGTGCAACTTTCCATGACTTGTTTCAATTGATTTTCCTTAATTAGTTGTCTCTCTTCTTGAAGAATCTTTCTTTCAAGACCTCCCTTACATAAAGCTTGGCAGTGGAGAACTCGCATGATTTGTGTGTCCAAATTGCGTTGTTCAAGGCAGGCACGAGAACGAGATTGCAAGAGTGTGATCGAATTCATGAGCTCGTGAAATTTTCTTACCTCAATGTATCTCTTTGTAAGAGCATTCAAATGATTCACATGTGTAAAGTGAGTGTGTAATTGTCGTCTTGTCCATTCGGCCTTTGATGTTGCAGACAGAATGGTCGCAAGTGTCACTTTCAAATTCAGTAAAGATCGCTCACGTTTGGCTATCATTAATGCCTGAATTATTTTCAGCTTTTGGATGCAATTTTCAAATTCTTGGTGACACTTTTTCGATCGAATAAGAGCTTGAATTCTTGAAACTTGATCAACCATGTGGCCTAGTTTGATTCTATTCTTCATTTCCAAATATCTTCTACAATGTGCTTGTAAGGGAACAATGAAATTGAAGATACCATGCTTGAATTCTGTTCTCTGGGTCTTTCCCTGAACGCATGCTGCAATATAAGATGAATTTAGTTTGTTTGAATGGAAATTCGAAAATTCCAAACGCTTCTTATTTAAAGCTTGAACAAGAGAGGCTAAAATTGTTTGTTCTTGTTGCATTTTGCATGTCACTTGTTTTGCAAGATTGGATCGAATTAGAGATTGCAAGCAAACGACTTGCATTCTCGTGTGATCAAATACTTGACGATCTAATCTAGATTTCACACAAGCAGTCAATCTCACAATTTGTTCATATTGTTTTTGTTGTAAATTTCGTGTCATCTTTCCAAGGATTAATGATTGTAACGTGTGAATATTCTCCTTTGATACTTGAATGGACTTTCTTTGTAAAAACCCACGACATGCTTGTTGGAAAATTGAAATGGCCTCTCTTTGAGCTATAAACATTTCATGTTCTCGCTTTGCATGATAGAGAGCATCAATAGTCAACACAGTTTTCACTTGTTCTTCAATAGTATTTCTTTTCAATTTGGCTTTGCAAGCACATTGAAGTAAAATAATACTATTTCGCAATTCTGAAAAATGATTGGCTTGATGTTGACGCAACAGGAGAGCTTGAATTTTCAAAGTAGAGTCTAAATACTGCAAATATTTCTTTTCAACAAGAGCTGTTCGAGAGAGAGATTGTAGTCTTTGAATGGCCTCCAAGCTTTGATGCTTTTTTCTTTGACTGCAACACTTGTTTTGCAATAGATTGTAATGATGTTGAAGATTCTATGAGTTGATGAATTTTCTTTTCCTCTATTCTTCTCTTGGCTAAAGCTTTAATTTTTTCCACAAATTCTAATTCCTTACTGAATTGTTGACGAGTCAATCGTTCACGTAATTGAGCTTGACATTTCACAATACTTTCAAGCGTGTTTTTCAGTTCCATTTTAGCTTGTTTTGTTTTCACCATGTTTTGAATGCGAATCACCTTCTCCTCTTGTATTGATTTTTGAGTGATTTCAAATTTGGATCGCCATAGAGCTTGAATAGTGCTCACAGAATTTTGCACTTGCTCAAAACTTTTTTTGGCTTTCAATCTGCGAGCCCATGATTGAATGATCACAAATTGTCTCTTACTGGACTCCACCGTATTTCGAACTGTTTTTGATTGAGACAATGCTGATAATATGGAAATGGCCTTTCGGTGTGTATTTCGTTCCATGACCCCATTGCAAAAGGCTTGAAGAATTTCAATGCTTGAGTTCTTGATAATCTCGAGTGCTTCTTCTTCTTTACGAATCTTTTGAATATCCTGTATGGAAAGATTCGAATCCACTGCATCCATACCATTTTGTAAAGCAATGTCAATGTGAGAAAAGTCAACTGTCTTTAGTGTTGTGGTGTGAGAATTGTTGATGTTGTTAGAGGATTCCTCTTGTCGAAGGTCCTGTTGTGTTGTTGCGTGTTCCGACACTTGAGGCGACACTTGCTTGGTGTTCAAAGGTTGCTCCGGGTGTTGTTCCGTTAAATGCTCGACACAATCCGTCGTGTCATTGCCGACGACTGACATTTTTTGATGCAGTTTTTCATCATGAATGTCATGATTGGAACTCTTGTTACTAGTAGTAGATGTATCTTGCTTAGTAATATCGTTTGTAATTGTTTTCTTATTGTTTTCTTTTGTCTTTTCAGTGATGGATGTGTTTTTCTTGATGTCGTTATCCGAGGACTTTTTGGTTGGTTCTTTTAATGATGATGATTTTAAAAAGAACCAAACGGCTCCAATACTTGCAATAACAATGGTTAAAATCAAGTAGAGAAGAGAAGGTGTCATTGCTGTTTGCTTATTATTAAAATAGAAAATGTGATGATGACAAATTCTTGGAAAGTAGTTCTGAATGCTTTGCTGTTGTTTCAGTGTTCAATAATGTCCAATGTAATAGCAATGATGAAATGGTTTGAAGTTTGGATTCAGCATTCGGATACACAACAAATGATACACGAATCTTGTCGATTCTCCTGCCAAACGTCACCGGAAATTTTAATACTTTCGAAGCAAGAGCACTTTTTTTTGCTGAACTTGAAAGGGAAAGAGATGGCTGTCTTCGTCAGTTGTTATCTTTCCTTGTTCAACATTCTTTCCTGAATCAATCCATGTCGTGTTAAATAGTTGGCATTTACTATTATTAATATATTTTAGCCAATTGAAAGTCAAAAGATTCATGACCTGTTGTTGTCTTCAAAAGAGAAATGATTCACTCAACGTACAACACACGCCATTCGAAAAAGCAAGTTCAAAAAATTAAATATTGTTTATTGGCCCTTCGGTGCCTCAATACTTGTCATAAAACAACATTGGACTTCATTTTCGTTTAGATACTACTTCTGAATGTCGAATGTTTTTAACAGGATATATCAAATATTAACAGATTACATGCTTGTGTTGAGCAACTGTTAACATGGGTTGAGTCCATGATTCAAACAGAAGGTAAAAATAAAGCAGTGTTTGGTCTGTTAATGCATATGGTTTTCGTTGGTTTGTAAGGTTGAGTCGTCAATTATTGTAAAAAGGTCATGAATAGGTATATATAGTGTTGATGGATATGATATGTTAATAATGATATGTATCGATTACCAGCATTGTCTTCAAAGTTCTAAGTCACAACAATTAATAATGTTGAAGGGCGGAGAGCAGTCTTGGATCCAGTATAAGGTGAGATGCTTCTTTCTTGTTCTTACATTCATTACACGTTTCTTATCGAATTGTTGATAGCACTGATCATCATAATACAAATATAGTATCTTGCCTTTTTGTCCATGATTAGTATGATCGTGAAGTTTGTTCTTTTGCTTTGTTTTTCTTTTTGGCTTGGATTTGTCGGTGGATGATTGTTTTTTAGCTTGTGTGGTCCTTCTTGTTTTGCGAGGTTTGTTCTTTGGCTTGTATTCTTTTTCTTGTTTTGATGGAGTTGGTTGATTCAATGTTGATAATGTATTCTCATCTTTCTCAACTGGTGGATCGTTAGTTTTCTCAACTGATGGATTTTCTCTAAAGGTGATTGCGTCACATAGATGATGTTGTAAAGATTGTAACAAGTGATGCGAATGATCTAATGGCTTCCGTGCCTTTTCTTCGCAATTTCTGTTCTCTTCATTTCGTATATATTCATTAAGTTTGGCGTTTAATTGTTTGAGGGTAGCTGAAATGTAATTCGCTTGTTGTTCAATTCTTTCCAAACGTCTTTCCAGGCTGTGGAGCATACAAGAGTCAATTCTGATGTTCATCTTGCGGTATTTTTTAAGGGCTCGCAAGTTCAAAAAATGGTTCCTTCTCCTTCTCCACACAAGAAGCACTCGGAACTTGAAAAGGCTTCTCATCTTGTGCTGGCAGGTCTTGATGATCCGATGGTGCAGAAGAGTTCCCTCTCGTATCGGGTGATTTCATCATTTTCATCATCCTCACCATCATCAAGTGAAATGCATTCAGAAGAGTTGCAAATGGTGTTGAAAGTGAAGCCTAAGAAGCAAGATCATCATCGTGATGATGAGAAGAACCATTATTCTCACCAAAATGAAGCTCAAGTTGACTCTTCCGATCCAACCACACAAATTCCGTACAGTGCTAAATTGTGTCAAGTTGAATTTGAAATTACAATTACATTTGTTTCTTACAGTAAACAAAATACAAAGGTCAGAGTGAAGAGCACCACCGTAGAGACTGGAAGTGAACAACGATTGAAATATTTGAGGAATACTGTTAGCAACTTTTCAGTGATGGATATTGAACAAATTGTGGCGGAAATGCAATTACAAGATGAAGCAAAAAGATTAGAAGAACATTTGGCTGTGAGTATATTTGTAATATCATTTTTGAGAATTATTTACACCAAGCTAGAGTCTTCGAAAAAACAACGAAGATGCACTGTCATGCATGGTGGCATCGGTGGATGAATGGCTGAGAACATTTGTTCATCCTTTTGTTGAAAATGGAATCGAAAAGCCAAAAGCAAAATCAAAGAATCAAGCAAAGGCCACAAGTCCAATTGATACCGCAGTTGTGTCAACAGGTGAAAGTACGAATGATACTGCTGCAACCTCATCAATAGAAGAAAAAAAAACTTTTTGGCAACAATTATCACACACTCTAGAAAATATGGAGGAGAAATCATCAAAACCAGGGTCTCCAAGACAGGAATATCCAGAAAGACATAATTATCAGTACAATTCAATCAAATTTTTGATGGATTCTAAGAATGGAAAACTATTCTCAACTGAGCATTTATTTTCACAGAATATTTTTCAAAAATCATGCACGAATGTCACGAATTTTTCAAAAGCTCTTTTGAAAAGAATTCTTCACAAATCGACCTATGTCAAACTACATAATACCGTTTACACTTGGGGTGGATTAACAAGTAATGGAATTATCAATGAGTTGATTACATTGGAATTGGACAAAATGAAACTTTCCCCTAAAAGACAGGACAACAAAATTTCTGAAAGGATATTTCATAGTTTTGATTTTGTTGTTCACTCAAATGTATTTGTGATTATTGGAGGTATCGACAAGAGAGGAAATATTCTTTCAGGTAAGAAGTTTTGCATTTGATTTTATGGTGATATATAGATCTCTGATTGTACACTAATTACGGATACCAAGACATAAATATTGCTGGAGCAAATTTTGCTTGGAACAATTATTCTGGACTAATACCCAAGTTATGTGGACATGCTACTGCCTCTATATTTCATGAGCTCTATATATTTGGAGGTTTTAATGGGGATCTTAACAAATATTCTAATGACCTTTACTGTTTTGATTTGTTCACCAAAGAGTTACGACCTGTGATGAGCAAGTGTCCTATCGAGTCCAGAGCTGGCTCGAGCATGGCAGCCATCCAAGACAATATTTACATTTATGGAGGCCATTCGAGAACAAGAATTTTCTCAGATCTCTATAGATTGAACATCAGTAGCAAGACCCTTTTCAAAGTCAGCAGTATTGATTCTTGGGTTGTCATTCCTCGCCTTACCATGTCGACACTGTACACTAATGGTAGTGATTTACTCTTGTTTGGAGGATGGGATGGTCACGAGTGGAATACGACATTATTTGAAGCCGACTCAAAAAAGATGAGATGGCAAATAGCAACACGAGACTTTGACTCGACATTTGACGAATTTGTTCCTTTTTGTTCAGCCACTCCAATCGCAGGAAAACTCATGTTACTTGGAGGAATTCCAAACCAAATTCCCTTCAACTCATTTAGAGACACATTTTTGAGATTTGTTTGTTGTAAGGAGCCACTCGAAGGAGAAGACTCCTCTTTAAAAGCTCCATCATTTCGAACACTCCATCAGAAACGTGCAAAGGATGATACCAGCTTGTGTCAATTCTATTTGGAATGGTACAAAACAGGGGCACCAGAAGAATGCGATGTGACGATTCTCATCAATAGTTTGGATGACAGTGGCGAGCAAGACAATTTTTATGGTCACAAATTAATGTTATCGAGATCTCCCGTGTTGAGGAAGAGGATTCTTGCACTGGACATGCTCGACTCCCCACAAAATGAAAGCACTCAATGTATCATCTCTGATCACTTGAATTTTTCAGGTTCAATCATGAAACATGGCCACCCTGTTGCAATTCTATTAGATGATTTACCAATTCAAAGTATGAATAATTTAAGGACCAGCTTTACATGTATCATGCAATATCTTTATGCAGGGTCATTTGAGACGAATCATTTAACAACTCACGATTTTGAGGATATTTATCTTTTGGCATGCTATTTGGATCTACCACTGTTGAAGAAAGCACTCTGTGCGGCAGTGTTTACATTTTCTGACATGAAGGAGCATGGCCTTCTAAGCTACCTCACTCAAACCATGAAAACATTTCTCATTATGGAAGATGAAGTGATTGAAAATGTAGAAACACATATCCAAAACTTAGATCAAACCCCTGTACCTATTGGAATGGTTCGATTGGTAGCACCAATCTCTCTTGACTCGAGTGACATGTCATATCGAAGTGTTCTCGTTCACAAGTATATCCTAACACAACGAAGCAAGTATTTCCGTTCAGTTTTCGACGTGAATTTCTTAGAGTCCACATCTCGAGTCATGATTTTTGAGCAAAACACCATACGAAGTATTCTTGCCATCCTTAATTATATGTATACAGAAGATCTGACCTCTGTTGATATGGATCAAAACAATGCCGTCGAAATTTACATGTCAAGTTTTCAATTTGAACTCGAAGAGCTTCATGAATATTCAAAGAATGTCATTCGAGAGCAACAGAATGTTGATGTTCACACCATGATTCAACTTCTCGAAATTTGTGAAAATATTGACGACAAACTCATGAAAGGATTTTGCAAATTTCATATTGCCAAACATTATGATGAAATTATGAAAACAGATCCATCCATGCTCGACAAGTTGAGTAAGGAAACGCGGTTTGACATTCAAAAACAATACTGCAATTTGATTAAGAAAAAGTGAATTCAAAGGTGAGAGAGACCATTTAGATTTGGTTTGTTCGCATATTTGTTGTTTAAACTTCATCTTGGTTCGTTCATTCGACTAACAATAAGCTTGTTGTTCTTCCGTGTTGCAAAGAGGATTCACAGATAGATTCTCACTGCTGAATATCGAATTATTCTTTTCAGAGAGAATCTACAGAAAAAATACGCATCTCTCTCCTTCTCAGGTACGTGAAAGGATTGTTGTTCGGCGCAACGAGTAGAGTTCAGATCATAACCACAAAATTTACAAATGATGATCTACGATGACGATGATGATAAAATATTATTTCTTCTTGTATCCGTTGATACAATTCTTGGTTTTGTATTATTCTTCCTAACCGATACAACGATAATATTGTTGTGTTTTTATAAATTCAAAACGTGATGATGAACCACCGATGCAATGATTTGAACTTGAACACATAATTAGCAATGCCAAAGAAGATTGAAAAGTATCAATTGGGTAAAACCCTCGGTAGAGGTACCTTCTCTAAAGTCAAATTAGCAGTGGATACAACAGATAACTCTCATTGGGCAATCAAAATCATTGATAGAAAGATGGTCAAGCAAGAAAACATGGAGGCTCAGCTCAAGAGAGAAATTGCCATCATGAAAATCCTCAAACACAAACACGTCGTACAATTGAGAGAGGTTCTTCAAAGCTCTAAACATATTTACATTGTATTAGAATTGATTACCGGAGGTGAATTGTTCGACAGAATTGGTATGTTGTTATTACAAACGACAATGCTTTGATAACTATAGTGTTCTTCTACCTATTTGGCCATGATGATTTTACTCCGATTTCCCACACCAATAATGATATACTGATCTCGGTTCGAAATATCTCGTACTGCAATAATGATGATATCTATCTTCAATTTGTTGTGATATCACGCAAATTAAAATTATACAATGCTAACCCATGATCAAACAACCACAACAGTCGAGGCAAAACGATTCGATGAGAATACAGCAAGAAAATACTTCCAACAATTGATTTCGGGAATTGAGTATTGTCACTCTCAAGGAATTGCTCATAGAGATTTGAAGCCTGAAAATTTGTTGTTGGACTCCGAGGATGTCTTGAAAATTAGTGACTTTGGTTTGTCTGCACTCTCTGGTACTGATGGACAAAGTAAGCTCCTCATGACCACATGTGGTACACCAAATTATGTCGGTATGTATATTAAGATTGAGGTGAATGTTTTCAAATGGATTCAATGATATTTTGTATTTGATGTTAAATTACATGTTATAGCTCCTGAAGTATTGAAGGAAAAAGGATACGACGGCAAGAAGGCTGATGTTTGGTCTTGTGGTGTAATTTTATATGTCATGTTGGCCGGATATTTGCCATTTGAGGATGAAACCATGAAGGGACTCTTTGCCAAGATTGAATCTGGTAAATTCTCATATCCACCACATTTCACACCTGCCCAAACTGATCTCATTAGCAAAATGCTTGTCGTAGATCCTGAAAAGAGAATTACTATTGAGCAAGTCATGGATCACAAGTGGTTCAAGGTCAACTTTAAGATGGATAAGACTACCTCCAAGATTAGCTTGACTGACAAGGAAATTGATGCCTCTGTTAAGTCCACCGCAGATGCAACTGAGGTTCAAGCTTCCACAACCCCTCAACCAACTCAATTTAAGGCAGGCACTTTGAACGCCTTCGATTTGGCTTCCATGTTGATGATGGGTTCTATAAATCCTCTCATGTCCTCCGATGCATCAGTCAAAATCAAGAGACAAACCAGGTTTATGGCAAAAGGAAGCAAGTCTCAAGCTCAAACAGCAATTGTGCACACTTTGGATCAGTTGAAGGCCAAACCAACAACTAAGGGTGATGATGAAATTAAGTGTATGGCAACCGTGAATCAATCTGTGATTACCTTCAGTGTTAAGATTGAAGAAACAAGTGGTGGATTCTCAGTTGTCGAAGTGAGAAGAGGAAAGGGTAATATTCTTGACTACAATGCATTCTATCGTTTGCTTGTCACACAATTAGGCGATTTGGTTGTCTCTAAGGAAATTAAATAACTTGTACTTTCATTATTTCGCGCAACTAAAATTACAAAATTTTATTGTGGGAGACAGTGGTGTCAAAAATACTCAGGCATGTTATTAATGTTAGAAACGAATAAATAGTGCCGCACAAAAATTAATTCCTCAAACTCTTGGTAAAACTTTTAAAATACATAATTTCGGTAAAAGTGTCTAAAAGTGAGAAATTTTAGAGAAAGATGACCTTCCTTGCTCTGTTGGTGTCAGAGGAGTCGTGCACGAATCTGACAATCTTATATCTGTGGAGCTGACAGAGCTTGTTCTTCCTCTCAAAAAGGCATCACTATCAAATAGTGGATCATAGCTTGCAGTGCTATTTTGCCCAACACCAACAGGATTCAAGGGAGTGCTTCGAAGTGCTTCCAAAATTCTCTGGTTTGTTTCTCTTTGTTCCTGTTTTGAAATGTTAAATTGATCGGTATTAAATTGATCTTGCAGACTACCGTTGCTATCACGGAACAAGCTATTAATGGGTGGAACTGCATTAGTTAGTGAGAAATTTCTGTTGTGTGGAGATGATTGTTGGAAAATGTCAGAAGTCGAGGAGGAAATAGACGAAGTAGAAGTTCGTTGTTGAGTATTAATGAATGGAGATAAGTAAGGTGATGATGACAATGAATTGAACGAAAGATCATTGTGAGATGTGCTCATTAACATACCAACATCTCCATCCTCATCATCCATGTGATCTGATGAAAATGAAAATATTGATCCACTCATGGTACTTCTCAGAGAGGGAGGTTGTTGTGAAACGTTAGTCGTATTGACATTTGACAGCATGTTGTTGTTTCCGCTTAATTGTCCAACTGAATTACTTGTATTGTTATTACTGCTACTTGCAGTGTTATTGGAATTGGGTTGAATGGGTGTCGAGACTGAAGTTGGTGTTTGTGGACTTGAGAATCCAAAAGAGTTTGTCTTTAAAGGTGATGCTTGTCCCATATTATTGTTTCCATTATTTGTCCAATTTGCGTTCAAATCTCTCATAATGGGTGATGTGTGTTGAGAGGAAGTTGCAGTCGAAGTAGAAAGAGATCTTGGTTGTGGTATTTGTTTTCTAAACTGTTTCAATAATGAAATGTGTCTTGATTTTGACGTTAAATCTCCATTGGTTGAAATTTCAAGGTTTGGATCCATCATTCCTTCTGCATTTGTTGTTGTGATTTGCACATGCTGCATGGTCATTGGTTGTTGTTGTTGTTGTTGTTGATGGATTTGTTGTTGAGCAAGGTAATGAGATGACATGTCATTACTCATGGACATCATGTGATTCATTTCTCCAGCATTGGAATCCATCATGACATTATTTTCATTCTCGTCCATTGGTCCTGCTCCATATGAAAGTGATGAGTTATTATTATTATTCATCATGTATGCATTGTTGCCATTGGCAGGATAATTCTGAGTAGGTGGCATAAATCCTGATTTAAGAGCGACTGAATCTCTGTGTGAAACTGCGAAACGTCGTTCTGAAAATTCTTGAGAGTATTGTGGTAATTGTTGTGAATTGATTTGTTGAGGAGAGTGTTGTTGCTGGTTTTGTTGTTGTTGTTGGTGATGTGGATCTATCATCATCACTGGTATGTTGCCATTGTTGATATTTGCATAGGATTGCATTAGCTCAGTATCTGTGAATCTTGTAGTATTAGTATTGACTTGTTGATGCATGGGTCGTTGGCCCATAGGGATTGTATTGTTCATCATTGGGGAAGCATTCCATCCATTGTTGTTAAGATTTGGAGCATTCATGTTCGTATTCTGGTGGATGTTGTGGTGTATCACATTGGATGGTGTGAGCTCACCATTCATTGGTTTCTTTCTTCTTGCCATTGCACTCAATGCAGCACTTGCTGATAGATGAGATGTCACATGAACTGGATAAATGGGTACAAAGTTTGCTCCATTTTGAGAATGATGATTATTGTTGTTATTGGATGGATTCATTTGTGAGGAAGATTGGGCAACACTTTCAGCACATGATGATGCAATGGTTGGAGAGGAATCTTCTTGTGACGATGAATTCATCATCATCATCATCATGACAGCTGTCATGTCGTGTGAAGAGGCATTGGGATTATTGGACATGATCTGTTTGTTTGCTTGAAGAATTGCCATCTCGCATGTCACGTTTGGATTATCTTCGAGAATTGTTCTTGCTCGTAGTAAGCTTTCGATCATTTCTCGTTGCTGAGCAGATTGCTGAGATGCCTCAACATTTTGGAGTGAGGCGATGTGTGCATCTAATTGTTGAAATTTTCGATCTTTACAGTTTTGTTGATTTCGAATGAAAACAAATTGTTCGCGAAATTTAAAGTTTCCAATTTTGGAAGTCGTGTCATCATCACAATTAGACAAAACGACATGACCAAAAGATAGCGTGGAGATGTTGATGGTCATAGGGTTATAATCATATCAATTGAATGTACAAGACCCAATATTGGGTGCGAATGCATCGGTGAGTGAAATCCAAATATTGGTTGAAGTGGAAGCGTATCAGTGTGTGATGATCAAACAATTAGTGTTCATATGGAAATCATTATTATTAGCAACAATGAAAGAATTGTACAGCTATACTTACAAGGCCATCTTTCAATATTGTGTTTTCTGCAAATATTTCTTAAACTGCTTTCACTCACTCCTAGTTTTTTGCTTGCTTCTTTCATAGGAAGCGCATAGAGGCTTTTCAAATCCTCTCTACGAACATATTCTGAGAGTGACATTTTAAATTGTTATTAGTACGGGTGGTTGTGTGCGTGTAGACAATTTTCAGTTTGTGAGAACGGGAGTTGTGGTGAGGATTTCGTTGTGTGATTTTATGGAATCGAGTACGTCACACAAGGGAGTGAAGATGGAAGGGCTGTTGATGCAAAAGTAGCTGGCTTCGATGTGACTGTTGTTGCCTGGTAAGAGATAATTTGTCTTGGACTGTCAAACCGGTAAAAAGAAGGATCAAATGTCAGTAGTCGAAAATTTTTTGCGATTCCAAGAACGCTGTCCAGCAGCTGGATGTTGGTTGGATTCACACCAAGATCGCGCAGCAGATATATTTTCATCATCACCATCATCATCACGAGTTTTCAATTTTCCACACATTCAAGACGACATCCAAGTGAAGAAAAAGGAAATTGGTGATCGCCAATTGCGAATCATTACGAATCAGTGAACAAAATCAGAATGATGATTCGTGATGATTTGGAAATGATACAAGAGCCAATTCATGAGGCGATTCAAAAATTGTTCATCAGCATCTCGTTCCAAATACATTGATTACCAATGACTTACCAACGTTAGAGTGAGGCTGAATGGAGTTATTTGTGAATCGGAGAGTTCCAACACAAACGAGCTCTGATACAAAAGTTGTCTTTGTTTTTTTGTTCGGCTTTTTGTTTGTCAACTGGCACGTTGGAAGGGGAAAAAAGTAACACATGACATGTGAAACTGTTGAGAAGCGAACATTTCAACCTCTACTCTTTCTAATTATGAGGCTAATGTTCCGTACATGACTTCTTCGAAAAGGTCAAAGACTCTCCTGCTTCAAAGCTTTTTACCCATTCAAGCCTTGATTATAATACTACAACCAACAAGGCAAGGAAAGAAGAATTAAGGAGAAGGAAGAACCTGAATGTATTTCCCCTCAGAGAGGCCTATTTTGCTCTTGTCCAAGATAAGAGTTTTACAGAAATTAGCATCATTTACCACAAGGTTTGAGAGGATGGAAGAGCTCTATCAAACCTTCAGCCGCAGCGAACAGCCATTCAGCCAGATGGTCCTGCTGCCAAAGTTTTGAAAGCTCTAACCACGCGCAGCCGTTCAAATCTGGATTTGAGTGGCTGAGAAAGGATTGTGAAAGAGCAATAAAATTATTTCAGAGGGAAGTATTATGCTCAAATAACCCGGAACAGATTTTTGTGATCGGTCCTCCTTAATGAAATTGAATGAGGCTGCTGGAATTAGGAGATCTACCATTTTTTTTTTGAACATTCTAAGCGAAACGCTGTTGACTCTTTATTCAGCACTTTTGGGATATCTATAATAAAAATTTGGGATGGATTGAAAACTTTTGAAACAGCCTTGTGAAACAATGTTTGGAGATGCAACTGATACGAGTTTCAAAAACTCATTGGCTGATGAGTCTCTGAGGATTCGGCTCGTTCACATGACCTGTTGGATTCAAATGGACAAATTCCCTTTACAAGACAACTGGTTAGTCAATAGGGTTCGCGGTGTTGTCTGGGAACGCAATGTTGTCTTGTTGTTGCAATGTAGCCTACACAATGTTCTTTACTCTTCTTCATCGAATGCACTCTTTTTCAGAGTAGTAAAATCCTTCTGATAGGTCAGTGTTGGATCTCGTAAGAATGTTCTTGCATCCTCAATTTTGTTTTGTGAGACAAATCTCAACAGTACCTCTTTCACAAGATTATTCACTTTTGCGTCGAGATCGGTATTCTCCTCCTCATTCTTTTGATCGGTCATGAGTCGAGCCACATCAAACATGAGTTTCCTCATGCACGGCACTGATTTAAAGTTGGTATTGAGATGAGCTGCAAATGCTTTCTGAGTTTTTGTTTCCTCCAAAATGGATTTCACTTGTTTCCGCAAATTTTCAGAAAATGAATCGAGAGTAAGGCCGAGTCGATCATTGAAAGCAGTCAAACGCTGCTTCTCTTCTTCAGTATTGAGAATGGGAATGAGATCGTCAATGCCACCTTCCAACACTAACCACCAAGCATGTGACTCATTCACAAAATTGAATTCTAATCGTTGTTTTTTAAAGTGCATGATACTGTACCAATCTGATTTTACCTTGTACATTTCACCATTCCAAAACCGGAGGACACATCCTTCAAAATCGTGCTTCTTTTTAATTTCAGAAATAATTTCAGAAACAGAGGTGCATGTCGTTGTGTCAAGAAAATCAAAATGTGTTGCCTTCACACAGTCCATGCCATACTCTCGAGCAATAAGAGTCATTTCATCAAAATCCACGTAATCTCCGTTGAAAGTGTCTCTCAATGCAATTAAATTCAATGAAGGCGCTTCATAAATAATAACAATTTTGTAATCTGGCGAACAAAATTCAAAAATTGGCGTCATTCCTTTCTCAATGTAATCCAAACAAAATTGAATGACATTTCCAAATTTAAAAGATTTTTGTGATTTCAAAAATTCATCAACAGTTGGAATGTGTTTTTCATAGTCTTCATCGCTTACTTCTCGGAGCCCGTAAATGTGTTTTTCACAACCACGGGAGGTTGAGTTGTGTCCAAAACCTTGTTTCGTTCTAAATCTTAACCGTTTTTCATTCAATGCATTCTTTTGCAAAATTGGAATGACCAAACTTCCATCTAATTTATCGAGAACGTGCATCTTCTTTCCCAATCGAATACTATGTTCGAGGTTTTGCTGAACTCTTTCCATTTTCGTTTCTTCCTTCTCGTCGACGTTGAAAAATTTATGCAAACATCTTGAAACGAGTTGTTTCGTTTCACTATCAAACGCTAAACCTCGTAATTCTCTTCGAATTAAATCATTCACTGTACGGATTGGTGATGGAAATGTGGTCGAGGTCACTCTCCGATAACTGATATAAACAAAACCCTTTCCATCGTGAATGATATTAAATTCTTTGGCATCTCCGATCGCTTCAAGACATTGATTTAAGTTCTTGATGATGGGCCATCCTTGGGAGCCAATAGTTGTGCCCATGATGAATGATGGATGCTGACTCGTGTTGTTGTTGTTGTTGCTTTCAAGACCGTCGTCGATGAACATTTTTTGTTGATTTTCAAGTTGCACTTCAGCATGTATTTTGTGTTTATGAAATTTCCAATCGATCTGTAGGCTAGCCTTTCGAAAGTGCAGTCACACACACCCACTAGTTGAGAATATAATTTCTAACCCACTAATGACCTTGTACAATACATTCAATCAAATTCTCCAATTCTTTTTGAATGGCCAATAACTTGTCGCGTGAAATAATGGGCTCCACACCCGAAAGTGACAACATCAGTTGTGCCTCTTTGTTGTGACTATCATCGGCAGGTAGGGTCAATGTACCACAAGCTAAGGCACTTGCAAGCGCTGAAGTGTTTGCCACTGTCTGTATGGATTCCACCAGTAAGGAAAATGAATCAGAGAATTGATAACATCTCTTCATGACATTATCTAAATTTCCATTATTGGTCAAAATGAAATTGAGTGGAATTCCTCCAAAATGAATGTCACTGGTTTCTAGGGATTTGAGAATGGCTTTTTCTCTATTGGTAGCTGAAGTCATGATATTGATGAGAGTGAACTGATTGATAAAATGTTTGGTGTGATTTTCCTTAATATCTTTAGCAATGTCAATGATGCTGGAGAGGAGTAAATTTTCTTGTTCTCTGTTATTGATGTCTTGTTTTCGATCAGTCATGGTCATGTTCATGCATGCAACATTCGGCGTGATGGTCACATCTCGCATCATGGTACCCACATGTACAGTCAATTTTGAGCCGTCCAACACCGACTGCAGACCTGGTAGAAGTGAAAGTCCTACAGGATAACCGATTCTCAAAGTGTTGCTGAATGGTTTCTGTTGTGAATGCTCATTAAGGTAATATTGACAGGCCGCTCGAAGATAAGCATGTGATAAAAGTGAGATCAAGAGTGAATTTTGTGAAAGGGCATGTAATTTGGAAAAATTCTTCAAGGCCTTTGTACGAGTTCCATCCAATGCTAACTCGGTCAAGCACATTTGTCTCTTTTCATATCTCTTACTTTCATCGACAAGTGTTTGATTAATTCTTGTTGTTAATGTTTTAAAGACCCAAGGAATTCCATACATCAATGCCTTCATTTTGTTGATGAATGAATTGTAGTTAGATTGTAAAATTATTTGGTCAGAGGAGGGTAATAATTTTCGACACGAGTGGTGGCCACTGTTTCTGTTCGCACTGTTGCTGTGTGTATTTTGCCATATGTTTTCACATTCTTTTAAAACGGCTCCAATGAAGTTTGACAATGACAATCCATCACCAATGCAATGATTATAACAAAACATGAGCGAGAGTTCATCGTCATCTGCGTGATAATATACTTCCAATTGAAAATTCTTCTCCAAATCAAATCTTTTCTGCAATAAATATTTTTCCAAATAGTCACGCAAAGAGGAATATTCATGACGATCGAATTGAATTTCATAGAATGGAATTTCTGGTACATGATCATCATCCAACATGACAAATTTAAATCCAGTACTAGAGCCACCTTCATTGCTACTGCTTTTCCCCTTCTCTTCATCACTTGAAATGATTTTACTTCGTAATAAGGGTTGACTTTTTTGAATTCGTTTTAAAGCCTCTTTCAATAATAGATGAAAAGTGTTCTTCCAGATGGATGGTTGAAAAATTGAATCGGAATGGGTGGATGGTACAATTTTAAATCGTAAAACTCTCCATACAAGCCCATTTCCGTATTCTTTCATTGACGGAGTGAGATAGGATCTTTCCGAAAGTGAAACAGGACGTTCATCAATAATTGAGACATTTTGATGATTCAAATCTTCAATATCGTTATTCAATTCAAATGAACCATTCGCAGCTAACTCCAACGAGGATTGGGAAAAGGAGAAGCATCTTGTTGATTGCAAAGTGATCTGAGCACACAATTTCCGCAATATTGATTTTGAGAAACAACGTTGTTTGGGGAAGAGACAGCTACAAATGGGGAGTGACATTTTTTGATGAGATTCAACAAGAATAACCAAGATTCTTTTGTGAACATGTCGCCCATACACTGTTTCCTTTACATATACTCTCGTCACTAATCCACCCAGGTCATATATCCATCTGTGGCTTCATTTACTTTGATTCGTTCACGTTCTAAAACACTTCACTTCCTTAACTTATCTTTGTCATGAAGCCGTCGTAGCTCAGTTGGATAGAGCACAGGACTTCTAATCCTGGGGTCGTGGGTTCGAGTCCCGTCGTCGGTAAATTGTTTTTTCACTCATATAAACCATTTCAAGGATTCCATTTTATTCAAACGCAGATTCTGTTGTTTGTTAGGACTGTTTGTAACAAGAGTATTTGGTAAGCTATTCATCTTCCTCATTTTCTTCAGATTTTTCATCATTCTCTTGAGAATTCTCATCTTCATTATCATCACTGTCGCTCTCCTCATTGTCGTTATCACTCTCTTCAGGACTATCATAATCGCTGTCATATTCAACAAACAGCGAGCTTCTAAAAAATTCCAAAGAGTCCAACACATTTTGTCGATCTTCCTTGCTTCCAAACACATTCTCGATCAAAGATTTCATGTTTGCAAAAAAAGTCCCATCCATTCTAGAAATGACATGAATTTTCGAACGTACGTCCTTTTTAAAAAGCAATCCTAAAAGAATGGCCATATTCGTATATTCACAGGTCAATTCCATTTCTGGTAGTTTTGTCAGCTCACTAAACTTCTTGTACTCACTGGAGTTGATTAACTCTTTTTCGTCTTCACAATGGAACACCACGACATGAAGTTTCAGCTTCTTTAGCATTGGAAAGGATGGTTTTAACAACATTCGAAACAATTGAATGATTTCCAAATGTATTGTCAATGGTTCAATTTCAATGTATCGCAAATTCGGAAACCAACTCACAAGATATTCATTCATCATGTCATTAATATTCGTGGCATCTGACGTGTATTCCAAAAAAACACCTGTATCATTATATTTAAAAGTAGTCACTGAAGAATTAGAGGAAGAAACATGTTCCAAGTCGTACAAGTCCTCAATTTCTAAAGTTTTGAGATTTGAACATTCATTGACAATTAGCTGGAGCACTTCTTTACAAAGACTACTGTTGAGACGAATGTGTTCAAGTTCTTGCTTATTCAACTTGATGAAAAGTGGACTCAATAAATGTCCTTCATCCGAATATATTTCAATGTATTTGAGTTTGTTGAAAGGAAATGGTTTCAAATGATCTTTCCTTGTTCTATGTTCTGTTTCACTGTCATTCACATCAACCGTTTTAGTCTCTGTTTCATTCACCGAATCAAATTGATCAAAAAGATGATATCTATCATTGTCATTAAGAGTGCATCTTTTGACAAGGTCATAATTTGGCATTTGAAGAGCTTTGGAATAGTTCAAACAAATGAATTCAAAACAATTGGCCTCCACAGAAAATAGGACTTGATGGAATTGCTTATTCACAAGCATCAAGTTGAAATAACTGTTGAGATGAGAAATGTATTTGAAAATTTCTGCTAATAAATCGTCTGAAACGTATTCATGAAAGGAGAGTTCAAGAGGAAATGAAAAGGTCGGTTTCATCTTGGAGAAAGCATCTTGTTGCTTGATTTTCTTGTTCTTTGATTTGGTGGTGGTTGTTGTGTGCGAACGTTTCATTTTTTCCTTTTTTTTGGTAAGTGACAGTAGATATTTATCCTCGCCATTGTAATCCATTGACACTCACTGTCCCAAATTTATTGAATTGGAAGGATGTTACACCTTCTCCAGGCTATGTCATTCAATGAGCATTAAGAATTTAATGATATTTTTCGAAACAAAATTGTAACAAAAAGCGGTCATCCCGAAAAACCTCTTCCACTCAGCGAACCACTCAAAATCACTTATTCATTATTTTCAATCACCTGTTATCGATGAAATACTTTCCAACATGCACTCTTTTGTACAATCCTGCACAAGTTTGATTAAAATTCCCTCTCTTCAAACGACCAAGTGAGCACTCACTTGTCAATTTCATTCCACCCTCCAATCCAGTGAAAGACAACCACATTCTCTCTCTCTGTTGACTCGCACTCACAAGATGACACACAAAAAAAATGTCAGAGAAAAAACTTTCGTCCTCGACATCACCCAATGTTTCTTCCTCTTCGTCGAGCTCGACCAGCGCTCCATCCAAACCAGTCAAAGGCATCCAAAAATTGGCAGGTGACATTGGTAAAAAGTACAAACTTCTTGTCCAAATTATGACCAGTGATCCCAGATATGCCAAAGCTCTCGCCGATGTCGTTCCACCAGCCCAACACGAAAAACTTGCTGACTCTCTCATCAGTTTGTCCTATGAAATTGGTGCTTCATTGGCCATCATCAAATCATTGATTGGTTTAGAATTTGATCGAAAACAACAACATCCGAATACCATCCTTCGTGTGAACTCTATTGTTTCCAAAATGATGGGTAAATATACCAAGAGAGTGGGTACTGAATACTTGAGATTACTTTTAGGAAAGGTCGTTCAAGAAGTGGTAGAACAAGCAGAGACACTCGATTTGGAAGTTGACCCAGAGAAAATTTCAGGCGATAACAAACAAGAAATTATTGACAAGAGACTTCAACAAATTGAAGAAGTGTGTCAGAGATTTGTCGATCGTATCACAAGTGATGCCATGATTGAAGAAATGCCTCGAGAATTGAGAGCTGTGTGTTACTTTTTAAAACAAAATGGAGAATTCTACAAGTTTGATATTGAAAAGATGATTCTTCCATTGGTCTCTGGATTTGTGTGTTTACGTTACATTTGTCCAACCATTGCCATGCCACAAAATGCTGATATTATCAAAATGGATGATTGGAAGAAGGGAAATGTGAGACCTAATTTGACTCAAATTGCAAGAGTGTAAGTACTTGTTGTTGTCATGATGTTAATCCATGGTGATGATGATAATGTGATTTATTCCATGATGATGATGATGACATTTGTGGTGCTATTGCCAACTATTGTGTGATGATGATGATTGGTCATGATGATGATGTAAATGGGGTGGTGGTTGATGTGTTGTTGCATATCTCTCTCTTGTCGACACACCTGGAATGTCAACCCGACCATTCTTCCTGTGTGTACATTCATTCATTTGATAACCACCTGTCTGCTGTCATCATACTTCTTCTTGAACAACAACAACAACAACAACACTTCATTGACCTTGCTGTGTGTCTTCTTTCATCGCTTTGTTTTCTGCTCAATGACTACTTGTCACTGCGTACCAATATGCAAACTCCGAAACAACAACAATCCTTCTTCCATCACACCTATTCCACTCCATGACTGTCTGATGTGAACATTGAACTCGCGTGTGTGAAATGAACCATCACCAATACCGTCCTAAATAATATCTTATTAATATTATTATATATATTATTATTATGAAATACATTTATTATGATATACATGTATAATATAGTATTCAAAAACTGGCCAATGGTGAATTGTTTGATACTGCCACACCTGCTCTCATGCCTCTCAATGGTTGGATTCAAAAGAATCAAAATGTCATGTTGAGATATTTGGGTCAACTTCCCATCGATCCCAAACAACAAGAAGGAATGAATCCATTCGGTGATTTACAACGTTCCATTACCTTTGAAGACATTCACTACAAATCCTTTGATATGGAAGATTTACTCTTTCTTCACACTCTGATTTACGATTATGGTTACGAGTTGATTGTTTCCTTGCAAAATGAAGTCATCATGACTCATGACAAGAGGCCTGTGAGTATTGTGAGTACAGAGACAGACTTTCTTTCACTCGTTCAAGATTTAGGTCCACCACCAGAAAGAGAACGAAAGATTCCACCACCAGAGAAGAAACCTACGACCGATGATCGTAGAGGCAGTGTGAAAAAACAAGGAGCAGGCACACCGACTGACACACCTACAGCAACACCAAACAAATTGCAAAGAGAAACTCTGGTGGGTGCAACCTATGATCAAATTCAAGACAAGGTTCTTGAACGTTCGATGGACAACTTGATGAAGAATGCTGAAAAGTTTGATTTGAGTGAAATGGATCGAACTCGATTCTTGTACGTCGGAAAACCCACTCGAACCAATTTACCTGTGGTTTATTTGATTTTGCATCGTTTGAAACAAGAGTTCTTGAATCACAATGACAAGTTGATGATTTATATTTACAAAACTTTGGGTCAAATTTTCAATGGAAAATATTGCTTGATTATTGATTTGAGTTGGGCAGAAATGTCTGATGAATATCAAGCATTGCTTTACAGAGCTGTGGTTGCTTTTGCTCGATTGATGAAGATTGAACACTTGTCAAACTGTCAACAAGTTTATGTCTTGCATCCAAACTTCAAGACCAAGAATGCTGTTGATGATATTTTCAACATTATTCCAAACGAAACAAGACAGAGACTCATCAAGATCAAATACGATTGGACATCCTTGAGTGACATTATTGAACCAATCAAAATTTGGATTCCATTCGTTTCTAAAAAGTTCATTCCAACAACCTACAATCTCATGCAAATGAAAGGTGAAAAAGGAGAAGGTGGAAGCGAACGTCTGTTGAAAATTACCAATGAATCTCTTCTCGTGTTAGATTCCAAATTGGGAACTGTTCTCGATGAAATTCCATTCAGTACTATTATTGACATTAGAACCAAAAAACAAACCAATGAATTCATTATTAGACATCGATCTGAAACTGAACAACAATTGGAACAGAGAGGAGGAAATCTTGGTTACATTTCCAAGTCCATCACAACACCTACTCCACAAGAAGTTCAAAAGAGATTTAATTGCGTTTCGGATCAACAACGTGACAATCTTGTTGAAACGATTGCAGATGTTGGTGTGAGATTTACCTCATTGGAAAAGCAACAAACCTTTGTGGTTGAGAAAGATACCAAATCAGGAAAGAGACAAAAGAGAATTCTCAAATTTGCCTATGATTCTGTTCTTGTGTTTAAGGATGGTGTCATTAAGAGAGAAATTCCATTCTCCACTCTTCAATCATTCTACATTGACAAGGAAAATAAGACAAGACTCTTTATCAATTTCATGCTATTGGGAAGAAAGAAGGCCTATGTGGTCTATCATGAAAATGCCATTTCACTTCGTGACAGTCTTTTGGATACTGTTCTAAGATTCAAGTTCAATGTTGATCTCGAAAAGGAATTATTTATTAGAAAAGATTTGGATGTTGTGGTGGATCGTTTCTTCTCAGCTGCTAAAGATAAATCTCTCGGTGACGATGAAAATTTAACATCCTCTGATATTAAGCAATCGATCAACATGAACAATGCCTCAGAGGATATTAAGAAATTATTCCACAAATTCCATCCTCAGTCCGACAAACGTGCAGTATTGAATGTTGAAAAGATGAAAATCATTGCGAATGGTTTAAATGTTGATTTTACAACTGAACAATGTGAACACCTGTTGGAAGTTTTAGATGAAAAGAAGATGGGTTATGTGGTGTTGGATGATTTGGTTCGAAATTGGATTTTCAATAAGAGAATGAAGGGAATGATTCAAAAGAGAAAGGAAGCTCAACAAAAGAGAACTGAACTTTTACAAAAACAAGGATCTTCCAATTCGGTGAACTCTGTGAAAAATTGAAATCTTAAACAAATAGAGAACCACCCACAACTAGTCGATTGAGAAGTTATTGAATAAATTGTTGCTTTTGTATTTTATCCAATCCGTAACTATGAAAAACCAACATTGGAAGTTGTCCTTATATATCAATGCTGTAAAATTTAACTCCATCATGAATTCTATTGGCTGTGTGATGGCATCGCATGTCCTCCAAATTGTCCGTCTGCGTGCATTTTGATGTCTGGAATATATAAAGGCATTGTTGTTGCTTCAACTCGATCTCATTTGAAGAAAAAATCATGATTCGAAAATTGTCTTCTCACCACCACCTTTTAGTGAAAAAGTACTATTTGCCACTAACAACCCTCACAAGAACCTATCATAGCACAGGTTCACTCCATTCATCATCGTCTTCTCTGCCGAAAGTTTCATCTTGGCACAAGACATCAACAACAACTGTCAAATGTCCCTTCGATCATCAAAATTCATCCATGACCACAATGATCCACAACGATCAAGTACCTGAAGATTCCTTCTCAGAAATGAACACTTCTTCAAATCCTCCACATCATCAATCTCTCAAATCTTTTGATGATCTTCCAGGACCCAAACCTTTACCATTCATTGGAAATTTATTGGAATTCTCGAAACATAAAGGAATTCCAAATCAATACTTGTACGAATTGTGTGAACAATATGGAGAGATGGTGAAAATTAAATTACCTTTTCACAATGCCTTGCTCATTTCGAATCCAGAGATTATTGAACAAGTGGTGAAGAAGGATGATCGAAGAGAATCTCCTCAAGCTTTGAGGTATTTTAAGCAGAGAAATAATATTGAATTGTTACCTTTAGGTAAGTGACAAGTGACAGCCACCTATTTGTTGAACATTTCAATGATCACTCCCACACTAGAAATGAACTATTATGAAGATTGGCAATCCATTCGAAATTTATACAACATTGCCATGAAACCTGAAAACTTGGAAAAAGTCAGCCTGCCACAAATCACTCAACTCAATAGTGACTTTTTGAAACTTGTCATCAGTAAATTGCAAAAAGTAGAACAACAGAATGGACCTTTCAAGAATACTTACAAGCTTGCCAATGCCTTTGACATTACCTCTGTGTATACATTTCGAGCAGTCACAAAAGTTTTTCTTGGTGTGAATGTGAACAGTGAACTTGTGGAAAAACAACTTCCTTGGAGTATTGATGAATTTGTGGATGCAAGTGTAAGAGGAACAGATATAGCAATTGCTCTCGGTATGAAACCTCCTTTTTACAAGTTGTTTAAAACTCGTGAATATCGAGAAATGGAATTTCTTCTCAACAAATCCTTTCAAGGTTGTAAAATATTTGTCAAAATGTTTGACAAGAATCCAAATCCAGACATGCCTCGTTTGAAGGAATTGATCGATGAAAGAGCCTCTGGAATGCCTAATCCTGAACAGAAAACAGCTGGTGTTTTGAGTGCGTTTATAACAGGAGGTGTGGACATTACTTCACGAATTATGGTCAATGAAATTTATCGTTTGGCCCATCACAAGGAGTATCAAGAAAAGTTATATGAAGAGTTGAGACAAGTATTTGGAGAGCCTTCAGTGGATGAATTTACTTCTGAATTTGGTTTACAAGTGACTGCAGACAAGTACAAGAAATTGAAATTGACAAGACATTTCTTGGAAGAGACTCTTCGAATGAATTCTTTCTCTTACTTGACCAATGGAAGATGGTTGTTGAATGACATTGAATTGAATGGTTATTTAATTCCAAAGAACACTCGAGTGATTATTATGACGTATCATCCAAGTATGAATGAAAAATATGTGCCTCGAGCGAAAGAGTTTATTCCAGAGAGACATGAAAAGGGACATCCACTCGCTCCCAAATCCATGTATTGCAAGTAAGTGTTAAGAAGGTCATGATGATCATGTTGTGACATTATGAATTCTTTTAATTGAAAAACATTGTAAAGTCTTCCTTTTGGAATTGGTAAGTGAGAAATATAATGTCAAAAAAAAACAAATTCCTGATGAAACAACTGACCTTTTTAAATTCATCCTTCGTAGGTGCTCGAAAGTGTCCTGGAAGTAGGATTGCCAGTACCGAGTTGCATTTTGCGCTCATTAATTTGGTCAGACACTTCAAGTTGACACATGAACATGATGAAAAATTTCCAGAAACGAGTCATGATCAATCCATGTTATATATTGACTCTAAGAAATATCCATTGTATCTCACTCCAAGAGATCATTTGAAACCCATTGTGGAAAAGCATTTTGAAGAATCATCCAACAACAGGTTGTAACACCAAGATTTTGAGATTTTACCTGACTGACTTTTTCTGGACAATATTACATTTTATTTGTGACGGTGCAATTTCAACTTTCAACAATGAATTGCTGTTGTTTCAAAGTCAATCAATTTTACTGTTGTTATTTCTTTTGTTGAAAAAACATCCTAACAGGTCACTTTCGATATTGATTGGCGAACAACCATTTGACCGACCACAACATTCGTTTGGAAATTTTCCATTCCTCCTCAACGATTAGTATTCAAAATCGCACTCATAATGAGAACATCAAAACAAATAAAAAGCTTGTAATCACCATGTCAACAGAAAATACTGCCACCACTTGCAGCAACACTGTTCAAAGAACTGGATCCTGTCGATGTGGTCAATTACGCTTCTCTGTGAAAGGCAACACTCGCCTCTACTGTGGTTTGTGTCATTGCAGAAATTGTCGATTGGCCACCTCAGCTCCAGTGGCTCTTGTCATTGGAATTTCAAAAGATAATTTCGAATGGACGCACGGAAAGGACACTGTGTTAAAAACTGTGAAAATCTCGGACCGAATGGAGGGATATTATTGTGGACAATGTGGTGGTTATATGGCACAAGGAATGCCTGAATATCCTGTCATTGGAACTTTGGGTTGTGTCTATGATGACATGAAACAAGAATTTTGTCCGAGGGATATGTTGCAAAGTGATGAGGACGTGAAACAATTTTTCTCTCCCACAGCTCATGTGAATTATGAGAATCGTGTAATTGACATTCCAGATCAATTGCCAAAATATATGGATTTCCAGAAACCGATTGGCTCAGGAAGATTGTACCAAGAGCAATAAATTGAACTCTCGAGTTGTTTTTGAAGATTGAACTGTCAAGGATTTCTATCGAGGAAACGCAGAGATCGGATTTTAGGATTGGAATAGATTTGGATTTGACATTTATTGATCGAACGTCGTATTCAACAATTACTTTTTGTAATATTGTTTCAATTGTTTAACGTAGCCTGGTTGAATGTTGTTCTTCTCTAAGTAACTGAGATAGCTTTGGAAATCTGGAAGGTGGAATACATCATCCGAAAGCTTTCCCTTAAATTTTCCAAATGGAATTGGTTGCGTTGGGTTAAATGAAAATCCTTTCTTTTGTGAAGAAGATGATGGTGCAACGGGTTGTTTTGAATATTGAGCTGGACCGTCATCTTGAGTAGCAAAGTTGTCAAACATGGACTCTTCTCCATGTACGACCGAAGCAGAAGGTGGAGACACATCTAATTCGCTGATTTCATCTGCAGTGGTCACAGTATTAGCAACGGGAGGGGTGGTATCCTTGTTGCTAAATGCTGACTTTTTCTCGACATAAGGATAGCCAATTTCTCTATCTTTTCTTCGGTACAGCTTTTTGGTTTGTTGTGTTTTCACATGCTCACAAAACACTGCCACAACATTTTTCTCTTTCCACTCCAAAATGAAGTTTGGATCCCAAAGTTCACTTGCAATTCCAATGTCTTTACAGCATCTCATTAGTGCATTTGATTTTGCTCCTTCGAGAGAGCTTCCAATGCTCTTATAGCCTGAGGTATCAACAGTTTGCTCTCCAAATGATTGGCTTACAAATTGTCCATGACATATCAATGCAAATTCTTGAATAACATGTCCATTCTCAATTTTGTAGTCTGATTTTGGAATGAGACACCAACCACCAGGCCCGAATGCCTTGTTCAAAATTCTTCTGTATTTAATTTCGGGAAGATACAAAATACCATCAGGCTTAACTTCAATATCTTCATCGGGAATTGGTGCCATTAAAATAGAAGCCACCTCTGGGGAGAATGGTCTGCTTCCAATTCTACTATAGACCGAACCATTACCAGAGATATCAGTTCTCATAGAGGTGATAGTGGAAGGTGATGGTGGTTCGGAAATGTTTGCAATCGATTCATGACTTTGCAAAGCCTCTTCAAAGAATGGATCATCCACTTGATTTCTCAATATTTTGTTTCCGTATCCAAAAGTTCTCACGCCATGGTAGATGGATGCGCGGTCTTTGGAAATTAAAATCGTTGATGCTCTTGATGGGTTGTGGTGCATCAACAACGACGAAGCCGAATGAAGCAAGGAGAGTTTTGAGCGCATTTTTTTGGTTTTGTTCGGAATTTCCAAAAGTGTTGGTCTTTCATCTACCTCTTCAATTTGATTGAGTTTCATAACTTTCGAAAACGTTTTATGTGTATTGAAGCGCGCGGTTGTACATGCACACTCAAGAATAATATTAAAAGATAGGTTCCACTCATCACATCTCATGCGGTGAATAAATGGTGGCTGGAGAAACCTTAATTGCATTATTTGCTGATTCTGAAAACACCAATTTACGAAGTAGATTCAAAATTTCATTCTGTTTGACGAGAGGAGCAATTGACAAGTCAAAAGTTTGAAAAGGGTTGTCGATCCAAGTGATCAATGCTGTGTCTGTACCCTTCACAACATCAATATGCAAAATAATACACCCACTGTTGTGAATAAATCTTTTCGAGAGTTTTCTCTGGAAGGAATCAGGGATGAAATTGAAAGGATGTTCACACACTGCATTTCTAATTGTGTACATGACTTCGAAAGATGAAATAGGAATTCTGACATAACTCCTGAATGGATGAATATTTTCCAAAGGATCAAAACCTTGTTTGGAGTCTTGTTTGACCTCTTGCTTGGAGTTGTAATTTCCATGCACAAGTCTCTCAGCAGCCTGCTTTGACGCATGAACATAATTGGTATAATTATCAATTTCAGCAGGTGTTTGAATCATGGCAAAACCACACTGGCGAGCTCTCCTCGCGAGTGATTGCAAAAACTCATCGATTAAGGCTGCAGTACATACCAGCCATTGTACTTTGAAGGCCCAAAACTCTGCCGGATGATATGTTCCCTTATAAACAATATTGATCCACTCAACACGACTATTGTCATCAATACCACCCTCTTGAGGAACATATTGGAATTTTGATGTTTTAACAGAAGAGACGGGAATGGAGTGAGAGGCCGTTTGTTGAGGCAGAAATTGCTGAGCACTATTGGAGTTGGTTTGAGGGGAGGTGTCTTTGGAAGATGACTCTTCTCCGATAATCATGACATCAATGCCGTCACCATCCATTGCTCTGAAATTTCTATTGATAATGGAGTCTTTGAATTTTCTAAAACTCTTAATCCTTTCAGCGTACTCGTTGGAATTTGACAGAGCTTGTGAAAAAAGGTCACCATTCGAAGATGAAGTCGTACCTGATAGATTTGCAGAAGGAGAATGCGTACTCGAGAAGCTGGAATTGTTGTTAAAGGCTCCAAAGAGCTGTGTCGTGGACGAGAATAAATGTTTGTTTGAGTTCATGATTGGAACGAGATGAAATTGTAGTGATCTGTTATGAAGTTCGTCTGTCATTTGATTGTGATCTCCGCAAATGAGGTAATCTAATTTGTTCCAGTTATAATCAACTGAAGAATTAAAACGAGTCACTCGAGATTCATAACTGTCAAGAGTTGGATTCCATAACATGTATCGGTAAGTGTAGCTAGATCTTGCATTGTTAAATGGATCGGCGCTGTTATTGGGAACACTTTGAGAGGAAGCCAAACTGGAAATGTTATTGCTTGAGTTTGAAAGGCTCTTTTCAGCCAGTGGCTTGTTGGAGGCTTTTGGAACATATCTCTCAATAGTGATCATGTTCGAGATGTTGGGGTTGTACGTGATTCTATGGAATTGATTTGCAGATGAAAGACAGTATTCCATCTTTTGAGGTCTCGACTTTTGTAATTTGGACAACATACTGTCATTGGCAGAATGAGTTATTGAGTCTGAGTTTGAAAATATGGAATGGGAAGACGATGCATGTGTAGCATTTCTGCGACCTCTCATGCTTCCTCTTCCTCGTAGGGCTCCTCTAACAGCTCGACCTCCTTTTTTAACTCCATTGCTTGACTCGGTGTTGGAGACAGAACTACTCGTCGAAAGTGTGTCCGAGTCTGCCGTATCCTTATTATTGGTGACATTGCTGTGATCGGAATTGGTGTTCGATGCATTTTCCAAAATAAGTGGTTCGTTTGTAAGAGGATCCTTGGGCACATCATCATTGAACAATTGGAAACCTTGATGTAATCTCTGACAAACCAGCTCTCTCACAAGTGTTGCAATATTGTTTTGATAAATATCATTTGTATCCGTAATACTGTGGGTATGCAAGTCAAAATCATTGAGAATTTTAAGTGCACTCTCTGGCCAATAATCTGTAGTGAGGGGCAGACATGCAGGTTCTGTCATACTTTGCCAATTCACATTAAGGAGAAAGTGTTTGATGTATTCGGCTTTTTGAGTCGGCCTCAAACCCGAACTAGGATGGAGATGGCCCCATCTTCTTCTGTGGAACGTGTTTTGTTGGTTATTACTTTGAAGAGCACTTGGACTTGATAGGCTTTCAGAGTCCAAATGAAATGGGTTGTAGAGTTTCATGTAGAAGAGTTCTTTGGCCTTATGTCTTTCTGCAAATTCAGCCATGAATTCTTTTGCTCCAGAATGAGGTGAGTGTCGTCTCAAAAGAGTAGTTGAGCTGTGTTGAGCGTTGGAGTTGTTGTTAATATTGGTAGCAGTACTCGCAGAGCCAGAAAAAGAATTGTTGCCTTGTTGGTGGTGGTGATGATGATTTCCTACCGATTGGTGTTGAGAAGAATGATGAGCTGGAGGATGTGAAGTGGCGTTGCTTGGAGTGCTGGAATTTGAGTTTAGACCTTGGTCCATGAATGATTCGTGAGTAGCTCCTGTACTGCCTGAACTGCTTGGAAAATTGTGGTGTTGGCTGTCGATATGTCTCAACTCTTCGAGATGAGGGTCTACTACAACCATGTGATGACCATGAGATGACTTTGGACTAATGATTGCATTAGGTCCACTTTCCATGTCCCTCTTTTTTGTTGGTGTGTTATGAATAACAGAATCATTACTGAGAGAGCTCAAGGTCTTTTTAGGATGAGGCATTGATGAAGAATGTGACAAGGTGGAGGTGTTACTTGTGGATTGCGTGAGTCTGTTGATTTGGAAAATTTTGAACACATGGTCATCATGTTGACGAAAAAGTTCGGTCAGACTGTTGTGAGAATTAGATGAGGAGTTGTTCATGTTGAAAGCTTGAATGTTTAGCCAGTACTTTTCAAAAAGAGGCAAATTTGTCGGGAGGTTGTCCAGGTTGGGCATTTTGGAAACAGGAAGGAATAAATTAGTGGCACCATCCGAGCATTCACAATCGTCATAGTCTTGATTAATATCATTTTTGAAGTAGTTGTCTCGATAGAATGTAATGTTGATCCAATCTGGTGATCGATAGTAAGTATATTCTTTCATTGAGGGAGACTCAGCATTGTGAGAAAAGCCAATTTCTTTCTTCTTGTACTTGAAAATTGGAACGGAATGCAGAGGAGGCACAGATAATGCAATGAGGTCAACCGAAAGACCTACATCCATCAATCTCTTTGTTGTGATCTTTCCAAGTAATGGTATTTGTACATTAAACATTCCACAACCAGGTGATACCAATAGAATAACTTGACCTGTACGTGACAAGTCACGATTTAGGTAATACTTGTCAAAACTGTTAAGGACTAGATTGATTGCTTCCATGAAATTTCCATCTGGTGCCGACGAGTTGGTGAGTGATACTTTCTCTCTCTCACATACGCTCTGAATGTATGATTGGAATTTTAAAAATTCTGTTTTTAACCTTACTCGAATAAATTGGGACCTTGTTCGTTGAGTTTCACTCCAGTCTACTACCTTATAAAAGTCAACATATCTTCTTCCATCTTTTGAGCCTAGTATAGAATGAAAAATGCTTGTCTTATTACCAAGAGATGCCATATCTTCCTCTCTATTCTCTGAGAAGGAATTATTTTGGTCATCTTCCGTCAAGTAATGCCTAGAAAAGAGAACAATTGAGAGCGAATGGTTGACACCAATCTCTCTCCATCTATCAAATACAGTCTTAATAAATCCATTAATTACTCTTTCAAAATTTAAATTTCCATATTCATCATATTCCCACATTTCCCTACTCATTTGAAATAGCCAATAAATAACAGCAGATTTAGAACGGTATGTAATTTTTGTGTGGCCATAAACGATAAGTCCGGCTGATACTTTTCCAACACTTTCTTTCATCAATTCCTTGACTTGTACACGAATTCCACCATGCCATGTCAACATTTTTGATTCGTACACGCTTGTGTCATTCAGATAGAGGCCAAATCGCCACATATCAGACCTAGAGAGAAAGTGATCTCTCAATGAAAATACTACATAATCCAACATGGCGTTCTCTTTTGGAATTACTCGCAAATACACTTCTCTTCTTGGTTGAAATTCGAAAATATCCGCAATGCTTTTTAAAATACTCAAATATTGGATTCCCTTCATTGTTTCGAGGGAGGAAATTTTTACAATGAATGCCTTGTTTGTTGTTGAATTTGAGTTCGTAGTAGAATTGGTATTTTGATTGATATTATTACTAATGGTGACATTTCCAACCGAAGGTGCTTGTTGTTTCATTGCTCCAGTACTTCCCATTGTTGGAGGTGTTGGAGCTCTGATTGATAAATTTTTCTCTCGGAACGATGAAGAAAAGGGAGACGAAGAAAAATTATTGTCCAACGTGTTTTGATTTGTTGTGCTTGAAATGTCGATGGGTGTGGATGTTCCTCCTGTTACAATTAACTGAGAGGAAGAAATAGGAGATGATGCCATAACAGGCTGTTCATGAATGGGAATTGAATTTGGGGGAGCTTTCGGTTGTGTAATTTCCAGAATGTCTCCTATTTGAAGCCAATTCAAGGCTTTTCCGTTTATAATAATTTCTTGTTCACTGAAATCTTTTTCGTGAACGAGTAAAATATATTTTCTATACGTAGAGGAGGAGGAACCTGATGAGGATGATGACATGCCTCCATGATGATGACCACTACCACCACTCGGAATATTTGCGGGAGTTGAAATTGTTGGTATCTGTTGAGTCTGATTGAAAGTACTTGTTGTTGATGGAGAGGTTGCTCCTGTCGTAGAAACATTATTATAGATTCCAACGCCATTATTATTTGTAGTTGTGTGATTTATCATATTTGTGCTTCCATCCTGAGTTGTTGTTGAAGAGTGATTGAAAGTCGTCGTCGTCGGAGGTGGTTGGGGATGGTGAGAGGAAGAGGATTTGTGAGGATGTAACCTTCTTGGTTTTTGCATTTTTTAGTTTGAATTTGGAAATGATGTGAATAACTTGGCTCTTCATGACAGCTTCGACTGACAACTTTGAGCCAACTTTCTGTGTTGGTGGCCAGGGTAGGTGAAAACATTCATGTGTGATTGGAACAACCTCTGTGAATATTTACTTTTGAAAGCATCAGAAACATGAAACCATCTATCTGTCTTTCACAATGGTTTTTTCTTTAGAAGGAGGACCAAGAAGAATGTACCTTTTAAATAAACCCTTTATGGGGCTTACTATATTTGATTTGGGAGTCTTACCTTGTTTGTGTTCAATTCATCGACCTAAATCAAATTTTGACAAAAGCCATGTAAAAAGTTTACAATAGAGGGCCGGAAAGCTTCAAGACCACGAGATCGTTTACAACACTGCACAAAAAACAAATAGTCAACTCCTTTTCCCAATTCTATCAACAATTTGTGAAAAAGATACATTCCGAAGAAGGTATCCAACACTCCAGAGTCCTTTGATTAATAATCGAACTTCGAGACCACCTCTTGTTGGAGGATTATTGTCGGAACAAGGAGACAATCTCTCACCACTCTCCTGTGTATTGTCTCATAACAACAACGTTGTATTCTTGATCTTGGAAAGGTACGTACTTCTCAAAGAACATCTCCTCGAGTGTACGAGACAAGTGAATAATGAACTAACTCTTTCGGTTTCGATACATTCAACAACAACAATACACATCATTCTCGATTGAAATCAACAACAACAACAACGCTCTCATACCTTCATTGCCTTGATCAATGTTCATCCTTGTAATGGTGTGGTCCCAATTTTGATTCTGAATGACCTGTAATGTGTATGTTCTGAAACCCATATATATTCAATTCCGATTTTCATTATCCAACACCACACTCACCACTTTGCTGCTCTGTGTGATTCCCTTCATTAGGTTGTTCCAAATCCATCGTTTTCTGTGTTCCCTCAACAATAACAACAGTACCATAGCGTCAAAACCTTCTCCATCAAACAGGTGTGAGTTTCTTGCTTCTGCTGTGGTGACACTTCTCTCCGTGTTGTACTCCTAGAGAGAGCAGCGTGTGATTCCAAAGGCAGCCATCCAAAAAAAAACTCTCTAATTCTTCCACCAACTGCAGAAAAGCTAATCTCCTCTCTGGAAAATAGCTGCAGCCCCAGTTTTGATTACTCTCTCTCTCAAACAAACAGGCTAGCTACGAGCCGGCGCAAAGGTCGTCCACTCTCACTTTCTCTCATCATAGGCCTGTTGTGAGTGTGTGATTCCGTAAGTACTCTTTGAGAATAGCGTGTGTTCTCTAATATCCCTGTGGTTTAGTACGCAATTTGTTTCGTTCTCTCTATCCGAAGCTTGTTCAAGTGCATTGTTTCATCTCCTTCTTCATTTTCTCTCTCTAGAAGTCGTTCATTCGCTCTCTCTCTACCGTAATAACACAAGTGATACACCTCTTGACCGATCCACCATCACGGAAGCAACACAAGAAAACAACAAGCCGAAACCGATTACAACTCTTTCAGGCCTGTATTTCATTTTTGAAAGAGAGAGTCGTTTCCACCTCCAATAATAATATATAACTCTCACGATATTCAGAGAGCGTTCGTGTTGTGGTGCTGTGGATTCTATACTACTCCCAATATTGGATTGGATTCATTCGTCCCGATTCTTGTTTGATCTTTGTGTAAGTTCAATTTTCATTTTGCTTTTTGTGTATTTGTTAACTGTTGTTATCTGATCCGATGGTGTTCGACTATGAAACTTGTTATGACCAACATTCAATGTTGAATCATCACGATGAATGTAACATTAATTTATGTATACATCCATGCGTTTTGACATTGCACCCGTAATGTGCGTGTCCCTTCTCATTTGATCTTGTGTGTGACCACACTCATCCATTTATGGAACTTGACTTGCTGCTGGTTATCAGAAGAGAACAAGAAGATTTTTAGGTATGTAGAGTCATATTCATCATGTGTTTGTCTCTAAGACTTATTGTATTCACATCTATGAATTCATTCAATTGCACATCTTCCCGTTCCATCATTTCTCTCTTTCCATCTCGATGTGCAACTTTGATGTACACGAAAATGAATGAAACTACTCCAACCTACCGTCGTATGCTTCTATATTCACCAATTTCCAAATTTCCAATGTCATACTGTTGTCTATGCTAATACAATACAATGTATGATGATTCTTTAACAACTCTCGATGGCTTTCCTACGACTGCTTTTCATCACGGCCCAAATCAAATATCCCATCATCGAATGTTGAAACATTTACCAACTCTCATCATGGACCAACTGTTATCATCATCATCATCACTTGTATGAATATGGGTGTCTCTATGGCTATGGTGACCACACATGTGTTGACAATGGCCACTCACCACAGATAATTTATTTTCACTCATCGTCCTACACGACGCAATCTAGTTGTACTGAGAAGGAGAAGATCCTACAAAGAATTCAACTATTGTTGTGTTAGACATTTACTTGCACTAAGGATTTACGAGTGTATTTGCTTTCTACATTTATTTATTAATTCTGCTATTATATATTGTAAAAACACAATTATTCAAATAGCATTGTCAATACGCTGTAGCACAGTACACATACATTCATACCACACTAGTTAGAGTACAAACAGCCTTAACTTATTTCTACTAAGAACCCACCACCAAGAGATTATTTCTAAGAATCATCATGATGATAAATTCACCTTCGAAGATTAATTCTACTGCAAACAATAGCATTTGGGGCAACCTTGTCAATAGTTCCTCTAGCCCACGTCATCAACAAGGTCTTTCTTCTCCTCTCTTGATGCCAAGCCGACAAGAGGACTCCCAAACATCCAACAATAACGCTTCTGTTGGTATTATCACAAGGAACACCAGTGAGCAACATGATAGAGGTAATTTGATTGACAGAAGCCAAACCAATGGCAACAGTACCATTGGAGACCTGATTAAAGATATTGACGAAGAAGATCCTACCATCATCTCTGACAATGAATTCTTCTACTCAACCCATCAGAATAATAGTAATAATGGAACTGCCCATCATTACTCTCCTCCTCAACAGGAAGCAGCTGACAATGACTTTTTCATTAGATCTCCTCTGAAAGGAAGAAAGTCAGGAGCAAGTTTGAACGGAAGTAACAGTAATCAAGGTACACCAACCATGGTCCATCTTACCAATCAGCAACACATGTTAATGATGTCATCACCTGGACAGTCTTCCATTCTTTTGAACTCACCAAATATGAGTCCTCATGGATGGGTCAATGAGAAGATTTTCCTTGAAAATAAGATTGCTAAATTGTCAAGTGAGCTTTATCAATGCCAATGTGAAATACAAAGGCTTAATAAGGTTTTGGATGAATACAGAAGAAAGGAGAATGCAAAAAGTGGTGGTAGTCATAGTACTTCCACTGTTGGTAACAGTCCAAGCCCAACAGAGATGAACGGCATCACGACTGGTACTGGTGGTGTAGAAAGACCTCTTTCTCCTTCTTCAACCTGCACAACCTCTTCATGGTCAGCTGTGGGTGCTGGAAATGGTACAGTTGGTTTCAATGATGGTTCTTCTCAACCATTTATGGGATCAAGCAACATTGTGGGAGACTATGGCTCATCAATTTCTCAATACTCTCTCATGACCAATCCTGCTCAACAATTGTTGATTTCTCCAAGAAAATCACCAACACCGGCAAATGTCACAAACACTCCAGGAAGATACAATAGAAGTAATAGCTTTGGTTCCAATGGAAGTGATGCTCCAAATACTAATCTTATGCAAACCAATCGATTGAGTGTATTAGCAACACCAAACAGAGGTATGAATAATAACTCTTCCAACATGGACTCTTTCTTCCCAAGCACCATGAATCAAGATTTGACCATGTCACCAAACAGAATGATGCCCATGAATGGAATGCCAATCGTTATGGAATCTCCAATTTCTACAACACCACTAAGTTCCGGATCAAATCCAAGAAAATACAACAGCAACAATGGTGTTGTTGGACCTACATCTCCATTTACCACTACTCCATCCATTACAAACAATAATGGACGAATGATGTTCACAACTCCAGTTACTAATCCTTCTCCTAATAATCTATACTTTAATAGTTCAATTGCAATCACACCAAAAAGTGCTGCAAGCAGTGTTAGCAGTAGTAGTGCTAGCACCTCAAGTAGTACTCCACCTCTAAGTGACCTCAGTAACGGAGCAGTAAGTGGAATGCAACAACAAGCCAAGTCACAATCTCCTAAATTGCCCAATGCATCTGGAAATTCTCAAGTCATTCATCACAACACTACTTCTGGTAATGAAATTGTCTACTTGTTGAGTGGCGGTGGTGTTGGATCTATCAAAGTGTATGACCTTTCTCGTGAAGAGTTTACTCAAGCTCAAGACAATCAACAACAACATGCAAAGAGAGGTTTCGACAAACATTCATTGACTGATTATTACTTGTCTCTCAAGGGACATTCAAGATTTGTCTCTGCTTTGCATAGCCATCATGGAAAGATTTGCAGTGGATCTGGTGACAACTCAATCCGTATTTGGGATTTTAGTACTGGAGAATGCCAACATGTACTGGCTGGTTGTGAAGGAAAGGTTGGAGCCTTGTGCAGCTATTATGGAACATTGATAAGTGGATCTAAGGATGGTAATTCTCATCGTATTAGAGCATGGGACATTGAGAAGGCCACATGTGTCAAATGTATTCCTGCTCACAATGATTGGATCAATGTTTTGTGTGCAAGTGATACTACTCTTTTCAGTGGTTCCGGCGATAAGAAGGTTAAAGTTTGGTCTGGACCTAATTTTGAAAACACTCTCACATTGGAAAATCAAAGCTTTGTTTTGTCTTTGGTTTATGATCCAACCTATAATACCTTGGTTGCAGGAACCTATGATGGTTACATTAGAATTTGGGACATTAGAGCAGGTTCAAAGTTTTTGAAACAAATCAAGGCTCATACCAACGGAGTTCTCTCATTGTGCTATCATAAGGGAATGTTGTGCAGTGGTAGCAAAGACCAAACCATTTCTATTTACGATCCAAAAACATGGAACAGAGAGGCACAACTTATTGGACACACTGATGCCGTAAAATGCCTTGTCTCTTATCAAAACCAATGGTTATGTAGTGGTTCTTATGATCGAACTGTTAAACTTTGGAATTTGGAAACTGCTACTCGAGGAAGCTATTGCACGATCGCCACTGGTTTCAAGAATTACACACTCACTTGCCACACTGCTTAATTTTGCCTCACACAACTTGCGACATCAACAACTTTCACTTCAAAGCTGTACACACCATGTTTGTAAAGATTTAAACATAAATTGACACTTACACACAAATTCACACATGTTTGAAAATATCTGAGCCTCCAAGTACCAAATTCATACAAAAACGTCATCCAACTTCAAATAAAAATCTAAAAAAAAATTTTGTTAAACCGTTTGGAATGACGTTTGATTGGATTGCCTTTTTTTTGGAAAAAAAACGCGCCTAAACAATGACACAATCACTCAACACCGACAAAGGTGGATTACAACAGCAAAATGTTGTTGATCAACAACAACACCATTCTTTATCACCGTCATCATCAAATTCCAACCCACCACCACCACACGTCGTTGATATCAATTCTCTTCGCGAAACATTTCAAAAACTTGATCGCAACCACGATGGTCGTTTAACACTCACCGAGTTCGAACAAGCTGCCCACGAATTAAAACTTCCCTCTCGTCATCTTCTCAAAATTTTTCAACAGATCGATTCGAATCATGATCAATCCATCACGTTCGAAGAATTTTCAAAATTTGTCTCTCATCGATACGAGGAATTACAATTCATTTTTCAACAACTCGATACCAACAAGGATGGAAAACTCGATGCCAATGAAATGATGCAAGGAATTCAAAAAGTCTATAAATTGAGTGGTGGTGGTGGCGATCAAATGGAGACTTTTCAAGAATTTATTCAAAAATTATTGAATCGAATGGACACCAATCAAGATGCACAAATTTCATTTGAGGAATTTCGGGACTTGTTGTGTCTCGTTCCTGAAGTAACTCTCGAGTCAGTAGTGGAATATTGGAGAGAGGCAAGTGCTTTATTGAGTGACGATGTGGATTTGGTATTGGTGTCAAGACAGAAAATTCAAGAACATGCAGTGGTCACTTCGAAAGGACCTTTTTCATTTCTGAATAATGCAAGGTGAGTGAATGTGAGTGTGCGATACCCAAACGAATTCCAAACATGTGATGCAATTGTCATAATTTTGAAATATTTTTTCGAATTTGATGAATAATTTTATTGAAATGTTCACTCACATCTATGGCGGTGTTGGTGGTGGTGGCAATGGGTGTGACTATGAACAAATTACACATGATCTCATCACACATGTTTCTTCTTGTCCTTCTCTTTTTTAATACTTTTAATTTTTTTATTACTGATTCACAAATACATACACATTGGTGTGCTTTTCAAATCATTCAGTAAGGCAGTTCTTGCAGGTGGTCTCGCAGGAGCCATCAGCAAAACCGTCACAGCACCCATGGAACGTTTAAAAGTTATTTATCAAGTTCAAACGAAAAAACCTCCTTCCATGTGGATGGGTCTTAAAGAAATTTACACAGAAGGAGGAGTGAAAGGTCTTTTCAGAGGAAATGGTGTGAATATTATCAAATCAGCTCCAGAAAAGGCCATTAAATATGCTGCCTTTGAACAAGTGAAAAATCTGTTAACTAAAATGAATGGAGATCAAAGTTCGAATGTCATTACATTTATTGCTGGATCATCCTCGGGTGTGATTTGTCATACGGCGTTGTATCCCTTGGAAGTGGTCAAAACAAGGTATGTAGAGAGAGAATGTGTGTTTTTGTTGTTGTTGTTCGAATTTACTTCGAATATCTAAAGACTCTCTGTCGCTCCAACAGGTGAATATCATGGAATGTTTGATGCCATTTTCAAAATTGCTAAAAACGAAGGACCTATTCAACCATTCTTTAGAGGAGTTATTCCAAACATTCTAAATACCATTTGGACTTCTGGATTTTCTCTAATGACCTATGATGCCATGAAACAGGTACTTGTGAATCATAGTCCAAATGGTCAACCAAGTATTGGTGGTTTAATGTTTTGTGGATCTGCATCATCGGTATTGAGTCAAACATTGTTTTATCCACTTCATGTGGTAAAAACGAGAATGATCATGCAAGGAGCTCATGAGTTAGTGGTCACTAAAAAGAATTTGAAAGCGAATTTGCATGGACAAGTGGCGACTGCGACGACCTATACAGGTATGATGGACGCATTTGTTAAAATTATTCAACAAGAAGGAACTAAGGCTCTGTTTAAGGGGTTTGTACCAAGCATGTTGAAGGTAAGTCGATGAAAATTTTCACGAGTTCACGGTATGAACGAATGGGTGGTGGAATGATAACCATAAATGTATTTCAATTGATTTTGTTTTCTTTGGACATGTGGAATTGACAACCAACATTAGGGCATACCTGCTCATGGTGTCACATTTGGAGTCTATGAATTGGTCAAGAGATATTTGGGATTTGAAGAAGTAGGTCATAAGAAGAAGCATTAGGTGATAATGATAAATCAGTTCAATGATAAGAGATTCTAGTCTGTTTCATTAGAAATTTATATTCTCCTGATGAAAACAATGTATCTTTTCAACAAAGAATGACGACTAAAATTTTATGATCGCTCTACTTATTTACTCAATGATGTATTTGTTTTTCTAATGGTGGAGTGACCAAATGATTTTTGATTTTCATGTTTATGGAGAAAGTGATGGGCATTATCGACTGTGTTTTGGAGCTCTGGTCTCACTCCTTGAATTACATGGTTGGGTCGAACACCAAAGCCAGTGTATCCGACCGGAGTAAAGTTGAAATTACTTTGACAGAGAGGTTCCCGAATATCGGGAAAGGCTGAGTTCGGAATTGCATGTTTTTCCTTATTGATGATGTGTCCATTGTCATCGACGATAAACTTGGGAGGAATACCTTGGCTCGTCTTTTTGGATGAGGAAGAGGAGGACGAGGGTTTCATACTACGACTACTCTGGCTCATTATTCAGACTTGAACACAACAAGTTATATACAAAACAAGAGAGACTTTGAGATTCCGAGAGAGAACAAACGCCAAAACGAGATTCGAGTTTTTTTGAGGTGTTTCGAATGTTGGAACAAAAATTTACGGCTGCTCTCCTCAATTCCTTTATTGGAAGCTCCACCAAGTCCCATCACCCATTAAAAATAGTCCACTTTATGGATTGGAACTAGGTGATTCGTCTTCGTCCTCATTGGTAGTACTCTTTTTTCTCTTGTTGATTCTTGTTCTTTCAACAACAGACCTTCTTGATACAATTTTGAACGTGTCACTTTCCTCTAACACCTTTTTGATCCCAAATTCTTGAAGTGAGCTTGGTTCAAATAATGAGGATGACGAAGAAGGAGTGCCACCGGCTACCGCAGGATGATCATCATGCAAAAACGCGACCAATCGGAGCATGTAAATACCCTTCGTGTGCTTCTTTTTTTGAGCCTTACATATTCTGAAACCTATTCTGAACTTAGTCTGCTTAGTGACATAGTCGTGTGATATTTCACAATATCGAGAAATTTTGTCTTCCTCAGAGATGTTGACATTTCTTTTTTTACCTCTAGTCTCTATGAGTAGAATCGAATAATCAGCTGGGTACTCTTTTTCTTCCTGTGCCACGATGGAGAGCGAGTACTCATTTTCAGAAGAATAGCTACTTGACTTGGATAGATTTGTTGGTTTTCTTGCCAAGAGAATTTTGCTTTCTTCAATGTAGCAATTCCTGTCCACTCGTTTGAGAAGAGTTAATCCATAGGCTCTCACATTTCTGTACAAGGTCATGTCTTTGTCTGGAATGTAGAATTCTAAATGATGTTCCAAATCAATCACCGGATTAACAATATCATCACCTTCAATAAAGGTCGGAGAGTCTCCTCCCTTGTCAATATCTAAGACTGTAGTTCTCATACCAGGAAAAGTACACAGAGGAGCTTTCACTTGTTGTGATTTCAGGCCTCGTCGTCCCGGATAGAGATATCCATGTCCCTTATATTCTCTCACAAATGGCTCAACTTGCCTTCCTTCAATTTGTAGAGCTTCAGATTCAACAGAAAAGCCAGCATCTGAATCGTCGTCAGAAGTGAGAGATTTGATGGCCATCTTTGGTGTTGTACTACTCTTTGAAGAAGGGAACGGAGGTAGAAAAGGAGAGGGCGGTGTCACAATTGAAAATTTCTTTGAGCTTCTTGGGGTTATTTTGCTGTCTTTCTGGGATGAATAGTCAGCAAGGGCCACACTAAGTAGAGTATCAATCGATGACAGGCCTCCACTAGAGAGAAGTGCTGCCGCATCATTCTCTTCAAAAACTCCATCATGGTTGGTTTCAATGAGGCTATCTTGGGAGTTTGTACCAGGGGTGGTGACAGGTGTTTGAATAACCATAGGATCAGTTGAAATAGTGTGATCCTCTTTAAGAGTGGTTGCATGAGCAAGAGGCGTTTTTTTGCTCTCCTTTTCCTGAAGTAGTTGATTGACCTTTTCTTGGACAAGCTTCAATTTAGATATTGACAGAGTGTCCAAAGTTTTAAGCCAAAGTTTGAACGAAATTTGGGTAGATCCAGGAGAAGCTTTTTTCTCAGGTCCTATCACAGTTGGTGACTCTGCTGTGGTTCGGATATGAGTCTTTTGGTCTGGAGATGATGCTAGTGGAGGAGAGGAAAGGTGTGAAGATGAGGATGCTATTAGTACGGGAGGAAGTGATGAAGGTGAAGGAATGACAATCGGATGTGTACTAGTGTTGGTAGCGGTACTTGTAGTTGCATTGCTGCTGCTTGGGGCCAGAGCCGTAGAGGGTGCAAGTGAAAGATTTGTCGAATGTGTTGGGGCATGTGTTGTAAACATGCCACTGTTTGGGTGATGAGTGGGAAAGTGGTTCATCATTACGGTTGATGAAGACAATGGGGTAGAAGGAGATGATATGGTATTACTGTTGTTGTTGTTGGTGGTGGTGACTGTAAGAGAGGGAGTAGTGTCAACATGGTTTCTTGGAGGAGGAAACAGAAGAAAAGAATTCATTAAGGAAGGGCTCATGGTCAAACTTGGTTGCAATGCATTGGCAGTGGTATCACTCGCTTGTCGAACCTTTCGCTTTTTCTTGGAAGAGAGATCGTCATGGCTACTCTTGGTTGTCATTGGTTGCAGCTGCGTTGCCACCGAAAGGTTAAGTGTGTTTGAATGATCTCGAGAGAGTGGCGTGGTGCTTGTCGTCGTTGATGGTGACACCATATTTGCACTTCCACTCATAGAGTTGGGTGCGAGAAATGGTGATGTATTGAATGGATTATTGGGTGGGTTAGAAGGTGTTGGAAAGGGTGGTATGCCTAACGTCAAATTACCACTACTGCCACTACCGCCTTGAAAGGCTCGGTGTGACTGAGACAGGTGATTGAGGCAGCTCACTGGATGGGTTTTTCGTGTTGCTTCTTCATTTTCTTGATGATGAACGTGACTTGAATCGGGTTGTTTCAGCGGAGTTAATGGCCGGGTAGATGATGAGACAAGCCCTCTACTATTTTTGTTGCTTTCGTCACCACTATCTCCATCACTTTGATCACTAGAACCAGTTGATTCATCATTATCATCACCATCACTATTATCTTTCTCTGATTTGTAAGGCTGGTGCATCTTTTTTCTTTTTGAGGTAATTTGAGGCGAGTTGCTTTTTCTCTTCGAATTGGTTGTCATGTTGGAGCTAACAGATGATGATTGAATTAAAGAATTCTGAACTGGAAAAGGTTGTTGCAACATGGAGGTTTGAGACATTGATGATATGGACGAAGCAGGAAGAGGAAAGGGTGTGGTTCCCGATGAAGGTAACATTGGGAAGCCTGGCATTGGTGGCATGCTCGTATTCATCATACTGGGAAATCCTAGAGATGGTAATATCCTGTTGATGTTGTTGCTGTTGTGATTATGATGATTACTATTACTGGAACCTACAAGTGAGGAAGAGTTTAAGGAATTGCCGTTACTGCTACTAGTGATATTAGAAGAAGTGTCCATTCCGAGGATGGAATTGCCAATCTTTGGAGCCAAGATGGATGAGGCTGTTGTTCGGACAGGACTAGGCTTTAGGAGATCTGTCGTTGAATTCGTTGGGATCAGTATTGAGGAAGAAGAGCCTTGATCGACCGTACTCATGCCTGCTGCCCCACCCTTAGTTGGCACTACCAAGCGACAATTATCACCATCATCAAAGGAGGGAGAAGCAAGAGCAGCCTGTCCTAATGATGATGATGAGGAGGAGGCTTGGATATTGCTACCACCACTATCGTGAATCGTACTGGTATTGGCAGCATGATGATTAGTCGTCGTCTCACTCTGGGTTGAGGATGATCCACCAATTTCATCACAGACGTCCAACAGAGCATTTCCTTCCATGACCTTCATGATGGAAGAGCACAAGCTTTTGGGTGAAGTCCCTACCAAAGCCGACATATCTGTTTCGAGGGAAAATCCCTGAACACCACTGTGAATCAGCTGAGGAGAGGAACTGAGACAATGATTGCTGCTACTACTTGTGGTAGCGTTGCTACTTCTTCTTGTATCACCATCAGAGATATGGCTGCCATTGTCCAAATTGTTATTACTATCACTTCTTTTGGAAAGTTCCGTAGGGCTCATCATCATGATGCTTGGTTGGTATGTAATATCGACATTGGAATGATGAAGCATCATGCGAATGCTGAAGGTATCAGATGAGTGATGATGAGAAGCGGTATACTTGTTGGTAATGAAGAATTCTTCTCTCGGGCTCGGTTCAAAGATGACAAAGACTAAATGTTCAAAAGCTGAGCTTGAGAAATCAAATGATGATGATGCCTGTATACAGGGCAGCACACGCAAGACAAGCTTTAATTGCACTCCACCAATATGAGTGAACAATCAAATTGAAAGCTCGGGAAATAATGGCGTGTGTGAAAAAAGATGATGATGAAACCAAACAAGCTTTTGTGTTTTTTTGTTTGAAAAAAATAATGGACTTTACAATGAAAATTCTGTTTCTTTCGCCATTCAACAAATATTGGTCTACTTGCCAATAAGTGTTGTTTCGACCTTCTCCTAAAACACAAAATCTCTCCCAAAAAAGAAAAGGAATGTAAATCCAAACCTCAGAAACCATCCTCAAAGTTCATCATGAGGTTTGGTTGCAGCCATAATTTACAGCCGCCAAAAATTACAACTCGGTCGGATCTCTAAACGCCAAAGATTTCAAAAAAAAAGATTCTACTCTTGTTTCTTCAATTTTCGTATCGTTCAAGATGGTATTTGTTGATGAAGTATTTCCTGCCGATAAGTCGTCCCTTTGCTTTGAGGTGAGTATTATCCTTCATGCAGAGATGAATAACTCGTTTTTCGCCACTCGGCATAATCATAATAATTATTTTCAATCAGCCCGATGGTGATAAACTTCCAGATCATGTCGCAGAATGTGTCTCATGGAAACGTCCTAGTCAATGGTGCAAGAATTGTTCCCTTTTCGTCGATTCAGTAAACCCAGGAGATATCGAACAAGCTCAACTCGGAGACTGTTGGTTATTGAGCGCAATGGCAGTTACTGCACAGTTTCCTGAAATACTTCAGAAATTGTTTGTCGAGGTTAATGAAACTGAGGGAAGATATGTCATTAGATTGTACTATGAAAACAAATGGCAAAACGTCACCGTGGATGACAGAATTCCTTGCGGTAGAGATGGTCTTCCTTGCTATGGACGTTGCACCTCAAAGAATGAATTTTGGGTCAGCATTTTGGAAAAGGCGGTTGCAAAGCTTTTAGGCTCCTATGAGGCGTTGGATGGGGGTTATCTTGAGGAGGGAGGTATGTGAGTTGCGGTTTTTTTTTACTGTCATCTTACATTTACGATCTTGGAAATCCCTGGTCATATCCATCCACAGTTGTCATGCTTACTGGAGGAAGACCTGAGAGACTCTACATCAACAATTGGTCTCAAAACCCAGGAAAACAACCTTGGAGAAAGGACAGACTCTGGGAAAAACTTGTTCTGTATAAATCAGAAAACGTCATGATGGGAAGTAGTATTAGCAGCAACAGAGGAGAACAACCGAATGAGACCAAGGGTCTTGTTGCTGGTCATGCTTACTCCATTCTCGACGTGAGAGAAACAAGTGACAAAAAGTACAAACTAATTAAGCTAAAGAACCCATGGGCAAACGATTTCGGTAGGTTTGAATTTATGATTGTTCGTGATAAGGTTCAAATGTAACCGTTTATTTGAAATGTTCGACTTTTGTTGTATTTTCGATCTTCAGAGGTATGTAATTGTGGCTCTTCGTCTTCACTGACCTGGTAACCATATTTTCACCTCTCATTAGTGGAAAGGAGCATGGAGTGACACCAGCCGTAATTGGACCTACCAATACAAGAAGGAAATGGGAGAAGAGGTCAAGGCTGATGGTATCTTTTGGATGGAGTTCAAGGACTTTTGTACCTATTATGACAAAATTACATGCTGTCGATTATTCAATGATTCCATTTTGAGTATGCCAAGTGATCCCAAATACAAAACACCAATCACAAAGGATGCTTTCCCAAGCGCTTCTTGGAATAGAAAGAAACTTGTTGGGCAGTGGGACAATGAAAATGCAGGTAAGTGGAGAATTAACAAGTCTGATTTCGAGGTGAGGTATCTTCTATTTGTTCGACTATGTGATAATTCCAGGTGGTATGACCAATAATATTGCTTTTGCAAAGAATCCTCATTTCCGTTTGACTGCACAAAAGAGTGGAAGATACTTCCTCATCATTTACAGAGCTTATCTATCACTAGATGCTGATGCTCAATATTACAGAAGTGGAATTGGCTTTGCTGTTTACAAGGGCACAGACAGCAATTATAAGGTTTTACCTGCAGAAAACTCTCCTAATGCTATCATGCAATACCCAGTCTATGGAAGATACAATTCCATTGAATTGGACTTGGATCAAGGTGAATATGTCATTACTCCTTGCACCTTGTACAGCAACAGAAAGGGGGAATTTGTATTCGAAGTGTATAGCGCTTGTGACTTTGATATTCAACCCATGGAAGACAAGTTGAGAATTGTTCCACCATCAGCAAGAGGAAAGGCAGTTCAAGATTTCGGTGTTTCCAAACCACAACCCTCTCAAACAAGTTTTGGTACCATCAAGATTGGAAACAACACTATTAAGGAAGCAAAAGCGATGCCAACCAAAGCTTCTAACATGATGACAACCTATCAATTTGAATTTTCCAAACGTAAACTTTAGTTCAATCGGAGAAAAAACATGTTGTGGTCACGTCCACTTTGTAAAGTGGAAACAACATCATTCCGTTATCACATTCATAAAACCAATAAATTAATTGTAATAATACAATCAAAAACCATGTGAAGAACAATTATCAATTGTTGTAAAATAAAGAAAACGGCCTATCTTGTTGAAAAGTTTACAAAGAATGTCACACCCTTCTTGCAGTGTTTCTTAATTTTTGTAAAGTCCTTTGGCCCTGCCTATTTATATTTACAACAACCAATTCAATCTAATCGAACCAATTAAATTACCTATATCCTCTCTATTTTATATTCCTTATTAGAAACCAACTCCGGTCCATCTGTTCTTGCAGCCTGTAGTTGGCAGATAATTGATTGTAAACGTTCCAAGTGATTCAAGAAGACTGACCTCCTTCAATTAGCCTCAACGACAAATGAGACGGGTATATATCTGAGATGGGTATAAAATTGACACTTTGGACAAAAATCACGCAATATATATTGAAAAAAAAATAGCAACACCCGTTCACCACTGATTGATCGAGTTCATCATTGTTTAAAATCACCATGACACCATTGCATCAACCAAGTAAACGCAGAACTAATTACCCCCAAGAGGTGCCTGAAGAAGCACTAAAGTTGCAAGTGAGAGAACCAACCATGGATGATTCAAGAGACAAGTTGTTGTTGTTGTTGTTGGAGAATGCTTTATCATCTTTGGGGTTCAAGGAAACCTCCAAGAGTTCATCACCTGTAGTTGATGAATTATCCATGCATGAAACCAACCAATTGTTGAATCGAATGCCACCCATTCAGAAGGAACTTGATGATCATCCACAAGATGTATTCATGAGGAAGTCTCTTGCATGAAATTGTTTGGATTTCATGAAAATTTCATGTTCTTCATGTGGAATGACATATTCATCAATTCCATTCATCCACAATGACTATCATTGAAATGACAGAGAAAAGTCTTTAAAGCCTCCACTCGCAGCTCAAATCGTTCCAATTGAATTTCCACCACAAGTTCAATTTGAAAAACCAAAAGAATTGAAGGAAGAAGAGGCCAAAATTTCTGGATCTGAATTGACCATTCTTCGTTATTCGCCAGAAGGAGAATTGGATCGCTCTGTTCCATCTATTACCATAACATTTTCACAACCCATGGTTCCTGTCTCAAGTGTGTCCAATGTTGAGAATGAAAATGTTCCAGTTGAAATTTCACCACTTCCAAAGAAGGGAGGAAAATTCAAATGGTTGGGAACAAGAACACTTGTCTATGAGGCCAACTATAGATTTGACATGTCCACCAAGTATACTGTTTCCATCAAGAAGGGCACAACATCACAAATTGGAGGAGTTTTGAAAAATCACTTTTCATTTAGTTTTGCAACTCCAAGACTTTCCCTTTTAGATTCTCTTCCTGGTGTTAGTTGGAACGGACACATGCCAGTGAATGAATTTCCTGTCTTCTATGCCGAATTTGATCAAGACATTGAGCCAACAACTGTTGTGTCCTTCATTTCCACACCATTTCATTCCACAAGTTTGATTTTGGATGGAACCTCCAGCAATCCTTTATTGAAGGAACATGTCAAGAAAATGATGAAAGATTACAATAAGAGAAATCCGTCCTTGTACAAAGCATACGAGTCCAAACTTGAATCGGCTCCACATTCGAGACACCTCTGGTTCACGATGGATGTACAAAACCATAACCTTGTCAATGCTTGAATAGGCGGAGACTGTTATCATTGACTCTAAAAACTTTTCTTCATCAATGACATTTGTGAATCTAATGTTGAAGTCTGACATTGGCACATCGCCTCCAGTAACTTGTTTCTTTTCAAAACTTGGATAGTTGGCGACTCGAATGACAGAATCGATCAAGGTTGGTAATGGTCCCTCTTTTCCAACAAGTCCTTTCTTAATGACCATCTCAAAGACGGAACCTATTCAAGGAATGGAATTGGATCTTTTTGGGTCCCTTTTAACGATTAGTGGTAAGACCAAGTGTGGAACAACTTACAAGATTCATATGAAGAATATTGTTGATGTTTGGGGACAAACTCTCGAGGACACTATTGAAGAAGTTCGTGTTGGAAGTGCACGTCAATCATTGCAAGCGTTCAAAACTGGAATGATTGTTTTAGATCCAACATTGAACACGAAACCCACTATCAATATTGATTCTGTTCGAGTCATGGAAGAGTGAAAATTTTCACTTCCTCAAAGGATGGACCTTCTGAGAGGACTGTCAAGTTTGAAAAAGGAGGTTGTTATACATTTAATGTTGAAATTGTTGATCCAGAAACAGGCCTCTCAAACTTTTCCAGCAAAAACTTGTTCGTGAGTGGAAGTGGATTAACAAGAAGTGAAAATTCGGAAAGCGTCGTTCCAATGGGCAGTCTTCTTATTGTTCCAGACAAGTCTGAATATCAAGTTGGTGAAAAGGCCAAAATTTTAATTCAATCCAATCATGATGGAAAAAGTGAAGGAGTTGCACTTGTCTCACTCAGAAAGGTGATTCAACAAATTCCAATCACCATTGATCCAGAAATTGGATGTACAGAGATTGAAATTGACATTTCAGAAGATTCTGTTCCAAATTTTAATGTCACTGTCCAAGTAACAGCAAGTCAATCACGAGTGGACCATGTTGGAACCGTTCTCGATCATTTGCCAAAACAACCAGCACTTTGCCTTTGGTGAGTGCAACATTTCAGTTTCAAAGATAACCAAGATGTTAAATGTTGAAACCAAACCGGAAAAGATTATTTAACACCAGGAGCAGAGACATTCATTGAGGTTTTGGTGAGAGATCCAATGACTGGTAAACCTGTCAAGAATTCTGAAGTGTGCACCATTGCTGTTGACGAGTCAGTTCTTTCTCTGACTGGATATTCCATTCCAAACCCACTGAAAACGTTCGTACGTAAAAACCCTTGTGAATTTATTCCATACTCTTTGAGAACGAATGTGTTTGTGAAGAATTATGACTCGATCCAATTCCAAGGTGAAGAATCCATCTTGCAAAATCAACTCGAATGTTTGGGTTCCAATTTGGAAAGGAAGGAATCGATGAAAAACTCTCACAGCAAGAAGCGCCAAGTGTCACCGTCGGAAGATGTGGAGAAGTGAAACAAATTTCAGTTCGATCTAACTTTAATCCTTTGGCTCTTTTCAGCCCAAAGAGTATGACAAATGAACAAGGTAAAGCAAATGTTCGATTCAAGCTTCCTGATAATCTCACCAAGTATAGAATCACGGCAGATGCCTTAAAAGGACAATGCAAATTTGGTATTCATGAATCATCCATGGTTGCTCAACTTCCATTAGCAATTCGACCATCTCTTCCAAGATTCTTAAACTTTGGTGATCGAGCTGAATTTAGTTGTGTTTTACAAAGTCAAGTTCCAATGAACCTTGAAGTGAATGCAGTCATCAATTTCACAAATTTGAAACTCTTGGACTCCACAAAGAAGGGATTAAAAATCAAACTACCTGCCATGGGAAGAGTTGAATTGAGATTTCCAATGTGCACAGAAAGTGCTGGTATTGCCAGATTTCAAATTGGTGTCTCCATTGCCACATCTGGTATTAATTTTGCAGATATGAATATCCATTTGAGTGTTGTGAACAAATTGCAAGCAAAGTGCTTTCCGTGGTGGCCCTTAAAGATATTTTACTTGAATTTAATGTTCCAGAATTACGAATCAAGGAAGCGATCGAAAGAACTATCAATAGTTGTATTTCTTCGCTTGCTTCAAGACAATATTTAGATGGTGGTTTTGGTTATTGGACCTGTCGAAGCCATTTGGACATTTGCCCATATGTCACATGTCACGTTGCTCATGCATTGGCACACGTTGTAAAATTGCTGGTTATTCCTTGAACACTACAATGGTATCCAAGCTAATTTCAGCCCTTAAATCAATTGAAAAGTATTGCACTCATTATGATGATGAAAGCATTAGATCGATCAAGGCATACGCTTATTATACATTAGCCTTATTCGGTGAAACTTGTGCAACACAATTGGCTGCGGAGCTTTACAAAGAAACGAAACTCAATGGAAATTTGGAATATCTTGCTTGGTTGGCATCCACCATTTATATTGGAAATAACAAGAAGGCAACAACTATTGTCAATGAAATTATGTATCATTTGGAAAAGAATGCCAATGAAACGGCTCAAACAGCCAACTTTGTCACTAGTTATGACGATGCAATGACGAACAAGCATGTCATGCTACACAGCGACAGAATAACAGATGGAATTTGCTTAGAAGCACTCATTCACATGAAACCTCAATCGCATCTCCTTCCAATAATTGTCAAAGGATTGTGTGCTCATAAGAAGAATGGAAGATGGAGCAACACTCAGGAATATGTTTTCATTCTCCTTGCTCTTAGTTCTTACTTTAATAGGTTTGAAAACCTCACTCCAGATTTTGTGGCTAATATTTGGCTCGGTGAAGATTATTGTGGTGAACAAGTGTTTAAGGGAAGATCTAAGGATGAAAATCAATTGAATATTCCAATGTCCATGTTGACCGATGATGAAGATAGTAAGATGTTAGCAATTTCCAAGAAGGAACCTGGGCGATTATATTATCGAATTGCAATGGATTATGCTCCAAAGGATTTGAAGGTTGATGCATTAAATTATGGCTTTGAAGTTCAAAGAACTTTTGAACATGTCACAAATCCTTCCCATGTGACCTACGATCAAGAAAAGAGTACTTGGAGATTTAAAGCAGGAGAGTTAGTTCGTATCAATTTGAGGTTGACCAACACAAGTTGTAGATATCACGTGGCTCCTTTGTAATTCCAGGTGCGAAGGTAGAAGAAATGTACACTCCTGAAATATTTGGAAGAAGTGCCACAGAATTCGCTGAAGTATTTGAATAAAGAGTTTCAGTCTCGATGATTGCTCGATCGAGTCCTGTTTTCTCACCTTTACAACAATTACTGAAACAACTTTTTGCCTCAACGTGCAGAAACCTTTTTCCACTTCTCTTCACCATCAATCAAGACTTCATCAAAACACACTCTGAATGAATGATTGTTAGAGAATGATCTCTAGAGAATTCTCATGACGTTCTTGTGGATCATTTGTGACCATTCAGAAAGACGCGGAGAAAGTTTGAGCACCTCTTTGGACAATACAAGACTTACTTCATAATGATGATTATCAATATTATTTCAACTTTCTTTAGAATGCCAATATTATTAGTTCAAATGGACATCGCGTTCAGGACATTTTCTGAGGTTTTGTGTGCGCAACTGTCAAATGTGCGAGCAGAGAGAAGAGTTCGTCCTCCATGTTTTAAATTGTAGGAACATTGCAGGAACATTGGATCTGCTGATAAAATTGAGCAAGTCACAACTCTCACACCTGAATTCTCTACGATTGATATTATTATAAATAAATTTTGATATAAAACAGAATAACATCAGCAGCATCAACAGAATGATTCATCGAGAACAACTTGATGACTATCACCCTCCGAATACAGTTACATTTGCTAGAGTCAAGGAAGAACAGCAGCAATCATCATTGAACTATCCAACTCGAACCAATTATCCAACCTTGAACCATGAGATGGAAGAGAATGAAAAGCTTCATCAAGGTGATGATGATTCATCCCCTCTTTCCGAAACCTACGAAAATGCTCAAGATTCATCTCCCTATGATCAGGATCATCATCAGGTACATAACAACAACAACCATACCACAACAACAACAACACGACCATCATCCCCATCATCCTCATCAACAACACCACAATCCAACTCTATGAATCCCATTCTCATCGTCAAACAGTTCCTTTCCTCTCTCAATTCCTCTCAATTGAAATGGCTCTTTGGTTTGGGAATGAAACAATGGCCATTATTACTGATCGGAACCATCTCCATGCTCATCAGTACGGGTCTTTCTCTCGTGCTACCTCTCTTTTTGACTCAATTAGTAGATGTCATTCCGAGTACCATGATGAACACAGAAGGAGCATCTAAAGAAGGTCAAGCCTATCTCAATCGAGCTGCTCTCTATCTATTGGCCATTGTGTGCGGAATTGGTCTCACCACAGCCATCAAACATTTTTGTTTTAATTTTGCTGGTGAGCGTGTGGTGGCCAAATTGAGAAGAGATTTATTTGAGAATATTATTGTGCAAGATGTGAGCTTTTTTGATGTGACCAAGACGGGAGAGTTGTTGAATCGATTGAGTTCTGATACCAAAGCATTGGAAAATGCAGTCACTTCGAATTTATTCATCTTTTTGAGAAATATGGTGCAAGCCATTGGTGGTGTTGGATTTTTATTTTACACGTCGTGGAAATTGACATTGGTCACCTTGTCAGTGGTTCCTCCTCTCATTATTGGAGCTATTATTTATGCGAAAATTGTCAAGAAATTATCACGAAAAGTTCAAGATGCATTAGCTAAGAGTGCAGAAGTGGCTGAAGAGTCCTTTTCAAATTTGAGAACAGTTCGATCCTTTTCCAAAGAATCCTTTCATGTTTCTGAATATAACGCATCGATTGATCATTCATTGAAATTGTCCCGAAAATTGGCCATTTCAGGAGGAGTTTTTAGTGGAATTATGATGTTTTGCTCGAGCTCAGCTGTCATTCTTGTATTATGGTATGGAGGAAGTCTTGTATTGTCCAAAGAGATTACCATTGGATTATTGACCTCATTCATTGTTTACACGTTTTATGTGGCTTCGAGTTTGGGAGTGGTGAGTTCCATCTTTTTTGATTTGATGAAAGCCATGGGAGCCACTGCAAGAATTCATGAATTACTTTTACAACTTCCAGTCATTGAGAAGAAACGAAACTTTCATTCTGATGATGGTAACAAGAAAGATGAAGAACCAAATGATCGATTTGCATCTCAAGCATTCGATCATCCTCATGAAATTGACGGTCACATTCAATTTCATAATGTGAAATTTTCATATCCTTCCAGACCAACTCAAAGCGTATTGAAAGGTCTCGACATTGAGTTAATTCCCTCCACTGTGACAGCTCTCGTTGGTAAATCGGGTCAAGGCAAAACGACTGTGGCTTCCCTTATGCAACGATTTTACGATCCTACTGAGGGACAAATTACACTCGATGGAATAGACATTCGTGAGTTGGATACGAGTTATTTAAGGAAACATATTGGAGTGGTTCAACAAGAGCCAACACTCTTTTCAAATTCGATTCGAGAGAATATTTGTTATGGATGGGAAGAGTCAAATTCGAATTCTGGTTTGGAAGAGGGGATGACCACTCGAAATGGACCCACGTTGGAGAAAATTCAAGATGCTGCCATGAAGGCCAATGCTCACGAGTTTATTATGGGATTCCCAGAGGGGTATGATACGTTGGTGGGAGAACGAGGATTGAAATTGAGTGGTGGACAGGTATGTAGTAGTTGTATAGTTTTGCGAAAGTAGCTTACACAATTATTAACATTTCTTGTGCATTTATGATGATTTGAAATGATTTTTCAATCACCTTATATGGAATGCCACCATGAAATTTGACTTGTGACTAACAATTTTAAAATTTGGAAACAGAAACAAAGAATTGCCATTGCAAGAGCCATTCTCAAAAATCCAAAGATTTTGATTCTCGATGAAGCAACTGCCTCTCTTGACTCGAATACTGAGTTCTTAGTTCAGGAAGCCTTACAACGATTGATGGAAGGAAGAACTGTGTTGGTCATTGCTCATCGTTTGTCCACCATTCGAAATGCACACCGGGTCTATGTCATTAATGATGGGAAAGTGGCAGAACAAGGAAATCATGAAGAGCTGATGCAATTGGGAGGAATTTATAAACGTCTCGTTGAAAAGCAATTAATTTCAGGAGAAATTCAATAGAATGGTGTTGGAAAGAAATAAATATTTTGACATGGCTCCAATATTTCACACGCTACCGAATAGGTCATGTGAAATTTTTCACACTGGCTGAGAAAATAAATTTTATAACTTTTGCACTTGCTTTTTTGAACATCTCTCAACCTTCATAAATAATTCTACACACAAAGGCATAAGCAGCTGTGAGAGGCAGCAAACTGCTAAACCATGAATAGCTCAATGTAAATGGATACAAACCAATCACAATAATATTAATACACAAGCAAATGAAAAAGGCCAAACCAAACGACATGATGTATCGATCGGAGGAGTATTCATTATTTCTCTCCTTCCAAAGAAATCTCGCTGTTGTAAGGACAAAACCAAACGACACAATTAATGCTAAAATTGCTGGCCAAAAGGTTGCAAAATAGGTCGGATATTCCAATGTAAATCCAATCATTATTACAGCACAAATCATGAGCATGTTAAGAGTTGAGAAGAACATGCTGGTTGAAAAATGTCGTAATCGCTTTTTCCAAGGTTGCTGATTGCTCCAATCTTCGATCGTGACAATTCCTACAATGATGATCATTCCAATAAACATCACTAGTGCGAAAATATAGGCAGGTATGAGAATAATAAACCAAGAGATGGTATATTCCCATGCTCGTGTCACAAAATTATAGGTCGCAGGTAAAACAGCCACATTGAGGAATGATAAAATAGCAGATGACAATCCTCCTAGTAGGACTAGTAACAATATTCCACACATCATTAAAATTTGAAAATCACGAGCATTTCCATACATGTAAGCTACGAAAAATAATTGACCAAATCCAAATAAAAAGAAAAACCACAACGGTATAAATGAGTATTGATGCCAGTTGGGAATGACATCAATAGGAATTGCATCCTTAACCGCCACCATACAAAAGAATAGGAATAGGGAAATGTAAACAAGAGTGGCAAAACCAAAAAAGTATCGATATCTCAAGCTAGTAGTATGTGAATTAATTTTCAAAGTGGAATGTTAAGATTTGAAAGATTCAATCCGGGGGAAAATTTAGTAATTTTGAAAATTCGGATCATATGGTTGTAAACAAGTTGAGCCACACACACATGTGTGAATCATTAAAAAAAACTTACCTTGACATATTTTCATAATGTTCTTGCATTTTAGCTCGAAGATATTCCTTTCGATCTCGTCTCAATTTTGAATTGAGTTTCTTTTTTCCTTGCTCGATTTTGAGAGCTCTTAAAGTATGATAGGAAATAATTTTTCCATTTTCAATAGTGACATAATCTTCAATTTTCTTTGGACGCGGTGGAGGTGGAATGGGCTTTCCATATCGCTTATTCATCCGACCAACGTCAATAGTGTAGACTTTGTAAAATTACGAGCAAAAGTAAATGAAAAATGCATTTGAAAATGAATGAAATTCATGTAGAGATCATTAATGTGACCATTCAATCATGACACATGTCTTGCACATTACTTACAATTTCCTTCTTGGTCATTAAAACTGTGGAATAACCTCCTCACAGATGGCTCCCACAACGCATCATGCAAGGTTGCATAGTACCACGATTGTGACACGAGAGAGCATCTACGTTCACATACATATTCCATTGATGCATCAAAATAGTCATTACAGAATTCATTACACTTACGCTGACAATGATTGAATATCCAAAAATTTGAAAATTTCAACCAAAACCTCTGGTGGTACATTACTGTATGTATATTTAACAATCCATCCTTTCATTAATTCATCACGATCCCATGTGGATTGAGAACGTTGTTGCTGCGGAATTGGTACCACTGCTGCTTCTGATTGAACTTGAGAAGAATTTTCTAAAACAGGCGTGACCATTGTCGTCGATGATGGTGTTGGTGAAACGTATTGTTGATTGGAGGATGTAGAATTTGAATTTTCCGAGAGTTCACTTGTCGGAATGATTCCTTGAGGGTTTTGAGAATCTTCAGGATGATGATCTAATTGTTGTTGAGATTGATCATCATGATGATCAATCTCATCGGTCTCATGGAGTTGAATGTTGTTGTTGTTGTTGGATGGAATAGTCGTGGGAAAGGCTAACGTGTGGAAGAGAAGATAAACAATTATTGAATTTCATCATCATCGAGTTCAATAATGTTCCGAGTTCATCATATTTCTTCCGAAACATAATGAAGGACTACCTACATGATGCATCATGATCTCGATGATCCTCTGACTCATTATCCATTCGGATCGTATTAGATTCATGCACAAAAGATGAGCCTTCTCCTTCAACTATAGCAAGTGCTCGACCTTCATCATCGTCATTATCCGAAGAGGATGAATGTGGTGATTGTCGCGGTGAAGACATTTTTTTCTTGTTCATGAACAAGTGGAAGCTCTGGAACAATGAACTTTTGGAACAACAAAGTGACTTTTCCACTACTGAGAACGGTTCGATCTTGTCTGACCAGTTTCAACCTTGAGCATGATTGAGGAAGAAGCAGAATCACGTTCAGGGTGCACATCAGCTGAATGAATAGGTGTTATTTGGCAACATCACTTCTACTGTAGAGGCATTGGCGCTGATATGAATTCTCACACACGTAAATGCATGCCGAAATGAACACCTCAAAATCTTTCAAGAATGGAAAGGAACAAACATGTTCGTCGCCCTTGTGAGCTTCTTCCAATCGAATAGAACTCTTCTTACAAATCGCACTTATCACCAAATCTTTTCCAATTATTTTCCGACGCCCAACAGGTGACATTTGGCATAAAAGAGCCATCCTTCTCTCAGTTTGTTTTGAAACACAACACAAAAAAACTCTCAACAACAACATGTGCAAACATAGCTCTGGATGCGGTACTTCTGATACCATTAACTGCAGATCCTGTGGAACCAAAATGTGCAAGGGATGCAAACGCAACTGGGATGATGGAACTCCAGTCAAGTCTGGTAACTCTGCTGCCTGTGGAAAGTGTGGTGGAAATTACTAAACAGCAAGACGATGATGATATTATTGGAGTGGTGATCATGAATGTTTTTTTTCCATTGATGCAATACGATTAGTTGGAAGAGGGAAATAAACTTCTTCTTGACACTTCGGTGTATCACTCCACTGTCAATAAAAGTAGTCTTATGTTTTTAGTACTTTTGATTCTCACATTCTTTTTGGAGCTTCAAACACGTACGACTTGAATTCAGCAATAATATATTCCTGCAAAAATTGGAAAAAATCCGCATGCAATCGTTGTCGACTATTTTTGAACTTTCAATATCCGATCTATATAAAATTTCCTCATTTTGAAAATTGTATTAATACATTATGTAAGAATTCTTATTGTATTAATACATCATGTTTATTTATTACGATAATATTTCATCCTGTTGTGCTTGCGCATTACAAAAATTAAAAAATTTCATAATTTTTTGCTCTCTGTTCGAGTCTTTGCGCAAAGTTTTTTGTTTGTGCGAATTAACAAGCCAATCAACCTCGGTGTGGATAAACAACAAGGTGGTGGATACATTATTGATTTCCGTACGGAAAAGCGAAGAGAATCATCCCACGTCGCGACCATTTCTCACCACCAATTCTAGTAAGAGATCATCATGGCTTATAATCAGCAACAACAGTTTTATTATGACAGTTACTTTGGTCCTCCAGCAACGTTGTCCTCGGTACCACCACCGACAAGGACGACAACAACAACCTCGTCATCATCATCATCATTGGTAGGACTTAACCTCATCATGATCAATAACAACAACAACAATAATAATAATAATAATAACATTCATCATCTTCATGGAACCTCTTCATCTTTCCTTCAACAAAGCAATAACACTCTCTTAAATTTTCAGCAACAACCACCATCTTCTGTGATGCATCAAAATGAGTTTAGTAACATGATACTTCAAGGAGGAATCACGAATCAAACAAGCAATTCAAGTCAAGCGCAACAACAACAACTCGAATTTGCACAATTATTACGAATGTATTTTGATCCGAGCACACATGCTGCATCTTCATCCTTTCAAGATGCACAACTGCAAGAACAACAACCACAATCACAACCACAACAGCAAGAACAGCAACAACAAGCAAGCACAACGTTGGATAATAGTAACCCAGTTGCAGCTGTGCCGTCGTCGTCATCATCTTCAAAGAAAAAGAAGAAAACAAAAGAAACAAAACCTAAAAAACCGAAAAAGTATATTGTGAGGAACAAAAAAGTGGAATGCTCTTACAACTTGCAATTTCATCATGTCACACTTATGGAACCAATTTCTTCTTCAGATGCAAATATTGAACGATTGGTAACTATTACAAAGATCAAGCTATCTTCTACGGATTGGTCACTCTTTGACGATCCTGTTCCACCAACGTCGATCTTTGGCGTTGAAACGGATGTTGAGAATGAAGCTCTTGAAACAAAAATTTTGAAACATCGAAAAACGATTCGATTCAAAATTACCGCAGATTTGCAGAATACTCTTTATTATGGCCCAAACGATCCACACATGTCCATTTATGCCTATTTATATGAGACGTCAGATCCTCCAAAACTTCACCTTTACAGCACAGAGAATATGAAAGGAAAGAAGAGTAGAAATATTATCAAGTTTGATGTCTACAAAAAGATTAAGATTGCCTCTCTCATCACAAATTTTCATTTAGGCTTAATTATTTTGGAACGAAGATCAACAATTGAAAAAACAGCAACTGTTCACATCCTTAATAGTGTCATTAAATTTGACAAAATGATGGACAATGAAAAGAAGAGAAAAGACACAGACAACAATACTGATTCTGCAGAAGAGGAATCCAGTGATGACCAGGCTGTAGAAGAGAAGCCCAAACCGAAAAAGACAAAGAAAACGAAATCCAAGGACTCCCCGACAACAACTCCCACTGAAGAAATTAACGAGAATCCTCCTGTCACCACAACTACAGATCCATCATTAATCATCTTCAATGACACTAGCAGCTTTCCAGGTTCGCTTTTAGCACGAGAACCACTCAACACATCTTTACCAAGTGAAATTGCAAACTTTAGCCAGAATTACACGACCGTCATGGAATTGTTACAGAGTCCGAATAAGAATGCCATCTTTGAAATGCTTGAAATTCTGTTGCTGAAAGCTCGAATTGCCTCATCTCCAGAACACTTTTCAAAAGATCATGTTGAGGTCGCCATTTTGTTAGATTTTCTTGCAAAAATTGGACCCAGAATTGCTTCAAAACTGTCAAATGCCAATAATGCTACAAATTCCATGATGGCTTCCACTAAACCACCATCCTCAATCATGCTTTCCAATACTCAGCAAAATGCTCCTCCTCCTCCTCCTCCTACGCAAGACTTTTCAAACACTATCTACACAATGCCAAGTTTTGATTTCAAAAGCTATTTTGATTTTTAAAGGAACAAATTAGCATCGCACAGAGCTCTCCTTAATAATAACCATCACCACCATCACCACCACCGTAAGGAATTCTTTAAAAGATTTTTTTTTCAACGAGCACTAGTGAATATCAATTATTCCAGCCATTAAATTATTTTCAAACGCTTTGACCGATGATGATTCATTGAATTTCAAAGATATGTGTAAAAGATCAGAAAAACTTCCCATCATTGCATACAACACACCAATTAAATTAATTAATTAAACAACACTCCATGAATTGTTCATTACTCACTTGCTTTCTACGTACAGATTCGTTCTCATTTAATGTAAAGACCTTCCATACCGTAACGGCTGTCACCTTTCATCATTTCATATATGAAAATAACCGTAAAAAAATGCCTTCTTTCAGTTGGTTGAAAATCAAGAACAGTGGACAAGAGGCCGATTCAGCCTTGATTGAAAGCCTCGAAGAAACACCAGTGAGTCAATGGTCTTCCAAACAATTGACTCAATTCTTGCGAGACAATAAAAAGAAGATTGAATTGGAAAAGAAGGATATTAAAAGTAAGTGTGTTTGTGATGATTGTATCTTGTCAATGACGATGAACATTTGATGTTTGTGTGATGTAATGGTTTTTTGAAAATTTGTGGGATTTTCATGATGTGAATCATGATTTTGAATATTTTGAATAATATTTGTTAATTCAATGATGATGATGAAATTGTTGTTGTTGAATGGTTGTCAACGATATGTTTATACAACAACAACAACAACACACGATTTCAAAATTCATATGAAATTGAATCAAAATGGCGCATTTGTTGTGATGACCCATTTTCCATATATGTGTGTGTGTGTGAATATTCTGAATTTCAATTTTGTTTGATTCTCTTCAATGATGATGAAAATTTGTTGTTTTGTTCGTTGTTGTGAATCCATCGTATTGCCAATCATCATCATGGTTCTCAACAACAACAACAACATGAAAATGAATGCCATGATCCTCTTTCATGACATTCTCTCCACAAAACACTTTCTAATTTTTATCACAACCTTCTTCTTCTCATCATCACCACACCAACAACAACAACAACACAATATGAACAACCACAATATCAACACAATCGCAACACCATTTCAACAAACACAATTCTCAAACTCTATACCATCAGAGTTACGAGCTGAGAGGTGGAATGGTCTCTCCATGTTGAGTGCCAAAGTCGAAGATTTAGAAAAACTCGGACTTGCCAGTGGTTCCGCACGCGCACTTTATACTCTCATTCATGAATTGATTGACACTCAAATTCAAAAGAATATTCTGCCTTCAAAGAATAGAATTTCAGTGAATGTGAATTCTGCATCAAGTGACATTTCGACCAGTGACTCGAATATTGGATCCTCTTCTTCTACCAATAATCTCACAATTATTTCAAATAATAACTCTTCGTCGAGTACAAGTGGAACGAATGGTCAACCAATGAATGGAGGTGACATTTCTGGAAAGCACAATTCACTCGAAATGTTTGGATCTTCTCCCAACTCGAATATGAAACAACATCAATTGAATTATATTCAAACAATTATTCAACAACAACAAGGAAAATTAATGGTTCCCAATTTGAGAGAAGAAGATATTGAACAAACAGGAGGAGGTACTTTGAGTACGACTACTTCCAATGGTTCTGGCACTCCAACCAATAACAAATCATCTTTAAATTTGGCAGCCATTCCAGCTGAAGATGACATTCGATTGGCACATGATTTAAATAATCCTGGAGAAATTGCACCTCCTCTTGTGGAAGCATCTTCTGGAAGAAAATCAGCAGGTGGTGGTCTTCAAATTCTCACCATTGCATCTGCTTCAACGAGTAATGGATCGGCTCCTGAATCTGCTGTGAAAGATTGTCCTGCATGGAAAGTCGATCAACTCACTGCTCAACAAAAACAAGCATTTGAAAATGCAATTGAAAAGGTTCAAAATTTGAAATATCCAATCAAACCAGAATTAATTGACGTTTTGGCACAAGATTTAGTCATTGTTGATAGATTTAAATATAAATTCTTGAATCCTGATCGACTGAAACAACGAGGAGACGGAGGTAAACATGGAACCTTTTTGAAAGTGAAATTGGTCATTACAGAAATGGACACTGAAGTCTTTCACAGAATTTGTAGACGTTTTGCAAACACATTCTCATCCACTGTGAGAAATAGTAGATGGGGTATGTTTCACACCGCTCTGATTATTGGACCATGGTATTTGGAGTGGAATGATTCCAGCTTGTCAACTGTGCGAAAGAAGAGTAGTAGTAAGGCAGTCTTTGCTGTGGATATTGCTAAAATTGAAGGCCAAAAAGAGGTTAATGAAGCGATTGACTCTGTCGCTCAACTTTGTACAGTATGGAATGGATACAAATTGTATGAAAATGACACTTGTAATTGCCAACACTTTGTGATTGACATGCTGGAATATCTTGGATTGGGTGATAATTTCGAAAATATTTTAGAACGATTTCCACCTCTCGCAGAATACATTACCAAGTTAAAGAAGAAGGGCGTGTGCGACATGGCCTACTATGTCGATGACAGAATTGCAAAAGCTATTAAGGAGTCTCCACAAACGAGTCGTGCTCTGAAAGAATTGGTGAAAAACAAGAAGGTTAAATTTAGCTCGCACAAACTGTTGGACGAGTTCGTGAGCTTTATCAAACAAAATTTCCCACTCTTCATGACTAATCGTGAACAAGAGTATGAATTGTTGAAGGCCTTCGATCGTGCTTTTTGGTTGAGAAGCCAATCTTCTCAGACAGAGGACGATGAGTCCGTGCAACCACTAATTGACATTCACACCAATGAATGTAAATGTCCATTCAACAAGAACGGACAACCAATCACTGAAGTGAACAATTCAATTGTTGGAATTGATTATGATGTTGGAAATTACACGACGCCATACCCCAAGTCTAGCCTCAATGCTTGAAATTTTTGTAAATAATATCCTCTCTTCTTCAATAAAAAGAATCATAAACTTGGGAAAATTTGTTGACTTTCACATCTCTCCAGTGATGAATGAAATCCTCAATACACATCCAAAACACGCCATCATCTTTGAATTCGACACTCAATCTCTTGATGAGTTTTGGAGTCCACTCGGGGCTGTGATCTGAGTATCGACCTGTCCATTCGAGACTTGAAAAGTTTTGTTTGATTTGTTCTAACATGGGGTTGATCAGTGTGACAATTTCTGAAAAGAGTGACAAACTAACCTTTTGTAAATTCGTTTGCCATGTATCCCCAAGGATTCATAATTTTAATCAGACGATGAATCTTATCCTCATCTTCGACTTTCACTGTTTCCAAAATTGCATATGCTGTCATGTTGTGGTGCGTGAAGAAGAGGAAAAGTTGGATTTAACGTTATTCATGAATAAAAAGAAGTAACAACAACCTACCATGATATTCCTTAATACCGCTAACCTTCTCAGTTTCCTTATAATTTTGTGGAGAATACACAAAAAGCACGTCTCCCCTCTTGTTCACGTCCATTAAGAAGCGCCAAACATCGAGAGGGTTGGAACTTGGTGTCACAGTGAGACCTGGCATGCATGGAGCACCCGTTAACAAGCTGAAAGCGATATCGGATTGACCTCCATGTCCAATTTGTTTGTATCCTCCCATGTATTTGGCAAATGCTTTTTCAAGCAAACAAATCCAAAATTCATTTACTGTGGCCGACCTGGCTCCCAAAACCTTGCCCCATCCTCCATAAGGGAGACGATCATCGATGGTAACAAGGACTTCCTTTCCGTCTTTCCAAAATCGCACCACTGCTTTTCCTGTTTTCACATCGTACTCTTTGAATAACCCCTTAATGATTCGAGGATTTCTGTAAGCTAAATTCGAAACTGCAGCCAAAAAATAACAATTTCCAAGAACGCCCTGTCTGACATCTTGAATATCGACTCCTTCGAAGAATAACTGAGGGTCATCACATAATTCGCATGGTCTCAACCATGCCGTTACTTTCTCATAAAAATCCCATTCGCTCATATTGAAGTCATTGTCACAAAACACTGCGCTAGATTTGAATCGTTGACATCTTTCAGCAATTTCTTTCGTTGGGTTGAATATTCCGTTCAAGATGCAATAATAATCCTTCACCAATTTGATGTACTGTACTAGCTTGTCATATCTTTCGATGCATGAAATTACAGATTGAACATTGGAATCAAATCTCGGATGGGAGGGTAATTTTTTGCAAATATCCAATATTTCTTGTTTTGACATTTTCGTGAAATCAGGAATATTGGGAGGGCTGTACCATTCCTGTAAAATCTTATCTTCCTTATCGAGCGTGGCACAATTACTCGGATACCACGTTTGAAGACTCGATTCAAAGTCCGAGTTGACTTTTTTCACGTAATTCAAATAGTGCTCGACGTGTGGAGGTTTAGCCAACGAAAGCCCATTATCCATCGCTGCCTCCCACTTTGATAGTGTTTGAAACGTCGTTTGATATTGAGGTGTCTTTCCTTCCAAGTGCCCATATTTTGCTTTAAAATCCCGGACAGTATCTTTAATAACGTAAGCTGAGAGTTTCGTCAGATCGGTTGCTTCTTCTGGCATTGAAAATGACAATGAAAATGAGATTGTTATTCTTTCAAGTATATATATTTATACCAAAACGTAAAAATCAATGAACACCACCAACAACACACGAAAAAAGGTCTCCAACGTTTGCCAATTTTTTTGATGTCATCAAAATTTACAGTAAGACTCCCGACTTTTCAGCGCGGGAACTTGCAAGTTCTTGACCCGAGTTCATCCTTGTTCAATTCAAAGTTTCCATTCTTATCGTATATAGTTAATTAATAAGAATGGAAACTGGTATAGTTTTTTCACAAAATGGTTTGTGATGTGTGTTTTATTTTAAAAAAGGTTTTACTTGGCCAACTTGTTTGCAATTTGAGCCACATGATTGCCTTGGAATTTGGCCATTTCTTTCTCTTGTGAAGATGGAAGGCGTTCTCCCATGGAGCCAGCTGAAGATATATAATGATGAATATTTTCATAAATGACAAATAATTTCACAACATCATCATTCGAAACAAGTGACGATTATCACCTTTCATTGGCAATTATCACAAAATACTTACCAATCGTTGTAGCACCATATGGACTTCCTCCCTTCACTTCATCCACACCTGATTGAAGAGTACAACTATAAGGAAGACCTACATAGACAAATCCTAAATGCAACAAATTTGGAATGGCACTCAAAATGGTCGTTTCATTTCCACCATGTTGAGTATTACTTGATGAGAAGAAAGATCCAACTTTTCCAACAAGAGCACCTAAAAGAATAGATGATGAAAAGTGTGTGGTTGGAAATAAAAGATCACAATGAGTATGATTTCATTAATGAGGAAGGTTGTTTCGCAATAATTGTAATATTAATTATTTCACTTACCCTTTGCCCAGAGTTGACCACAAGCATCAATGAAGGACTTGAGTTGAGCAGACATGGTTCCGAAACGAGTTGGGCTTCCAAAGATGATGGCGTCATATTCTGGGAGTTCACTCACAGAGGCCTACAGAGATGTTCGTTGAATGAAGTATTACAACAATATCAACATATCATTAGTGGCATTCAACATGTGTCATTATTAAAAGAAAATTAAAATTTTTTAAAAAAACAGAATTTGATCGAAAATGTGTGTTTGTCATCCTTGATACTGATCTCAAACGCCTGCACTTACAATAGGAACGTGTTCAAAAGCCTTTTGTGCTTGAATGGCACCCATCTATTCATTAACCATTCATTAACATTCCATTGAAAACACCAATTTGTTATCCAACAACAACAACACCACGATATTCTTCCAGAGAACACCTTCCTCCAAATACTTACCTTCTCCAAAACTTCAGCTGGCAATGTTTCTGGAACTCTCTTCACATGAACCTCAGCACCTTCGACTTGTCGGGCACCCTCAGCAATTGCTTCAGCCATTTGCCACAAGTGTCTATAAGTACTGTAAAATAAGACGAGAACCTTGACCATTTTGTATGAGCTGTTGTTGTTGTTGTTGTTGTTTGATGAAGAATTGTTGTTGTTTTTTGTTTGTTGTCTTTTCTTCACGCGAATCTTGTGTTAAATAACGTTGTTGTTGTTGTTGTTGACCACCCAAACTCGTCAATTCCCAATTTGTCTCTATTGTGAGAGAACGATCGAACAAACCAACGAATTTATGCGCACCAAGCATTCGGACGACACTCTCGAGAGCATTCCTCCGTAGTTCCATAGACGCATCCACCACCTGGTGATGGTTCATTTCACTTATCCCACATTACAACCAAACCCACCATGCATGTACACCATTATGGATTATATCCAGGACCAGAGAGAGAGAGAAAGGCACGACCACGACCACCACCACAAAATACCAAAATACCAAAACAAAGGATTGTACACTCGAATCCAACTCCAATTCTCGAGTTAGCTTCCATACCTCATCAATACCGTAAAGGCAGGCCCATGTTTGGGTTTCACCATTTCATGATCCTTCACCACTTCAAACCCAAGTCTCTGTAAAAAGTAGGAAAGACAATCACTTGAGGAATTCACCTCTTGTAAGGATGGAATATAGGATGGATCATGTCGGCCGTCCTGTTTATGAACAAAATCCTTTTTCTCATCCTCCTCATGTGTTGGTGGTTGTTTCTTATTCTTCTTCTTGTTCCATCGATTCTCCTCCTCCTCCTGTTCGTGGTCATCATCATGATACACCACGGTAAAGATGGCAAGTGTCGCTTCATCACTTGCTCTCAGGATGGGCATGAGGACTTGGTTTGCTAAACCCTTATGACGAGAGTGAGGTGAAACGACAAAACTGAGAAGAGTCCAATGAGGTTTTTGGTGAATGGGCATGAGAGAGGAGTGAATCTCTTCCATGCACTGAGCTGCCTTAATGGCTCTATAAATGGAGGATAGACCTCTGTTCATAGGAATAGAGGAAGATGTAGAATTCAATAATTGAATATTAGAATGTGAAATCAATTTTAAATTTCACATGTCATGGGTTTAGTTTGAATATCATCAATATATCAATGAGTGGTAAACAATTAATTAGATGTATCAATTGGATTCATTAGAATTTAAAATGACCCATCATCATAGATCTACATGAACACTTACAAACTCTTGGGTGCTTTGACAATACCCAATTTTAGCATTCTCCAAAATCCAATTCCTTTCGTATTGTATGGATCTTGCCAAATGGAAATTGCTTGAATTTCTTTGGGTTGAGAATCGACTGGAAATTTCACATTCACATACACTCGACCATATTTGCAACCATATTTGATGACAAGTTTGCACAGAAATAAAAGCGCTTCTTTTGAAATTTTCGATTCCACATGACTCTTGAAGAGTTTTCCGTCTCTATTTGATGAAATGTTAAAAATATATTTCAGTAATGGATGCAAGAAGGTCATTATGTTTGAGGTGTTGTTGTTGTTGATTGTTGTTGAAGACATCATTGTTTGAGAGTGTTGATGAGAAGAAGATGCAGAACCACTGTCATCACCACCACTGCCACCATTACTACTGCTGAGAGGAGAATCGATGGAAATTGGAGATGAAGAGGAGACAGCAGCAACGGCATTGGTTTGTAAACTCAATTCTCCCACTATGCGATGATGATGAGGTGAGTTGTGAGCATTCTCATCGTTGTGATCTTGAGGTGTGAAAAGATCTTCGTTCAAATGATTACCATTTAAGGAAAATCCAAACATTAAGGAACGAGCCATAAATAAGGCAGCTTCATCCATTTGTGAAGGATGTATTTCACTCACGACATTTCTTCCTCTCTTATTCATATCTCGTCTTTTTTTAGGTTTTTGAAATTTCACATAATTGAAAACTTGTTGTTTGAAAATATTCTCAGAAGAAGGCACTGAATTCGTCATACCGTTGTTGTTACTTCCACCAACTCCAATACTTAGGGCTCTAAGGGTCGTGTTCTTGATAACGGAATTGGCACTTCCTGATCGTTTTCGTCGTGGAGACGAATTTCCTGATCCTCCTTGTTGAGCATGTTCTTGTAAGACGGATTTGGTAATTTCCTTTCCGAGTTTTGTGGATGTGGTAAATAATTTCCACCACTGTGTGTGCAGGGATAAGGGTTGTAAGAGTTGATGTAAGTGTTGTTGTTTCATGTCCATGATTAGGATGTTCCAAAGGTTGTACTTACATGGTGTTCCCATAAATTATAAAATTCCATGCAGGAAAGACCTGAATGATGGTGATGAATAGTGATGATTTAAATAAGTCACACACCCGATCATTGCCAATGGATGTATGTTGTGTGAATTCGATTATCAAAGTTGTATATTTCCATTTTTTAAAAAAACAAATATAAAAAATAAACATTCCACAACATGTACCATTAATGCAATCCAACAACAAGAACACCACTACTCACCAATATGATACATGTCTTCAATATGAAGAAATGAAAAAACTCGTAATTTCAAATCATTGGACAAGGCCTTAAAATCTTGTAATACCAAATTAAGCTTTCCATGGTGCTTACTCGAATGAGCTTTCAATCGATTCAATTTTTTCAAACATTGTTCTGCAGAAGGTCTCTCACGACTATCATAACTCACGAACGACTTGGCCAACTGAAAGAGATCTCGAGAATATCCAAAATCTTCCACACATAAATGTTCCAGATCCATAAAAAGATTTGGATTTTTTCGTAGTTCCATTGAAAACATGATTGGCTTTCCAGTCATCATTTGAAATAGGATTCTATTTCATGTGAATCATTGTAATTTCATGCAAATAGTGAGTTAGCAATTATATGCACATGTTGTGAAATCAAACGAGCAAAAGTCACAGAGAATGCAACAAAAACTACTTACACTCCATACGAATACATATCTGCAAGTTGATCATAAGGCTCCTTATTGAGCATTTCATAACTCATGTACTCCAAAGTGCCACATTGAGTCTTGGGAATCGAATGAGTTGAAATTTCACGACTAATTCCAAAATCTCCAATTTTCAAAGTGCCATCTGAAGCAATAAGTATGTTTTGAGGTTTTCTGTTTTGAAAATTCAAAAGGTTCGACATGTTCATTCATTCATTGAAAATTCACAAGATTTGTGATTCAAGTCGTGTTCTGAATCTTGTTGTTATCATCATCGTGAAACACTTACAAATCTCGATCTAAGAATCACACGAAAAAATCCAACAACAAATCACACACACATATTTAAATTTCAAAACGTGTTGTCACACACCAGAAAAGTCCATCCATCACTACCTACGAATTATATTATGTTCATGTAAATATCTCAATCCTTCCGCAATCTGCTCCGCATAATTCACAATATCCTCTTCATTCATCTTCTTTTCTTTCTTAATCGTTGACGTAATTAATTGTTGTAAATCTCCTCGAGGACAATATTCCAAACATAAACACACATAGAGTGTCTCTGCTTTCTTTGAATATTGATGAAGAAAGACACTCAAATATTTAATGATATTTTTATGGGAAAGGTCTCTGAGTTTCTGAGCTTCGTTGAGATGAATATTTGCATCTTCATAACTTGACCATTCCATACGTTTGATAGCGATTTGTTCTTGTGTTTTTTTGTGTTCAGCTAAGACCACTTGTCCTGATAAGGAAGAAAATTTGAAGGTGTGAAGAATTCAAAGTTGTAAACACAAGTTGTTCAAGAAATATAATGATGAAAATAGGGATGACATAATCATATGAAAAATGATGAAGATGTCAATGATTCACGGGTGTTCATGCGAAAGAATCATTCATCGTGTGAATTCAACATTGAAGCAAAGACATACCTTCGGAACCTCTTCCCAAAATTTTAATGACGCTATGTTTTCATGAAAGGAGGTGCGGACATCAAGATGACGAGAGAGGCATTGGTTGTTGATAGAGTGGGTGACCATGTCAAGCTCAAGATGCAAAGATTGAACAAAAAACCTACTAGTAATTCTCCATATCTTTGTATTTTTTTTAAAATTGATGTTTTTGAAATCTGACAGCTCCGCCGAGAGATTCCGTTAAGCTTGCGTGTGAAAGAGAGCACTTTTATTCATCAATACAACAACACCGCCTCACTTCCTGAGAAAGAGAGAGAACTTTTGTCAAATTATTTAGAGAGAGCAGAGAGGAATTGTTGGCTTTCCAATCCTTCAACTTCTCTTGTGATTGGCACATTTGGTAAATAACCTCTCTTTGCAACATAGTTAATGGCAAAAGGCATGGCATTTGACTTTTCTTGCTTGCTGCTCTTGTCTCCAACCCAGATAAAGACATGAAGACCAGAATCTAAGATAAAGACATCATTTTCGTTCAACAATGACTTTTGAACCTGGTCACCCTCTCCGACAAGGGTACACACAATACTTCCACTAGCATCACTCACACGGAATAATCTCTTTTGTTTTGCTTCTTGTGGAATTAAGCTAGCACTGTCTGGAATTGCTTCTTGGACCTCACTTGGAGATCCCTTCAATAAGGAGAAGAATTCCTCTTCTGCCTTCATATCTCTTTCGCTCTTGGATCCAGCACCAACATGGAATACTTGTGCAGAATCGGAACGATCATCTTGCATGGCTGTCACAACAGTGGCAGTTTTGTACTTTTCTTGAGGAGAGGCCTCTTCTCCAACCCAAACGAAAATCTTATTACGAGCATCGAGAATGAAAGCATCACCCTTATTGAGAGAGGAACATTTTGGAGAAACTTCATAGACACGCACATTCTTACGTCCCTTCACGTGCCACAAGGTCACAACACCTTTATCACTTGCAGTAGATCTTCCTTTTTCGAGCTCACTATCGACATGCTTGAATCCAGTGGCAGTACCACCATGAACCACACGCAGACCTGAATTCTTGCTACACGATTGGAAGTAGGAAAGGAATAAATCGCTTTCAGTTCCTTGCACTTCACGGTGTTCCTTTGGAAGAGTGCCAAGCAAGTCATCGAGTTCAACAGTCTTGTAGGCTGCAACTCCCATCTGAGATGGGTTGGTTATGGTTTCATACGACAAGTGAGAGTGATAAGTACGAGAGAGTATTCGGTGAATATCGTTCGTAATTTGTAGATGGATGATGATCATGATGAATTGGCAACGGATGACAGGCGGATCAATAATGATCAAATTAAAATCATCACGATAATGACATAACAATAATCATCATTTGCATTGCAATTGATACGATCATGAAGATGCATCACTCATTTGTCATCATTCAATTACCAACACTTACTTCATCAATACTGGTCAATTTTCCCAACCAAAAGTGAATATCGTACGACTTTTTTCCATTCTTATCAATCACAGTATTCAACACAATATAGGAGTCACCATCATAAAAGTTTCCATACTCTTGCTTTGGTACAGGTTTGACCTTGAATTGCTCAATTCGCCAAATCGCCAATCCTGCTTGATCACCAGCTCCTTTCCATTCATCGGCTGTTCTTGCTGCACGAACGCGAGCTTCAAGATCAAGAGAAGATCCAATGAGAGCACAATTCGAATCTGCGAGTTTAACTTGATGGGCCATCATTTGTGAGCAAAGTCTAGTGGTGGTAGTTGTCGATGAAATTTTTTGGTTTTAATTCAAGACAGGTGAAAATCATAAGAGAGATCATTCATATATCGTTGGTTGGTGCCCAACTAAAATGAGTAACGCCCTTTCCCAACACGATCATAACGATGATGATGAACCTGGTGCATCAACAACCTCACCACACCTCAATATTGAACCTTGGATCTCATCCGATCCGGTTCATGTATGATCGAGCTTTCACCAATAACGAGTTGATCCATTTCCAAAGAGAGAGAAACAAAATTTTTTTAAAATTTTTGGCGCCTCTCCTTACAACTCTCGCATCTCTCTCTCAAAATAGTTTCATTTCAATGCCTTAAAAAAAAATGGTTAAAATCGTTGCAAATTATGAAATTATGCGAACGTTGGGACAAGGAAAATACTCCAAAGTCAAGTTTGGGAGAGATTTGGAGACGGGAGAAACGTATGCGATTAAGATTATGAATTTGAATTATATAAAAAAGGAACAGATGGAAACGCAATTGAAACGAGAAATTGCAATCATGAAAATTATGAAACACCCGAATATTGTAAAATTGAAGGAAGTACTACAAACGGAGAATAACATGTATGTCATCATGGAATTGGTAACGGGAGGAGAGCTATTTGATCGTATTGTGGCTGCGGAGAAGTTCGATGAAATTACTGCAAGGCGATATTTCCATCAACTTGTTTCTGCAGTCGAATATTGCCATAATCAAGGAATTGCGCACCGAGATTTGAAACCTGAAAATTTATTATTGGATTCGACGGATCGACTCAAAATTACCGTAAGTTGGGTTATGAAATATTGACGGGCTTGTTAATGTTCATGTGCCTAATGCTTTTGCAACTACCAAAACTTTTATTTCCTTTTACTTTTCCGTTTCAAACGCATACACCTTTTCATCATCGAAAATATCTGAACAACGAATAGGACTTCGGGCTTAGTAGTATAGTACCAAACAAGCTCGGAAAGTCACAACTTTTGAAAACAACTTGCGGAACACCCAACTACGTCTCACCTGAAGTTATCAAAGAAAAAGGTTATGACGGTTTCATTTCAGATATATGGTCACTTGGAGTAATTCTTTATGTCATGCTCACTGGACGTAAGTAAGAAAGAGGACAAGATCAAACCTGACCTCGAATGATATCTCAAATATTATTTATTTGTATGATATAATGATATATTATTTTTTCGATATTGTTATATCCCCCAAATATTTGAAAAAAAAAACAACCTTAACAGGACTACCCTTTGATGACAGGAATATTAATGTATTATTTAAAAAAATAGAGAGTGGAAAGGTGGACTATCCAATTCACCTATCGAAAGAAGCAAAACATTTGATCTCGCACATGCTACAGGTCAACCCAAAGAAAAGATATACAATTGCACAGATCAAGGCTTCCAAATGGTTCCAAATGTAAGTTGTGTTTTTATCACTTTGACACAGTTTCTAATGTCCATTATTTCGGAATATTTCCCAATATAGAGGATATAAGGAAGAATATTCTGTGATCATGCCACAACCACAACCTAAAATAGAATTGTCGAATTCTGACATTAAGAACGCCGTGAAAGACAGTTTTTACAAGGAAGTTGATCAGCTTCCGCAGAATTCGACACAAAAATCTCCACCTGAGGTTCGAATGAATGCTTTTGATTTAGCGTCACAATTTGTCATGGGATCTATTTCAAAGATGGCTACGGGTCAGGATGCGCTTCTCATTAGGAGACAGACGAGATTGGTGGCTCTCGGACAAATTGAAGAAATATCAGAAAAAGTGTTTCAAATTTTGAAAAACGAGCGAGCAAACCCAAAATTTAAGGGAACAAACCTTATCAAATGTTACATGAATATGGCGGATACTGTAATTACCATGAATGTTGCAATTTTGAAAACTGTTTCAGATTCTTTGTTAATTATTGAATTCAGAAGAGGCAAAGGCAACTTTTTAGCGTTTCATCAATTTTTCAGGCATGTCGCTTCGAAAATGTCAGATTTTGTTGTTTCAGCAAATTCGCAACCTAAAACAGAACCTCAAACGCAACAGCAGGCATCGTCTTCCTCTCCCCAAGGCTCAGCTGTCGACCCTCAAAAACAATAAACTCGTCAATGTTACTTGCAACAGATGTTGATCAACTTGACCGTCCACTTGAAAATATGAAGAATCTTTTATTGCAACGATTAATTTAGAAGAAGTCAAAACCACCAGCATTGGTGTTGGTATTTTGTCTTGGTTGGTTGTTCCATTGTGGTGGTTGGTTACCATAGTTCATTGGTGGTTGATTTCCATAACCCATTGGTGGTTGAGCATTTCTTGGTGGATAGCCGCCTGCTCCCATTGGTGGAGTGGCGTTCCAGCCTCCTCCCATTGGTGGTTGAGGATTGTTGTATCCTCCCACCATTGGTGGTTGTGTATTACCCCAAGGTTGATTGCTTGGTGGGAAGGAAGGTGTGTTCATGACTGGCTTGTTTGGTGGAGTTGTTGTTCCTTGCAATCTCTTCAACTCCTTGAGTGTCATATTTGTTGTTTGTGGTTGAGTATTTTGTTGTTGTTGTTGAGTTTGCTTCTTTCCAGAATCATTCAAATCCAAATTTACCAATCCACTCGAAAGGTCAAACAATGTAGAATCCTTCTTTTCTTGGGCAGAGGAAGAGCCTGTACCGAAAGAATCATTATTTCCGAACGCATCATCAAATCCAGAGCTATCAAAGTTTGCTTCAAAATCATTTTGTTGATTTCCTCCGAATGATGGAGCTGTGTTACCACCTCGTGGATTGAATCCTCCGCTTGTATTGCCACCTCTTGGGTTGAAGCCGCCACCAGTAGAGGTATTTACGAATTGTTGTTGTTGTTGGTTGTTGGTGCTAAAACCAAAGTTGTTGTTGTTGTTTCCAAAACCAGCATTGCTTCCGAATCCTGCATCTGTTGGGCCAGTTGGTTGAGTATCAAAGAAATCAATTAAAGTATCTTCCTTTTGTTGTTGTGTTGGTTGTTTTACGACCGTTGTTTGTGGTTCGGATCCAGTAGATGGTTTTCTTGGTCGGCCACTGGTTGTTGAGGTAGATTTTGTTGGAGGTGGAGAAGAGCTTCTTCTTTCATCATCGTCATCTCTACGATACTCCTCTTCATCCATGCTTGAACGAGAGGAAGATTTCTTTGGAGCATCATAATCATCATAGCTAGTAGTCGTTGGTTTCTTCTTCTTTTCTGAGGAGGAGGAGCCTGAGGAACGAGCCTTGTATTTGGCTTCAGATCTAGAGAACCCTTCGTACTTGTTCTTTTCTTCTTTAGCCTTCTCTCTCTCTTCTTTGATAGAGTCTTCGTTTTTAATGAACTCCAAAAAGTGTTTGGCAGCATCTCTCACGTTGACTCCCCAATCCTTTCCTTCATCATCAACATATTTAAAGTTCTTCAAGTGACGAATGAGTGATACCATATCCTTGGCCTCATCGAGACATCTTTCAGAGCCATGAATGACCAAAAATTCCATGAGTTGAATGCCCTTTTGGACGTGTCTCCAGTCTTTACCAACATCGGCCAATCTGATTCTAATGACAGACATGATGAGCTTGAACTCCTCATAGTTGTAAGTATGATCTGCAACTTCAAGTTTATCGGACAACTTGACTCCCCATGGATCGTTGCTGGTGCATTCTCTGACTTTGATCTCCAGTGGGGTCATCTGAAGAACCGTGTTTTTGATTTGTTTAATTTTGCTCTTGATATCAAACATACTGATACTACTCATTTTCGGTTATATTTGATGATTCGAGGTGGTGCTAAAAAGCCGTTCAATATTTGTTGTTATTATTCTCAACACAAAACTACGCAAGGAGTAAATATTGTTATAGTATTGCAAAATCACACGCACACAAAAACTCTTTGTATCAAAAAAAATAGCGAGCGGTGGGTGATGATGACGATACAAAAAACGTTCGCAAGAGAGCAGCAGCACGCGAAGCGGAATCAACAAATTTTTTTTTAGTTTTTTTTATTAAAAAATAAAATTTTGTCAATCGTTACAACATGCGCAAGGTTCGCTGGAAAGGAATAACGTCTCTCGAGGCGTTATCCAAACAAATTCTCGGCCCTCACAGTGTGTCTGCGTTCAAATTGAAGGGTTAGTGACTATGACCTGTTGTTGGTTGCGTAGCAGTTCCTTGCAAAGTGAACTTGTTATGACCATTCACAAGATCTCTGACGATTGTTAGATTGTTCAGTACGAAAAAACAACAATCGGAACGAAAGAAATTGGGAGTGAGTGAGACCTTAAATGAGTTGCATCCTCATTACATGAGTAAGGTTGCTTCAAGGATTCGTTGTCAAATTAATAGCCCCTGCAAAATGGTAACTGTAGTGTTTGCACCTGAAACCCAGCAAGCCATGAACACCCTTTTCAGAAACTTGTTCAAATTAAGAAAATTCACTTTATTGAATTGGTGGTCATCAAATTCTCTTCACTTCTTACATTCACTTCATCAAGCAAGTCAACAAAGACACCTCTTGTTCACCTTCTTTCAATGCTTTCGACAACGATGATCCAATCGATGGCAGTGTCATTGGCTTTGCATGAACGAAAGTCGACTTATCATTCAAGGTAATGGAAAATTTCAAGTGGCGATCATCATCAACTGTTTATTTCCGCAACCAAAGGAAAAAATAGGACAAAAAAAATTAAGCCACACACTCACCTGGTGCGATTCAACGAAATTGATTGAAAAAACAAATTGTTTCATACAATCTTCATCAAGCCATCAACAACAACAACTTGATCCTCCTCGTTCCCATCGTCATTTCAACCATGAAGAATACTTGTCGTTTGATCTTGAACAAGGCTACCACAAATTTCAACCAAACTCGTGCCTTCTCCACCTCCACCATCCAATCAGGTATTTGGGCCAACGTTCAATATGCTCCTCTTGATGCCATCAAACAATTGACCATTCAATTCAATCAAGATACATCTCCAAACAAGATCTTGTTAGGAGAAGGTGTCTATCGTACCAATGAAGGTAAGCCAAAGACTCTTACTTCAGTCCGTGAGGCCGAAAGAATCATTTTCGAGAAGGCCATGGATCATGAATATCCACCAGTCACTGGTGTTCCAGATTTCTGTAAGGCCACTCAGAAATTTGCCTTCGGAGAGAATAAGGAAAACATTGCTACTGTGCAAGCCATCTCTGGTACTGGCAGCTTGTGCCTCTCTGCTTGTTTCATTAAAAAGTTCCTTCCAGCCGATACCAAAGTGTATTTCCCAAATCCAACATGGGTCAATCACTTTAACATTTTCAGTGCTCAAGGATTTTCCGATGATCGTCTTCCAACGTACAGATATTTCGATAAGAAGACTAATGGAATGGACGTTGCTGGATGTTTGGAAGATTTGAAGAATGCTCCAGAGAGATCTGTTATTTTGTTGCACGCCTGTGCTCACAATCCAACTGGTGTTGATCCATCCATGGATACTTGGAAGCAAATTTCTGATATTTGCAAGCAAAAGAAGCATTATGTCTTGTTTGACTCTGCTTATCAAGCATTTGCTTCTGGTGATGCTAACACTGATGCTCAATCTTTCCGTTTGTTTGTGAAGGAAGGTCATCAAATCATGCTCTGTCAATCCTATGCCAAGAACTTTGGTTTATATGGACAACGTATTGGTGCTTTCTCTGTGGTTTGTGAAAATGCTGAGGAAAAGAAGAATGTTGAGAGTCAACTCGGTATCATCATTCGTACTCAATACAGTAATCCACCTCTGCACGGTGCTCGATTGGTCACCACTGTTTTGAACAGCCCAGAGTTGAAGGCTCAATGGGAGAAGGATGTCAAGGAATTGGCTGACCGAATTAAGTCCATGAGAAGTCGATTGGTTGAGGAATTGAAGGCTGCCGGAAGCACTCGTGACTGGTCCCACATTACCAAGCAAATTGGTATGTTCGCATACAGTGGTTTGAATGAGCAACAAGTCAACAGATTGAGAGAAGAATACCACATTTACATGACTAAGGATGGTAGAATTAGTATCTCTGGTTTGAACACTAACAATGTTGCCACTGTCGCTAAGGCAATGCATGAAGTCACCAAGTAGTTTGAGTGCTTATTATTGTGACATTATTACTGTATCACTAAAATTGAATATTTTAATTTATTAACCATGTATTGAGGTCTTTTTTGGGCAACTAGTAAATGACGAATTAGGTTTAAGTAGTAAAATAGGTGATGATGAATTTTTTATTATCGTTCGACTCTGAGTGTCTAAAAGTTGCCGAGCTCCCTTGCTTTCTGAAAGAAAACAATCATTTATGAGCGCTCGACAAATATATGATGTTTATGAGTACGTGCGAGGGAATAGTACATTTTATTGAAATGCTGAATATTTGAAAACAAGTGAATTGGAGTGTTACTTGTCATTGAGTGGTCCAATTCCACCTCATCTCGTGTGACTGACGACGTACAGTCCTGGATGATGAAAATATTCGTCACACAATTAAATCAAAACCTTGTGATGAACAATATCGGCACCATGTTCAAAATACTCATCCTTAGTGATACACATATTAAAGAATGATGACAATGTAGCCATTATACTTCCACCAATCCATGTCAAATTTTCTCTATTAGGAGTAGCCACCACACGAATGTCCATTGTGGATGGAGCCATTTCTGTCATTTCTTTCGTCAATCGATCTTCCAAACCTTCCATTAATGTACTTCCACCTGCCAACACTGTATTGTGATAGAGAATTTTACGAACGTCAATAGGTGATCTCGAGATGGAGTCAAATAATACTTCATGAATTCCTGAAGATTCCATTCCGATCAGTTGAGGATAGAAAAGAACCTCAGGAGCACGGAATCTCTCAGAATTCACAGTAATGACGCTTCCATCAGGCAATTCATAATTTTGATCGAGAGATGAACTTTCGTCTGCCTTTTCTAATTCTTCTTGGTAATCCAACGCAATATAACAATGGTTTTCTTTGAGATTTCTAATAACTTCATGTTCGGAAGTGGTGTGAAAATTGTAATCTTTTTCACTTAACATTTTCATTAAATATTCAGTCACGTCACGTCCTGCAATATTCAATCTGAGAACCGCATTGAGAAGTACTAATATTTTCAGTGATCATTACAAATTTTAGTGTGTGTCGATGCATGGTATCAATATTCATTCCATATATATTAATTATATTAATTCATACATTCAATAGGTTATATATATATATATTTTATACATTCAATAGGTATTATATATCATAGGCCATATTTGAGAGTGTCAATTCATTCAAATCATCAATTAATTCCACTAATTCAAATTCCAATTCACAAAAACTTACATTGACCATCATACATGGGCACTACATTGGTGGCACCATCTCCAACATCCAAACAAACTCCTGTCAATCTGCCACTTGCCATCAAAGCCAACGCTCCTTGAATTCCCAAATAAAAAGCAGGAACCTCCAATTTCTCCATCAAAATCTCAGTAATCTTCTCACGTTGTGTTTTTGGAGTGAGTGGTGCATCTGTGATGAGTAATGGTTGTTCCTCAGGTGCCAATTTCAATTCACCATAATACGTGTGTGAAATGACAGATTCCCAAGCATCGTAATTATCAATTAAACCATGTTCCATCGTATAGGAGAGTTGTAAAATACCTCTTTTGGATTGGGCACTTTGTCCGACATAGTATTCTCGATTGACGGTTCCAACGAGAATGGAACAATCTTTGGCTTTGCCGATAATGTTGGAGAAACGAGTGATGGGTGCTTCGTAGCCAGCAATACCTGCTTTGATGAAGCCTGATCCATTGTCGATGATGACCGATGGAAGTTGTTGGGAGGAGACAGAAGTTGACATTTTTTTTTAAAACTTGGATGATGAGTGACATTTGAAGGGTGTGAAACAAGTTGAAAAAAAAAGAAATTAATGACCTCAATCTTTGAAATTCAACTTTCACAATTATTGTACTATGGCAGGAACATTTCTTCAGCTGTCCAGATCCACCGTTGAGCCCATGGTGTCTCAATTATTTCAAAACTACTAACTAATTTGTGTATCACACACTCAACGCTTGGTCTCAAAATTTTTAGAGTTTTGTGAATTCAAAAAAAAAATGTCTCCAAAGAAAAAGCCAAAACCTTCGACTGCATCTTTGGTTCTGAAATCTTTAGGAAATTCTTCCAATAATGATCAGCTTCAGCATCGGACCAATACTACGAACGAGGAAAGACGGAAAAGAGCTTTGGCTCTCTCCAAGTTGCTCCGAGAGGAAGAAAAGAATGATGCTTCCTCCTCATCGTTCAACAACACTAATAACGATGATCATGATCATACTCAGGTAGATAATTTAATGGATGAACATATTATTCGGAATTTGTTGGACAACTTGATGGAAGATGAGGACGATGATGATGAAGTTCTGAATGATGATTTTTTTGTGGAGGAATCCAGTGATAGTGCAGATGAAGGCTTATCGCCTTTGAGAGAGGACAAACAGCCAACATCAAATGCATATCAATCCTTAGGTGATGAGGATGAAGATTGGCATCATCATGGAGAGAGTACGGATGATGAAGAGGATTGGCAAGCCTTTCAAGAAATTTGTTATCATTCCGATGATGATGATGATGATGGTGTGGAAGGAGATGATGAAAGTAAGCACCATGAAACGTCATCAAGAAGTGCAAAATCCACTCGGCACAATAACATCAACTTGGACAGTACAACAAATAGAACTAGTGCTAGCAAAATACATCAAGAAACACCAACAACAGCAAATAGATCATCAATAGGACCTTGTCCAAAACCAACTTCTTTAGCCTTAAAAGCAGTTCGCCTGAAACATAAATTGTCAGCGTTGAAAAAGAGGAGAAATGGCATGAATGGTTCAGCAACAACATATACCACTTTGAATGGTCATGATCATGATAATTCTTCAAATATTCACAATTTAAACAATTGTGAAATGAATTATTCATCAACATTAGAATCAGTATCAAATACCACAGATCTCAATGGATACTCAACAGGTATTAAGAAACAAACGAAGAATACTGCTACTACATCGGACATGCAAAGCAGTGAAACAATTTTGTCAGCAGAGAATGTTACAAAAAATTTTGAAGCTAAATCCACCCTTTCAAACACCAATTCCAAGAAATCCCGTCAACAACCATCTCATCCTGAAATGTCATCATCTTCATCCACACAAAATCCTATACAAAGTACCAAAAAGATCACCTCCAAAGATGACACGAAAAAGAAAGACGAACAACAAGAAACAGCAGAAACATCCGAACCATCAGACCATCACGAAAACGAAGTTGTATCACATTCTTCCCATCATAACCTAGAACGGTCGACCTCAAAGAAAGTTGTCATGGACAAAAAATTATCAAACACTCAAGTTTCACAGAGTGTCACTTCTAGTCAAGGCTCTTCCTCCTCCTCCCATGATAATAATGCCAATGATTTCTCTTCGCAAATATCCAACCACCATGAGAGTAAGGATGAAGAAAAAAATCCCTCCCAGAAAGATCAAGACGCAACAACTGACAATCATTCTTCCAAAAAGCCAAAGAAATCAAAGAAAAGTAATACGGAAAACGAAGAGAATGAAGCCTCTGATGACAATGAAGGAAATGCCTATTTTGCCTGTCTAGAATGCAAAGAATCCCATAGAAAATGCAGTAGAAATTTACCAGCATGTTCACGATGTATCAAGAGAGGTCTCAAGTGTGAATATCCAGATCCACCCATTAGCCCAAAACGAAAAACATCAGCCATAACGCCTAAAGAGAAGCAGGAAAAGAAACGAAAATCAGAAGACAAGACAAAGAGCAAGTCGTCGTCACCCACCAAAAAGAAGAAGAAATCGAATTCGAGCGATTCAGAGCCATCTCCAAAGAAGAATACCACAAAACAAAAGCCGAATAAGGAAAACTCTTCATCAAAAAAAGACTCTGACGATGATGATGTGATCCTTGTTTCTGAAAAGATTCCTAAACCCACGAAACAAAAAACGATCGATTCTTATCTCAAGACAACAAAATGAGCGTTTCTTCCAAATTTTTGAATAATTTTTTGATTTAAAATCATATAATATTTTTAATAGAGTACATAATGTCATGTTCGACATCATTTAATGCTTTATACTTAACTCATTCCAAAACTGCCAGTTAATTACAGTTGGTCGTACTTTCATCGAGGTGCCTTTAAGATAATTGTTTGGAGAAGATCCAGGTTTTGAAATGTGAAACTTGTCCCTGTTTGGTAAAAGTTGATTGTTTAGGCTCTGGCACACCTCCCTTAATACTTGCTTATTATTTCGACCACTTTTCCTTAATATTTTTCACATGAGATTTGAAATTAAATAACCATCTCCACAACTTTTTCACATAGACACCAGGAGGTAACATGACGAGTGACAGATAAGCCAGAATTCTGTACAATATTCCAAACAATGGAAGAACCCAAACACACTTGGTTTGATCTGAAAATGAGTATCCCAATAATTCCATTCCACTCTCCACTGAATAAACAGTTGCGTATTTCTTAATTTCAAATAAATAGAGAGCTTCTGTTGCATAACGAAGATAGGACAATGAATAAATATATGGCATTGGAAAGAACATGTCATTCATTTGAGGAATGGTTGGTCTCATTCCTGCAATTAAATTGTTAATCACCACAAAGACAACTCCTGCTACTTTAGAAAAGGAGGAGGGGAAGAGTGTTGACAGGAGGTAACCAATGCCATAACTCACAAAGTTGACATGAAAAAGGACCAAATAGCTATTGATTGTTTTGAAGATGACATTATTTGTAACGTGAGTGGTATGAACATTTTGTGAAAAGAATTTCAAATGTCACATCAAATTCAAAATGAATATATTCGATCCATATCCAACAATTCTCACACTCACCATCAATATTACTTACTACTGCCAAACATCACCCTGAGGGTTACTAATAATATAAAATATTGAAATGAAAATTCCAGGAGTTAAAACTATGATTGGAATTTGCATTATATTTTTCGCAAGGAAATACATGAGAGGTGAAATATTGCTTTCGTATTCTCTAATAAAGACCACAATTTCATCTCCAAAATTACTTAAAGAACTCATCACACCACATAATGATAATCCTAAGGAGAGAATGGCTCCCATTGTGATAATTGGATCATCGACAGGAAGAGCGCACTTGTATCTCATCACTTTGATTTTCCAGACAAAGATAACAACGAGGAGTATCAATGAATCAACGAGGAGTATCAAACATTACAGAAAATGATCATAAACAACATTGAAACCGTGCACTCTTGTCATTCACTTACCTTCAGGACATTGTTCAATAATTTCAGTTAATGGTGGTCCAATATATCGTGTGTCGTAAAAGATCACACCAATGGCCAATCCTGCAATATATACCAAGAAACAATCCAATACAAAAGATTTGATTTCTCTTGTACTCTGAAATAGACATCTTTTAAGACACATCATGAATTGTGACAAATAGCTCACATGTCTGGAATTGTGTTCTTTTTGGAGAGCTGTATAGGAACAGTCTATCATGATGGAATTCTTTCTTCGAGGTGGTGAGAGAGATGCCTCATGTAAGAATTCTTCTTCTTCTTGATGTGAAATATTTGAAGAATTCAATGGGTGGTCCACTACTTCATTGTTTTTCGATTCTTCGAACTCTACCACGTTCGTTAAAGATTTCTTGAGCGGTGAAGAGTCGAGTTCAGTTGTTTCATCAGAATTCAACTCTCCACTCCACAAATGAGCTCGTTCTTCCCACATGTCAAATAATAGTTCTGGATCGAAGAAGGAGTCCTCTTGTTCTTCTTTCGTGGCATTTCCTGATATAATATCAAGCATGAAATCTGCTGGATTGACATTGGGTTGTGGTTTGAAACCGAGGCTCTCAAAATAGTCCATTGCTTTCACACTTGGACCAAAATAGACAATTCTTCCTCCTTTTCCAAGAAGCATGACTTTATGGAACATGGTAAAGATTTCATATCGAGGTTGATGAATCACAGTGACAATGGTTAAATGCTGATTCACAGCAATACTTTTAAGAATTTCAATAATTTCCTTCGATGTGGAAGAGTCCACTATTCGTCGAATCATTTTCGTATTTTCATGAACATTGTTTTTGACAAGTCTTGTCACAAAGAATTCTTTAAAACTTACATCCACTTGTGGGCTCATCCACTGCATTTCATACATGTAAACACACCAAATGAATGATGAAATAATCTTGTCAAGAGCATGAGAAATTATTAACAACTTACAAAATAAGACACTTGGAACTGCCGCTAATTCCATTCCAATATTGACACGTTTTTTCTGACCTCCAGAAATTCCTCTCTTCTTTTCATCTCCAATCAATGAATGTTTCACATCCTCCAATCCCAATACTGAGATGATACTTGAGACCAAATTCTCAACTTGTTCATTTGTTTTGCTTTTATCCAATCGACATTTGGCAGCAAAATACAAAGTTTCATAAACAGTCATGGAAGGAAGCATAATGTCATTTTGTGGAACAAATCCAACAAGCTTTTTGAATCGAGTTAAATCATTCTCTTGACCATTCAGCTTGACTTTTCCTGTGCGTTGTCCATAATAGGCTCTTCCAGAGAGTGAAGTAATAAAACTTGTTTTACCACTTTTGGGAAGGAACATTCATGTGGATAAGTTAAAGAAGAGTTGCAATTTTCAAATCCGTGATTGGTCCATCAAAAGGTAGTATATTCGTGAATGATATCATTTAATTATTCAATATCATTCACAACATGTGTGTGATTCAATGAATGAATGAATGAATGAAAACTGTTTGTTATTTGAAACATACCTTCCAGAACATCCCATAATTCCTGTCAATTCCGAATGCTTAATGATTCCAGAGACATTGTTGAGAACAATTTTGTATTCTCCTGCTTGTTCAACCGTAAGTGACAAATCCTCAAATTCCAAATTCACACCCAAATGATTTGCACCATAGTGTTGACTCATATTTCGATCGGCGTAGGCTGTTCGAGCTTCTCTATTGTTCACATTGGTGTTCATTGAAGAGAGATGCATTTCAATTTCCTCTTTTTCTTTCAAATCTCGTTTTTTGGCTCTTCTTGCTCTCACATACTTGATGCAAACATTCATTGAAAAGACGAGAATTAAGCAAATGAAAATAAAAAAGAAACCCAAAATGTTAAATCCAACACTCGATTGACCTTCGGAACACAATGAAAGCCAACTGTTCGTGTTCAAATTATTTTGAATTCCATTCATCCAAAAATAGTAAAATAGATCCAAGACGATGAACTTGGCTCACACAAAAACACAATCACACACACTTCAACATACCCGCAAGGATGAGGTCGAACAGTACCTGAGGGACAAAAGTAACCTCTCGGACACTTCTTTCTTTCTTTAGGATTTTCACAATAATATCCAGCCTCACATCTTTGTGGAATAAACGTTCCTTCTGGACAATATTGAGTGAGTTTACATGTTTTTATATTCGAGGGACCCAAACAATAGTATCCAGCAGGACATGCTCTCTCCACGTAACTTGCATTTGGACAATAGGTACAAAAAGTGGCATTGCAGAAACAAATTTCTGGAGTGATGACTTGTGAGTGTTCACAAAACGTTCCTTTTGGACATTCGAGTTGAGCAGTGGTTTCAATGGTCTGAAAAGAGGTTCCTCTATCCACAGCTCTTGCTAATGGACAATAATCTCCCTTCTTGCATCTCTGAATACTCAAATCAATGTCACTTGTTCTTTCCACATAAAGTCCAGGACCAATTGGAATTTCAGGAAAATACGGAGCGAGAGTCATTAATCCTTTTTGAGGTGCTTGTGGTTCTGTTAATCCATTAAAAGCACAATTGTAGCGATTGTCTGTACATGGTTTCGGTAAATTCATTTGATCTTGGTCACAAATAAATCCATAGGGACATTCATGTTTCGAACCCAAGGTACAAAAACTTCCTTTTGGACATGGTAATAAGGCGTTGGGTCGTTCCGTGTAGAAACGATCTTCCACAGAGTACATTTCATTCCTTGTTAAACTTGGGCAATACATTCCTGGAAAACAACTCGAAATGTAAAATCCAAAGGTGTTAATATTGACGGGTTTTGGTGGAGATTTGATGCAACTCGTTCGGTAATCTTTGAGGAAGGCATTGTCAGGATCTCGGTTGAGAATGTCACAAATTTCTTGGTATCTCCTGAGAGATTCAATTTCCCACTTTTTGCGTGTAATGGAAATAAATATGTGTTGTCCATTTGAGGAAATGTAGGTGTGAATGGGTTTTCCAATGAGTTGAAATTGATTAAAATGTTTCACAATCAACTCCTTTGAAATTCGATCACAAAATCTCTGTTGAACTCCATAAATGAGAACTGCATGATTATCGAGTGCAATAAAAACATTATATTGCAAATAGTCATTCATCATTTCTTTCAAAGAATCTTTTCCAAGAGCTCCAAAAGCTTGTGCTTGACATTTCAATTGCAATGTCCGATTGGTCATGGTTTCAATACATTGCAAATATTGATTCATATGAAAGGGTTTGCTTGGATTCATCACATCTCCTCCAGCAATTGTTAAACAAAGGAATTGAATTCCTTTTAAAAGTTTCTCTGTTTGTTCACTGGATTGTTTCGTGGCTGCTGTTAAATAATCTTTCACAATTTGAGGTAAATCAATGAAACGAGAGTGAATTTGAAGAGCCTTAGAAGGTAATTCAATCACATATTCATGAGATTGGGAACATTCTTGTTGGATCGAATCAAAGTAGAATCCTTCCGAAATGTCACAAAATGTGTTTCGAGAGACAGGAGAGAGAGTCGTATTGTAATCTTGAGGTGGCACATAGGAAGCAAATTCTGGTAAATTTCTAACTACTAACTTGGAGAAATTTCCCTTCTTTCGATTCATGCGGAGAGTGTTGGAATAAAGTGTCACTAAAAGATGAACCTCTTGTGAAGGAAATAATTTCTCATCTTCCGACAAGGTGCATGTGGTGGTATTATCGGAGAAATCCATTCTTCTCAACTCTTCTGTAATTACTGTACTTGAAGAAATGTAAAAGTCATTGGCCAGCATTTCAGAATTGAGTGAAAACATCAAGTACGAGAGACTCTTATTCATACCAATCTCAATTACCTGATCAATTTGCACAACATTCACCATATGAATGGTTTTTGGAGTTTGTAACACGATGAGAATTCTCTCAACTGTTTGCATGTCTCTCACATAAATGGAAGGAGAATGATTGTCCGTATTGTTCATGGATTGTGTGAAAATGTAAAAATTCAACTCTGAAGAATCCATTGAACTCAAATCCAAAGTATATTCAAACGAGTTCATTTCCAAATGACAGTCAAGTCCTAATTTTGAGAATTTCAAAGTTTTGATTTTTGAGGACTTGTGTGAAAGGAGAGTTGCCAAATACAAATCCTCTCCGACTTGAAACGATTTGAAATCTTCAATCATTCCATCTGCTCGTTCTCTTCTGCATAATTTACTATTCATTGTTGGATTCATAATATCCACAAAAAAGATTCTCATATATTGTTGCTTGTCTGCAGCGACCACATAGGCAGCAGTGCGATTCACACCCAACACAAATGCATCCAATTTAGAAATGGAATCGCTTTGAGCAGAATTCATGTTCTTTGACGAATTCACACCTAAAAATTGAAAGAGCTCATTACTGTTAAAATCAATGGCATAAATTTCTCCAGTATTCATTCCAAATAAGGAATATCTTTTTTGAGCGAGTGGTCAGTACCATCGTTCCATTCTTACGATCATCACCAACAGCATCACCACCATTATCACCACTACTAGTTGTTTCCACATTAAAAGGTCCAAATTCAGCGGAAGAAATGGCTTGCACAGTGATACATTCAGCACTCTGTAAATCATCACTTGGTTTTCCTGTGACACGATCGAAACAATCAGGACGAAGTTCCATCTTGTGAAAATCATGATCACTAAATGGATATGGAACCACATAGGGATTGATGTGTTTACAATACGAAGGTCGAATCGATGAGGATGAAATGTCTTGTCGATTCACACAAATGTCTTGAATCCAACTTGTGGTTCCATTCACACAAATTCTTGAAGAAGGTGGTGGTGATAAGGGTGGACGAGGAGAAAAAGGACCCTCCTGTTGTTGTTGTTGTATTTGTTTCATATTAGGCAACAATAGATTCTCGTTGTTGAGTTTGTTGTTGAAATGCTGCTCCTGAATCCTTCTTGTAGAAAGTGAAGAACTCTTAATGTTCCTTTCGGGAGAAGAAGCCTCGATCCTCGGGTTGAGTATTACTACTACTATTGCTACTACTAAAACCAAGAGGATGATCATCGTCCGTGTGAACAGTATTATCATTCCAAGTCTAGCTTCATGAATGGTCTTTGTCATCTCTTTCTCTCTCTGGGTATTAAACAAACGTGGTGTGTGGGGAGTAAAAGAGGAAGAAATCATGAATTTGTTTTTTTCGGCCGCTGTCGGAGCTCGAAATGAATTGGAATCTTGTTACCATCCGATCCGAAGAGAGCTGGAAATGAATTGGAATGGAAGAAGCGAATGGAACGGAAACAACAACACGAACTGATCACCTATCAGTGCCTACACAAGGTTAGTTCAACAATTTAAAATCAACAACTGTAAATTAATTGACGCCTCGGTCTTAAAATGTTAATGTGATCATTTCGAAAAAAGGAGAGAAGGATCCCAAGGTTGTTGAGTTCTCCTTGGTTGGGTGAGCTGACATGTTGTGTGTATAGGGGGATAGATGTTGTTTGTTTGTTGTTGATTCATGAACAGAAGGAACGAAGAGAATAATTGGTTCAGAACACGTTTTAATCCATGACAGAAATATCAAAAAATTATTCAGACACTTCCAGAACTGCACGGAAAACAGAGGTGAGCCAGAAACCTCGTCCCTTACTTTTCCACAATAAACTCAGTGTTTCCTTTGGTTGTGACAATCTTGACAAGTGATCCAGAAGGTGGTCTCTCAGTATATGAGCTTTCCAACCATTTAATGAGCTCATTTGAAACATGGTCGAGTGGTGTCCAAGTGGAAGTGTCAGCATTTGGCATGGCTTGTCTATTAGCTTCAGTATCCAACATGGATGGAACTATTCCAATGGTTGTGGTGTGAGCAGGTAATCCACATTCTTTTGGATGAGCCAAACTTCTTACCAAATGATGAACCGAGTTTTTAGCCAATCCATAAGCAATAGTATGTGGTGTGGGTGACAAGGCTCCTGCAGCACCTGGCAATACCAACAAACCTCCTTCCTTCAAATGAGCACTTGCACACAAAGCACTCAAAACCGATGATTGAACACTCACTTTCCACATGGCATCCACCTGAGAAAGTAATTGTTTCTCTTTCAAAGATCCCATCACAAATCCTCCAGCAACATTGATCACTGCATCAAGTTTTTGGTTATTAGAGCCCAAAATATTTTGTAAATTCTGAGAAAGGACTTGTTCATTCTCGGAGCCATCCTGAAGGCTTAATGCCATTGTTGGAGTGTTTTTATCCAATTGATTTTTCAATACAATGGAATGATCGGCATCGGAATTTTCTCTCAAATCAATCGAGATGGCCACATAATTTTTCTGTTTGATGGCCCGAATGAGATTTCTTCCCAATTGACCCACACCGCCAAACACAGCAACCACTTTTTGAGACATTTTTTTTGAATTTCAGACTCGAGTGAAGAAGAATGAGAATGGCTTCTGTCAACTCCTCCCTCATGAATAATAATATTAATTCACTTTTATTGAATATTCAATAATATTTCAGTGATTGAACAAGACAGTGTTTCATTCTTTATAATTACTGTTGTTTCCTTCCAATCTCGTCATCTTTGAAAAAAATGTCTATTACCACTGACACCCCCAACAACAATAACAACACAACAGTTGGTTCATCCTCCTCCTCATCGGTGGTGAGTGGTACTACCAATGCTTCTGTTCAACATCGTACTACTGTTAGTGGTGGAGGAGGATCTTCTCATTTGGAACAAGATCCCATTCAACCGATTCCACGTCCATCGAATTCTTCTTCTTCTTCCGATCATCATCATCCGAGTAATGATCCCGAACAAATTAGAATACCCATTTTAAATCATCATGATCATCTTTTAAATCTTTCATCGGGAAAATCAGCAGTGATGGTGAAGGCTTTTTCAATGAGTTGGGTGGAACGAATTTCAAATTCGTGGTGTTGTCAAATTGTGCCGAGAATTGGAAGGAATTTATTGAGGAAGTGTTTTGGAGTCAAGTCCTTGTCTAAAATTACGTTTTTGGAACGATTTGTAATTCCTTATCAGAAAATAATTTTAATTTCCTTTTTGTGTGTATTGAGTCTTTGGATCTTGTATGCAATTATGATGAGCGGAGGTCCCAAGTCACTTTACGCAATTTATAGAAATGATAAAAAGAATTCTAGATTGGTGGGATATGTTGTACAAACAAACACAAATCCATCATTTTATTTGAGAGTTTTGAATCCAAATAGAGATTCAGGATTTTCGAAACATATAGTTCAATATGGAAATTGGGAGACTGCCACTGAAGAATTATTTGGAATGTTGATTGCTAGTTTTAAAGAAGAGTCAAAGAGAACACGAAAAAGATGTCTTGTTGTGGATATAGGAGCTTTTGCTGGGTTTTATACCATTTTGCCTGCTTTGCATGGTTGCCGAGTTATTGCATACGAAATTCAACCACAAATGGCACAAATTGTGATGAGCTCAGCCTCTCTGAATGATATTGACAAATTGGTGACGGTGAAAAATCTAGCTGTGTGGAAAGAGGCTGGCAAACGAATTGAATACTCGAAGAAATACGTTGCTGATTTGACTAATGTTGTCACTGCACCCTTCGATACTGATGAAATGACTCCTGACTCTGTGGAGACAATTACTCTTGACGAAGATTACTTCTCGACCGATACACATATTAATTTATTGAAAGTTGATGTTTCGAAAAAAACTGATGATATTTTTACAGGAGCTTTAAGAACTCTTTCATACATGATTGACAATATTATTGTAGAGCTAACCGCGGATGATGCACCATCCATTCGTCACATTTTAGATTCCTTCTTTGATAAGGTTGTTATCTTGGAAGATAGCAAAGGATTGGCAAGCATATTTTTTAAGTCCTCCACTCCAAAAATTTTTGTTGGTGAAAATATTTCTGTGGATGACATTGTGGCACATCTTCGAACGACTGGAAAACGTAATGTTTGGTTCTCAAAGAGAACGAAAACTATTCCATACTATGGAGTGTGAGACATAATCAAAGTAGGTTCGCCAGTTGTTGGCAGTGAAGCCGAACACTGTTTTTCAAAATATAATTTATAATCTGATCCCGCACGATTCAATATAATTTCAAAATAATTTCAAATAATTACATATTATGTGAATTATTGAACTATGAAAATGTTCGAATTGTTTAATTATATTTTAAATTTCTGCTCAGCTATATTCAACAACTCGATAATGTCTTCTTTCTGCGGATTAGTAAACAAGTTACCACATGCTCGCATGTGATTACCCTCTCGAGTGGAGGTTGTCAAATGTGTCATGAATTTTTTGTAGTCCTCTTTAGCGCTAGAAGGAATTGAGGAGCTCAAATTCAACAGTAAATCCCTCACACATATTAAGGTGATGAAGAGGTACACTGGAGAGACACCAAAGCAAGTATCCATGATTGCTTTCAGGTGGCACACCAGATTATGATTCATTTGCTCAAAATTCAAGTCTTGCTGTTGTTGCGATTGAGGAGAAAATCCTGTCAGCACCATTCTCGTTTTCAAATACTGAATTAGGAACTGCCAAAACAAAATGTCGGGAGAGTTGGTCGAGATGACTTGTTGATTCACTTGTGCAAGGAAAGACCAACATTCAGTGGTCGTTCTTGGAATGCAACAATCCATGTCCAGTAATGTTTGTCGTACTGTTTTGCTCGTCACGATCATGTTGTCTGAAGAGCTCGAAGCTGGCGTGCTCGTAGTTGCTGCTGGCTGAATTGTGAGTGGCGAGAATGTGTCATGATTTTTTACCAATCTCTCAAATTCTCCCAAAAACAAATAAGGATAGGAGCTTGTGTAACGAAATACAAAAGTTAATTGCAATGCCTTCAATATCAGTCGTTTAAAGTAGAACGAACTCGAAGCATTGTTGATTGATGATGATGATGATTGTAATTTGTAAAGATCCTGTTGAATATCTGAGCACAGTAAATACTTGGTAAATAATAAATATTGTTTTGAGATGATGTTCAAAAATTCTGAGATTATTGGATAATGTTGTTGCATTTGAATGGTGATATCATTTTGCACCTTTTCGAGAGCGCACCGTGAAAGTGTTGCACTCAATTCATTATTTCCATCTAGAATTTGATTGAAAAAAGATGCCCACATGAAACAGCAGCTTTTTTCGACATTTCCGATCTGAGCAGAGTCCATAAATTTAAAAAGTTCTTTTTTACATTGTTTGATACTCTTTTCACTTTCAGAGAGCAATATTGATCGATTGTCGTCATAAATGGATAATTTAAATAAGCAGTGATATTTCAAGAAGAGCGCCTCGAAAGCATAGTAAATACCCTGATAGAATGTTTCACTCATCACTCGTTGCTGAATCCATAATAACACCCTCTCCCTGATAAATATTTTTAACATGTCACGATGATTGTTATCTAAACATTCAACGACAAAATGAATGAAATCCTCTCTAAAGAAAAGTTGCATGACATAATCTAAACTTGGCTCGATTTGATACATGTTTGAATTGTTGTCAAAGTTATGTGAGAGAGAAATATTAACCATTTGTAAGAGATAATTTCTTCTATCAATTTCCTTTCGACCTAAAAGTGCATCTTCAAACATAGTCGAGAAATATGTTGGTAGTGGTGGATAGAGTTGTTGTGTCATTCCAGGACCACTGAGAGGAAACATGTCTGCTGTTGAATAATATTGCTGGTTTGGTGCTAGTTTAAATGCTTGTTGAGTTGTTGCTGAGGTCGGAGAAGTAATTTCAGCAGTTTGTGAATGGTCATTGGGGAATTTCCTCTTTTTGGGTTCATTACTTTTTCGTTGTTGTTGTGGCAGTAGTGGTGGTGTTTGTTTCAGTGTTGGAGAAGAAGAGACATTGAGCACAGTGGCTTCTTCACTTTCTGAAATTCGTAATTTTGGACCACGTTTCTACCACAATGTCAAACATGTGTAATAAATATATATGTGTATTAGAATACATGTGTATGTACGTTAGCAATATATATTAGAATTAGTGAGGGAATTTTGTCAATATATTGACACCAAAACAAGATCAATGAGGCAATGAGTGGAAATTAAAACACTCACCTTAGGCTCTGAAAATACACATTCATGTTGTAGTCCTCTTCTCTTACATTCTCCACATGGATGTAGCTTGTCTGCAAATTTTGAATCCATTCACCATTCAACATATTTTGAATCCATATTCACACATCATGAGAATCATAATGTGAATTCAAATGTTCGTTTTCAATCCAATAACATTTCAAATAACAACAACAACATACCACATTTACGATGAGATCTCCTACAGTGTGTACATGCCATTCTAGGTTGTTGTGAGGAGGTAGTATCTACCGAAAGAGACATGGTTGATCCATGAAAATCATGAGGACCACCACCAACACTCTTGCCTTCAATGGTTGGAGAAGGGTCGTGTTGCTGCTGCACGGCTCCACTCAAAGATTCTTGACTGGCTTCTCCCTGATCACTGGCCACCACCACCACCCGAGCTCGGGTGCTAATCAACGGGGAAGGTTGTTGTGTTTGTGGATTCATCACTTGAATGGTGTGTGCGGAAGAAAGGCTAGTGGTGGTGGTGGCATGGTTGGAATTGTTATTATTATTATTATTGGTGGTGGTAGTGGATAAGCACTTGTTTTGAGCAATGAAACCAGGCTTGAATCCGGCTAATGGGATCATGATGGGACTAGTGTTGTTGATGTAGTGGTTGTTGTTGTTGATGTTGGTATGGATCAAGCTTGAAGATGATGTCGGAATATCCTTCTCTTCGTGATGATGGTGATGATGAGAAAGGCTTGGTGGTGGTGGTGTAGCGATTGATAATGAAGTAGAAGATGGTGTTGTTCTACCATTATCCTCATGGGAAGGTTGATGATGATTCTTGTCCGATAAAGAGTTATTCATCATGATGATGATGATGATAAAGAGAATAGAAGAGGACAAATAGAGCGGGAAAAAGGATGGTGATGATGATATAGAGTTAGGGACACTGTAGTGATGAATCACAGAAGACGACAGAACAGCAATCAACAAGAACGAGTTTTGAGAGAAATTATTGGTGATCGTTTGCGTGCAAAATTCGGATGATTTTTTAAAGTGAAGTCCGCAATTTTTCCGTTATTTTCCCTATGCAACCATCAAAAATTCATGGACCAATTAAACTCCGTTTTTCAATCTCATTAGTACGAAAGATCTCGCCAATAAATACAAAGCCTAAACAGTTATATCAATCTTTGTAAGGAGAATTGGAAAGTTCAACATTTGCAAAAAAATGTACCAACTGCAGTGAGAATGGAAGATCATATTGTGAATGCTCTGAATTTAAATGTTCGGAATGCCACCATGATGAGGATGAATGATTCCTCTGCCTTTTCTCATTCCGAAGAGTTTGAAGAAGATTTTAAAATCATCAAGAAGGAATTACAAAAGAAGAAGAAGAATTCATTCCATGATTCATTGAGTCATAGTAATAATATGCCGAAAAATGTAAAACAAGAGCAAAAAAATATTCATGATAATTACGGTGATGATGATATTGGATATTTTCATCAATTGAAAAAGAAAGGATATTTATTTTATGATTATTTATGGAACAAGGTGTTGGATCGGAGAGAGAAAATCGTCGAAATGAATTCGTATTCTCATCAACAAGCAGAAGGGCCTTTTCCCAACGCACTGGTTATTCCAGATGAAAAATTTGAATTACAGATAGACCGTAAACAACAAGCTTTAAACAAGGAAAATCAATTATTAACGAATCAATATTTAGGTAATACTTCCACTGGTGATGCTGATTCAAATTCAGGGAGCGGCGCAGCATCCTATGATGAGCCTCTAATTGAGAATAGGGACATTTTGAAGAAGTATGGCCTCTCTTCGCGTTCGACTTCTCGTGGAAGAAGAAATAGAGCCTCTTCCTCAGAGAAAACAAGTAGCACAATGAAAAATCTTGCATCATCTTCTCAAATTCACAATTTCAGGACCATGTACATGCCTAGAAATTTGAACCCTGTGGACTTCAATAGTGGTGACGTGGAATTATTCAATGCTCTCAAAAATTTATTGTCTCATCAGTCCATTCAAAGAGAAGAGTTAATACGACAAGAATTGAGTTTAATGTTGCAAGAGGATGACAATTTTATTGAAAAAATTTTTGAACAATACAAATCCGTGTCTCTCAAGAACACAGTGACACTCGAACAGTATGTGGATACCGTCATGGACATGCTTTATCATCGAGGACTAAAACGAGGAAATGCCCAACATGCTTCAATAGCATTACTTCAGGGTCACACATTGAATGAAGGTCTCGACATTCCCTCAACATCATTACTGGCCTCCAATCGTTTGATAAGCAAATCACATCAAGTCATTCCCAATGCAGACGAGAGCAAGCATTTGTCTTATCAAATTCAGAGACAATACGAGTTTTCAAAGCAAGTGGCAAGTGTTTTCAATAATAAGGCCGATCGAAAATTATTTCAAGATAATCCAATGGGAATGCCATGGCTTGATCCTTCCACTGAAATGTATCATCCATTTGCTTTTGATCATGTTGTCTTTGATCCAATATTGGTGAAACACAGCAGGACAGCACAGAAAGAAGCAACCACCACGACCAAGAAGGACAAATTACAAGCAACTGCACTCGCTCAGAAGAAAGAAACTATTCCATTAATTCCAAGGCGAAAAAAGAGTGAAAAAACAACAGGCTTCTTGTCAAATTCCTTGTTCTCGAACATGGGCTATTGGTGACCTTGAAGTGTTGACTTAAAGGGGTGACATTGAAACAACTAATGTTGAACCAATTAACTAGATAAGCGTGATGTTATAGAGTAATGAATGACAAAATCAATTGGCTCAGTCCGGTTTAATTTGATTGTGCTGCAATACTGATGAATTCTTGAATTCCTTGCATGATTTCGGTTCGTTCGCTTTCGCTCGAACACTCAAACGTTTCTATCACAGCATTGGGGGTATTCTTTGAGGGACTAGCTGTTGCATTCGAAAAGAAATAAATGGAAAATCGTTTAGAATCATGGACATCAGGTACAATGTCTGTGATGGATGTGAGAGGATGTGACTGCATCATATTTGAATGAATGGCATTGTTCAAGTCAAGATTGTCATCTTTTGATCTCAATTTAATGTCTACCCACAGTAGACCATTTCTTGGATTCTTGTGTAAAATGATTGCCGCGTCCTGTTTTGTGGCAGAACCAAGTCCAAATTTACTTGCCAATCCTCCTTGGGAAATACGTTTGCATTTGAATTTTCGAATTTGCAAGCGAACGGAATTCAACTGTTCTTTCAATTCCATGCACTTTTCTGAGAGTCGTCGCAAATCCAAATCCTTTCTCTCAATTTCACTGTTTAGAGAACTTGCTGTTTGTTCCAAATTTTTATAATTTTCTAAAAATTCATCCTTCCATCTTTGGTTCTCTGTCCTCTCCATGGTTAATTGATGTTGTAAAAATTCGTTTTCGTTCAGTAATCTCATGCTCAATTGTTCTTTTTCAAATAATTCTGATTTTAAGCTGTTGAGTTGGTCTTGATGTTTTGAAAGTGTAGCTTCGATACTTCGATATTTGCTTTGAATTTCTTGAAGCATTTGTTTTTGAACATGTTCTTGGGATTGTAAATCGCTGATTTGTTTTTCTCTCTTTTTCAAATCATTTTGTGTTTTTCTGTAGAGCTCTCTCCAGTGCTTCATCTCTTGGATTGCATCGAGTTTACTTTCATTGTTGTTGATCTTGGAGGGTGAATCCGTGACACCAAACTCGTTCTTGTTGTTCTCCGAGTTGGAGGATGAATTGTTGGTCGTGTCAGCAGCGTCCGATGACAGATTTCTCCTCTTTGTGAATAGGAAACCTTGGCGCTTTTTACCCTCTCCATTGCTGTTGTTGCTGGAGATTGTAGAGTTTGTTTGATTGGCTTGTGCAGAGGGTGTGACAGAATTTGAGGTACTGGTACTGTTGCTTCCACCAAATTTTTGTATCTCATAAATTTCCTCTTTCAATTTGACATTCTCAGTCGTGAGAACGAGCAGAGCAGAGTCCTTCTCGAATAATTGTTTCTGTAGCACTTCCATCTTTTTTGTGAATTTGTACAGATCATGAACTGTTTTGAGTCGTTGATTGCGTTCAATGAGAAAACCTTTTCGGAACGTTTCATACTTTTCCTTTGTTTCTTCTATTTGTTGCTTCAGAAATTCCAATTCATTTTCGTGATGAGAGGACGTCTTGTTAGTGGTGGCGTTCGATGATGAATTCAATGATGAATTTGGTGATGAATCACGATCGTGATGATTATTACTGGAAAATAAATTAGAAGATGGTTTTTGTGGAGGATTGTTCGATTTGTTGTTGCTATTTACTGCACTTGATTTTGTTGAGATGGATTCAATAAATCCAAAATTCATAGTGGGTGGCGGAGAGGAAGAAGGTGTGGATGAAGAGTTTGATGATCGTGATGAATTTTGATGATGATGATTGGAGTGATATTGTGAATTGGGATCGTTCGGATCTGTAGAAATAATTGATGATCCTCCTCCCAACAAGGGTTGTTGAGCCACCACGCTATTAAACGGCAACGACAAGCCTTGAAATCCCGAAGATTTAAATCCCATTGAAAAACTCGAGGTAGATGCTGCAAAATTCAAGGTGGTTGGATTCACCATAGAGGTTGTTGTGGTTGTGGTTGATGAGGAAGAAGAAGAAGGTGGTGGCTTCGTGGGAGAGCCTCTCGCCGACGAAGACATTTTTAAGGCTTTTTTTTGATGTTTCAACAACAACAATAACGGACACTTTTTGTTGGAACATCTTTTCACCTTTCTTTCTGTACTCTCCATCAACCACATCAACCACTCTTACTACAACATCAACAACCTCCACAACAACAACAACTACAACCAGTAAAAATTCCTAACTCAATCCCAGAAAGACTTAAATTTGTTGTAAACTTATTTCACTCATTTGGTGTGCGATCTTTCAAAAAAAAATGTTCAAATCCTTGTGGGTGGTGTGGTTCGGCTTGATTGTAGTCTTGGTGGCTTTTTCCATGTCCAGAGTGCCACTTTCTCCACAGACTTTTACGGCTAGTTTTGAATTTTCGAGTGCTAGAGATGCCTTTGAAGTGTTGAAGACAACGACCCTCATGTTTAAATTGCAACCATTTGTGTGAGTGTTCATGTGATATATTTGCACATTTGAATGATTGACCGATAAGGTGTGGAAACGATGATGAAATTTGTTTTTCTGAAAAAAAATGTTATTACTATCATTCGGATTGAATTTTGTCAAATATATATGGATTATTGAAAATTAATATGTGGATTTAAAAAATCCAAATTAATGGTGTCACTATTTGTGAATTATTGATTGTTTGATAATTTATTATTATTGATCGGATTATTGATTGCTGCTTTGGTATTTATTCCTTGTTGTTCTGTTTCATTTGCGATTTGATGTAAAAACTTTTCACAGTGACAAGATCAACATTGTGTTTGTTAACGAGACTCATCGAACTGTTGATTTCTCAGAGAAAATTCCCATTCTCGGAAATTCAACCTATATCCGTACAGTCACCATGCGTGCAGAACAACAATTTGACTCGTCTCGAAATGAAATTATTTCGATGGTACCATTTCCGTTAAAATTGGGTCATTTGATCGCCAACTTGACATTTGTGGAGTCGACCAATATTTCAAAAAATTCTGCCAACATACAACATGGAAAAAAGGTCGCCATTTCATGCATAGAGGTGCTGAGAGGTGAAACGTGGTGGATATTTAAATCATTTGTGGAGAGCTCAGTGCAGGAAGCTCATTCTAAACTTATTTCAGACATTGCAAATTATTTCAACAATACCAGATCATAACTGTTGCCCTTTTTTGGAACATGAAACTGTTGATTCAGAATGTTCACACTATCAGTAAGAAAATTATTTAACTGCAGTTTGATTATAAATTACTTAATGTATTGAATAATAATTCACGTACAGAACGCCAGGCAATTATTATTGTTGCTGCTGCTCGTGAGGTTGTGGCTTGTAACCAAATGCACCTAATGATTTCAACAACATTTGCACACTCGCAACATTAGGAACCACACAACCACAAATCATGTCCTGGTGAATTTTGGATTCGGTGGATCTTTCTTGTGCATAACCAAGCCACTTCTTTGGATCAACATTACACTCTTTACATGCCGAAATAATGTCTTCCTTAGTGGCCTTAACAGTCTCTAAAACAATTCCCCACGGAGTGATGTGCTTCTCCAAAGTGAGCTTTTTAAATACTGGCACGTCGTCGGGTTCTTCTTTGCCAGCCATTTGTGCCCATCGCATTTGATCGGCAGCTGTCAATTTCATACATTTCATGATGAGAGGAGCTTCTTGACCCATGGACTTGGAAATGGCCCTAATGAATCGAATGGCATTATTCCATGCTCCACTTGCTGCGTTCCATCCTGAAGTATTGATCTCGGTTGTTCCTCTACGTGGAACCATCATATCTTTTTGAGTACACTTATCAACTCCCTTCAACCATTGCGATTCCAAGAATTTAGCAATAGGAATTTGAATGGACAGGAATTGAGCCAAGAGGCACGACTTGGTCTCCTCATTCATACGATTCATGATATCCTCGACGGGAAAAACAGAGCCAACAATTTCCCACTTGGTCTGTTCCTCTCGTCCACGCATGAGTGTCAACAAGTAGGACAACAATTCATCTAAACCTCCTTGCATTTGACTTTCAATGGTAAATGCCTTTCTCACACTAAACTCACTGACAGCCATGCAACCAAACAAGACAGTAAGTATGTCGAATTTAGAGTCCTCGGACACCAATGTCTTAATGTCATTCTCGAAGAGATAATATTCTGGAGAGAAGGTTTGTGTGATCATTCCACTCTTGTCAATTCGGGCACACAATCCAGTGACATAGGCATCAAAGAATCTGCTGAGACGTCCTCTCAACTTTCCAGCAACCAACAAGACTCTATTGTACTTTCTGAAGTGATGAAGGGATTTGTGAAGTTTTTCTTTTCTTTCCTTGTGATTGAGTCCCTTATAGACTGCTGTGAGGGTATTATGTTTCTTTGGTCCATAATAATAATAATTATTATCATCCTTCTTTGAGGAGGATCTCTTGCGTTCGCGGTAGGAGACTACAGAATGTTCATTGACACCACACAATGATTCCAAGCGGTTCAATAACACATAGTAGTCAGAGAGCGATTTGAGATCGACCTTTTCGTCCAATGCAGGAACTTCAGCCTCTGTCAAAATCTTATTCACAACTTCCAACTTGACCTTTGGGAATCCAATCAATGGTTTGAATGAATCCTTCATCCAGGAAGCAATAAGTTGAGGATCTTTTTGTTCATCACTCTGCAAGAAGTCTTCAAGTTTTCCATCGCAGTAGGTTCTCCACACAAGTGCGCGCTTCAATTTCTGAATGAGCATACTCTTTGCAAAAACCAATGATTCATATTCATCATTCTTCAATTCTTGCATCTTTTGATCGACATAGTTCAACCAATGGTACAACAAATACGCAGCATTTTGAGGAGTGTATCTTCCGTGAATAAGAATAGCTGGAATATACTTGTAATAGACCTCCTGGACATTAGAGGTGAGTTCGGCTAGTTTTTTGGCATTATCCTTTTCAGCCATATCAATCAACTCCAAGATACTCATCTTCATGATCTTTTCTTTAAATTGTTTGATTTCAGAAGTAAATTGATCGGTTTTTTGAAGGAAGGACCAAACATTGAGAGTATCCAATTTATCGGGACAATAGTTGTAAAAAGCTTCCGCATGGTAATAAGATGGAAAGCCCAAATAATCACCAATGGCATATTCTGGATGTTGTCTGAAATAGGAAGCGTTCTGAAGGAGAGAATTGGATGAAGAGGATTGCATCAAATTTCTCCAATAAAGTTTACATTCATTGACCTTGTCAATGGGTAAGAGTGGAGACGAAGAAATATGGTATTCTCTTTCATCATCCTTTTCGTGGAGATGATCTTGCTCGTGTTGTTGTGGATTGGACATTTTTTTGTTCAATTTCTCGCTTTTCAAAAACGAAGCTTTTGATTAATATTTGTGTTGGAGCGACCAAATAATAATAATAATTATTGAAAGTGGCATTTGGGGGCCATACGTTCAAAATTTGAAGTTCATTGAACTGTTTAATAAATCAGAAAAGACTGATCCAACTTCACGCACTATACCTTCTTCTACAAGTTTTATCAACATTGCGACAAGTAATTCTTCCAAATTTTCACCAAACTATTGGCATCCATGACACGACGAGGAGATTGAAAAATCTCTCTCGAATGACTGCATTGTTGTTCCACCATCTTGAAAATGGGCGTCTTGTTTTCGAGAGAGAATTTTTCTTCACAGAACTGTGCTACGAATTTGTTTTGAGAATTCTCATTACCTATTTCTCTCTCCACCTTTTCTAGTTCTTGACAAAGTTCTTCATAAAATTGATCATAAAGGTTGGTAATGGCCTCCCAATCTCGTTTCATTTGAAAATAGAGAGGAGAGAAGGCCTTAATCTTTTCATTGAAACGTATTTCTCTCTGGAAAATAATTTCCTCAATGGTTGTTTTGGGAACTTGATTCTTCTCGCTTTCAGATGAGACAGAATGTGCTGTGGTTATTATTGTTGATTGATGAGTGTGATCATGGTTCGATGATGATTCATTTGAGGTTGACGTTGTCTTTCCAAGCATTGAAATAGCCATTTCAATCAATAACAATTCATTATTCTGACTCAGCAAATTGCCGTTCCATCGATTGAACAATTTTGTAGTCGAATGGTTGGGCATTGACATCTGACATTCTCCTTCTTGATGTGAAATTTCTTTGTTTGGTGGATCTAATATTGCATTATCTTGAACATTAACAGAAACGTTCCAAATCCCAAGTTCATTAAGATTGTAATAAAATGTCGACTCAATCTTCAATCGATGTCTTTCAATGAAATGTGTTTGATTGTGTTGTGTAATCTTTTCGGCCACACAAACATAACCACTGTATCGAAGAGGATTCAACTGATTCGATTTGTAATATAGCAATTTCAGAAGAAGGAGTAACTTTTGATCGTTTTCAGACAAATTTCCATGAATAGAATTCTTATAAAGTAAATCTTGTTCGAGTTGTTTCGCTTCATGGTATAGCTCAGTAATATTTTCCTCTCGATGTATGTGCTCAAAAACATGCTCATACGCCTCGAGATCCTCTTCTTCGAGTGTTTCCATATTTCGAACTCCAATGAGAACCAACCTCTCTTCATGGGACAATAATTGCAACATGAAATTTCTTTTCGTAAGATTGAGAGAATTGACATTCGTCGTCGTTGTCGTCGACTCGAAGAGACTTGACATGGTTTTTTTGCTGGCATGTAAAATTTTCCAAAATTTGTGTCCCCAACTATTGGAATTTGCACAGTGCTGATGATGTGAATGCGATGCAATAATATCAAAGTAGTGCTCTTCATCCTCTTCCTTGTATGATATTCTCCACTTGTGATTGTAAACGTACAAGATGAATAATTTGCCTGTGAGTTTTTTGTAAACTTTTCGGAGGTGTGAAATGTTGGAAAAAAGATCTTTTGTGCAATGGTTCTTCTTTTTTGTCGTTTGTTTCTTAGGATTGACTGATGAACAAGTGGTTGACAAGTGCTTGTTTTTGGTGTTGACATTTAACATTCGAAATTCATCGAAAAATTTCAAAAATGGAAATGCCACAATTGAAAATCCACGCTTTTCACTATTCCACTCGACAATCATTCCATTTGCTTCTCTCAATGCTTTTCGATGAATACTATCTTCCATTCGTTCCAATTCCTTATTTTGAGTAATTTTGAATAGGACACTGAAATTATTTTCCATATTGTCCTCCTTGGAAGAAGATTGTGTGTTCATCATCTCCTTCTCATGACTTAATAACAAGGTATTGATTCTATGGAGATAGTTTTTCAAAGAATTATTATGATGACATGTTGAATCCATGGTTGATGCTGTTCCAGATACTGCAGATGGTGTTAAACCTTCAAGTAATTGTTGAATGAGAGGACGACAGGTCAAACCCTCATCAAGACTTAACTCTTGTCCATTCCTTAAAAAGAGAATGGGAATGATATCCATTCCAAAATTGAGAGACAAGTATTGAAGTCCATAGTATTCAATGATTTTCAACAGTAAGGAACCATGTGTTGATGTTGTGGGTGTTGCTGTTACTGGTTTGGAAAGTAAATCATGTTGTTCTTGCAATGAATTTTTCGATAAGGAACTTTCTTGAGAATTTTCCATTCGTAAAGCCAATTGCAATGCTTCATCAACGAAACTCTGAACTTGTTGAGTTAAGGTCTCTCGATGTTCTTTGTAGAGAGGATCAAAGAAACGAGACCAATCCTTCCATGAAGAATCATTAAAAGTGTTATCACTTTGATTGGAAAGGTTTGTTGATTGAGATGAGCAAAAGACTCTCTTCTTCAAATCATTACACACACTCCAGTCGTAGAGAGTTAATGAAGAAATCATTTGTTTCGCAAATAAATAATATCTAATACCATGAATCAAATTCTTTTTTCCTTTTTCAATATCATAGTCAATGACAAGCTCAGAAGCAGAGGCATCCACACTTGGCAATTCTGTAAAATGTCTTCTTGCTTTTGAATAACACCAAATATCAGCCTCTCGTGTCATCATTCTTCTCATGAGTCTTCGATGAAAGTGAAAATTTCGAAACCAAAAGGTTCGAAACCATTTCATCGTCTGTTCTTCTTTTAGAATATACGTGTCATGATCGAGAAACAAGTATTGACAAAATATTCCCTTATGTTGTCTCAGACATTGTACAAACAAATTCGTGGACATGATGTGAATTTCTACTTGAACTTTGTGTGGAATTTCTTTCAATTTTGACTTGCTATTGTTCTCATGATCAGAATCATCAACAACAAATGACGACCACACTTGAGTCTCTCCGTAAAATCCATTCACTGTAAAATGTAAAGTCACATCTTGTTCCATATAAACATCTCGATTTTCACTACATCTTTCTTGCATTTCACGATAACTTGGATGAATTAAATCTTCCATTCCATAATGATAGAATTCATCTCGAACACACAATAGATCAATATCGTTGTGTTTTTGAGGATTCATTTGGAATCGTAAAACTTGTTGAAATTTTCGTTCCATTGGCGAATTTTCTTGTTCATTGGAATTTTCTTGATGATCACTCAAAAGAGAAATTCGATTTTCATAAACACTTGATCCATAAATGTACAAGCCTCGCATCATTCGATCATCATTTTCGAAATTCTGATCATGACTGGGAATGATTCCTCTCGAAAATCCGGCATGCAACGATTTTATCAATTCAATTAATTCTTTCGCTCGAATGTAAATGAAAATATCTTGTTCCATGACATTCTCTTGTTGTTGACATGAAGACATTTTTTCGAAATGCAAATTCAAAAAAGCAAAGAATCGGAATAGGAAAACTCACTCAAATTTATTTGGAATTTGACAAATTGGGGTACTGTGGCATTGAAACTAACTCTTGCGAATTTGGATTAATTTTACAACTCAATAATACACAAAAATATTTTCACTTGGTGTGTGCTTCAATGATGAGATTTTTCAATCACCATCAAAAAAGCTCAATCTCAATTCGGAACCACTTCATCATCATCATCTGGAACATAGGTCTTGGTCAATCGTTTCAGTTCACTCAAATAATTTTCCTTTGGTTCAAATCGACTTTCTCCATAACACAAAATATTCATAAAATCCATCACATTACTAAAGTAGTTAAAAAGTTCCACCACAAATCGACGAGGATTAAATGAATTATCAATCACTTTTTGCATAAATGTTGGAAACACAGTGGTGATATTTTGATGGCCACTAATGAGTCCTGACATTCCTGGAACAAAGTATGGCACCACCACTGGGTCATGTGCCACTTCAAAATTCATTGGTGTCCAAATGACAAAAAGTGGAATATTCATGGACATGACTTCTTCCAAAGCAACACCTTGTGTCTCTGTTCGGGCACAAACAATGGCAAATCGAATCTTTTCTTTCAACAGTGACAGAAAATAATTTTCACTGTATCGTTTGTTGTAATCCACAACATGAAAATTAGCATCCTTAAAATCAGGATAACCATTCAGGAGTGTTTTGAATGTGGTCAGCAATTCAGTTTGACTGTAGTAACAATTCTTGTCATAGAAGAGAATGTCTTTCTTGTCAAAAACATTGACTTTTTCACTGGGTGACCAAATTTTGGTGTTAATGGGAGTGGGATGAACGAGAATTTTGACCTTTCCACCAATTTTAGGACCATAATCGACATCTTTGACCCATTGGGAAGCAGCTAAATGTGTCACTCGATCACCGAGTAATGAATAGTGATCTCTCACTAAATTATCTGCAATGACTGGTCCAATGAATATTTTCGTGTGTGATCCAACCTTTCCGTTTCGAATTCCCAAGACCAACTTTTTAATAAACTCTCGATAGCGATGTGGATTATAGGAATAGACAATATCTGCATCCAATAAATTTGGGTCATTAATATCATCGGTGAAAATGAAATCTTTTTTCAAGAATTTCAAAGCACCAATTTGATAAGTTCCAACCTTTCTTGGACCTCCTTGGTGAAAGGTATGCCAATGTTCACCAAATAAAACTAATTTCTTGTTCCAACAAGTTTCACCAACAATTTGACGAGCAATTTTTGACAAGGTTTCTGAATAGTCATTGTCCCAAATGGATACAATATCTAATTCTCTCTTCACTGGATGCACTTTTTTCAATAAAAAGTAAGCTTCATGTTTTGGAATGATTTCATTCTTGTAAAATTGATAATTTTCAACAAACTTATCAGCAGGAATGATAGGAGAGTCAAAAGGATTTTCTGTAAATTGAAAACTTGATTTCGAAGGACCTGCCCAAACTCTCTCATAATCAAAATATTCCACAATTTGTTTTTGTAAAATATTGTGAATTTTTTCCAATTCGGACAAGTGACGTGAATATTGAATTCGATCTTTTCCATTCATTGTTTTCAAAAAATTCCTTCTATTTCTCACCAATTGAATGGCATTCGTTGAGAAAACACTCAATTGTTCATCATAAGGTTTCAAAAACTTGTTTACACCATTTCCATCCACATTAATCATGGGACGATACAAGACATCGAGATCCTTTGTCAGTCTGTCAATTTCTTCATCGAGAGGTAAATAAAAATCTCCTTTCTTTGGTAAGAATTTCACAAAATAGACAAAACTGGACAAGAAAGTCACAACAATGAGAGCAATGGTGATGAATTTCACTCGTTTCATGTGTTGGGGATTAACAAGAAGTGTTGTTGCTGCCGACGAGAAATTTTGATGGAAATTTCGAAAACCACTTGTGGTTGTCAATGAAGGTTCATTGTTCCTCAACGAATGTTGTTGTTGTGAATGATGAGTGAGAGGAGAGTCACCGTCATCGGTACTTTCTTCTGGATGATGGCCATAATTGGTGGCGGTGGAGGTCGTGGAAAGATGACGCTGATGATGTTTCATCATTTTGAAAAATGTGAAATGAGAAGGATGAGAGAGAAAAGAGAGGAAATAATTTCGAAAATGTTATTCAACAAAAACAACAAGAGACAATTTTACGAGCGTCGTACTCGATGATGATGAATCGAAAATGAAAATTGTTATCCGAATCAGTGAGAGTGGAATGAAAACAACAATTTCGGATAATTGAAAATGTTGTTGTTGTTTCTGATGGACAATCCTGACTATGACTATCGGGTAATAATGGAAGAGTATTGCCGGTGACTGTCAAATTGTGAGAGAGTATGAGGGAACACAACTCTCAAGGAATTTTTTCGAAAAAGACAAAAACATTACGTGTTGACATTTGGCACCAAATTGGCAAGCACGCAAGTCCTTGAATCTCTTCAAATGAGGGTAAATCCAGCCATCACTATCCGAATCAGTGAGAGTGGAACGACTCTCGGATGTTTCTTTCTTTCATCGACATCGATGGTCAACGTTATGGCATCATTAAGGAATGAGAAAATTCATCATCCCTATGTTCCATGAGTGTGAAACTGAATGTTTCTGACCATCTTCAAATAGCTTTCAAATGTTTCGAATCGAGTCCTTGCAGCAGCATTAGTTGTTCTTTCCTGTGTTGTTGTTGTCGAATCCTCTCGTCGACAAATGATTTTTAAAAATTCTACAGCAATATCGAAATAGTTGAACCAATCGATCATGACTTTTCTCGGTTGAAATTTTGGCAATTTGGGAATAAATTCAAATTGGAGAAGGTGTGGAAATTTGGTCAAATCTCTACAAATCATTCCAGTGACACCTTCCACAAAATAAGGCACAGAAATGGGTTCTGGTAATTCTTTCAAATTTCTCATGGTTTTTGTCGTTTCATCGAATGATTGGTCTTGTTTTAATGTAGAGGAATGCATGGGCTTCCATAACACAAATAAGGGAATATCCATGGACATGATTTCCTGTAAGGCAATTCCTTGAGTTTCTAAAGCAGTACACACGACTGCAAATCGAATCTTGTGTGAAAGTAAGTTCCAAAAGTATTCTTCAGAATACTTGTGTTGATAGGAAATTTCATGAGTTTCTACATCGGGGAATGCGGGTGACCTGTGAGCATGATTCTCATTGGAAAGTGATGTTGTTGAAGAAGAAGAAGAGAAACTTGTTAAGGATTGTTTGAGGAGTGATCGAATGTGATTCACATCAAAGGGACAATTCTTCACATATAAAAGAACGTCCTTTCTTTGGAAGGTTGATTGTGGTGGTTGTTGTTCCATGTTACTGATGATATTGAATCCGGTTGATGATGATGATGATATTGAATAAGGTGGTGACCACAATTTGGTATTGATAGCTGTAGGAAGAACCATCACTCGAGTTTGAGTATTCGATAATTGAGATTCGTATTCATTCTTGATCCAATGCGAGGCAGCAAGATATGTCAAACGATTTCCCAATTTGCTATATTGATTTTGAATGATATCCAGAGCTACCACAGGTCCAATGAACATTTGAAGATTTGGATTTATGAAAGAAGAAGATTCTCGTGTGGTGGTAGCAGAATTATTTCTTGTTGAATAAAATTCAAGAGCTTGTAGAATTTTTGGAACAATTTCGGCATTCTTGTATGGATTGTAAGAGTAAATGACATCTGCTTGTAACAATTCTGGATCGGATAGATTGTAAATAAATTTAAAGGGTTTTCGAATCAATTTGAGAGCGGAAATGAGTGTCACACCAACTTTTCGAGGACCTCCCGAATGAAATATTTGCCACATGGGAGAAAAGAACACGAGTCTCGTATTCCAGCATGACTCTCCAACGATTGTTCGAGCTTTGTGTTCCAAAATTGTGGAATAATCATTATCCCAAAATGAATGTATATCTTTGTATCGAAGTATGTAAGAATCGTGCATTTCACCATCATTTCGATCATTGGTGGTGAGAAGTGTTTTCACTTGTTCATAATTTTTTACAAGATAATCGGCTGGAATGACCAATGAGGAATGAAATGGAGTGTTTGTTGTCGTGGATTCAGTACTATGACATGAATCTTTTTTCCAAATTCTCCCCTCGTAGAAATAATTTAACATTTCTTCTCGTGTCAATTCAACATGCCGATGATGCGAATGGCGTTTGACAACACTGTTCATGTATTTCTTCACTTTTTCATCAACGTTGACAAACGATTGAAACAAAATGGGAAGTCCATTGGAGAGTCTTGTCAATTCATCATCGGAAAGTAACGTTGTTTTTTGAAAATCGTCATCTGTAACATTTAGTAATGATGAAATGCACTTTTTTGATTCTTTCTTTTTGGTGGACAATAAATAATTATTTTTCAATGATGAAGAAACAGTTGTTGCTCTCTTTTGATGATGAAAGAAAGAGAACACTAAGAAGACTATTGCGAGGAAGAGAATGCAAAGACCAAGTAACTTGACAAGTGAACTTGCTCGCATTTTTCTAGTCTTTGAAAATTGACCATTCACACACCGAGCACCCTATAATGTACACGCATGTTGCCGGCAATTTCCTGGTTGTATTCCACCTCTCCAAAACACAGAACCTGTTATTCACAATTTTGAAATTTGCAAGGGATTGTCCAATCACTTCTACGAATTTCTCTCTCTTCGAGCGAGTCAAAAGGTCTCTCTCGCTTAAGCGAATGAATTCGAGGACAAAAGAAAGGAGAATTGGAAAATAAAGAGAAAAAAAAAGCCGCTGCCACGTCCGAAGCGACCATCATTCTTGCATCAAGAAACGTTTGTTTGAATTGTCTCTGACTGGTCGGTTTTTCGTTCGTTCGTTCCTTGCTCGTCTTTGATCTTTTTTCATCATCAACGGCTAGAATTGTTGCTGTTGTTTGTTGGTGTATCATCAGATTTTATCAATCTCCTCCTCCTCCTCCGATTATCATCGAAATATTTTTGAAATTTACAGCCTACATTATCTTCATCATCATTTCGGGTTTCGTTAAATTTAAAATAGAAGAATATTTAAATATCAATTGAACAAGACAAAATGGTGACTTTACATAGTAAACCAACACTTACAGAGGCGCTCAAGGATACCATGTTTGGTATCACTGAATTAGTCCAAGCCATTAGCGGCAAACATTTGAATGCTAGGAACATCAAGTATGCATCAATTAGTAGCATTTTGGGTATCGCTGGTATTATCGGCTTGGCCAAATATTGGAAGTTTAAGAGAAATCTCAACAAGCAAATCGATAAGGACTCGAAAGGAAGAAAATCAATCAAAGCAAATATTGATATGCAATTCTTGAATAGATTGAAATTGCTCATTTCCATTGTCGTTCCTTCAATCAAGTAAGTGTCAACATTTATCATGTGCTTTGGAGTGATATTGATACAATATGATTTCGAAATGTATACGACACATTAATTACTATCAAATTCTGATGAATGTCCAATTCCGTTTCACAATCACTCCGACATATGACTCACATCGATAACGATCCATACCATCATTGACAACATTGACAGGTCGAAGGAATTCCTGCAATTAATTGCAGTGACTGTTGTAGTGATTATGAGAACATTTGTGAGCAACTGGTTGAGTAGTTTATCAGGTGAATTGTCTGGTGCTCTCATGAATTTTGATTTCAAAAGTTTCATGGCAATTCTTGGTTATACGACCTTGTTATCTTTTACCTCTGCCTTGTTGGCTCCAAGTTTAAAGTTCCTTATTAACAAACTTCAATTAGAATGGAGAATTTCTCTCACCAAGTACATTCACAGCAAATACTTGAGAAATATGATGTACTACAAGACTGCAAACTTGAATACTGGTCTCAACGATCCGTAAGTATTTTTGAATGGTCTGGTTTGTCAAAAATGGAATAATATTCAACTCGTGCGATCTGTTTTCCCAATTTTGTGGATATTAAAATTTCCATTCAAAAAGTGATCAAACCATCACACAAGACGTTGACAAGTTCTGTGAAGGAATTTGTGGCTTGTACGCCAACTTGGTCAAACCAATTGCTGACGTCATTGTGTATACATATCAATTTGTGAATATTGTTGGTGTTGGTGGACCTTTGGTGGTTTTGGGCTACATGACCTTCTCTTTCATTGCAATGGCCATTTTGAGACCACCATTTGGAACACTTACCTCAAAAATGCAAGACTTGGAAAGTAAATTCAGACATACTCACTACAGAACAGCCACTAACGGTGAGTCCATTGCATTTTATGCTGGTGACCAATTGGAAAGAAATGTTTCAGATGAAGCATTCTGGAATTTGTTCAATCACAAGAGATTGCTCATTAGAGCCAAATGGTTATTCGGATTCTTTAACGACTTCTTTGTTTTCAACTTCCCACAAGCGGTGAGTTGGCTCATTGCCATGTATCCTGTATTCTTTGGAATGTTAAAGAATGCTGATCAGATTGAATTGGCCAGAGTATTGAGATATTTGGCAGCTGTCGTTTCTCACGAATTCACAGCTGTTGGTGAAATCATTCACTTGCATACACGTTTGTCAGAAACCTCAGGTTATGCCGCTAACATTTGCCATTTGTTAGAAACTATTGACACGATTGAAAAAGTAGATAAGGAAAAGAAGGCAAACACTATGGTCGCAGGTGAAACCATCAAATTTGATAAGGTCCACTTGTCCACACCAGATGGACATACCTTGGTGAAGAATCTTTCATTTGAAGTGTTAAAGACAACCCCTGAGAAACGAAACAATGTCCTCATTACTGGCCCAAACGGTACTGGTAAGGTAAGTTGTGATGCGATCTGAATATTGACATGATCGAATTTGATCCATTGTTGTCATGATTGATACTTTTTTCAATGTTGAAATGTGCCCAATCGTGAAATACCTACTTGTATGTTTACATGCATTCCTTCGCATGATATGCTCTTTTTGATGCACACATAGAGCTCTATTTTCAGAGTCTTGGCAGGATTGTGGTACGCTGACTCTGGCAAGATTCAAAAGCCAGGCGGTGCCGAGAATACAAAAACCTCAGATATTTATTACATTCCTCAAAAACCCTACAATATCTATGGTACTTTGAGAGAACAAATTATTTATCCAGACGACCCTAACAGTGAAAAATCGAAACAATTCACAAATGATCAATTGAAGGACTTCCTTCGTAGAGTCAGAATTGCATATATTGCCGACAGAGAAGGATGGGACAAGGAAAAGAACTGGGATGACATTCTTTCGTTGGGAGAACAACAAAGATTGGCTGTCGCTCGATTATTGTATCACAAGCCAGCATATGCAATTTTGGACGAATGTACTTCAGCTGTCTCTACCGACGTTGAATCCCACTTGTACTCTGAATGTCAAAAGGAAAACATTACATGTGTCACCATTTCACTTCGTCCTGCTTTGATTCCTCACCATGACTGGGAGCTTTCTCTGGAAGATGAGGAACCAAAACTCCGTCCAATTCATCATCATCACCAACACTAAACCATTTTCAAATGTACTACTCTTTACATATGTGAATATTATTCACACCAAAATAAACCTTAATCTGTGTTATTTATTTCAAGATAATCTTCAAGTGTGGAAAATGGACAAAATTACCAATCGAAAGGTTTCCTTGATAAAACGTGGTATAAAAAATGTTCGAAGTGACAGTCACCATCATTGGTTTTATCATTATTGTGGCCCTCTTGTTTTTGAAAACCAAAGAACGGAAATCTCTGAAAACCTCTCATTCGTCATCTTTGAAAACTCCACCCATCGTTTCTTCCTACATTCCTTTTCTTGGATGTGCTCTAGATTACCTTCGCGATCCCATTTCATTTCTCAATCGAGTGCAAAAAGAACAACAACAATCGCATGAAGGCCTCTTCACACTCAAGTTGGCCAACAAGTACGTTACCATGATTTCATCCATCGAATCTGTTCCGAATTTTCCACAATTCTTTTACAACACTTCGGAAGAAGCCATTAGTTTTTATCATGTATTTAACGACTTCTTTCAAACGATACTTCCATTTAATGTGATTGAAATGGAAACCTTCTCAGCAAAATCAATGAAGCAATTGAAAATGATGCAACACAAAATTATTCCCAAATTGGAAGATTATGTGGAAATTATTTCATTTCACTTACAGAGATTTTTCAGTTTGGAACATTTATCAAAAAAGAAAGATCTTCAAATTGACAATGAACGGTCTTTCATTTTCGATCCCATGCAATTATTTACTGAGCTTGTTCTTTTAATTAATGCTTCATCGATTGTGGCCAAAGAATTGGGAACGAATGAAGAATTTCGAGAGAGACTCTTAGAGGTATTCCCTAAAATGAATCATGGACTCGAGGGTATTGCTCTTTCACTTCCTTCAGCATTTCAAGTGTTGTTTTCGAATGTAAGGGAGGGTCGACATGCATTTCTTGAATTTACAAAATTAATACGTGACATTTTAATTGCAAGAGATCATCCACCCAATCCGCCATCACAACAAGAACTTGAACAATGGAAGAACACCGTCAATGATTTTCAAGAGCATGAAGCAAGTGATAATCCTCGTGAGTCACAGCAAAGGTTGGATGTATTGATAATTCTCTCCACCGAATTACGTAATTCCTTAATAACAGCACAATCAACACAAAAACAACCACAAAATGGCGAAGAGATCTCCAATGCAAATGGCACCTCCACACTCTCCTGGAATGAAATCTTTGAGAACTATTCCTCGAAATTTCAATCCATGTGTGCCAAACTCTTGGTCATGATTTATGCTGGATCTACCGTGTGTAAATCCTCTGCCTATACTCTTCTCTCTGTATTGAATGAAAAGTCTTGTCAAGTGAAATACATGAAAGAAATTGAAAAACTCTACCAAGAATTTACACGCACTACCACCACCATTAGTAAGGTATTCAAACATGAAGAAGAGTTGGACAACTTTTCAAAAAGTTCATGTTTTTTCAACACCGAATTTGTTCTGTATTATGCACGACATGCCAACTATGCAGAAAGTTGTGTGAAAGAAACATTGCGAAGATTCACAGGTCCACTAGTCTTGCGGAAAGTGATGAAACCTTTGACCCTCAAGGCACACGTCTTGAATCGTAGGATGATGAGCATTAATCATCATGAACATGGAAAAGAAAACCCTCCATGCTGCTGCTGCGTAGAGGAGGTGGAGATTGAATACAAACTTCCAATGGGAAAAGATCATTTCCTTGCTCTCTCACCTTTTCATTATCATCATGATGAAGAAATATTTCCAAATCCTTACGAGTTCATTCCAGAACGATTCATGGCCTCGAGTTCTGAATCAACCGACTCGTCAACAACACCTATAACGTATAGGTCCACAACCAAATCTACCAATAGTACTTGCTCTTCCAATCTTCAACCTTTCAATCAGGGATTTCATGCCTTCTCTGCAGGTAAACACGTCTGTTTGGGAGCAAAGATTGCAATCATTCAGAGCAAGTGTATTGTGGGATGTGTATTGGCCTTATTTGGTGGAGAAGTTGCTTCTTCTTTGAATAATCCTCCACCAACCTTGGCAACTCCCTTAGAAGAACCAGATTACTCAGTCATTGGCATTGCAAAACCAAAAAAACCATGCTTTGTGAAATGTTATGTGTGAACAACTGATGAATAGAGAAAATTGGTTCTTTTTGAGCAAGCATAAAACAAGCATCAAGTCTGCTTGGAGAAGAGGAAAATCTATTTTAGAACACGAGCAAAGAAGACATAAGGGATCAATTTCAGAGTGGAAACGAGGAAAATCTTGCAAAACCAATCGCGCGATCAGAAATCGATTCAGAAATTAAAAAAAAATGCTGCAACCAAAGCAACTATCAGATCGGCACAAAGATGCTGCCGACCTAACGAACAACAACAAGAAGACGAACATAAAGAGCACCTCTTCGAGTAGTGGTGGTGCTGGTGGTGATGACCACTTGAAAAATGGTGCCCTTGTAAATGAATCTAAACAACCATTCTATTTAGCACCAGCATTATCATCGTCGGGATATTCCTCAAAATTTAAATGTGGTGTTTTAAAGGCTTCTCGTTTAGTGTCGGATGAAGATGATCAAGATGATCAGCAAGCATCAGCAACATCGGATTTATATGCCACGTATTACAACTCAGCATTATTGAGTGGTGATCAAATTGTTACAAAAAAAGATATTACAAAAACTATTATACTTGCATTGGGAAGAAATGAAACGTCTTGTCTTGGGTTTCCATCGCAAAACGTTCATGCAATTTCATATCCAAAATATTTAAATCCAATTCTGAGATCGTGTGGTGTCAAGGAGGGCTATGAACGTGTGGAATCAATTCACACACTAAGCAATGACGAGAGAGGATATACTGTCTTTTTGACGAATTTTCGAAAACACTTTTATGTGTGTGGAGGAGAAATGAAACCAAAGAAGAAACCCAAGAAAAAGTCAGATAAGAAGAAACAGCAGCCACAAGACGAATTATTTCCACCGCTCTCGAATCCAACTGCAGTTCCATTCCATTGGAAGGATGACGACGATTTCATTGAACAAGTGGCTCTAGGAAATCAACACTTCTTTGTGTTGACTAAAAAGAAGAAACTGTATGGACTTGGATCGAATAAGCATTTTGAGCTTGGACTTCCAAAAAAGAAATTCACAGAGCAATTGATAAGGGTGAGTGTGAACAATGGAGATATTGTGGAGAGTGTAGTGTGTGGAGTGAATTGCTCATTTTTCATTACAAATCTTGGAAAGGTTTTTTGCTGTGGTGACAATGGATATGTAAGTATTGAGTGAATCATTGGATCCAATGTTTTGAATCATCCTCGAGTTTGTTGTCACGATTCTACCAATGCTTACCATTGTACGATATACCATATGAACAATTTCATTAATTTCCATGAACTAAACACATTTTATTAGGGAAAGCTTGGAGTCTATAAGGATGAAGTTTCTGTTCCTTTGCAATTGCCTCTCACTGGAGTTGAGAGTGTACATTGCGGAGGTACACATACTATTTTCAAAAAGAAAGACGGTGCCCTCTACGCTGCAGGTAACAACTTACTTGGACAATGTGGTCTTGGAAGTACAGAACTCATACCAGGCCTCTCTCAAATTCCACCTTTCACAGATTGTGAAATTATTTCCATCAAATGTGGAGAAAATTTTACCATGTTTTTAACTCTCTCTGGACAAGTATATATTTGTGGATATTTTGGATTTTCGACAAGCTCTGCTGAGTTGAATAGTGACGAATTTTCATACACTTCACCCACACGAATTGGATTTTTTGATACACTGAATACGTTTGTGACTTCCATTGAGTGTGGATCAGATTTCGCATATTTTGTGACTCATCGTGGCGATATTTACGGAGCTGGTTCAAATTTCTATGGGGTTTTAGGTGATTTTTCAAACCCCCCTCGGAATCGAAGAAATTACGAGAGTGACAATGACAGTCATGCAAACCATTCTTCAGAAGAGGAGGAAGACTCCTCATTCTTTGACTCCAATAATGGCAATTCTGAGAGTGTGCAAGTCATCACCCGACTCGCTTGTTTTGATAAATACCGTTCCATTGCCACAAAAGGTTGGAAAGCGTGCTCCTCTGCATGGAGTGACAGTGCCTTCTTCATTAGAGAAGTCAATAAGGAAATTGAAAGGTTTCTTACTGAATTAATGTCAAACACTCAATTCTCTGACATTACCTTAATAACTACCCATTAAATGTTTATTAATATGGATCACTTGTGTAAAACTATACTTGTTCGTTTCATGAAGAAGTTACTTCTTGTTTTCAACTCCAATATTTTAAAAAATTAAAAAAAATGTCATCACTTTCTCGGGATGCTGTGTTGAAAACCTATCGAAATATTTATCGTATTTTGAGAACGACAAGAGAATTAACGGGTAGTACGGAATCATTGAAATATTTTCAAAAGCAATTTAGAGAAATTAAGACGAATCCGGAAATGTATCGAAAGGCTCAACTCTATGAACAATACATTACATCATTAAAGGAGTATTCGGAATTGATACAAATGTATAAGGTCGGAAAATATGAACCAACATTGCATGATTTATTGAAAAATTCGGCAGCAATGGCTGGTGTTTCTCTTACTCCGAAGGATCAATAACGTGTGTTGTTTCATCATCATAGTTGGATTGTTTTTTCAATATGGTTCCGAGAATTGAAAATGAATTTGTTCCAAAATTGAATCAAGCGAATATCATTATTATAACAATACAATTAATAATATTTAATTTTTCTCGTTGGTGCCGTTCCTATCTCCTATCAAAATGCAACATCTTTATAAACAACCATTTTCACAAATAGATTGTCAAACATCAAACACGAACTTTTTCAAAAGCTAATTGGCATAATTTACAATTTAATTTTCACATCATCCACTAGCTCTTCCATTGCCAACTAACATTGACTGCATATTCAAGAAGGCATTATTTCAGAACCTAGAATCGCTTCCATCTGATTCATCCACTTAATGTGATCCGGCATTCCTTTGGACCGCTTTTGACGACTATCGACAGCTGTTTGATCAAAAAAAATATTTGCTTTTGATTGCTCTTGTTCGCTCCGCATTGCTCCATGAATACACAGCAGGGAAATTCATCACAAAACAATTTTGATTGGTCACAGTTTGGGAATCTAAAAGTATCTTATCTTCCACCATCAAAGCGTTTTAGCGTTTTCGATTTACCGCAAGCAGAAGCGAAGTCTTTTTACAACTTTGTAGAAGATTCGTATTTAGAAGAGAAACAAAAACCGGTTTGTCCTGTTTGTAAAACAGAGATGAGCTATAGTGAAATGTTGCTTCATGTTGCTAAATGTGTTGACTATAGAAAACAGATGTATGGGTATGAAGCAACAAATAATGTTGGAGCATCACAATCATCAACCCCCTCTACTGAACCCATCACTAATACCACACCAAAAAAAAGAAAGCAAGACGTTATTGATGTAGATTCTGGTGATGAGGAAGCAGCTCAATGTTGTTTAGCAGTCAACAAACATATCACTTCCTGTGCATATCAACATAACGCTTGTTCTCATATTATTCAAATTAGTCACGCTAATGGTGTGGATAAAATACCAGTGTGCAAACCAAAGCACTACAGAGATCAGAATTTCCTCAAAATAATTGAGAAACGATTTCCGAAGGACGTAAATGACACAAGTGTTGGTGAAGATGTTGAACAAGTATTATGCTCAGGCGGCACTTTATGTAATCAAGGTATTAACAAACAACCCAAAGTAATTAACAAGAACGTCATCAGTGTTTGGGGTAATCCAACATCCGGTACTCGAAATAAGAAAAAGAAGATTTATATGTCGTTTTGCAGTATGGATTGTATGTTTTCAACTTTAGGTAAACTCTCATCTCCAAGCAGCTGGAACAAAATGGCGAAGAAATCTGACGAAGATGGTGCGTATACATATGAACGTGAATCTGAGAAATCTAATGTTGACAAATCTACTGACAAATCAACTGACAATGATGCTGAATCAACACCTCCCAAAAAAAAGAAGAGATAATTACTGATTTATTAGTAGACACTTCTCTATGCAAATCAATTACTGGATTCAATAGCTCTCAGATTAAAGATATTGCCTGTCATCATTTTTCTCTTTTTGAAAAGTGTATGGGATTTAAATCTGATTGGTCAGTGCATAAAGGGATATTAATCCATAACTAAATCGCTTGGAGTTGATCCTACTCGTGGTGGATTTATGTATGTATCAAAAAGCTATTGTGGATCAATTTTCCTAATGTGCATCCTTTTTTGGCTAATTTGTCTACATGAATGAATGACCACTATTTTGGTGGCCTTTAACTTTGATGATGGTGATTTGTAGGTTTTTAGATTTTTTGAGGACTTCAAATTCAGTTTTAAGGGGGAGAAATGGTCCTCGGTATTTAGGGTTTGATAGTAAATTGATACTTATTTCGCTAAGTTGTAACTGATTTGGATGGATTAATTTCTAGGAATATTTGTTTGAACCATCTGTTAATTTTCTTGAGTCTTTTGTTGTGGAGAGTAACATGTTAGAATTGATAATTGACATGTCATCGGCAAAACAGAGTGTGGCAATATCATCAATGTCTAGATCTTGTGGAGTGATTGAGAGTTTTTCTCTTTCATTTATTTTATCAATGATCATTTGGGAGATGCAGTTATAGATTAGAGGAGCTAGAGGACATCCTTGTGGAATTCCTCTTGTCTTGGTGGATTTTTCTGATTCCATTCTATTTGGATTTGATGATTTGAGTAAGCATTAATGATGAAGTTTTAAAGTTCTTGGGGGAATTTGCAGTGAGTGAGCGCCATGTCAATTGACATTTTTGAGTTCAATGGAATCATATGCAGCAGCAATATCTATATTGGTTAGAATGAATCCTTTCTTTTTGAATTTGTTAATGAGGGCTTGTATGAGGATGCAGTGATTTGTTGTTTCTCGATTTTGGGTGAATGCTTGTTGTCTAATGTTGATATTTGATTCGGCCCAATCTTTAAGTTTGAATGTTATAATGTTGAATAGGAGTCTATATCCAATATTCATGATTGTGATTGGTCTTAGATCTTTGTAGTCTGTGATTATATCTTTTTTTCCGATTAATTTAACCCATCCTTGTTTCCAGCATATTGGGATGTCTTGATTTTGGATCATGTCATTAAATGCTGATGCTAATATATTGGGATTGATATTTTCAAATATCTGTTTTGTTGTGAAATCTACCCCTTGTGTTGTTGATTTCATTCTTTTCAACGCGTCCGTAACATCTTCTTTAGTTATTGTAATGTTGGACGGTCCTTCTTTAACTGTTGATTCACCTGGTTTAAATTTAATTTCTGTTTTGTCATCTAGTTTTGAGGTGAATTTGTTTTTAAAGTAGTTCACAGCTCCTTCTTTTGTTATTTTGGTTGAATTCCAATCAATTTCCTTGTATTTGAGATGGTGATCGAAGTTGTGGATTCCTTTGGTGTGTTTGTTATTAATGGAATCTATGAACTTTTTTCTATATTTCGCAAATTCAAGGTTATATTGTTCTTTGAGTTTCTTCTTTGTTTCCTTTATAGATCTTTTGATAGTGGATTCATCTTGGGTTGTTTCGGATAATTTCTGTTCATGGAGATTATGGAGCTGTTGTTTCAAATTGGTAATGATTTCAGATTCCTTAAATCCCTTAATAGGATGTGGTTTATGAGATTGGTTCTTGATCTCATGATTGAGTTTTTTCAATTCACTATTGTTGACGGGAAGAGATTTCAAAATTTCTTCGAGTTTTTTTGCAATACTTTGTTCATCGCTGATTATTCGTTTCCAGGTTGTTGGAATTAATAATTTAAATTTGAACATGATTGGTATGTGGTCATTTGTTGTGACGAGTGGTAAAGCTTGTTCATGTTCTATTTCAATGTGACTTTAGTGGAATAGGTGGTCAGGTCTTGAGATTGTTTCTAATATTTTGTTTTGTGATGTGTATTTTCTGATGTAGGATGGAATTATAGTTTCTCTTTCTTTTAGGTTATGTTGGTCCATAAATGTTTTCCACTTGGTGTCTTTGTAAGCATTTCCTTCTGAACTAAAATTCATGTCACCAATCACTATTATTGGTTGGTGATTTAGGGTTGATAGGGTTTCAGATAATTTCTCGAGTAAGATATTTTCTTCTTCTTCATTTCTGTTTCCAGAGTAGTTATAAATATTAAATATATTCAATAAGCATCCACCGATGTGGATGGTGCATAGTTGGAGACGTCCTGGAATAAGGATTTGATGAATAGCTTTCTTTTTGTGACATTGGTGAGTAAGGACAAAGGTTCCATCATGAGAATTATTATTGTTGAGAAAAGAATAATAGTGATAGAGATTTTGGTGAAAAGTGCGTGTGTATTGTGAGTTGTTAATATGTGATTCTTGGATTGCCATGAAGTTAAGGTGATAGATATCCATAAGCCGTATGATTTTGTCCAATCTACTTGATTGGGATCCTTCGGAAGGACAAGCTGCTATATTGCTTTCCATGTTGGAGACTCTTTTTTCAAGGCTGGTAAATCTTGCTTCATAATTATTTGGAGTAGTAAAAGTTGAGAAGTTAGAGTTTCTTTCTCTGTTGGTTGATTTGATTTGGGTTTGAAAAGTGTGTAGAGGTGTTTGTGTCGAAGATATGGTGCTTGTGTTTGGGGGAAAATGAGAATCGGAACACATTAACTTGTCGATTCTTGGACACAAAAAAATGTCTGCCTGTAACAACACTTCACTCGAGCTCACTCAATTTCAAGCATGGCTACAAAGCTGGTCCCTCTCATTAGAATTGTACGATGAACGATATTCCATCGATGGTTTATGGATTTGGAAAGAAAATGCTTTGGAACTCTATCATCGTGTACTGGATCATTTGGATAAGTATGTGGATGCATCGGAACGAACGTTGAAACGACAACAAATGGAGCAATTAATGAAACAAGAAAATATTACAAGGCTTGATGATTTATCCTCTTCTCAGAAAACTCAACTCTCTGCTATTGATGAGAAGAAGTTGGAGAGAATTCAACTGCCGAGTCTTGTAAGCTTACGGGATCAACCTTTAACGAATTATAATCCTCATCCGAGGAGTGGTAGTGGAGATGTCGCTAGTGAAGATGCTATCGTTAGTAATCCAAATTCACAAAAACATCAACAACAAAGCAATATTGATGACGATCAAGATCCGTTTATGATTTTTGATGATTTTTTGGATCCTCAACAAGAGTCAATGGATGAATCAAGCACTAGGAGATTTTCTAAAAGTGTTGTTGATACATCTTTAGCAAGTGACCATCATGCATCGACATCATCATTCAATCCGAAATCTTTTCTTCATTTACTGGAATCAAAAATGTTTCACATAAGTAGAGGTTACATTTACGAAGAGTATGAAATGAAATGCAATTATCCCAATATATATTTGAAACCAAATAGTGAATGGATAGTATTTCCTTACTTTAAAAATGTTATCAGATCATACACACAGTTACCATACAAGATTATTACTCGTACTTCGAACTTTCAACAAGTTTTAAATGATGATGGAATACAATTGCCTTTATTTTATGGAAATAAGGAAAATTTACAATACGAAATTCATACCTGTCATGAAAGTGAGAATTGTGCATTGATTTACATTTCGGAAACTATTTGGAAAACAAACTTTTTAAAAGTTCTATTGAATATTTGTAACCTATATAATGGCATTACATATAGAATTTTTCCATGGAGAACATTTTCTCATTGTTTTGAAAGTTTGGCATTTGACATTGCTCTTCCATACATTAATACCTTTGTCAACATTGCTCATACAAATGTAAGTGAGATTGCTCTCAACATTTCTGAATTCCATCATGCTTTTACTTTCAACAATTCACGATCAATTTTTGCTTTTCAACCATCTACAGTACTATTCCAAGGTCTTCTCCGAAGTCTATAACATCCAATATCCAGTGAAGTTTGGCAATCAAATAGCTGTAAGTAAATATATTTCTCGACCTTCTTGGTAACAAGCACAATGGTGCGTATACAACCAACTTTAACATTATGAACATCCCACAATATCAACAGCCTGTTTTTCAAACCTGTGGAGTTGTCTCCTCGCGTGTTATTGGAGCCTGCATTGCATCCTTATCAGATGAGAAAGGACCACTCCTTCATTCATCCCTCAACAAGTTTCAAATTGTCATCATTCCAATATTGAGCAAATCCGTAGACACAAATATTCTTTACGAAAAAATTAATGAAATTGAAAATCGACTTTCCACATTTGGTTTCAGAGTTTATTCTGATCTTAGGTATGGCACGAAAAACGTGGAAAAATTTTACTATTGGGAATCCCGTGGAGTCACATTGATTTGTTCAGTCGGAAAAAGTGAAATTGAAACGAATCGTTTTACAATTAAGGGAAGAAATTCTAGTGAAAAAATTACTTTACCATTAGAATCTTTTTCGAGAGAGGATATCGATCAGTTTTTGAAAAAAGAAGATTTAAATCTCCAACATCAAATTCAACAAAGAGTGAAAATTATTGAGTGTTTGACAATGACTGAATTAATTGACGTGTTCGAAAATGGTCTCTTGAAATTGAGAGAACCAAGCAACGACCCAAAACAACGAAAAAAAGAGCAAATGGAATTCAATATCAAATTAATGACATCAAGTCCATTCTTTATCGTTGTAGCCCCAATACATTTTGAACCAACAAACAATGAGAGAGTGAGGCAACTGCATCAAGCCAATGAAAGATTCTTTAAGGATTGTTGCGCTGAATTTAGAGGATACATTCCGTTTGGGTCGTCCTATTCCGAATTGAATTGGCATTTGCAAGAGAGCATGCCTTGTCACCAGCTCGAGAATGGCACTACAAAACGTTGCATTATTTCAGGAGAAGAGGCCAATGCGTGGATGGTGATTGCAAGATATTGAGAATAATGTGCCCTCAATTACAGAACTTTTCCATCCGATTCCCGCATGCTGGAGTGCATGACTGGTTGATGTGATTACAGAACTCGATGTATTATTTTATTCAGAAAATTCTTCTTTCTTTCCTTCTTGATGCTTCCTTAAAAAGGCTTCATAAGGAGACACATAATCTGGTCGATATATACTGTTTTTGTTCAATGCTAATTGTTCCTTTTTGGGCGTCCTTGTTTGAAATTTTCCTTCTTCTGAGCCTTGGTTTGCTTTTTTTACCTGTTCTTCGGCAAATTCTTTGAAAACATCTTCCACAGATTCATTGATTGGTTTAAGGGAATACTCTTGTTTCAACTTCATAGATCTACGAGCCAGATGAGCACAGATGGCACGATTCAATAAGTTGCTTCCGTAGCTTTGTTTCTGAGGCGTCAAATTTTCAGGTCTTTCTTGATAAATTCTCTTTACCACTTCCAAATATTCATCATGATCTTTAAACTCGTCAATAGATTTCATTGCACTTTGCAAACGACAGGACCATATCCATCCAGAATCCCTCAAATCTTTCGGTATTTGTTTTACCCATTCTTCAACCTTGGAATAGTTTCCAAATCGCGCCAAACCGTCGATATACACAGAGACACAATCTGCTGTTTTTTTTTGAACTAGACTAAACATTTCTTGTAGCTTTTCAAGCATTCCTAATTGAGAATACATTTTCATCATTGAAATAAGTAGCTTGTCATCTCTGTGAGCTACTCTTGAGAAGAATTCCTCAGCCTGTGCCACAAGCCCAGCAGCACAGTACGTATTGGTCATTATTTTGAAAGTAAAATCTGTTGTTTTGTTTTCAATTTTTGCAAACAGTTTTTCAACCTTGTCGATTCGTTGCATCTCTCCATACACAATCATCATACTGTGAGTCAAGCTTAAGTCTGGTTTGCCCAATGATCGACCATATTTAAATATTTCCAAGCATTTTGCATAATTTTTCTGTTTTCTGTAAAAATTAATCATAATATTCTGAATGTGGAGAGATGGCCTTAATCCCATAGCCATAAATTTCTCATATGTTTTCTCGAGAGATGCGAAGTCTCCACTGTCCAAAAAAAGCTTTCAGAGCGACAGAAAACACATATGATAAATTTGGCTGTTCCTTCAAATTTTGAGTCAGCTCCAATTTACCGTCAATATATTCCTCAAAATATTTTGATACCTTTTGAAAATTGTGGGATCTAGCGAAGGAAGTCAACATTGTTATGAAATTCATATAGTTTGGTGATGTACCTGTCCATGGAGTAATGCAGTCATAGAGAGCCTGTACTGCATCCACATTGCCCACTGTCATGTAGCTCGTCATTACCACGTTTATGGTGAAGTGATCCGGTCGAATAACGTGTATACCTTGTTTCTTCAAATTATAAATAGATAGAACTGCTAAATAATAAATAAGTTCTTTGAATGTTGTCTGTACTTGTTCATGCTTTTGTCGCTTTGATAGACGGTCAAGAGTGTTGTTGAGAATGATTATAGATGGATATTGATTTAAAAACATCGAATAATTCTTAATTAATGTCTTTTTTAAACTCCTTCCCTTAAAGAGAGTAATTTTGTCAAATTGGTTTAGATAAAGAAATGAATTGATTTCAGGATTTTCTCTTGCTGGTATTTTTTGTAAGGTAGCAGATGATTCGCCATGTTGAAATTTGCTTGTGGAAAGTGTTTCCGATGGGATGCTTAATGATGCGTTAGAAATTTTCTGTACTTTCTTTTGCACTTCTAGAGAGTGAGCCATAAACTTGACAGCTTTTTTCAGATGAAGCGAGCGTCGGAAAGACGTTCTTATTAAGTACAATATTTGGTTTTGAAAGAATCATGGATGATCGTTTCACAAATGTTTTGAATGGTGAGAGAGGCATATTGTGCTCTGAAGAAGGAGATTCTTGTGTAATGTCGCCTGTTTTTGATGAAACTTGTTCATTCGGCTTTGTGGGTGGAGGATTATCGGAAGTAGATTGATTCTTGGATTGAAAATCTTCAACAAGTGTGTCCTTGGGATCACTGGTCTTTACACCAGTATGTAAAGCTGCAACATTATTCAATAAACTCGTGGCTTTACAACAAGATACTTTTGAAAAATAGTCTCTCCGACTTTCACATTGCTGATTGTGGAGAGCATCAGCCTTGTTGTTGTAATTGCTACTCGACGAATTCATGAGGAGGATGAATTGGCTTTGTTTCAAATTTCTTCTTTCATACATCATCAGCGACAACCCAAAAGACCCAAAAGACCTCTGATGAGGAAGAAGTGTATGATGATAATTGCTGCTGGCAACAACGTTTTTCAACATTTTTTTTCGACTATTTTGGACAATTTCATTTTGTAAAATGGAAGAAGCTTTATTAGGAAAAATGTAAAACGTTGAGCCTAAAGATTGTGTTCTTGAATGAAAGCCTCGATAAAAACTCCTGCAACAATGAATTTGACATGATTATTTCATTCGTGTGTGTGTGTTTCTCATCAATTTCGTATTGTTTTTGATGAATTTAATAAAAAAATCCATGGTCGCAAAGAAGCTTCTTGTTCCGACCACAACACTGTCATTAACTTCATCACAATAATTTCAATATTTTCTCTTTCCATTCAGCATTGATCACTTATTGTTGAAAGTTCACACCTGTTAACAATATCTTTAGAGTCTTATTAATAGTATTATTATTTTGTATATGCCAACAATGAGAGCTTTTATGAATCCGAAGAGTGCCAACTCGAACAATGACAACAACAAGGGTTCTTCATCGGTTCCAACAACCACCGTTTTTTCCAATGATTCCAATCTTCTACAATCTATTTACTTTTCTCACATGCAACAAAATTTATTATTGTTGGAAGAGGATGAAACACCGATGAGCGCTTACACCCATCAACCTTTATCAGGCAGTAGCAATAACAATTACAACAACAATAATTATACCAACAATACAGATCCTTCTCCTATGGACGGATCTAATAATTTTAATCAACAACAACAACAATATAATTTTGTGGATTTGGATGGTTTCGGTTCTATTGGTCCTCTCTCTCAATTTGATATTCCACTCTCTATCAATATCACAGGATATCAATTAACACACAAGGAAGAGAAAAAACAAAGAGAACGAGAATTGAAACGAGAAGCTGCCCGATTAAAAAAGCAAATGGAAAACAAGAAGACTGCTGTGCTTCGGGATGAAGCCGATGAGATGGAAAAACGAATGAAATATGATGGACTTTCATTCTTTAGGAATGGGTTTATGATTTTCACAAACAGTAGCGAAACTGAGCTGGATGAAGGTTCTGACCGAGGTCGACCCAGTTTTGCATCACAAGATGGAGCTTGTTTATTTGATGAGGGAACTGGAATAACCAGTGACATTATGTATGGTGAATATCAACAACAAGAGGATGAAGCTGCCCATGATGAAGTGGATTTGTTGGAGCAACAATTAATTTATTTCTATCCCAACACTGTAGAAAAACGTTCACAGTTGAACATTGTGGGATTTATTCAGTCGTTCTTAATTTTCTCAGATTCCTTTGCTCCTCTCATACCTGACACTTGTTGTGCGGAAAGTATTCATGATTTTGACTTGATCACGAGCGGATCGCCCTCTCCAAATAGCAGTAGCAGCAATTACGATCATACAGAGTCTTTACTGAGCGCCTCATTGAAAGCTGAGGCAAATCATTCGAATAGCAACAATGTCTATATGAATTCCAAAGAGTGTAATCATCCTGTTAATTTGATACAATTCAACCACTCCAAAATGGCAATTGTACGATATTACAATGTGATTTATTGTTTATGCGCTCCCATCAGTACTCCAAATAGCATACTTCACGAAAATTTAATTCACATTCTGAACTCGTTTGCATTTATTTATGGCTCCTATAATATTAAGGAAATTTTATCAAAGAAGAGTTGTATCAACGAGAGACAAATTGATATTGATAAGGTATCGACTGATTTCTATGTGTCATCTTCAGATTGTAAATATGAGAGCACAATTGATGTCTTTGAAGATATTGCTGAGGGTCCTTTTCCAGCTCGATCCATGTTTCATGACAATAATTTGAAAATTCCATGGATCGCGTCTCCGTATAGCCCCATTGTTTCAAACAGCTACAAACGAAAGAAGAGTGCTAACAGATGGAATGCTGAGCAACAACGAGTTTTGGATGATTTTTGCCTCCTCATCAAAATGTACACAGTGAGTCAAGCTTTACAATCGTCAGTCGACGAGTCACTACCCATTAAAGCAATGACACAACGAATTTTCCCATTTGCAATTCCCTACACAGAAATACCTGAGAAAAATATTTTCATTAAGGCAATGGGAATTTTGAATCAACTTCAAGATGCATATGGTAGTAATAGACTTCATATATCACCAAGTTATCATTTCACCTCTATTGGAACTTCACTCTCGGGTATGGTTCAAAAGCAATTGGAGACTATCAACCATGGAGACTATCTTGATCAAGAGAATTTACTTAATAGGACACGCAAGGGCTCTCTTATTGGATCAGCTCTCTTTTTTATGAACGAAAGTGTCATGGCTGTCAACAATTTGGACGAACGTGTGTTGCAATATATTTTGTTCCGTTTACGATGCATTGAGAAGAATTTTTGTGAATATAAGGATTTCTTTGACGAGAGTTTTAATGCAGAGATTGTTTCTAGCCCAACTACGAAAGCATTTGCTCCATCACCTTACACTGCCAACGCATCACGACAAGACTCTTCAAATGTGACTCCAATTCCATTGAGACAATTTAAGAACACTCCAAGCACTCCTGTGACAAACACTCAGAGTCCAATGGCTAAACCAGTACGGACCAATAGCTTGTCTAATAGCCTTACCCCAGGTGGCAATGCCACTCCCCGAGGCACACCGACTGGTGTGAGTCCACTGGCAAGAAGCATCACCAAAGCAGGAAATAATTCTTCCAATAATTTATTGAGAGCTACCACTACCCCAGAAGCTCGACAACGAATGATGACAGCCGATAATTCACCTGGTGGTATGAGCACATTATCAGCACAAAGCAGCACCACAAGTGTTATTACGAGTCCAACTACAAACAACAGTAATGAGACGAGCGTGTTTGGAGTGAATGCTTACAAGACAAGTGATGATTGGTTCATGTTTGAAACGACCTCAGTACAAGATTTGCAAGGTTCCAAAGATGACGATCATCAAATAACTGATGAGAGAGAGAAAATTTCTCGCATCAATTTGGATTACAATATGTTCATTATTTCTGGAAAAAAAGATTCTGAGTTTATTTTGCTAAGTGAGGAGGATCAAATCGATTACACTGTAGTTTATATGAATAGAGAGGAAAAGCTTAGCACTATTATGGAAAAGCATGTACTGGTTACATATAGATTTAGAGATTTATCGTTGTGCACTATTTGGAAATTTGAGGATACATTTAATTGGAGGTGTGAATTGAACGATTGCATTATCAAAATAAGAACTGAAATGAGACCAATATTAAGACAAATTTCTCGAAAAATGGATAGAAGTAACTATACAAATTTACTTTTAATGAGAGAGGAGTCTGCTCCTTACAAGCTTCATGGAAATGTTCGATGTAAACGACCAGTCATTGCCACCACCATGAATAATGCAAGTGGAAATTCCAACAATAACACAGAGCAGGACTCTGTATTTTGCCTCATTTATGATCAATTTAATAACATGGTAACCACCACCAACACCAGTAGTAAGACATTCTTTGTCAACGTGGCAAAAGCAAGAAATACATTTTTAACCTCAGAGAATCAACAAGTCGAGTGGTGGAATGAAACCTCTAAGCGTCACAGCCAACATTTCCACAAGCCATCCAAACAAGTATCAAAACTCTTTTTAAAGAATGACCGAGATGGATATATTTATTCAAAGCAATTATTCGGAAGTCAGGTTTATTATTACAAGCAACAACAACAACAAGACACCACCACACAAAATCCACCAAAAACAGCGGCATACTTTTCACTCTCTAAACTTGAACAATCTGTCAGAGAATCTATTAGGAATGAATTCAAGATTAATTTGTTGTAATGGCGGGCGAACACAATTGCCATATGTGATGATATTCAAGCAACGAATTGAAGGAACTGTGGTGTGAAAATGTCAAATAAAGACACTTTCCAAAAACAGGGTTTGTGTTGGTTGCGAGACAACAATTCTTTCCGTTAGTGATCGTTGTTATACATGAGCAACGAAAAAGAGAAAGATGGAGAATCCTGCTTTTCTCATGTGTTATCCTTCGAACACTCTGCAAGAGAATAACCTCAATTCTCCCGTTCTTCAAACCACCTACGATTCCGATCAATATCATGAAAATCTTACACGGGCACTGTTTACCATATTTCAAAAAGAGAATCAAAGCGATCATGTTGTGAGTTTGAAAGTCCATTCATGTCATTGCAATAATCATATGGGTGTCACGAATGTTTCAAAGATAAATCAGCCACCCACTCACAGTCACAACGATAATCCGTTCATAAAAGCAAGACTTCGCACTCACTCGTCTGCTTTGAAAAAGCAAACGAGAACCGGACCGACCTGGTCGTCATCAGCATCTGCCTCTTCTTCTTCAAATTCTCAAGAGGAACATGTTTATGTTTGTGGGGAGCAACACCACTCACCATCGCATGATGTCATGATGATAGATGAAACCATTCAAAGTATTACAGCAAGCATGAGTTTTGCCTTTTTCATTACCAACCTTGGAAAGGGATATTCGATTGGAAAAAATTATTATGGACAACAGGTAAGGGTTTTCTTAGGAGTTGTTGTGTGACATTGCAAATACTGATTACTCGACGTTGCTGCAACATTTCATGTACTGATAATATTAAAAAAAAGGGCGTTGGAGATCAAGAACGAGATGTTCCAGAGAGCGATTCACTCTTGAAAGAGGTTGTTTTGGTTGGAAAACAGAGATATTCAGAGACCTTACGAATTAAAAGTGTTTCTTGCTCCTTATTTCATTCCATGTTGGTAACAGAATCAGGTGAACTGTTTTCTACAGGTTATGGAGTTTTTGGTCAATTAGGTATGTACCAGTAATGTCATGAATGCTTTTGTGTGTGACCTTTTGTTGCAATGTATATATATCATGAATGAAACTGATCATCCTCGAATTATTGTCATCATTATTATGAACAAATTGATAAGGTCTAGGAAGCATTCTGGGACACAAGAACTCGTTCACCAAGGTTGAAATGTGTGTCGATTCAAATAACGAGGTGATTCCTCTTCCAAAAATTGACAAGGTATCACTTGGTGCCTATCATTCTATTGTGGTAACACAAGTGAATAATGACAATGACACTTGTAAATTATTTTCCTGTGGTTTGAATAACACTGGATGTTGTGGTTTGGGTGATAATTGGGATCGAATGTCTCTTACATGCATTTCCTTTTTTGAAACTATTTCGGATCGAGTGGTAAAAATTCAAACAGGTTATTCACACACATTGTTTTTAACCGAGTCGGGTAAGTGTGAAAGGAATTCATCTTTTTTCATTGACTCTCGCTTCTTCGAATGGCATTTGTGAATAATGTCTCCCGTTTAGGAAACCTTTATGGATGTGGTCAAAACAATGAGGGTCAGCTTGCTTGTGATCCAAGGTATACTTCATCCCTGAACTTTCCAACTCTCATTAATCAAGATATTTCTGGTGTTAAGGTTGCTGATATGAGTTGTGGGTTCAGTTGCAGTGTCATTCTGACTCGAGATCGAAAAGTCTTTGTTTGTGGTTCAAATCTGCAGGGTGGACTGTATCTTCCAAGTTTGTCCGATCGTTTGAGTGTTCTCACCAATTTACCATGGTTTGAAATGTGGACTCACGAAGACAATAAGTCTCCACTCTCCATTTTAGATCGCAACGATTTCGTGACAAGTGTTCATTGTGGAATTAGTCATAATCTTTTCGAAACTGCTCAAGGAAAGGTCTATGTGAATGGAAGTAACCGAATGACTCAACTCGGTAGACCTAAAGAATCTCTCCTATTCACATGCAGACCGATTGAGATTGATATTCCCAAACACCAATTAACAAGTCAGTACGAGAGAAAATGGTGTATTGGCCCATTCAGCAATTACACGTTTTGTGTACTGACTCGAAAGGAGAAGGAATTGCAATACATGTTGTTGAATATGGAAGAGATTTTGAAAGGAGAATACTTTCAAGATGTAGATGTAGTGACTCGCAATGAAGGTTTTTCCAAAGACATTACGGAGGGCCATTATGCATTAGTGATCGGTCCTTCAAGTCATGCTTAAAGGTGACGATCGTAGATCGTAAAATCATGAAAATTACCTTCCTCAATAGGTAGGATTTGTATTCTGCATGACAAGATATATCATGATCATTGCTACCAGGAGTACCACAATAGCCATCATCCAATAAATTCCTCTGAACGTTAGAACACCCATCGCTGGCTGTATCGTGTGTGATTTTGGCCTTTTTTCAGTTCCAGAGAGAGAGGGGGTGTTCTGTTGGTGTGAAATCTTTTTGATTCGATATTCATGACTTGCAATGTCACGCGCTATTTGTGTGATTGAGCGCATAACATCCTTGTTATTTTCTGAGAGATCCTCAATCTTGTGATCCATATCTGAAATTTTCTCGATCATGTTGTTCTCTAATTCTTGTTGTGATTTCATGCATTCTTCTTTTTCAAAGATCATTTTGCATTCCAATTCTCTGAATTGGCGCATCCATTCAGTGCTGTGAGATTGTATTTCATTACTTGTCGATTGTATACTCTCTGCCACTAGTTTTTGACATTCGTTATGAATACATTCAATTTTATCATTCACAAGTGTGTAAATTTGCTCTCGTGTCATGTGTGAGTTTGATGTGTCTTCCTTCTCACTCGAATCATTCATCTCTTCATGGCTGCATGTCATACTTATTTCATTATTGTGTTTTTGACTAATAGTATTCATGCAAGAAGGGGTGGTGAGAAGATCATGACGACTATCGCCGCAACCGGAAGAAGGAGTCCTTAGCCATTGACTTTCATTCAACTCTTGACGATGTTTCAATGATATAATATTATGACACACAGCTTGCAACATGTGTTGAAGCCAATCCATATCATGTTCGGTTTCTTGAAGGATTTGATTTTGAAGAGCAATTTCTTGTTGTAAGGCTTGAATTCGGGAATTGAGGGAAGTTGAGGAGCAAGTGGTCATTGGAGTAGTGGTGCTACCACTACTACTACTACGAGTTAAGAGTGCTGTTGTTCTTGTTCCATGGTTATTGGTTGTTATTGGCGAAACACATGACGAGCAAGTGTTGAATGAGAGGATCATGGGTGGTTGGTCTTCTTCCATTTCCATCCATGATGAAGAGTGTTCATCGTGAGGATGATGATTAGTGGATGGATTCAAAGCTGGTCCTTGTTCCTTACCTGTGGAGGCCATCACGATGGATGGAGAGTACGAAGTGGAGAGTACGGAATGATGATGATCAACGTCCTTCTTTTCCGATAGAGAGCTCTCTAAGGCTTGATGCGGTTGCATTGAAGAAGAAGAAGGACATCGTTGTTGTTCCATGATCATCCAAAGACTCATTTCAAAACTATAAAAGAGTTGTTAGGTGTGTGGGTAAGTGTATGGGTAAGTGTGTGCAGGTGTGTGATGCAATTTTCTTTTGAAACAGTATGTATATATATTAGCTTGTACATTATTAATAAATTAGAGTGTGTAACGGTAAAATTGGGCGGTGGTGATTTTTTTCATTCGTCCAACATGGGCTGGTTGGTTGGTTGGTTGAACTAAGGTTAGTTCTCTCATGTCTCGTTATTGACACGTATAATCTCTCTAGTGGGCAGTGCTGGTGCTCGACTGACTTGTATTACCGAGAGATTTCGATACTGCCTCAACTCTTTTCATGACTCGAAGGAAATTTCCTCCCATAATTTTTGTCACACATTCGGTGGTGTAACCTTTCTGTATGAGAGCTGCAACCACAGACATGTGATTGGCAGGAGATTCCACCCCTTTCACAAAGAGTGGGGAGTCACCATCGAATCCAGCAGATCCGAGCGCAACGTGGTCACAACTTTGAGTTAATGTTTTCACATAATCGACATGCCTTACAATGATATCAATGGTGGATCGAGTGCTGGTCATGTTTGAAAGTTGTGCATGTATCATTAATTGAATTTTCTCGTCATGTGAAAGCATTGTGCCACCATGTTGATTCGACAAGCCATTGTAGAATTTCCATTCATCACTATTGAGCTGCAATGGGCTGTAAGGAATTTGAACAATGCCTTGATTTTCTTTGACCAAAAGAATGATATCGTCATCAATGTTATCTGGATGATTGCATAGGCTCTTGACTCCACCATTTCCAATAATCACTGGAGCATATGAATAGGTCAATACATGGGTCATGGTTTTTGCACTCGAGTGCGATAAATCGATCACTATTCCGAGCTTGTTGAGTTCATACAGAACTGATTCACCAAATTTGCTCAGGCCATTAGTATAACCTCCTGGGAGGGCCGATGATGATTGTGCCCAATTATTTGGACAATGTGACGAAGTAAGGGACATGCTCCTTACTCCCAACATTTGATATTGTCGTAAAATTTCTAAAGAATTTTGAATGGCATGACCACCTTCAATGTGAATGAGAGCGGCGATTTTTCTCGAATAGAATGCACTCCAAATTTCACTTTCACTTTGAGCCAATTTCATGTGAGTGTAGAAATTTTTCACAATTCGAGTTTGAATGGAATCTACTTGTTTTAACACATTTGGCACAACCTGATCATCACAGCTCAAGCCTCGTATTGAAAAAATGATTGCACTCACATTTCCGGTACGTAATCGAGGAATATCAGTACTCAAGGTGAGATTGGTTTTTCGATATAAAGCCAGTAATGATTCTTTGGTGGTCAAAGTATTGAGCGTGAATACTTGCTCGAAAGGCTTCTTCAATCGTTGTTCAATGAGTAACATTTTGTAAGGTAGTTCATTGTGTGACTCAACAAAGGGTACGTATTGCGAAGCCAATATTTTGGCTCTATTAATAATTAATATTCATATTTTATAATATTAATATTAATTATTATGATGAGATATCACAAATTAATGTCAAAATATTTTGATGCAACAGGAATGTGAATCGGTAATGGCAATTATTAAAGAAAAATTAATGTTGTTGTCAGGTAAAAAAGCAATTAAAGAAATTCGAACATAACAACATGATGATGATGGAAGCAGAAATATTTGGAATGGTATTACCAGGACCGTTTTGGAATGGTCACCATTTGATAATTTTCATGATGTCAAATCAATGTCAACTCTTCCGTTGATATCGCAGCACTCCTACAAACCTATCATAAGAATCACTTGGTAAAAAATTCTTAGTTCCAGCAATGAAGTAAACCATCGGAATCATCACTGCAAAAACAGTAATGATTCCCAACAAACTCAACACAAACAGAAAACTTAATTTACGCAATTGTTTTCTGAAAGAAATCCGAAATTGATTTGCATCCTCTCCCGAATTTCTCATCATCAATCCAACTAAAAATCGAATGATGGCGAAGAGAGAAAAATTTGTTTCCACTCTCCGAGAATGATCAATGATCATATCATCATCGGCTTGTTGTTGTATAGTTGCATCGGAATCCATCAATCGTGAGGATGCACCTGGTGTTGGTTGTTGCATTTTTTGGGTTTATTTTCTCCGTTCATGTGTTTCTCTTTCAGAATTATTCTATAAACTGCTAAAGCTTTAATCAAACACATGCTGGGGACGATTGTCTAAATGGTGACGATGATGAAACGCTCTTTGTCTTTTGTTTTTCCTTAATCATGCTGGTAAGGTTTTCTTCGTTCTCTCCTCTCCTCTTGGTTGGATATTTGCAAGAGGAGGAACAGCCTTGGGTTTGATGACACCTGTTCGAGATTTTGACAAAAAAGGAGAACGGTTCTAAAAAATTTCGAAAGGAAAAGTCAGATGAGAAACATTTTCGAAGGAAAATCACACAAGTTCTAATTTAGAACCCTTAAATGGCAAGCTGCGATTCATGTTTGATGAGAAGGATACTACCACAAAAAACTCATACTTTTCCCTGTCATTTCATCATTCATTGATAAGGATGGGTATTAAGGTAATGAGAGGGTGCCTCTACTACACCCTTGCCCTATTGGTTCATCATCATCATCATCATGAACGGGTTCGTAGTTTGCTCTTTGACAAGTGAACGAGAGGCCAATTGAATTCACCAACTAAACAAGATCCATCAATGGTTCACATCCTTTCCTACTCTGGAGAGAATCCACAAAAGAACAGCCTCTCCCAATAATCCACTCATCTCGCGAGATGCTCTTCCTCCTGTTGGAACCATCCTTAATTGTACCACCTCACAAATTGAACAGGCACAAGCGTCTTTGCATGAATTGTTGAACATGTTAAAACAACCTCTCAATGTCACTCCGGACGTGATCTTGTTCAAGGTCGCGGAGTTTTCTCTCACTCAAGCCACTCAAATCTATGGTTGCTCCGAACTCATCAATTCAATGATTCTGCAACGAAAGGATTCACTCATCACCTTGCATAACACTAAAGCTTGTACCTATGAAAATCTTCCAATCCAGAACTGTATCAGAAGGATCCTTGTTGCAATCCGGAAGCCTCTCTCACCATGTGCTGTGCTCCGAGAACGATTCCTTACAAGGCACAGCGTATCTCACAGTTCAATAGGACCTTCATAGATCAACAATATGCCAATCCATTGCAAACTGAAACATTTGTGTACAATTATTATAGGCAATACATTGAGGTGAATCTTCCAGTGTGTCAGGCTGAGTTTAACCTCTTTAGTGCCAAGATCAATGCGTATGTGGAGGCTCTTACTCGATGCAGCAATCATGTTGGGAACATCCACACGGAAAATAGCTTTCCAACTTCCCAACAAGTGAATGATTATGTTTCGTGTTGGATCGATGCCCTGCCCAAGAGTGCCATACGCAATGTCTTGTCATTGATGGGAAGATCCATTCATGATGAGTTCCCATCCAGTCAAGATTCGCAAACATCCAGAGATTCATTGATTGCTTTATTCAAAGAGTTCATGTTGAATCAATATGGGCAAGAGAATTGTGAGGACTCAAACGGTAAAGTTGGTTATGGATACTCCCAAGAAGAATGTGAAAAACAAGTGTGTAATGTGGATCCAACTTTCGCCCTTGTGAATTGTACAGGACATGTTTGTGCCTCTTCATGTAAGAGTGTTCTTTTTGGAAATTCCACTTTTTGTGCTCATGAGGAATCTCAATTCACAGATCAAGCAAGTTGTGAGGAGCAAAAAGCCTGTTATTATTATATCATTGACACTCTTCAAAACACAACCATAACCATTGAGGTCGATACAAGCATCACTAATGCATACGTTTGTGAGTCTTCAGGAAAATGTTCTCATCCACTGTGTCAGGATGGGACATGCTACCAATCGAAATGTGAAAGCATGGGAGTGTGTGAAAACTTTCCAACCATTCAAGGCAAATTTACAAGTTTGACCGATCTGCATTGTGTCTATGCTCCCTTGATGACGTCGGATGGTAAGAATATCCTGTGCAAGAATAATGATACTCTCTCCATCATCGGTTGTATCACTGACAAGGTCGAGAATTGATCAGTTTGCAATGCCATGAGTGCCACTCCCATCTCTTACCCATCGACCCGTTCGGAATGTATGAAATGGACCCTCTGTAAAGAAGAGAGGGGAGCATGGTCTTTTCTGAATGCCACCAGTTGTAATCAATGTGAAGGAACACTCATGGATCCCTTCAAATGGATTCCTTCAGCTCGGTGGAATCGAGGTCAATGGCTCAGTAAGAATCAATGGATGCAGAGAAGAGCCATTTCAGGTTTTGCAAAGAAGAGAAGATCATTGGATATGGTAGCTGTGTTGTCTTTGAACTATCGAATGGTTGCCATGGATATGTTCCCAATGCTCATGTCGTATGTGTCGTGTATTGCAGAGCCTGTACTCTCTGCTCTTCATCAAGTGGTGTGTGATTGCGAGGACAGGAAGAGTTCTTGTTATGATCAGCCGTTTCGAACAAGTGTTGGATATTTAAGAGTGAATGAGGCAAACTATACCTATCGTGTGGATGATTTGATTTCAATTGTTTTTCATCAAATCAACTCTTCATGTTTATTGAATATTGAAAAAGAAGCACTCATGATTCATGAACCTCCCTCGCAACGAGCAATTGTTGCTGGAAGGAGTGTTTCACAAAAAGTTTTAGAAAACTCTCATGTATTGACCGGAGATGGTATTTGTGTGAAAGGAGCATCAGTGGGAGATGTCATGACCATATGTCTCAAGAGAAGAGATGACATTTCTGTGAATTCTACCTATTATCAAACACCTGCCATTCTATTGAAATATACCAATACGAATATAACTGAGATTGTGTATGGTGTTGGCAAGGTCAACTATCAATCCTCAGTGAATCAAATTTGTCTAGATGTGAAAGTTAAGGAGGAAACGTCGTCCACATACTTCTTCCCTGCACTCATGCATGTAGAAGGAGGTCAAAGTGTCTCTGAGAGTTCCTCCTTGCTGATCAGCGGTTCATGGTGGTGGAATTTGGTTACAGTGTGGTTATGTCTTGTTTTTTGTGTCTTGCGGTGAATAAAAAGACCCTTCTCTTCGATGGGTCATAAAGTTGACTGTTGTTTAAAGTTCGAACGAGGGTGACGATTCAAGTCTTTCGTGTGGCAATCACCATTCAAAAAAGACATCCAATTCAATTCCAAAAAAAAGTTTAAAAATTCACCTTCAGTTCATCATCACCAACGGATCTATTTTTCGTCATCATCAATAGATATTTATCAAGAGTCTTGACCAATTTTAATTATTCAGTTACAACTTCATAACAAAATATAACCACACAAAAAACAATGGTCAAAGTTTACGGAATTTTCATATTAAATCAAACAACTCCGACCAGTAAGGCTACTGTGTTCTGTAGTCATACCGATAGTGGGACTTGGTATAGCTTCTTGTACACGGATCAAATTACAGAACTTACCATCTTCTTAGCTAAATTATTGGCTGAAAAAACAAATCCAGGATATAGACAACAAGTAGAAAAGGATGAACTCACTGGTTACGTTCAAAAAACAAAAGACGGTTTGAGCTGTGTCGTGGTGACCGACAAGGATTATCCATTTCGTGTGGCCTTTGATTTAGTGAGGCATACGTTGAGAGATTTCACGGATTGGCGTACACAGCAAACACTTTCGTCGCGGAATGACGATCCAGCTCAATACACAGCAACGATCAAGGATTTAATGACGAAATTTCAAGATCCAACGCAAGCAGACAAAATTCTCAAGTTAAAAAAGGATTTGGAAGAAACAAAGGAAATTTTACATCAAACGCTCGAGAAATTAATGGAAAGAGGCACTCACATTGACAAGCTCATTGAGCAAACCAATGAACTCTCAGAAGGAGCCAAAGAATTCTATCGAAAGACCCGAAAGAATAATTGTTGTAGTATTTTGTAAATAACAATAAGTCTTAAACAGTTGTGATGAAAAGCACGTGATAACATATTCTGGTGTCAATAACAATGAAACGTTCCGTTCCAAGAAGGAAGTGTCTCGATGGTATTGTCTGATGTCGACAGCACTACAATTTATTTTCAAGCAAAAAAAAAATGCCGCCAAAGCCAACTACGCCAAAAAAAACCAAAAAACAACTAGAAGAAGAGAAGAAACGTCTCGAGGAACGGAAAAAAGTCATAGATGAGGCCCTTGAATTATTATTTCATCGGATATGTAATGATTGGCTCGTAGAAGAGGAATTACCAAGTATTGCAGCCCAACTTGTTGAGGAATTTAAACCAGTGTTGGTGGATCCATTGACAGAGATTGGCCGAATGGATCCCAGGCACGTGAAAGAATTACATCTTGGATCACGGAACATGACGGATATTCATGAAAATATGTGCAAGTTTGAAATGTTGGAAGAGCTCTGGCTCAACCACAATCGTCTCAAAATCGTTACGAATTTAATGGATGTCAGTACTCTAAAGTCTTCATCGCGAGAGCTGCCCTTAACGAAAAAGTCAAAAAAGAGAGGTTGTCTCCGACTTAAATATTTATATCTGCAACAGAATCGAATCGAATCGCTCGATGATCAGTGTATGAAGAATTTAAAATTCTTGGAAGTTCTCCTGTTGCATGACAACAAGTTGAAAAATTTGGATCTTGTCCTACAACAACTTTCTCATATGAAATATTTGAAACAACTTACCCTTTTTGGGAATCCTCTATGCGAGGAGGCTGGTTCCAAGTCCATGTACAGAGGAAGAGTTATCACTGCCCTACGATCTCTTGTTGTTTTTGATAGAATTGAAATTACAGAAACTGAAAGAGAGGAAGTGACTAAACTGTTTCCAAACAGAATCGAACGTTTATCCATGTCACGAGAAGAAAAATTGGCGTTTGGCAAAACATTACCAGCCAACGCTCTTGAGAGTCGAAAAGCCAACACCATGTCGGCTTCCATACTAGGAGGTACTGCAGAATTGGCCATTCATGAGGCCAAACAAATAGTGAAAGAAAACTCCATCTATAAGAGGAAGCTGGAAGAAGAAGAGCGAGCAATGATGGCTAAGACCCTCAAAGAAAGCATTGTGAAACAATATAAAGCCATGGAGGAGAATGAAAATCAAAAGCCAGACAATTTATTTGAGCGCTTATCACATGTGTATAGAGATTTTGATGGTTTACTTACAGCCGACCAGCAACAAGTAATGAAAGAGAAAATTATCAAAGCGTATCATCCTGCATTTCTTGTTGCATCTCCAACTTTGAAACCAACCATTCCTCCGGACACTATGAATGAACTGTTGAGGGATCTTGGAATTTCACAATTTGCAGAGAGTTGGATTCAAGAAGTCGAGTCCAAGAAAGGGCAAGAGACATTCTTTGTGACTGAAGATGAAAAGAAAAAGATTTCCTTGTACAAAGATTTGACAAGGAGTTCAAAGGAAGTCTCATTCCATGATTTTTTCTTATTGATCTGCGAGCTCAAGTCAGAGGAGGAGTTCCTCAATTCCCACAATCTACAAAAGCAACTTGATATTCGAAAGGTTCAATTCGAAAAAAAAAAGAAGGAACGAATTGAACGAGAAGAAAAAGAGCAACAAGTTCAACAACCACGACCCAAATCAGGAGGTGGTAAATCCAAAACGTCACAACCACCTCGAAAAATTACAGACAATACAGAGGAAGAAGAAATAGAATGTCAACAACTCGAAGAAATGTCCAAGAATACAGCCACTCTGGAGTTGCAAGCTGCTTCGAAAGCAATCAAGTGGCAGTCGAAGAGTCAACTTCATGAAACCATGAGACCAAAAGAAATCAAAATTGTACCAAAACGTGGAGATGTATACAAATCTTACTACTTGTGAACGAATGACAAGTTTCATTTGCCTTTCAGACGAAACCATCGAGTGGTCATGGTCAACATTATTATTGTTCATGTATTACACCTGCACGTCATTTAAGGATTCCAAAAATTCTCCACATTTCTTTTTCAGTCATTTTCTCAAGAAACTACAGCTCATCTTTGACTTTTCGACTCTAAAAGTTACGATAGGAATGACAGGTGAAGAATAATCTCTTCGCAGTGCTTTCCATCAAAAATCTTCAAACAAAATTCTTTTTTAAAAAAACTGCTTTCGTTTGGACTCGCAAGTCCCTCAGAACGAAGAACGAAAATAATAAATTGGAGGTTCTTAATATAATACAACAACAACAAGAACAACAAGAGCCTTGATACTTGTATATTTCAAAGCACTTTTGCATCATCGGTTATTTGCGGATTGAACTGATTGCTATTTTTATTGAAATATATTCAATCATAGTTGGAGAGACTTGCACGTTACAACGCGTAACGAAAAGACTTTTTAAAATCCATCCATACTGTACTCACTTTCCAATTGTTCATCTCATTTGCATCATCATTTTGAAAAACAACAGTTGTGTCTATTGTTGAAAAGGAATAATCAAAGCCTTATTTACTCGGACGGATTGATCATGTACAATAACATTTCTGCAAAAGTAACAACGAAAAACACCGATGAAAGCACCTTTACTACCGATATGGATGATGAACATGTTCATTTAATTACTCATGATGAAAGACAATATGTATCTCCTAAACCTGCAAATTTGCAAGTACCTGCAATGCCCCACCACCTCCGACTTGTGCGAGATGCACGAATCATGAAAGACCTCAATACCACAATAAGTACAATGGAAGGAAATTCAATAGGAAGTAATATCAATTCGATTTCATATGCACATACAAATCATCCAACAAAGAGGAACCAAACGATACATGAAACAATAATACCAGGCATCATGGTGGATCGAGAACTAACTCCAACAATGAAAAACAATGTGGTTTTCCTTACTGATGATTCTCCTTCAAAACCAATGCAGATTCGTCTCAATATGAACCAGCATTATTTGTTGTACAATGATTATGTGGAAGGTGCATTGCAGAGTGGGAAGAGACGAAACTCTGACTTTGTTCCACACTTATTCCAAACACTGGGAGATTGCCATTTTGAACTGCCACCAACGCGACAAGAGACAGAACATGCATGTGCACACAGAGAAGATGAAAATTTTGCAACACCATTTTCTTCAAACAAGACATTATTCCGAAGGCGAGGAGCCACTCTCCCACCGTCATTTTCCTTAAAAACGCACCGTCGCCGTGCCCTTTTCAGCAATATTGCTCAAACCATTTTTCAAAGGATCATCATGCATGACGACCTTTTTTTTGTTGTGACAGAATTTCTTTGTTGGCGAGATTTACTGGCCCTCACTCACACCTGCAGTCAATTGTTCAATTTAGGAGCAACTCTGCCCTTCGTTTGGAAAAACTGTTTATACTCTTTCAAAGCGAACCTAGAATCGAAGGAACATCAACTTCACAAAGAGCTTAAAGAAAAGGCTGAGCTTGCAACAGTTACGTATTGTCATTTTGAAACATTTCGAGAAGTGTATGAGGCTTTGGCTGTGCCTGCAGAAAATAAGAGTGTGAAATGTTTCGAGCAAATGCACGACATTATGAATATCGAAGGGAGACTTTTTTTCAAAAAGATTTCCCTTGAATCAAAAGCGCGATGGGAAATGGCTGAACGTTTGTTGTCACAAACTTCTCCCCGTAACACAAGCGGGTGTAATTCTAACCTTTCTTCTAACTGCAAAGATGATCTAACTGAACTTTTACAACCCTGCACATCTTCCTCTGTCTATTCATTCTCTTACGACCCTGAATCATGTCTTAACGAAGAAATGAGTCCATTCCTATTCTCTCCACAGATCTCTCTTGAATGTTATGATGAGCTGTACAAAGAAAAAGTGCCACTCGATTGGAAAGGACTCATACGATATTTTTACAGTCCACAATCCTTTTACGATGCGTGCTTGGCAGATTTCTCAAAGCTCAGAAAAATTCTCGAATTTTTTCAACTTTCATTTAAGCCCTATCCAGAATTATTGGTTCTTCATACTTTTTATTTAAATTATAATGAGAATGCAAATCCAAAAGTTTTCACATCATCGACACGAGCATTTGTAGGGTGGTCTTTTTTCTTTGGGAAATTCTTGGAAAGTAATTTACATTTAATCCACGAACGAAATCAGAATTTCAAGAAACGTGACGAATTGGAGCGACAACTCCTTCCATTTATATTGAAAAAGTTTTCGAGAGACTTTGTGTAATGAAAATCTTACATGCTGAAAGATTTGAGCCTGCGTGAAAATCAATGATGAAGAACATTGACTGTACCTTATATACCATCCAAATAGAATAATATGGACATGAAATCGTTTGATCCCGAATTTTCAAATTTTTGCATGAATTGCAGGCGAAAGTATGAAAAACAATTCGAATGAACTTTGCTCATCAACAAATGTTTACCTCTCATTAAATGGCCGAATTCATGTGAACCTTTGTTTTTCAGAACAAACAACAAAAAAATGTCCCAAACTGAAGATCTCTCTGCTTACGATACGAGACAATCCGCGATCGATGAAGGTGCTCTCGTCGTGGACATGGTATTCGAAAATGTCACCGTACAAGATGTCATGAATGTTCTCAAAGATTATGAAAAGTATTCGGAATTTGTGGATGGAACCAACAAGGCAGAGATTACCAAAAAAGTGACATCTGATGGAAGAGTGGTAGATGTGTTTTGGAATGTTACGATTGCATCGATTAAAACTGTGGAGTATACTTTGAGGTTGGCTTGTTTGGATGGTAGGTGTGGTGAATTTTTTAAATATTTATTTGGATAACGAAAATATGAAAAATTCAATATTGTTGTGATGATGATGCCTCTTCTGTGATGGTGTGAACGTGATGATGATTCTGTCGTTGCCACTAGATGGAACTTCATGGTAGGTTTCTGGGAATATTTGATGGATTGCTTGTATTTTTCGAAACGATTATGGACCTCACACATTGATCATCACATACAGGTCAGAAACAGATCATGGACCATTCAAGAAGAATCGAGGTGGTTGGAAGTTGCGTCCAACAGAGGATGGAAAGGGTGTCGCATTAAGTTATATTATTTTATTGGAATTTAGTGTTTGGGTTCCTGGATTTATCAAGGTAATTAGTGAATATTGTTTGTGACGATGATTATGTTGACAAGAGAATTACTATTCATTTAAACTACTCCTATCACTCCATCTATGCATATTTCAAATATATTCAACAGGACTTCCTTGTTGGTAAAGGACTTCCAAAAACTCTGGAAGCATTCAAGAAGAGAATTAATGAAAAGAAGAGTGAACAGAAATAAGTTCAAGTGTACCGCTCCAGCCATTCATGATTCACATATATTGAGGTCAATTTGGCACCCAGAATAAATTAAGCTTGTAGATTTAATTGTGGAAATAAATATCAATTCTCACGAAAAATTAGACCTCTAATTGTTCGCAACTCCACTCAAAATAATTCTCCATTCATCTTTGCCCATTCTATCACTTCTTGATAAAACTGCCACTTATAAGTGGCAATATCTGCCTTCTTTTCAATATCAAAGTCAATCCTCTTTTCATGTCTAGTGAGGTTAATGAACCTGTTTCCTTTTAAGAATGGATGTTGTACCGCTTGTTCAAAAGAAATACGTTTTTCAGGATTCCAAGTTAAGAACTTTCTGAGTAGATCGAGCGCTTCAGGTGGAGCTGAAGTGAAAATTTGTCTCAAATCTAAACCTTCAGTAGGATAGTGTCCAAACAAACGTTCAAAATATTTCACACCATTGGCAGTTCCTTTGACATCGCTCATATCTGGTTTTCCTAACAATGATACGATCAAATTCAAATGCTCTTCAATACCTTGAATATTTGAGCCAGATTTACGAGCAACAAAGAGTGGTCTTCTTTGTGGCTTTGGTGGAAGAAGATAGAGCAATTCAGCGAATATACATCCGGCAGACCAAGCATCAATGGCTGAGCTTTGGATTTCATATTGCAAAATTACTTCGGGCTATTGTTGTGATGAGTGTATGCACATTGGAATGAATATCATAGCAGTAATACCAATATTTCGAAAAGCAGCATGCACACACGTCGCGTCACCATTGAATATTACATAAATGTGTGAATGTCATTGGAATAAATTCATATTATTATTGTAATAATGTAACATAATATTGATGAACACTTACTGGGCGATAATATCTAGTCACGACATACATGGATTCTTGATTTGTGACAGGGTCTGATTCCTCCTTAGTACTGAGACCAAAGTCACACAATCGGTACTGTGTCATGTCTGGGTCTCCAGTATAGTTCACGAGAACATTACTAGGTTTAAGACTATGATGATTGTATCAAAAATAACAATCAGAGTGCGTAGTCATGATATTTTTCGGAAGAAGAATAGTAAAAGAAAATTCCATTGTAGTGATGATGAATCATTGGTAATTGAAATGGTCATATCAACAGCAACATGCATTCAGGTGTGTGTAAAATTGTACATGTATCATCAGATGATATATAAAGATGTCGTCAGTCACACGAAAAAACTCAAAAATTCACAAACTAAAATCCAAATACATACTCACGATGCAAAATTCCTGCACTGTGCATATAGTACAAGGCGCTCAATAATTGGCACATGATATCTTTGATGGTTTGAATAGAAATTCCTCCCTGTTGCAATTTTTGAGACATGAGCTGTTTCAAGTCTCCACCATTCATCATGCCCAATACAATATACAAATCGTTCATTTCCTGTAGAGTTTGTCCAGGTACAAAAATGTCAATCAATTCCACAATATTCGGATGTCCGTGTAAATGTTTCATAATGATCACCTCTCTTAACATTCTGTACGGAGCAACATTGAAAACATCCCCAATCTTCTTAATGGCAACAAGTTCATTGTTTCTATGACGATCGCGGGCAGCAATGACAATACCATATCCACCTTGACCTAAAATACAAATCTGTCCAGTTTTCTCATCCTTCACGGGTTCATAGCGAGTGGGAAGAGTAATATTGGTTGTGCTGTCCACATTATAGGTGATAAGTTTTTTCTGATAGAGCGGAAGCTCGAGAGGAGTGGTGATTTCAGGGGTTTCATCGAGCATCATTTTCGGTGGTCTATTGTTGAATAATTTCCAGAATATATTATTATTCGTCTAAAGTGATGATGAAAAGTAGTGTATGTGTTGTATGTGTGCTTTTTGCTTTTTTACACTACACTGATGATGATAATGAAATGAAAAATCTGATCCGATGATGATGATGATAATACTCGAGTAAGCTTGTATGAAAAATCTCTCGTGTGCCTTTTAAAAAGATAATAAATGATGATGGAGCTTCACCTACAGCGCGCGGATCTAGAAATTTCTCTATATGTTGTGAATTCTCTCTCTCTCTCGTGAGAAAAGAGTCTTTGAAAGTCTGTCCGTGGTAGTGGTGGTAGTGGTGGTAGTGGTGGTGATGGTGGTGATGGTGGTGATGGCCACAACAAACACTCAATTATTGTCAATAATGAGAGAGATACTTCTTCTTCTTTTGAAGATTTTTTTTCTTTGGAAATGAACTTTTGGAGTGGAAACTCGAAAAAATGAATTCTTTGAAGAGAAACATGTTGGCACAACAGCAAGTACATGCTGTGGTGGTTCTTGAGAATGGTTTGAATGGCAGTCAAGAAGTTGGTGGTGTTGGTGATGACGCCATGAGTGGTGGTGTTGAAAATTATAGGACCCTCTTAGAACAAGAATATGAATGGCTCCGAATCAAAATGCAGTACAGTCAAAAAGTGTTTAGTTTGACCTTTCGATATATGATGAGTCTTGAGGGAGATTTTGATCCACATCGTCCTTCTCAAGATCGGCAACATTGGCAACAACAACAACAACAACCACCGAAAGGAATTGTCATGAATCGACCTTGTGATGTCAAAGTTACTTCCTCTCTCATTATTGTTTCGGATTCATTCAATCGTCGAATCTTGTGCTTTGATTTGAAAACAAAGAAATTCAAATTCACATTGAGTGACTCACATCGACCGTATTTCATGGCAGTCGATCTCTATGATCCGAATTCTCTCTATGTCACTTGTATGGAAAATTATGTAAAAAAGTTTGATTTAGAAATGAAAGCAATGGTGTGGAGTAAATTTCAAAGTGATTTGAAACGACCGTGCGGAATTGTTGTGGAAAGTCATCAAGCGGAAAATGCAAGAATTATTGTTGCAGATTGTGTGAATCAGAGTTTTAAAATCTTCTCGAAAATGAATGGAGATTTCATTGGGGAATTACAATATCGATTGGGATGTAAGAATGAGATCCCATTTGGATTGCATCTTGATGGAGATGGAGATCTTTTGTGTACCAATTTACTATCACATACAATCTCATGCATTTCAAAAAATACAAATCTTTTGAAAGTATATTGGAGTATTGGAAAGGTAGGAACATTTGAGATTGTTTTTTCACATGAAATTATTGTAACCTTTGATGTGGAAAATTTCATCGATCATTGGTGCACCAATTCTGGAATTCTCAATTCCTGAAACAAACCCAATTATTAATTATTATTTGACCAATTATTAATTACCAATTATTAATTATTATTATTATTATTGACCAATTTAAAATTACGGATGAATATCATCTCTGTAATTGATCTGATATACTTGCATACCTTTCGAACCACACCACTCAAACAGAAAGGAATTCATCAAGGTGAATTTCAATATCCTCGTGGTGTGTTTTTTGAGAGATCTACTTGTCTCATTTATGTGTGTGATCAATCCAATAATCGAATTAATGTCTTTTCAAATCGTGGAGAATTTATTCAATGCTTTGGTAGTCCCAACAATGAACAAGGTTCTGGAATTTATGAACTCAATTCTCCATTGGGATTGTGTATTTCTGAACATACTGGAGAATTGTTTGTCGTTGACATGGGCAATAATCGAGTTCAAATTTTCAAGTGAGGAATGGAGTACCATCTATTGGATAACGTTGTTGCTCGTTCTGTAAGGTGAAAGATATTGTAAAATTACTAACTATTATGTACTTTTAAGAACGGTTCATTGGCTTTATGGACATATTGACCTGATTGCGTGTTGCATCCAGTGGCAAACAGTTTCCAGCATTTCGAAGATTCAGGACTGTCTGATCTCAATTTTTCACAATTTCAATAACCCCTGACATGCCATTACCAAATTAGTCGCGCGACAAGTGTCATGACCGTAAAAAAATGCGCAATCACTCATTCACGCGAACCTTTGAAACTCTTTCACCCTTCGATGCACTCTCGAGTATTGTCATGTCTTCGGATTTTCACTTTAATTTTTTAAAATCATTCAGTAAAGTGAATGGTGTTGAAATTGTGTGTGATTGGTTTTTGGATGACACTCAAACACGACTTGTTCGGAAAACAAAAGTACATGTATTCAATAATCAATATTGTGCTCTCTTGGAAGAACAGTTGATTTTCAATGATGAATTTGAATTTGAAAAGGAAAATTCATGTCACAACACCGAGATTGAAATGATGCGAATTGTTTTTACAATTAGTATTCTTGAGAAGGAATCAAAACCATTTCCTGGAACTTTAAGTATTTCCGGAATGTTTTTGTTTAATCAGGAAAAGAATTTCAAATGGATTCAAAATAATAATAATTTTGATTTGAATGACATGAACAAGATTGAAGAGAATTATTTTGTGAATGAGAATCCTCTCACTCAAGTGTCAAGCCAAAAAGCAACGACGATTACTTCTTCTTCAACATCTACTGCTTCATCTGATACACGGATTCATACAACACCATCCGAGTCGACTGCATCCAATAGAGCTAGCTCTCATTCTTCTTCTTCCAATGAGAATGTCACGACACGAGTGATGACAAGTCGTGTAGACACTGACAGCAGCACTTCACAAAATCATCATGACCATTCAACCGTAAGATTTGGAACCAATGAAATTATTACAATCATTGAGAATGATCCAGTCACATCCTCCTCCTCACAACCCCTTCCACCACTCAGCTCTCATCATGATTCACTTTGTGTGAACACTGTCACCACCACGAATGCTTTGAATTCACAACATCTACCCATTCAAACCAATGTCTCTGTAACCATCTCCATTCAACTCGATTACAAAGTCATGATCATTGGAAATGTCAACTCGGTCGAAGAAAAGCTCTGTAAACAATGTGCCAAACTTTTTGATTTGTGGTTCACCCAAGTGCTCCAAGTTGAAAATTCCTTAAAATCATCGCCGTCGTCGTCGTCACCTCACTCTCGAAAATCTCAACCAAACTCCTCCAACTCCTCTCATACCATTTCCACTTCAAAACCAAGTCGATCACTTCACAAAACCATGATGACCTCTTCCTTCTTTACCTTACGATCGAGAAGTGTCTTTCGAGAGCACAATAAGAGACGTTCCTTACCCATGCGACCACCTCCCATGCTTGTGAATCAACAAATGTTACAGGAATGGATCAATGATCCGAATAATAATGTGTGGGAAAATCCACTCGATCCAAACACGGATTATTTAGAGACCATTCCTCACAAGTATCTCCAGAAACATGATTTGTGGGAATTGAATCAAGAGGTGGAGTTGCATGACATGATTTTTGACTTTTTACATGTTTCCAAAGTTTCAAAGACTCATGGCAATGAAGAGAAAGACAACAAGAATATTGAACCTCATCAAGATGTTGTTGATCCAGCACGACAACAGCACGACTACTCAAAGAAGGGAGAAAAGGAGGCTCAAAGTTGTACATGTTGTTGTTGTTTGTGTTGAATATATATATTCGTTGAGATGATAGATGGCACAATATTCTTTTTGACATCGATTAATATGGAATCAGTTCCATATTGTGCTCGTTAAGGATTGCGTCAAACAGTGCTTGATAAGGAAACCCAGCGCAGGAAGAGACCAAGGCAGCAAGTGAAAAACGAATATTCAAAAAACTCGCTTGGTGGCAAGCCAAAAAGCAAAACAAGAAATGCAAAGTCCGTGCACCGTATATTATATATATTATATATTGTGCCTCGTTAAGGACGCAAGGGTAAGCACGTGCTTAATTCGACTTTGTGTTTCGACAAAAGAGGTTCTCCTAAGGCTTGCTTTATTCAGTATCGACCCAATTTTTGTTGAATTTTCCGTTATTATATAATAGCGCCAACACACAAACTGAACTTTTTGCCTCTTTGGGGAACAGAATCGGCGCTCTTATGGTGGTTTTTTGTTGGTGAAATTGAAAAAAAGAAACTTTTTGAGCGAAAAGATTTCAGAGATCTTCACCACGCGAGTCTTTGTCCTTCATCACCATTAATTCCACGAAAGCCAAGTCTTCTTTCTGGATTCGTTGTGGATTCATTGTGGATTCATTCAAATTATTATTTGAAACAGTAAGAAGCTCCAAATCTCTTCATCATTCGACACAACAAGTTTCTACTTGTCCTTCACCTTCATTGGCACTCGAGTTGGTGTACTACAACAACTCACGAGAGATGAATCACAAGAGTGGAAAGGACTCTCACAGTGGTAGTACGAGTCGCTTTGGGATTTCTTCTTCTTCCAACAACAACAACAACAATTCTTCTCCAATGACCAAGAGTTCCAGCCGATCCAAAATTTATCCCTTCCATCTTCCTTCTCTTCATCATCATCATCCTTATCAAATACAACAACAACAAGCAGAAGGTCATCCTCATGAATCCTCTCTCATTTCCCTCAGTGATATTGTTGAACGAAGTAGCAATCCCTCCTTAGGGACTCACAATTCAGAATCAAACCTTCGTTACACGAGAGAAGTCAATAATAATCATAGTTTTAGTAATAATAGTAATAATAATAATAGTATGAACTTGACCTCCAGCACCAGCACCACTCTGACCACCACTCAAACACCTCCTCCCTTAGGAAACCCAACCTCTACGACCACTCCTGCACACGCTTCTCTCGGAAAGAGCTCTCAATCGTACCATATTCTGCAACAACAACAACAACATCATCATTCAGACACTGCCAGTGGAGGCACTCCTTCCTCGTCGAATACAACAGACAACATGTCCATCACTTCCTCTCTGGATGATTTACTTGCCTCTTCCACTCAACGCCTCTCAAAACCTCAGAAAGTGCTGCGTGCCTTTCGAGAGTGTTGTCCTGCTCTGAATTCATTGCAGAATGTCCTATTGGCTCTCTTTCTCATGCAAACCTTGATTTGTATTGGATCCATGATTGTGCTCATCTATGCGAGTGGAGAATCCTCGTTGGATGAAATTTCAGCCATTCGTGAGAAGAATATTAAGAAGAGTGTCGAGTCGTATATGGGTGTGGCTTTTGAGGCACTCTCCACATTAAGGTATGGATTCATGATCCAGGAACGTGACTATAACTTTACTTTTCCTTCCAATGCTTCTCAAATTTGTCGTCGAGTGAGAAGTGTCTTTGCTCCCTCGAAGAACGCCTTTCTGGCCACCACCATCTTTTACTATGGCAATAATCGAAAGAATTATTGTGCTGTGGAGAAGAGTGTCTCGAGAGATTATGTTCAAGTGAGATATGACAATGCAGAAGTATGGATTTATAGTCACAACGAGTTTTATGATCCTGTGAATGTTTCGTTAGTGTCACCAAATTACAATCCAACCATAAGGTACGTAGTAGTGAGAAGCCAAGGCCGGTGAGGTCAATCTTGTTCAATTTCAATCTTTTATGAACTAAAATCCAATCACATCATTGAAATATTCACAACAACACACGCACCCTATTTATTTAGACCATGGTGAGTTTTGATCATTTCATCATTATGGCAGCAGCAATCTTACATTTTCAATTGACTTTGTTTTGCTATATATTTGTATAACTAACTTTTTATGGAAATGTACGAACCATTCATCAAACTTGTCTTGAAACAACTCACCCAAATTTCAGGTACAAAACTGGGCAAAAAAACATCTTTCCAAAGTTTGCATGGTCCCCTGTTTTTAATAATGCGTTTTTAGGATGCATTTCAGTTGCAAGTGCAAGCCAATTGGATTTTACTAGCTATGAAACCATTCAGTATTCAAATGGAACCACTGAACTCTTTCCTGTGCATCACATTTTGGGCATTCACTTTGACTTGTATAATTTGGACTCTATTATGGCCTCCATTATTGAAGATAATATGGATATACAGACTAAATCTATTGAAATTGTCATTGTAGAACGAACAGGATTACTCATTTCTACATCGTTTGGAGCCCTAACACAGAATGCCGCAAAGCAACGCATCCACATTTCAAACACGACCAGCGTTTTTGCTTCTGCTGCCAAAGAATTGGAGAATCGACAAATTTTGATTCCACCAAGTGTCAGTAGTGTCAACGATTTTTCATCACTCATTGACGTGAATGCATCGACTACGAAATTCATGATCGGAGAGAACAAAATTACAATCCATTACATTAAAGAAGATGGTTTGGATTGGATCATGATTGTCTCCACACAGGAATATGGTTTCATTAAGACTGTGTTCACAAGTTCACCAGTCTTACTTTCCATCTCGATTATTCTCATTGTTTTTGGAACGGTGATCATGATAGTTGTGACTCAAGTGATTACACGATCCATATGGAACATTTCAAGAGGTGAGTTTTCATGATGATTGAGATGTATTCCTCATTTTGATTCATGTGTGTTGGCTTTCAAATTTATTCCATCTGGTTTTCCAGAAATGTATAAATTATCCAAGCTTGAAATTGAGGACATTAGAAAAAGGAAAATGTTAAAAACTGTCTATGAATTGAAAATTTTGCAAACATCAATGTACACTGTTAAAAACGGATTACACTCATTTATGAAGTATATTCCAAGAGATATCGTTAAAGACGTTGTCAGAACAGGAGGCAATGCTCGATTAGGAATGCAGCATGCACACACAACCATCATGTTCACAGACGTGGTCGATTTTACAAACTTTAGTGAAAATACAAATTCGTCCATTCTTGTCAAGGTGATGAGCGAATATTTCAATATTATTACAGAGAGTGTTGAATTGAATGGTGGAATTATTGATAAATTTATTGGTGATGGTACGATGAGCTTGTTCTCAAATCCATTAAGAATATTATCTGACCATGCATTTAGGGTATGTTTTTAACAATAAGGATGACATCTTTTAATTATGTTGTACCATCATCATCATAATAACCATGTTATGGTTGTGAAATCGACAAACTGATGCCTCTAGGCATGCCAAGCTACTCTGACCTGTCTCATTAAAATTGAGCAAATGAAGAGCAAATGTCAAAGAGAAGGGTGGCCCATCATCAAGATACGTTGTGGAATTAACACTGGAATGGCTTTAATGGGGTAAGTGTTGAGTGTCAATCAACAATGATGAAAAATCAAGTACCGAATTCAATGTTCATTCATCGACAAATTTCAACAAATTTCAGAAATGTTGGAAGTCACAATCGATTCAATTATACAGGTAAGCAAATTGAGAGAATTGATGAATTTGAAAGTAATGCAATCTTTGTGACATTGTTTTCGTATCATATGTATTTAGCTCTAGGAGACAGTGTCAACACCGCAGGAAGGTTAGAGCCTTTAAACAAACGCTATGAAACGGTCATTTTGATTGGACAAAACACCTATGAACAGGTGAAAGATCGTTTCGTTTGTTATTTTGTTGATTCTGTACGTTTGAAAGGAAAATCTGAAGCTATTGAAGTTTACACGATCGAATGTGAATGGAGTGAAGCAAATCATCAACAGAAACTTATTCATGATATGCTTGTTCAAGTGAAGGAAAGTTTTTACAAGAAAGATTTCAAGTCCATGTTGGAACATGTGGAAAGTGCCCTAAGAATTGCCAATCAAAACATGTCAAATCCATCCATGCAGCTTGCTGAGGATTTGAATAATGGCACGTTATTTTCTTCGAATGGTGGTGGTGGCGTGAACAATCAAAGCCCTTCTGCAGAAAGTGCTGGTTTTTTAACATCCACAAAATTCATTTATGATTTGAAACGAAGAGCAGAATATTTGAAATCTCTTACTGACAAACAAAACTCAACAACTGTGACGCAAGATGTGACTCTTCCTCACCAAGCATCTTTCAGAGATGCATCAGAGACAGATTATGCGTTGACCTTAACAGAAAAATAAGGGAGTTTGTAACATTGGACATACTAAAAAAGCTGTACATTTTATTAAAAAGATTGAATGATTCAAAATTGTTGTTGTAGTTGTTGTAGTTGGTGGTGTCACTGGTGTGGGGTTATTGGTCATATGAATATGTACACAATAAGAATGGAAAGTAAAAGTTGGGTATTAGAATGACTCGCGAGTCGGTGTTCGGACTTTGAGTTGAATTTTGGAAAAATGAAGAGTTGACAACAAGATCAAGTACTCCAAAAAAATCTCATCATGCACGAGATGGGAATGTGTGTGTGATTCAATCAACAATTAACAACAGTCACAACATTCCTACTCGTAGTATTCACAGTTGTACAAACACTTTAGAAATCCGCATGCTTCTTCTTCTTCAATTTTTCAACCTTAATCTTGTCAATCTTCATTTCTTTTTGGAATGCCAAACTTTGTTTGAATCGGTGATGAGTGTCCAACATGACCACACAAGTCTCCTTCTCCAACATGTTGAACATATCTTCTGGAAGAGTATCAATTTGTTTGTCATTGTATCGATCGAGAGTATTCTTGACAGATTCTGTGAGTGATTGTGAAATATTGACAGCCATATCACCTCCCACTTCCATAAAATCAGTGAAAATCTCAAAAGCGACTTCATACTTTTTCGATTCTACATCTGAATATTCACGTTCGAGTGGAGATTCCTTCTTTTTCTTTGATTGTCCAGATTGACCAGAGTGTCCTGCAGTGGCTGATGTGATTGATGCTCCTCCCATTGTTGTTGCTGTTGTTTGTGGTTGTGAATCTCCAGAAATATCACTCGAGACATCACTCACTACATTCGACTCACCAAATAATTTCATTTGCAATTCTATCGAACGATCACACAAACTTCGATAGTATTGAATCTTTTCGAGTAATAAAAAGTTTTCAATACTCTTCTCCTTTTCACAATGTAACTTGAAGAGAGCTCTCAAATTATCATCTTCCATGGTATCCATGAGCATAATGGCATTGGCACGTCGAATCTTTTCCATATACAAAGAATCTCTATTAATGGCATAGGAAAAGACAAAGATAATAATTGGCAACACAATGACAAGTGACACCACAATGACAATTAATTGAACCAAAGTAATACCCAACACATTGCCATCCTTTTGTTTCTCCTTATTTTGAATAAAAGTCAATAATTGATCCAAACCACTCTTAAAAGTATTCAAAGCATTGGTATAGGAATCTGCACTAATGTATCGCATGGCATTGTCACTCTGATTAAACGTAAGAAAGAGAAGAATTTGAGAGTTGGCTGAATCGAGAGCATTACTCGCCTCAATCGATGTCGTATTGAACATGGAATAGACTGTCTGATCATCCAAAGACTTTAAAATAAAATTCAAATTATCCTTCATGGTTTGAGTCAAATTCTTGTATTGAGCGGTCACAATGGAATAGGGAACTTCTGGCTCCACCAAAATGTGACCATTCTTATCGGAACGCATGGCAGCAAGATAGGTATTCTTCGAAACGAGAGCATTGGCAGTTTCGAAAGTGGAACTCACTTTATCAACTGCAATCAAAATATCTGTCGATTTGGTTTGAACAATAATGAACGACGCAACTGCGACACCTGCCAATACCAATAAACCCAACACTGTGACTAACATTCCAATTAAACTCAATAATTTCATACTTGTGAATTCAACGACACCACAACAGGTGTGAATGGTAATTTTTGTGGTGTGACTGAAGGATCCAGATTTACCAGATTCACTGGCCATGTGAGCACCACCGACATTGGAAAGAGTGGAAGACTGTTGTGCTTGTGGTGGTTGTCGAGTGATCGGAGAGGAAATGGTGACACGCTTATTGTTGTTCATGTTGTTATTGTTGTTATTGTTATAAGAGTTCATTGTGATCATCATGTGTTGTTGTTGTTGTTGATGAGAACTTGGAATCGTCGATGTACTACTGTTCGAAATGATGATGGCATTGGTTTGAGCATAGGATGGAATGGTGATGGACAATGGAGGATGATGATGACCATTCGACGTCGAATTGTTGACAACGAGACTACTTGTTGTTGGAGGTGGTGAATTTGGAACCATTTGGTTGTTGTGGTTGTCCAACATGTGGTTGTCCGTGTGGTTGTCCGTGTGGTTGTCCATGTTGTTGTTGGTAGGAAGTAATTCCATCTCAGAATTCGATGCCATGGCTATCTCACTATTGGAGTTTTTTCTTGTTCGATTCGATGATGGTTATTATTATGATTGTGGTTGTGGAGTTCTTTTTCGTGTGTCAAACAAGTGTGTGAGAACGAGACACGACCCAATGAGAGAGCACTTTGTGAGAGCGAGACAATGATGAGCTGTTGCTGCTTCTAATACTGGAACGAGTCGAAAGAGTCAACCAAATGGCGTGAACAACACGTGAGAGGGAGAATAGTCGCGCGTTGTTATTCAACTTGAACTTTTTGTGGAGCAAGACTCTCTCTTCGGTGGTTGGTTGGTTGGTTGTTGTGTTGGGTGTGTGAATGATGACGAGGAGGAAGAGAGAGATGAAGTCTCAGGATGGTCGTGGTCGACAGTTGAAAGTTGTTTTTTTTGAAGGATGTTTTCTTCAATTGTCGACCGCATGTTGTGTTGTTGTTGATTCATAGCGAGTCGGTGCCCAACATGTCACAGTCGAGGGACAACAATCCCTCCTTTGCATCTACCCAATTGACAAAAAGTGTTCGAAAATGGCAGGCGACCTTTCAAATTGTCAAGTCGCTCGATTAGTGGCGAATAAATTCATATTCGAGTAAGAGTCTCAGTTAGTGGGTGAATCGCTCGATGATGCCCACAATTAGGCAATTTGTTCAATGAATCGCAAACCATGCATGTTGTTTTGAATTGTTCTATCTCTACTGAATAATGTCACCTCTGGACATAATTTTGAAATGATTGACTTGACATTATCTAAAAATGGCAAGTGATTGGCATCTTGAACCAAAGATCATTTGCACGTCCACGCGAGAATTGCAACAAGTTCCTCTCTCTTTAAAGGAGAATTGGATTCTTATTGGGATGGTTTTGGGTTTAACGATGATGCAAAGATTCTCAAGTTTCAACTAATCAAAGGCGTGAGTGAATCTTAGAGTGGAAAGGACGAATTGCAAAGTTTGTCCATATCATTTATTGTTTAAATTGTCTATTCATTTTCCATGAACATGATTCAACAGTGAACATGATTCTAGAGATGAGATGGAGGAGTAATTCCAATGATTCTCGTCTATATGGAAACCCAAACTCAAACTTTTACAATTTCAAATCAACCTAAATACGATTCAAACAAGAATTCGAGCTTTCGGAGGCAATTTCTCTCAATTCTCGCGTGGCTTAATCTAAACCCATTAAGGAATGTAGATTGTTATTACTTTTTTAATGATGACAATGATGACATGATGATGTCATATATTTTGACAATACTTGTAAACCCTCTGCAAAATTTTTTCGTCCCAAACCAATACGAACATGAGCATCGTCCAATCGATTGTAAACCGTCGAAGGAAGTAGCATGACACCACAGTCCTTCACCACTCTCTCACAAAATCTAAAGGCACCCTCTCTACCATCCTTAAAACCAATAAAACAAATAGGGCCTGCTTTTGGTGGTATCCATTCAAATAATTTGGAGTTTTCTTCTGATTTGAAAAATTCCTCTGCAATCTTCAAATTATTTGTGACTATTTGTCTATTGTTGTGTAAGATTTGTTCTGATTGCTTGAGTGCAATTTTTGCCAAATATTCGGATGGAGCTGGATTGCAAATAGTCGTAAAGTCTTTTCCCTTTACAATGTTTTCTAAAATTTGTTGATTCTGAGAGACAACCCATCCCAGTCGAAGTCCTGCAAGGCCATACGATTTAGACATGACATTCATGGAGATGGCGTTGTGATACAGTGCTGATAGTGAGGGTATGGATGCATCTTGCTCTGTATATTCCAATCCTCGATAAACTTCATCAGAAAATATGAGAATATTTTGGCTCTTGGCAATTTCAATAATCTTTAAATATTCCTCTAGTGTGTGCATATGTCCAGTTGGATTATGAATGGGATTGAGAATGATGGCCGTTGTTTTGGGTTGAATTAATTTTTCTAAATCTTGCACATCAAATGTCCACTTTTGATTCACTAATTTCGCATGCCAAAAAGAGTGTTTTGTTTTTGCAATATTTGTAATTTCAGAGAGAGCCTGATATCTGGGAGATTGAATAATAATGTGGCTATCTTTGGTTAGACAAGTCATTGCAAACACGAGTATGGGTTCTACGCCTCCTGTTGTTATAACAACATTGGATGCAGCGAGACGATTAGAGGGAGGCTTTCCAGCCACATCACCATACCAATTTGGATGTTTGTTAATAATTAATTCTCTTAACTCCAAATCTCCTTTCGTGTCTGTATATCCCAAATGACAATTTAATAGTCCCTCTCGAAATTCATTATTCTCTCCGATTAATTCTCGAATACTCATGGATTCACAGTCTGATGAACTCAACAAATATTTGGTGTGAAATTCATATCTAGCAAAGTATCTCTCTAAAAAGAAAGGCTGATTTATCACTGTAGTACCATAATTCCGATGGATAAATTGCTGTGTATGATGAATCAGTCCATGATGATTCGTTTTGATACAAGAAACATTCAAAATACGATTTGTACTTTTCCTAGAATGATGATGGTGAGTATAGTTGTTGCTGTGGTTGTTGATGTTGTTGTAACTGGTACTATTAGTATTATTCATGTCATAATAATGGACCTGATAGAATTCTTGTCTTGATGAAATATTTCTCTCCAGCACTACTTGGTTATTTCCGACAGCATTACGACTGTTTAATGATGAATGATGTTGATGATCATCTGTATCCACTACTACTTCACAACTAGATTCCCACCAGGTGTTATTTCTCCTCTCACTTTCCGTTGCAACACGTTGATGATGATTCATAGTGGCACAAGCTTGAAAAGAATTTCCCCTCCGACTCGTCGCAGGTTCTTGCTCCAACTGGCCATTATTGAAGCAACTCGAGGAGAGCCCAACATCTCCACTACTGGATGAGGAGGGTGTTGAGATGAATCCTTGTATTGCCAATGATGATGATGATGATCGTTGCAGCCGACCCATAATCGGAGTTTGATGAAGGCTTCCCAACACAAGCTTTCGAATCATTTTTTCAAACTTTTTCAACTGCTCCCAGAAAAGGAATTTTAGCTTGTCTTCTTCTTCCTCTCCATCCACCAACCTCACCACCACGACGACGACAAATCCATCACAAGCCGAAGATTGGAAAAACAAGGGAAATTCCCATTTTAAATTAAAACAATACAATCAAGCTTCGGAATGTTATATGAAGGCGATCGAGTTGGAGCCTCATCATGCCATCTATCATTGCAATTTATCGGCTGCTTTATTAGGGTTGCGTAATTATGTTGGAGCAGCAGAAGCAGCAGAAAAAGCAGTGGAATTAGATCCACTCTATGATAAAGCATATGTGAGATGGATACAATCGTTAGTTGAATTAGTGCAGGGAAAAGAGGCTCTTGATGTATTGATTCGATTTTATGAAATTTTCAAATCAAAGGGAAAGTTGACAAGTGATTTGGAGAAAATTATGGAACAAAAAGCATTCGAAGTTAAAAAAGCACTCATCAAGTCACACAATATGATCAAGAAATATTCAGTATTGCTTGATGGTGGAAAACCAGTAGAATACGTTGCAGGAAAACATTTATCGGAATATCTATCAAATGGAGCTCTCTTTCGAAAATTATATCCACATGCAATCAGTCGCTCAAGCATTCCAGATCCAAAACGAATTCTCACTCCAGAACATATTATTCAATTGACGCAAGCATTTGAAACGGAAAAACCAAAAATTAAGCACTTTTCAAAAGCTAAGAAAATTCTCAATAATCTAATGAATGAAAGAAAGGGTGGAGATTTTAGAAAGATTGTAGGATGTGTCGATGAAAAGTACATCAAACAAAACCATACGTGGTTTCTTTTCGCATTTCCAGTTCCTAACTTTGTAGATGCGACGGATTTCGCAAAGTACAAGTCTTTTCGTTCAGCTGCCATTCGACCCTACACAATCCAAATCTATGAAGAGACTGCAGGTAAGATATCATGAATTAGTATCATCATCAAGGATCTATCACGATCAACATGTGTATTCATATGACCTCTATTCATTACTAATTATTCGAACCAATTGTCGATTAATTCCAAAAAAAATATTTAACCAACTATAGATTGTGGAACTTTACCACTGCTCACAAATACTGTTAGCCAATGGTCTAATTTTAAGGGTTTACCTGCGAAACATCCAAAATTTGGCTATGCTCTTGATATTGTTAGCAGTCTTTGTGAAATCATTGTTACCAAGTTTGACGAGTCAAATGGTCAACCATTCCTTCCTGATCAACTTGTAATTAATTGTACAGATTATATGAAAAGTGTCACTGAAGCTATGGTCAACTATATCATTCTACAATATTTACCAGGATTTAAATGTGTGGTGCAAGTGTCTCGCCACGAACTTCCATTCTCATCCATTCAACAAGCTATTCAAATGTTTAGAACTGAAATGTCTATTACCGATCTTCATCCATTTGTTGCTCAGAAATGTAAGTTGGTATGCATGATCATTACCGTGAAAAGTACGAGTTAGATGCATGATCCATATGGAATGATTATTTTTTTTGTCTCTTGTATTACAAATTCAATTCATCCAATGTCCGCACATCTATTAAGGCATGCGAGAAGCATGTGAGGAAAGAGGTGAAATTTTTACACACGAGTTTGGACATAGTTTATTTGAGGCTTTGTCAGATTTAGGAGAATTAAGACCTTGGAAAATCTTCTCCACCGATTTTGCCATTTATGTGACCATTCGACACTCGAAATACTTTGAGAATACGCCTTTCAATGCACCAAATTTGACAAATTTAATTAATAAGAGAGGAGTTGGTATTGAAGGTCTTGATTTTATGGATGGAAGGAAGGAACGTATTATTTGTGTGATGGGACATACAGATCCCAACTCGTCAGGATTTTCCGTACTGAATGATTTGGATGCCTTTTTGACATTTATTCCAAAGCCTTATGTGATTGAACAAGTTCCAAGTGGTAGGTTGTTGCTTTTGTTTTCAAGGTTTTTCTCTTTTGACATTTTCAAAATCTTCACACAATTTTCAACGTTCCGACATTCTAAATCATTCCACATATGTCCTATGTGAAAATTTTCACACAATGACCATCATCATATGACACCACGTCATTGCCATGTTGTCTTGTGTTATTATTCAACTCCAATCAAACACTTTAAATTCTTCTCAACTCTATATCCAGTACAATACACTGGCAAGGATCTAATATCCCATGACGACTTGGATGATATCAAAGCCTACGATTGGCCAATTTATAAGGGTGACACTCGCGAATTTTATCCCATGGTTGAAAGTGTTTTAAAGAACTTCTTTCTAACACCAAAAGATGCAAGCAAAATCAAGAGATGTGAACTTCGAGAATTAAAATGGATCGAAGCAGCTGCGAGAGGATTAAGTGCTTTCATTCGAAAGAGATGTGCACACGGATATCCTGTGGTAAATTCACCATTCGAAATATCGGTCAATGCTCACGATGGAGAAGCCACTGTTAAAATATTAGTGAAAAGAGAGTACTACCCAAATCGAACAGCAGAAAAAACGCAGAAAAAGTATCAGAGTGCTTTGGATCATATTGGTCGAATGTTCGATACCATGGTCCTAGCAAGGGAACAACAAATGAATGAGGAGGCAAAGAAATTTGAGGAAAAACTCACTGCATCATCTACGGGTGACTTATCATCATCAACTACTTCTGCAAATATTTCACCCAAATTGAATTCTTCTTCATCTTTGACAACTCAAACGGAGATCAAACCATCAGAAAAGAAGTGCTGTACTTGTTGTGGGGCAGAGAAAAATGCAACCACAAAACTTTTCCTTTGTGGAGCCTGTAAATCAGTTCTGTATTGTTCAAGAGAATGTCAACAAAAGGATTGGCCCCACCACAAACAATATTGCAAGAAGAAGTGAGTTTTCAACAAGATTAGCATGTGTGACGCATGCACTAGATTATAATGGTCTCGAGGTTATTTGACTCATATTCCAAGACATGTTTGAATTTTTCAACTAGGACATGTTGATTTCTTATGATAGCAATTACCACAATCCTACAGGCAATGATGATGACTACTTTTGAAGATGCTGTGTTATATTCAAAATGTCTCTTCGATTTCTTTCATTCCCAAAGATTGACCAAAGATTTCATGGTATCAAACAAACGATCCTGACCATCATCAGACTTAACGCAAACCTTGAGAGATGTTTTTTTATCAAAAAGAGCATGCAATAGAATGGCCATTTGTGTGCATTCACATGATAATTCCAACTCGGGGAAGCACAAATTTCTTCTATATCTTCTCAATAAATTCATTTGTACTTTTGATTTCTCGGGAAGGTGATGCCAATCGTTTCATTTTTCTTTTCAAATATCCTTATGATATCATTGTAGAACAGAATCCTTTGAGGGAGAAGTGATGCTTGTTGTTGTTATCAAGTCGTAATGATCTCGTAATAGCACTCAAAAACAACAAATCCCTTCAAAAGGGAAAGAAATATGAAAGCCTTTAAGAGTGTCAGTCTTTCTTCCTGGTGTGTTAATGATCTGTCTGTCACATGTACACACATAATGATCATGATTCAATCTCACTCGTCGTCATGCTCTTCTGAACTCTTAGAATCACAACGATTGTCATTCTCTTCTGAAATGTCATAATCGCTGTGATAGGATATTAGAGCTTTATACTTGTCATAGCCTTGCTCTGTTAATTTCAAAATTTCATTTCGGCATTGCTTGTCAGCAAAAATGTTCCATATCAAATCTTTCATTGTTGAAAAGGAGGATCCACAATGGGCTGAAATAACATGAACCTGAATACATTCAACTTTTTGTCCAAAAAGAGCTTGTAATAGAATTGCCATGTGAGTAAATTCGCATGTAAGTTCCAACTTGGGAAGACTCTTCATTTCGTAAAACTTCCTCCATGCTTTTGCGTTAATTGGGTCATTGTCATCACCATCGAAAACTGTAACATGAATTTTAAGTTTCTTCAAAGAGCAGAAAACCGGCTTTGTTAATAGCCAAAAAAGTTGAGTAATGTCCACATGATACACGGCTGGTTGAAATTCAATGTACTGCAAGTTGGGAAGAGAGTGCATCAGCTGATCTTTCAACAAATTAAATACATTACTTGGCTCACTATATCCATATGTCGCATAACCATCTACTTCATTCAATTTGAAGGTTGTTACGGAATCACTGGATGAAGAAATTTTCTCCGAATCCGAATAATCAGCCACCTCTAATGTTTTGAGATTTGGAAATTCCTCCACAAACACTTTCAACAATTCTTTACAAAGATAATTGTTGTAACAAATGTGCTCAATTTCAGCCTTATTCAGTTTCTTGGTTAGTACGGGCAAGATTGAGCAATCATCCAATTCATCGAATTGAACTTTTGGAAAGGAAATAAAGTTTTAGTGTTAAGTGTTGTTGGGTTGGTTGTTTGGTTGGTGGAAACAGCAATGATGTCTGTATTATTGACCTCATCATCAATGTTATTATCATCATTATCATCCGCTTCATCGTCCACCTCATCAAACGCATTAATAATGCAGCTCCTTACAAGGTCAAAATTTGGCATTTTCAGGGCATCTGTAAACTCAAAATCAATATATTCAAAACAATTCATCTCCACAGAGAACAGCACTCGATGGAAACGCTTATTCACATACATTAGATTTGAAAAACTCGAAACATCGGAAATGTATTTAAAAATCAAGGCCAACACTTCGTCTGGAATCATTTCATGAAACGAAAGCCAAAACAGGGTTGGCATTGGGTTCACCTCTTTGCTGATCAGGTCGTCATGTTTCTTGGTTTTCTTTGTTGGAAAGTCTTGCGGGGTGGTGATGTCATCTTGTGTGGCTCTTTTCATTTTTAATTTGGTGAATGAGAGCCATCAAGCGGTCTATTGATTTGGAAGGTAATTATCAGTTTTTGTTGAGTCTAACCTCGAACAATGACGTTTTCTATATTCCTTCTAAAGTGAGAAGTGTAAAAAGTTTCTTGCAAAGAATAGAGTTGAGTGGGCACTCCACCAACACAGCAGGCTATTTTCGAAAATAGCCTCCTCCTCATGATGATGCCGATCATCATCAACGGTAGGGTACACCTCGGTTTTTGCAACAACAAGAAATCAATGCCGAATTCTTTTGTGATGGATTTACTCACTACTACCTAAGGTGGTTGAATCAAATCCAATCATCATCAGATCTTTCGAAAGTAAATTAAATCCATCGTCATTGAAGAGAGCAAGGCTTCAAGATGATGATGAGAGCCCTCCAACCAATCAAAAATTGCGCCAACCCAATAAAAATATTTTATTTCATCAACAAAAAAAAACCAAAAAACTGCCGTTTGTTGAACATTGAGCCCGTCTAACACCAACGGCCACAAGCGAGCGCACTGAGAACTTTACAACGGTTTTTTCTTTTGCCCACGTGTTCTCTCCACACAACTTTGAAAAGCCTCATTCTCAAACCTCAAAGCGGCGAACGTATAAGGAAATATCCGTTACACAAATTACTACACAACCAAAACATCAAGAACAACAACAACAACATCATCATCATCCAACTACTACTACAACTACTACTGCCGTCATAGCACAACATCAATATGACTACCATGCCAGCCTCTACTGGTGCGACAGAGGAAACCCCTCATACATCCACAACAACAACCACTCCTGCCGCCGACCCCCCATCAACCAACAACAATGCTGTGCAACAAATCAGCCCACCACCCCCAACCAAAAAGAAGGCCTTGCTGGAGAGGCTCAAACAACAAGTTGGCGATATAGACACCAAGCTAGAGGCAATCAACACACAACAAGGATCATCATCGTCATCTTTAACTCACACTCCACTGAGTGCCAATGCTTCATTACAATATCCATCTTCCCAACAAACATCGACAAATATCAATGTTGCAACAAGTACTCCATCAAGCAAGGCTTCATCTTCGAATGGAAAGAGGTTTGTCAACACCACCTCTGGAGCTGCTTTGCCATCAACACCCGAACCCAATACACCCACTAGATCAAAACGAACACGAAGACCAAACAAATTCAATCAACTCATCAATGGTGAAGAGCTACCAACACTTCCCGAACACATTCAAAGGAAGCTAGCCAAGCTCATAGTCATGGTACGAAGGGTCAAATGGGCCTGGCCATTCAATCAACCTGTTGATCCCGTTCAACTCAACATTCCAGACTACTTTAACATTATAAAGAATCCAATGGATCTAGGAACAGTCGAAAGGAAAGTACTCAACAATGAATATATGGATGTTTATCAGTTTTTGGATGATGTCCGACTCATTTGGTCAAATTGTTACACTTATAATCCTCTCGACAGCGATGTTTGTAGAATGGCCAAAGATGTTGAAAAATTCTTTAATGAAAAGTATGAAAAGTTAATTGGACAAGTTGGAGTGGATACACCTCTCGAAATTCCAACACAATCGATTGGATTGGAAGAGACAACCCCATCCTCCACAGTCAAGAAGGGAAGAGGAAGAAAGAAAAAGTCTCTCACCACTACCAGTGCAACAGCGACAACATCAACTCCTTCTGCAGTCCCCTCTTCAACAGCGGCTACCACTACCATGACAACAACCTCGGAACAAGTCTCAACAGCAACAACTCGTGAAACCACTCCATCCAAATCCAAAACTTCCTCTAAATCTTCATCCAAATCCAAAACCAAGTCGTCAAGCAAACCCAAATCCAAATCTAAGAAATCATCGGAACCGGAAATGACCTATGAGGAAAAGAAAGAATTGAGTGCTAATATTGGAAAATTGGATGGAGAAAAGCTTGCCGAAGTGGTTCGTATCATTCAACGAATGGCTCCTACTGCTTCCAGTAAGGCCAATGAGACTGAAATTGAAATTGATTTGAACAAGTTAGACAATGCTACTCTTGTTGAGCTTAATAATTTCGTTAAACAACATTTACCAAAGAAAGAAAGCCAGAAAAAGAAGGCAACCTCTACAAAGAAAAAAAGAAAAACCTCTCCAGTCAAAGAAAAGAAGCCCAAGAAAACCAAAAAAGGAGGAAAGCGACTCTGAATCGACCGCTACGGACAATAGTGCCTCTGAATCGAGCGCAACCGAAACAGAATCTTCTGAATCCGACTCTTCAGACTCCGATTCAGATATGGAAGATGTAAAGACCGTTCCGCCAAGTGCCAATAACCTTGGCGATCAAGCTAAGCACCCCAAAACAACAACAAATGAAGGTAAGTAAGGCAAATCAAAATTTCACGTTCATTAATTACTAGCATTTTAATTTATTGCTAAAATCATTTTTTCGTTTACTGTGTGAACAACTTGTTTTGCATACACATCTCATGCCAACTTACTGTTTTATTTTCAAAAATTAATCTTTTCAACAATTTTTGCATTTGCTTCTGATCCAACAACAATAATAGCTCCAAGATATGCAACAACCACTACTGCCACACCCACCACTACCACGACACACCATATCCACCCCCAACCAAATACACCAAGTAGCGCAAAAGCTTTGAACTTTCCCAACATATCAACCAGCAATCTGTATCCAAATGCATCTTCATCCACACCCACTAGTGCCACCACTCCTACTTCTCAAAAGCCAACAACAACTTCCACCGCAGGAAATGTCAACATTATTCCCACAAAGAAACAACTAGATGCCGCTTTAAAGGTGGACGAGTCTAGTTGGAACAGCTTACTCGACGAAGAGGACCAAGACAAGAAGAAACGTATTGCAACGGATGACCAATATACCAACTCTTCCAAGTGGAATGAATTCCAACAGCATCAAAAGAGGCAGAGTGAGCTCGAAGAAAAGATGAAACTATTACGAGAACAAAAAGAAGAGGAACGACGCCAACAATCTCTCAATGCCTCTCACTTTCGTATTGATGAGCGAGAGCTTGCCAAGAGACAACGAGAGGAGGAAAGACATAACAAGCTTTCCGAAGATCTTGATGCTGAAGCCTTTGCAAAGGAAATGTTTGAATAGAGAACAGGGGTATGTGCACGATTATTGAAACATCATGTTGTAATGATCATCATCATCACTATTCTCATATTACTTCATAATAAAGCGAAGGTTTTTATGCAAAACGATCCAAAAAAGGATGAAGGTTTTTAATTCTGCGAGAGTTGGTCTTCAAGAGATTTTCTAGGCCTTCATATTCAATAAGAAGAACAACGCTCGGAGAGGACACATCTCTCAGAAAAACAACTTTCGGAGAGGCTGAAACAAAAAAATGAGATCAGCCATTCGATTTGTTGTTCCCTTAATAGCTGTGTTGGTCGTGTTCAGCCTTACTCATTGCTGCTTGGTGAGCTCTCAATCGGTACCAAGCCATTCTCTCTATGAGAGTCCTGGAAAAAGTACGAAGAGTACTCTAGAAAAAGGTGCCATTGATTACTACCTTGTAAATGTCTCGTCATGGAATATCGGAGTGAACGATTTCTTGGTGTTTGGTTTGAATTCCCTTTCTGGAGATGTTGATTTGTGGATCTCCACGACTCAATTTCCTACCTCCTCCGATTGTAATGGCTGCATTAATACTGATGTTGCAGGCTATAGCGATTCAAGGCTCATTTACAGAAACGATGGTGCAAATTGGCCAGCTTCCAATGTGTTCTATGTGGGCGTGGTGGCTTCTTTCAGGAAGAGCTCTTACAGCTTTGCATCATGGTCCTCAAATGGTACGTAATATGAGATTTGAACGATCATCACGGTGATCATCATCGTATCAATCTTTAAATTCATTATTCATTTTGATTTTATTTTTATCGCGTGGATATTCTGTCAAACTCTGTTTAAATTTACCCATGAACTTTTGGAACTTTACAAAATCACCACATTGTTTCTACGAAACCACGTACAGTCCAAGTGGCTCTCGAATCCAATGTAGCTCTTTTAGGACAGTCTCCAAAAGGACGAGACAATTACTTTGTTTACGAAATCCCTCAAGGAGCGAGTCACATCACCATTACGGTTACTGCACAAACCTCTTCCTCAGATCCTGATCTATATCTCTCAGCTTCAAATCCCAGACCCAATGCGACTCACAATGACTGGACATGTGCAGATTATGGCTTTGATTCCGTTTTGATTCATGTAGAGCCTGGACTTACTCACATTTACATTAATGTGAATGCATTCACAGACGCTATCTATTCAATTTTGGTTCGTCTGAACGATGATGCTGTGCAACTCTCTGAAGGAATGCTCATGGACGATTTGCTTAATGAGGGCGAATTGGACATCTTTTATTATGAAAATTTGCATTCTCAAAATATTGTTATTGAAACTTTGGAAGTGAACTCAGAGGGTGAAAGCAAGCTCTATATTCGGTATGGACAGCCACCAACTAATACAGAGTTTGACCAAGTAATTTCACTCGAAGGAAATGATTACTTTACAATTAAGAATGCAAGCGTGGGCACATATTATTTTGGGATTTATGGATTGGTTAATGGAACAGGTTATAAAGTTTGGTGCTACACGGAGGATCCCAATCAAATTCTAGTCAGTGAAAATAATGCTATCGGTGGTGTGTTATCATCGAGCAGCAACTTTGTTTTCAAGTTTGAGAGCAGAGACTTTACACAAGGAATCATTGCCAAAGTGGAAGCAATTGAGCAACCCATTCGCATGTATTACGCTCAACATTCGCGACCAACAAGTTTCAAATATGTGAGAACAATCACTGCTAGTTCGGGAAATTCAGCAATGCTTTACTTGGCTCCACCATCTCCAACTCCCTACTTGTACTTTTCATTGTACGGAGAAGGAAAATTCAAGTTTGAAATTACTACCAACCACACCACAACAGAGCTGTTCGACGGAATCGAGATGGATATGGAATGGGTTCCAAGAGGTTATTACAGGTATGTAGAAGTCAAGATGATGATCAGCACCGGTTTCATGAACCTATTGCTTCTTGACATGTTTTTTCATGAACGTAACGATTCGTGCACTTCCACCATTCCAATCTATATTATTGCTCGCACCGCGCCTTTGAATGGTACATTGGTTGAAAATGGGCATATTCGATATAGATACTACATGTTCAAGGCAGACAAATTCCCAAATCAAGCCATCACTATCACAGCAAATCCTTATCGATATAGTGATGTGGATCTTTTTGTCTCGACCACTGAGCCACACCCAAGCGAGTCAAGCCACCAATGGGAAGGAGAAGAGAGAGGAGTCGACACGGTTTACATTCCTGCAAAAGCCAGTGAGGCAAAAGGCAATGTTTTTTACATTTCAGTTTTTGCCTATGACACAGACTGCTATTTTAGCCTTGTGGCTTCATATGCTGGAGAGCATCGTGTTTTAAAGCTCGATGAGTCTATTTCATCCACTGTTGCAGAGGAGTCGTACTCGTATTTCACGCTTGAGATTGCTAGACCTGGAAAGGTTCTCATCAACTTACAATTGCCCAATAGTGGCGATCAAGCTGATTTATATTACAGTACCACTGTCACAACTCCCAACAAATACAATTATGAAGGCAAGGGAAGTAATTTGGGCGGCTCTGTCTTGAACATTGATGACGTTCAGCCAGGAACAATCTATGTTAGCGTACACGGAGTTTTATCTACCAGCATTAACAAATTGATTCCTTTCAAGATGGTCGCCTCAAATTCGTACCTGTATACCTATCCAAACGGGGATGCAATTCCAATGGTTGCCAAGAAGGGCACAATCAGCGTCTTTAAGGCCTCCATCACCAATAGTCTGCGAATTTTGATTGCGTCTGCTTCTCTTGTGAAGGGTAAGACAATCATGTATGTCACGAACAATGACTGGGCTGGCAATTCCACCTACTACACTTGGAAAGATTCCAACGCAGCTGGAAACAGCGTTGTTATTAAGAAAAGTGATCCAAAATTCTCTCTAGGAACCTGGACCATTGTGGTTGAGAGTCTAGAAGATTCAGAATACCATTTAAGCTTGGCATCTAATATCGGTGCCAATGTTTTGGAAAATATCAATACCATTGGAAGAACTCCATCGGATGGCAACATGGACAGTTTGATTTATAATTTCTGGCTACCTTTTAAAACAGAGCAAAGCAAGGCTGATATTGTCATTAGAATATCAGAACTTGAAGGAAAAGTCAACATTTATGCCAATCAAAATATGCAACAAGATCCCTCTCCAACATCCTTCAAATGGAAATCTGAAACAAATGGAGCACAAACCAGAGAGCTTGTCATTAGAAAGGACGAGCTAAATATCCAGAATGCAATTTATGTTCTTGTTCAAGGTGAAGTAGGAAAGAGCTCATTGTACTCGATTACGTTTGCTAAATATACACCCTCTCAAGATAACATGGTAGGTATTGTAGTGGGAGTGATTCTTGGAGTAGCCATGCTTGGAGTCGTAATTGCCCTTGCAGCTGGCCTGGTGTTGTACTTTAGAAAGAGAAAGCAAGCAGCTGTTAACTACAACAAGTTTGATCAAGAGAATCAGAATGCGCCTGAAGGAAGCAGTTCTGTTTATTATAAGGTTGATAATACTCTTTAATGAGTGGGCTAATATCAGCACCTATTAAAATCTTTTCTTTGTTTACGAAGAATTTATTGTTTGAGAATCAACAGTATTAAGCAATGACTCAATGTTGTGTCTTGTCTGATTAAGTTTAAAAGAAATGAAAAAAAACAAGTGTGATACATCCTTTTGATTCTTTTATTACTCTTGAAGTTCATAAGAATCACCCAATGCCAACTTGAAAAACCCAGTGGCTTCAGCGAAACAAATTTCATAGCCGTCACAATCCGAAATGATTACCACCTCCACATCAGCCTTACCAGGAGTGGGCAGCACAACAGGTTCCTTCACAATACTCACATGACTCTCCTCAAATTCCTTGACTTGTTGTTTGGCATTAAGAACTTTCTGATGAATTTGTTTCACATCAATAGTGGATGAAATGGCCAATCGTCCAAAAGCTTCTCCATGAATCAATGGTTCATTTTCCTTTAATTGTACAAATTCTACTTTGGCTTGATCTTGTGCATAGCCCAATAAAACTCTTCCATTCTCGGAATCATGATCGAACACTTTCATGCCCAACACTTCCGTATAGAATTTGATTTGTTTCTCAATATTCGAAGAATGCAAAGAAATGTATTGAACTCGATCACTTTCTTGAGTATTTCTTTGAGATTCTCGAAGAGCCTTGTTCTTATTCAACAACAAGTACTTGTAACCATCGGGATCGGTGATGAATTTCTGTTCCTCATTCTCTTGTTCCTCACCTGATTGTTTGTGTGAAATCACCACATGATTGTAATCATTTCCCAACTTGTAAGATTTAATTCCAAAATTAGCAGTCAACTCCAACACAAAGTGTTTATCCTCGGGTCCGTATCCGATCATGGTTTTTGTCCAACTCGTATTATATCGGCCATTACAAGCAGCTTCACATCCGGCATCGAAATGTTCGTGTCTCTGCTCGATCATGCCCAATTCCGTCTCATAGAATTGTTTGGATTTTGAATAATTTCCAATTTTGTGAACCCAATGAAGAAGACGGAAAGGTGTTTTTGATAATGTTTGGTTGGTTGTGGTGGTAGAGGCCATAGCTGAGAGAAAGTGCTCAGGAAAGACGATGAAATATTTTTTTTCGAAAAAAATGACACTCGGAATTGTTTTACAATATAAACTCCTGAACTCCGGGAGATGGATTTCGAACGTGAAATTTCTTAACAATAATTATTGAAATTTCTTAACCTTGTTCATGAATTTTAATGATTTTCAAGAGCGTTGATGACAGTCTTCTTACACTTGATTGCCCATCATTTGTTTTTTTTCCAACCAAACGCTCAATTCCCAATTCCTTCCTTAATTGTTTTTCATAGACCAATTCAAATCGAGTGTAATTATCCAACATGTTATGTTCACAACATAATTGAACCTGATTGAAAATATCTGCATTCACAAGCTGTACTGGAGGAGAAGGTGTGGAATTGGCAAGTTGAGATTTTGAAGGGGAGTTTTCCATTTGAATGACATTGACGTTTGTGTAAAATCCAAAGTAAAAACAGGTTGTGGAACCTCTGATTTTGCTTTTGTGTTCATTGGTTGAGAATCTGGTATTGTCGTTCCTGAAGGAGGAAGAGGAATTATGTTTTTAGAAACAACTAAAGGAGAACTTCCTCTTTTCAGAGCTTGAATTCTCTGCAATGACCACAATTCACTCATTTGATCATCACAGAGACCAAACTCGCTCTTGCTGCCAAGTGAGAGGAGAAATGGATGACAGATGGCAGTGTCATTCAAAGAGTTGGTGTTGTTGGGATTCATTTTGTTGAAGTTGTTGAAAGTGTTGTTGGTAATCAAAAGCGACCAGATGTGCATGCAGCTAATTGATGAAGACACGCACAAAATGGCCAGGTGGATGATCTGGTGGTTGTTAAAGACAAAAACGGGAAAAATTAAGAAGGAATCTTCAAGAAATCGATTAGTATTGCAAAGTGATCAAGGCAGCAATTCCTTTCAAAGACTCTTGCTTCAATTTTTTTTAACACCAAAAAACAACCTTCTTTCAATGAAATGCATTAAAAAATTGCACCACCAATTTGTACTTGTCATTCATCACAAAATGTTAAAGAAAAATCCACACATACCAATATAATGGCTGATGAAAATGTGATCACATGTTCATCAACACACACTCTCTCGAGTTACACAGTAACTTTCAACTTTTGTTTGTTAAAAGTAAAACCCAATTCAGATCTTAATTTCTTGTCATACACCATTTCGAATCGTGTGTAATTGTCAAGCATGTTGTGTTCACAACACGATTGAACTCTTTCAAAAATGGTGGCAGAAACTGTTTTTGGATGAGTGTCACTTGAGTTGGGTGATTTGAGAGAATGGTAGAGTCATAATTTCTGGAACTCCAAATTCCTTTCTTGGAATATTCAATTCGAGAGGAGCTCCCAACAATAAATAAGTTTCACAAATTTTGAAAAAGAGCTCCATTCTCAATTTTTCTGAATTGATTTTTTGAATTGTTCCACAGCATTCCACATCATTATATCTTCCGAAGAAAAGGATTTTTCAGAAAATTGTAAAAAGAGAGAATTCCATTTTGAATTCAATAATATTTTTCGAATGCGATTTCCGTCGTCATTTTCTAAAGTTAAATTTGTTTGACTGTCCTTCTTTTTTTCTATTTGTTGATACATGACAGGTAAGATGGTCGTGGTGATATTATCCAAGATGCATGCAATCTGAACAGTCATTTGTGCAACTGGAACAAAATAATCCACTCTAAACCACATAAATCATTATGAGAAGAGAAATATCGTTTCCATTGAATCCATCATTCATATTCAACAACAATGACATCAACCATGATGAACATAAAGCACACTTACAAGGTCGTCACTTGTGAAAATAAATTCACAACTGCATAAACGAGTGCAAAGAAAGACCAATTCACAACGGTGAGAACAATTTCACGCTTGACATACCAAATGTCACGTTTCATAAAGAGAGCACCAACAGCAAAGACTATTCCTACAAATGCATAAATGGAAAGATATGAAATGTACATGTTGGTGTGATAGGTACCTATCATTGAAATGACACAAGAACATTCCATTTCACAAAGAAGGACATTTTGACAGCACATTAGAGATGGAAAAAGTTGGTATTTGTTTTACACAACATAAATAGATATATGGATTAACATATAAATATTAAATCAACCTACCAGTTCCACATCCGTTTGCAGCAGCAAAGACAAAGGTATCCACCACAAATGCTTGTTTCTTATTTGGATTTTTAATGTCGTGCGTGTAATTGTAATAATCCACACCTCCAACAATGAAATAAACTGACAAGTGAATAAATCCAATGATTGCAAAAGTGATATAAATGAATTTTGAGCTCACTAAAAATTTCAACACATGGATTAATTTTCCTTTTTCAAAATTTTGAAAATACGTATCCTTTTTGAAGAATACTAATTCCTCAGAAGAAGGACTCTTTGTTTTAGAAGATTTTGGAATTTCAACGGTTGTTGTCACATCATTGCCAACTGTCACGGCAGAAATGTCACTTGACATGGATGGAATGACATGCAGTTGTTGTTGTTGAACCAATTCATGCATGGCCACTTCACTCACTGCCGTTCCCATAATCGCTGCATCTTCCATACTTCCTCTCAACATTTGTCTCTTTCCAACTCGGACTTTGACACTATTCAACCATGTCAATACCACCAATCGAATAAATCGTAAAATAAATGCACATGACAAGGCAGGCACTGAGAAGTGATAATCAAGTGTGAATATAAAACATGGAAAGATTTTTCTTCCAACCAAAATTCGAAGGTCCAAAATGAAACAACAAATATATCCAAAAAGAGTTCCAAAGATCATCAAGGCAGGATTTCGGGCCACAGTGAGGAAATTTACTTTTTTTGAATCTGTATCTTGTTGTTTCAATTTATATAATTTATAGAGAAGACTGATGACAGCTTTCAAAAAGATGCATGTGTGAATGAAGAGAAGAATGGCTGCAATGACAACAGCGCTTACTTCATCATCACAGAGACCGTATTGGCTCTTTCTACCTCTCTCGAGAAGAAAGGGATGACAAATAAGAGAATCGTTGAACGAATTCGTGTCATTTGAAAGAAGACTCGTCAATTTGTTGTAATTCATCAATGCGGAACTATTGTGATGAAAATTATTGTTGTTTGTGAATTAGAGAGTGTGGTCAATGGTTCATGAACCTTCACACACTGTTGTTGTTGGATTTCCAGTTCAAGATGCTCCTGAAAAGACACGTCAATTTTTCGGTTTTTTTTGAGGCATCTTTTGACAGGTTCGTCAACTCACCTTCAGAAAACGAAAAGTACAAACATGTCCATTTTGGACACTTTGAACTCTCCGCCGTATACACTTCCCCAGAGACGCATTTGACTCCTTGTGACGGTGAACCCTTCCTCACTTTTCCACTTTTACGATTCACAAAGGATTCAACAACTGTGAATTGGTAATAATTACAACTGTCGAGAGCTCTCCCAACACAAAATTATGATTTAATGGCGCATTTAATGGTGTTTATTGCTGCTCTTTGTGAGAGAAGTTTTTTCGGTCGTGATGGGCGAGTGAAATACTTTAGGATGTGTGTGTGTTCGTGATTTTTGATCGTACCAACGGTATCCATCATCGAACCTAATGTTCATACTCGAATGTCGTTGCAGGAAAGAATTGACCATGAAATCCAAATGGCACTCGTCGAGGAAGTTCAATTTGACACACAGGTTCTTCACTCATTGTTTTTCCATCGAAAATAAACAAGCTGGAAGAGTTTTTCTCTTCATGAAATGCAAAAGTAACAAGATAGACATTGTCTTCTTCTTCTTGAGGGCTCGTGATCGGTGGTGTTCTTATATTTTCATGTTTCTTTGGAACGAGACAAACTTCTCCAATTTTACCATTTTCTGGAATTTTTAAACGTTTCAACGTTTTTGTCTCCAAATCAAATTTTGCAATTTCATTGAAGAAGAGAAGTGAATCAGATTTCTCCTTCTCGATGATCACACTGTAATAAAAGTATCGATAGGGTTTTCCTGTGAAAGATGGATGAATCACAGGAAATTCACCCATTGGAACCATATTCTCGTTCGTGGTGATATTCTGTGCTGTGGTTGAACTAGAATCACTCACGTCTTGACTGTGAAAAGTGAAAGGTTGACCAAATTCTTCTTGAACTTGTCCTCGTTTCAAATTCAAGACAAATCTCGAAGGATAGGGCTTTGAAGATGACAAGTCGTTCAAATCGAAACTGTCTGACACACAAACATCAATGGTGATTAAAGTTTCATCCTCATTTACAATGGTTTCAAAAGCATTGATATAATGAAAGGCCATACATGATTTGATTTCAAAATATTGAATTGCAGTTTCACCATTGAAGTGGCGAGGAAATACTGCAAATTTCGCTGGTTTTGATTTGTCAAAGATGAGTGGAGGACCAGGTTGAAAAATTCTTGTTAAATCAATAATGGCTGGATAAAATCCAATAATACTGTAGTGTTCAGTAATGGCCATGTCATGAATCATGCACATGTAAGGAGTTTCCTAATATAGGTGAATGCAATGCAAAAACATGGTCATTGAAACATTTCATCCATTTCATGATGGAATGGAGAGAGTGTGACATTATTCAAAACCATGTCAAATGACACTCATGATGATCCAAAAAATAATCATGATTCATGTCTTTTTTCTTACCTCTTTTTTAAATTCATAATCAATGACAATATTATTATTCTTGTCAATGACACCATAGTACAATCCTGGTCCTCTTGGATTTAGTCCATACGCAAAGAATATTAATTCTCCAGTTACAGGATCATATTTTGGATGAGCAGTGAAGTTATGATTCAATTTTCCATTAAATGTAAATTCTCCCACAGTATCCAAATTTGGAAGCAAAATCTCGACAGGTTTGTGACCTTCTTCCAATGCCAAGAACTTGCCACCGTGATAAATAATATTCGTATTGGCTACACCTCCTCCTGATTTCACAGGTCCATCTAATCCTCTGTACAACCGATCATACAGATAATGATGTGCATATTTCAGGATGGGATTTATACCATTGACAAAGAAACTATAAGTAAGAGGTCTTCCATTTTCCTTTTTTTCGATTCAGATTTTGTGAGTGTTCAGTAAATATGTCCAGTATTAATCCACAAATTGTTGAAAGGTGAAAAAGTTTCATGGATTTAATGCAATTGTCACACTTACTTTTTCTTGAAGATACTTTTCCGTTCGAACGAATTTGTTCCTATAACTTGCATGTCCATCTTTAAATTCAATGGCATGTAAATGTCCATCTCCTGAGTGGCACACATCATGTAACACATCGACGATCAATCATTTGGAAAATGTGATGTATTTTTGTCAATATGATTAAAATTATGATTAACATGATCAATGTAGACCCATTTGTATGTAACGTATCGGATGATCATCAATATCGAACCAAGTGGTGTAATCAACTCAAGCTTTAACAAACCCACCTTCAAACCAATGAATGGAATATAACGGATCAAATTGTGGATTAGGTCCAATCCTCACATACATTCCATTCATAAAATCTTTCGGAATTTCTCCCTTCAACACAAACAAATTTCGACAATATAATTCATCATGAATGGGAGCAAAATTATCTTTAAAGACTGGATTCTTCTTGATTCCAAATTCAAACGCTCTATTTTTGTAATTTGAAAAGATTAATAATTGAATGGTTCGGTAGATCCATATCAACAGTCCTTTCACGAGCCGAATGACGACAAGTGCAAGGATCACGAGTTGTTGCAAGAGGGATTTTCGAGGAGGTTGTGGTGAATGTTTTTCGGGGCACTCGTGTGACGACGGGGCAGCACGAAGAAGAATGGAAGACATTTTTCTGAAAAGAAACTCCGACGTGTGTCCTCTTTTGACAACAACAAATTTAATGACCATGCAAAATCCAATATTCATGATGAACCATTAGAGGCACTTCACATCTAATGATCATCACAAGAGTATCGAGTATGGACAATAGATGTGAATGTGCCATTCCTTCCAACGGGCAAAAAGTCCAATGTTTGCTTGAACATTTTGAATCTGTGTTTTGCTTTTGTTCGATCAGAAAAAAGGCGCCAAAATTGTTTTCGTCAATACAACAAAAAAATACATTCACATCTATTGTCCACTATTTCTAATTGTATATTCTGAAATATTCACTCTCTTCAAAATAACAATGATGGATACAACACAAGATAATGAAATGATGTACGATTGTTCTGCCTTGGATTCTATGCAACAACAAGAGGATGCCGATCGTTGCCATCAAACATTCTTTGCAGAACATAAAGAGTTATCGGAATTGATTAAACAGTATCAAGTGAAGGAGTGTTATGAGAATATTCAACAAACAGGAACAGCCATCAATAGAATTGTAGGTTTTAAAGTTGTGAAAATTGTTTCAACACAAACTTTTTTTAAAGCTGTCAAAATATATGGAACAAAGTCAATTATTGGATCCTCATCTCACTCAAATTGTTTCGGAATTGATGCATATTGCGAGAAGAGTGATTGGACTAAATTCTGAAAAGATTACATTCGACAATCCCATTCAGGAGAAACAAATTAGACACAATTTATTTCAAAGTATTTGTACCTTGACCAAAGTGAGAGGCCAAAAAGTAGTGAGTATGTGTCACACGAATGTTTGTTGTTTTAATTATTGGAAATAATTTTACACTTTTTTCTAAACTTTTCAGCAAAATTATTTCCTCATGAAATTGTTGATTTGGAACCCCTATTTGAAATTTACAAGACCATTCCAGCCAATGAATGGGAAACAAAATACATTTTACTGTTGTGGCTGAGTATGATTGTCATAAATCCATTTGACTTGACAGTGGTCGATCCAACAAACCAACTCCCAAGAAAAATGCTTGAAGAATGCAAAGCGCAATTATCAGAGCCAGGCAAAACAAGAGATTCTGCTTCCTTATTAATTTCACGATTACTCACTAGACCAGACATGGCAAAAGAACAATTACCAGATTTTGTAAAGTGGGGAATTGAGACCTTGTCCAATTCAAAAACCACCACCTTTTTGGTATGTATTGATCGGAATTGTTCAATTATTCTTAAATGGTGGCAACTAATATTCCAACGAATGCACATGACATTGTTACCAACACCACTATACCAATAGAGAGCTGGAATTCTACGTAGCATTGTCATGATTTTCAAAATTGGTAAGAGGGATGAGTTGCTCAACGTCATTCCACTCGTATGGAGTACTGTCATTTCTGAGGCCGATACCAACAATACCATGTTGAGACATCTCAATGTTAAACTCATCCAGAGAATTGGCCTTACTTTTTTAAAACCTCGTGTCGTGGCATGGAGATATCACACCACACGCCTCACACTCATGCATTTGAAAACTCAAACGAGCCAACAAACCGTTGCGAATGAAGACAGCTCTGCCGCTGACGACGAAGAAATTGAAATCCCAGAAGAAATTGAACAAATTATTTCACATCTCATCAATGGATTGAGAGATAAGGATACCATTGTGAGATGGAGTACTGCTAAAGGCATTGGAAGAATTACACTTCGCCTTCCCAAGTATTTAGGTGATCAGATTGTTGAGTCTGTATGTGAATTGATGAATCCCAATGAAGATGACAGCTCATGGCATGGTGCTTCTCTTGCATTGGCTGAATTAGCACGTAGAGGGCTCTTACTTCCAGAACGACTGGAGCAGGTCATTCCTCTGTTAGAGCAAGCTCTTGTTTATGACGTTAGAAAGGGAACTCACAGCGTAGGTGCTCATGTTCGTGACGCTGCTTGTTATGTTTGTTGGGCGTTTGCAAGAGCCTATGCTCCAGATATCATGAAACCTTACATGAATAGACTCGCCCAGGGTCTTGTTAAAATAGCAGTTTTCGATCGAGAGGTCAATTGCAGAAGAGCAGCAGCTGCAGCATTTCAAGAAAACGTTGGACGTCAAGGCAGTTTCCCTCATGGTATTGATATTATTACTGTTGCTGACTACTTTTCATTGTGCAATCGAAACAACTCGTATCTCACTATTAGTCACTACATTGCTCAATATCCAGAATATTGCCAAAGTTTAATCACTTATTTGGTGGATACAAAAGTCACTCACTGGGAGAAATCTATTCGCGAGCTTGCCTCCAAGACGTTGGCTAAATTATGTGACAGAGACTCTACTTTTATTTTCAACCATATTATTCCAATATTGGTATGTTGTTGTTGTTATTTGGATTTGTTTCTTTTTGACAAAAACATTCATTTGAAATTCATTTGAACTCATTTTTGCATGCTTCACGTACATGCATATTTTTGATGACAATCGATCCATCAGATTGATCGATGTGTGGAGAATGATCTCAATGCAAGACATGGCAGTTTATTGGCGCTCTCAGAGGTGATTCTTGCACTCAAGACAAGTGGCATTTCATTTGACGAGAATTTGCAAGAAAAAATTCGACACATTGTACCAAATATTGAAGCAAAAAGATTATACCGTGGCAAGGGTGGAGAAATTATGAGAGAAGCGGTTTCAAGATTCATTGAATGCATGTCTCTCAGTCATATCACTTTACCTGCTACGATGGTAGTAACTTCCTCATTCGGCAATCGCCAACTCAAAAAGGAGCCCCTCTCCATTTTCCAAGAAACCATTGATGAAAATTTGAAACATCCTAACAATGAAATTATTGAAATGGCTGTCAACTCACTAAAAGCTTTCGCAGCCGAGTACTATGAGGCACATGCTGAATTTGCCCAAGAGATTGCCCAGAAGTACATTCAACAGTTGGGAACTGAGATTAATCCAGCCACTCGACGAGGTCTTGCACTCGCTCTCGGAGTTTTACCAAGACAAGTCATTGAGCCTAACTTTAATCAAGCCATTGATGTTCTCATCAGCAAACTTGAATTGGAACAAGATCCAGATTTACAAGATGCTGATGCAAGAAGAAACGCAATTCTTGGTATCATTTCTCTCTGTGAAAATGTTGGTATTGGAGACAATGGTATTACTGAGTTGAATGTTAACAAAATTTTCAATGCCTTTATTAAGGGATCCAATGATTATGCTGTCGATAAGAGAGGTGACGTAGGATCATGGGTTCGAGAGGCCGCCATGACTGCATTAGAACGATGGGCCTATTTGTTAGCCGCTAGGAACGACAGCAGTGGCCAAACTGCCACTCTCTTCAGTGTCGAAATGGGTACCAATTTGATGCGAGCTCTCTTGAAGCAAGCTGTTGAAAAAATTGATCGAGTCAGAGATAATGCCTCAAAAATCATTTGCCGCATTCTATCGAATGATCTCGTACGAAACATTCCACACAAACAAGAGCTTGCCTCAGTCATTGTGCATCATGATAGCACTTCTGAACTCATCGATTGGTCCTCTGCCGAGAAGTCATTCCCAATCTTTGTCAAGTTATTGATTTTGGACATTTACAGATATTCCATTTTGAGTGGACTTGTGGTGAGTATGGGTGGTATGTCGAGCCATGTTTTCAAATACAGCACCACTGCTCTCATTGAATACATGAAACAAGAACAGCAAGAATTGGGAGAAAAAGTCTTTTCAGACATGTTGGCTGTTGGTTTGGAATATGCTCAAGATGATCGAGTCATTGTTCCTCTTTTGAAATCATTCGCCTTATTACTTGGTCATGGAGTTTTTGAAAAGTTCCAACCACCTCAGTAAGTACTAGACGAAAATGAGTGACATCATTGTATTCATCATTCTCCATTTGATTTCTAACATTTATTCTTGTTTTTTTCATTACTTTCATTCACTTCTTGAAATTGTTTTATCACGACATTATCTCATTTTCACACCTTAGATACAACATGAGTGAGCAATTAGTGATCAATACCACCAAAGAAATTATTGGCACCTGCAAAAACGTACAAAAAATCATGCTTGCTGTCGATGTATTCTGTGAACTCATCAAATTTGAAAATCCCACCAAAGAAAAGGCATTCCAGCGACTCTTCCACACATGCCTCATGAGCAAATTCCCCAAAGTTCGTGAATACACTGCCAATCAATTGTATGGAGCTCTTCAAGTGTGTGGCGATGCAGTCATGAGAGATGATAACGAAGCCCTCGATATGGCTCTCGATGTGTTGTGTAGCACTCATTGGCTGGAAGGAATTGCTGTCGTGAAACCAGCCGTAGAAAAATTGTACGAAGTGACTCAAATTCCAAAACCTAAAACAGTAACACCACAGAACTCGAGTAGTGGCACATCAGTACAGGTAGCATCACCCACAAAGCAAGAGGAATAAAGAGAGAGATTATTGTTTCCATTTATTGCTGTGACATTTTGTTCTCACTTGATGAAACCCGAATAAATTAGGAAATTTAAGAAGAAGAAAAAAATGTTGGCTCGAAATTCTGTGCGTTCTCTCTCCAAGCGCTTGCTCTCATCAACATCGGGTGGTCATGTTTCTTCGGCTTCTTCTTCAATTCATAGCACCACCCAAAAGGGTCTGTTTTCATCCTACACACAAACTCAAAACGGTAGAGTTGCTTCCTTCCACAAGATGATGCTGATTCAACAACAAAATCAACAACCTTCCGCAACAACTACATCAAAAACGTCATCATCACCATCATCAAATAATAATAATAACACGACCACTGCTGTAAATTCCACCACCACAGCAGGTGCCAATAAACCAACCACTACTACCCTCTCTCAACAGCAGAAACAACAGAGTGGTGGTTCTGGATCTTCATCATCCAACAAGCAACAACAAGGTGGCTCGAAGAGTGGATCCATGTTCAAGACTGTTCTAATTTCCTCTCTTTTGACCGGAGCAGTAGCTGCTGGTGTGGTCTTTTACATCAACAATTCCCTGCAAGCCATGGAAAAGGATCACGCACAACAAGCGAAAACAGCCGAAAAACTCAAGAGAGAAATTCAAGCTAAAAAGCTGCAACAAGAGCAAGCCAAATCAAAGCTTAGCTCCTTAAGTAACGAGTTGGAAGAGTTAGAAAAACAACACACTGCTAAATTGTTAGCCTTGAAAGATTCCTACAATAACAAGATGAATCTATTACAGGAACAATTGAAAGAACTCGTTCAAAAAGTCTCATCATTGGAGCAAGAAAAGAGAGAGCTCTCTGAGAATTTGGAGAGAAATATCAAGCTACAGCAAGATTTACTCTCCGAAAAGGAAGCACTCCAAAGTGAAAAGAATATTTTGGAGCAACAATTGAATAGTCTCAATTCTCTTCAGGTAAGAAGCAGTGGTTCGATTATTTCCGATGTGTTGGGTCGTGAGATTGATGATTTGACTGCTCCACTCTCTGAAGAAGATCGAGACAAATTCCTCTCAAGAATTCATCGCTTGGAAACTCAATTAGCAAAAAAGGAAAAATTGATTGAACAAATCAAGCACGAATCAGAAGAGAGTATCCACAGAATGAAAGCGCTCACTGAAGAAAAATTGGCCTCTCTAAAGAAAGAATCAGAGGAGAATATTGCAACATTACAAAATCAAATGGAAGAGCTTCAAAAGAAGCACGCCGAAGATTTGGAAGCAGAGAGAAGGAAAATTCTGGATGAATTTGAACTCAACATGCAGCGACAAGCTCATGACTTGCTGATGGGATTCTATGACAATGCTCTCCAAAGATCCAAGCACGTACAAGAATTGACCAACCAAGTCTATGCGATGGAAGAAACCTATAAGGTTGCCTCCTCCAACTTTTCATCCAATATTGATTTACAAAAGTTTGCTGCTGCCGTGCTGGCTCTTCAGGACATCCTTCAAACAAGTGCTCCATTCAAACCTGAACTTGATACTTTAAAGAAGTTGGCAGAAAATGACGAGCTCATTAGGACCGTCGTGGAGACAATTCCTCGCTCGATATCTGAGAATGGAGTTCAAAAATTGGACGATTTAACCGAAAGATTTAAGGTTGTTAAAAGAAAGGCTATTGAGGCATCCCTCACACCACACGACAGCGGCCTTTTAGGCGTCTTTTATGCCAAACTTCTTTCACTTGCTGTAGTTGCTGAGGAGGGGTTTGTGGACGGAGAGACCCTGAATGCCATCATGGCTAGAACTGAATTTTACTTGCAACAACGAAGACTTGTGGACGCTGTGAATGAAATTGACAAGACTCAACATGTATCTAGCGAAGAAGTCAAACGAATTCTCCAGGATTGGGTTTTGGAAGCAAAGAATAGACTCCTCATTGATCAAGCTCTCCAAACCTTGCAATCTCATCTCGTCGTTCAATCACACTCACTTGAAAAACGACAACAATAAGAACGAAAGACAAGAAAATTAAAGATGTTGAAACCCCGCCTTTCCAATCGGTTTCAAATTTTTAAAACAAAAAATTGAGAGCGCCAATTCTGTGCCCACCACCGCCATCACCACCACAAGTAGGCCATCATCATCGTTTCGCTCCTCACACCCACGCTCCAAATATTTATTTCATTATTCCATCCATACCCACAACACTTTACATCTACAACACCATGATAACATCCTCGGAAGATACCAATCTCTTTGAAGGAGGCGAGCAACAAGTCAATCAACAAATCAAACAATGGTTTCATGATTTCCTCCGTCATGCCCTCTATCAATCTTCCTCCATAGCTTCTTCATATCTCATTGCTCCTTCGGGAAAGGAACCTCTCAGTGAACGATTAAAAATTCAATTCACTGACATTCATACCTCTCACACAGTCAGCGAGAATCATGGAGGATCTTCCTCTTCTCCAATTCCATCCGCTCGGAGTGTCGTTATTGATTTTACTCATGTCATGAATTATGATATGGATATCGCCATGTCGATACGGCAAGAATTTTACAGATTTGAACCTTTTCTAACGGATGCTTTGAATATTGTGTATAAGGAATGGATTCATTCTCAGTCATCCTCTGCTTCAAGAACGAAATTGGCTTCCAGTGATGCCAATACATCCATGATGAGCATGGCAATGAATGAGAGCGCAATATTTGCATCTTCGCCTCATGAAAATAATTCGACCATTCAATTGAAATTTGTGAATTTACCAGATATGTTACAGTATGTAGTTGTTGTTTTGTTGTTGTGCCAATACTGAATGTGAAATAATTTATGAAATTGTTTTCACAACAAAACTTGGCGTGTGAAAATTTCCAATTTTACATTGAATTTAATTACATGATGATGTTTCTCAATGCAATGTAAATTTGCTATCAAACAAATCCTTCCTAGAATTCGTCAACTCCGAAGTGTACACATCGGTCAACTCGTGAGTATAAGTGGAGTGGTCACACGATCCTCGGAAGTTCGTCCAGAGCTTGTCGAAGGAATTTTCAATTGTGTAGAATGTGGAACCGTCTCTGATCCAATTCCGCAACAATTCAAATATACAGAACCAATATCATGCGTCAACAAAACTTGCACCAACACCAAAAGATGGCGTCTCGATATGCATCGCTCTCGATTTGTGGATTGGCAAAAATTAAAAGTCCAAGAAAATACTCATGAGATTCCATCTGGATCCATGCCTCGAACTTTGGATATTATTTTAAGGAATGATTGTGTGGAATGTGCAAAGGCAGGAGATAAATGTCTCTTCACAGGAACACTTTTAGCAGTGCCGGATGTTGGAAAAATGTTTGGAGGAGCTCAAAGCCAACTCATTAATGCCAACACTCGAAAAAAGGGGGACATTGAGAAACAAGGTGTGAAAGGTATTAAGGATTTAGGTGTTCGAGAATTGACCTACCGATTAGTTTTTTTGGCCAATTCTGTTGAACCTATCGATCATAATATGAGTAATTCCAATACTGCTCCTTCTTCGGGCATGTCATCTGCAGCATTGAGCTCTCACAATGGTGAACAAGAGACACATGAAGAATTTATGAAACGCTGCACAGCCGAGGAATATGAAAAAATACTTAAAATGTCAAAGGATGTGAATATCTATGAAAATCTTGCTGCCTCCATCTGCCCTAGTATTTTTGGTCACAAAAATATCAAAAAGGGTATTCTTCTCATGCTCTTTGGAGGGGTCCACAAAGAAACAGAGGAACTTATTCAAATTCGTGGTGACATTAATATTTGTATTGTGGGAGATCCTAGTACAGCCAAGTCACAATTCTTGAAATATGTGGCTCATCTCATTCCTCGTGCCGTATACACAAGTGGTAAAGCATCGAGTGCTGCTGGTTTAACAGCATCGGTAGTGAGAGACTCTGAAAGGGGTGAATTTACAATTGAGGCAGGAGCACTCATGCTTGCAGATAATGGAGTTTGTTGTATCGATGAATTTGACAAAATGGATGTGAAAGATCAAGTAGCCATTCACGAAGCCATGGAACAACAGACAATCTCCATTGCTAAAGCGGGTATTCGAGCCACTCTGAATGCTCGTGCTTCGATATTAGCTGCTGCAAATCCCATCGGAGGTCGTTACAATCCTAGAAAGACCTTGAAGGCAAATCTTGGAATTACACCTGCCATCATGTCACGTTTCGATTTATTCTTTGTGGTGCAAGATGAATGTGACGCAGAAATTGACAAGAAAATTGCAGAACATATTGTCTCTGTGCATCAAAATAAGGGAGCCTCAACGCTCGACAAGACTCTTGACGGAGTAACACAAATTACTGTCGGCTCCAATACTGTTCAGTACTCACCTGAAGATATCAAACTCTATCTCAAATATTGTAGAACATGTATACATCCAATATTGACACAGGAAGCACAAGAGGAACTTGTGAAACAATATGTGAAATTGAGACAAAACGACAAGGTTGGAAGCAACTCTTATCGTATCACTGTAAGACAATTAGAATCGTTGGTAAGACTTTCAGAGAGTCTTGCTCGATTGCATTGTGAAAGTCGAATCGAAGTGAACCATGTTCGAAGAGCCATTGAATTACTGAAAACTTCCATCACCAAAGTTGCAAAATCTGACGTTGTGCTGAGTGGAACAGGCGATGACAATGATGAGGAAATTAATGGGGAGCCACGATCGAGCATTCTCGCGCTACGTGAGAAAAATCAGCAAGAATCCACTCGAGAATTGTTACGAAATTTGAAAAATCAACGTAGAAAGATTGAGGCTGCTCTCGAATTGGCACGTGAAAGCCAATCAGAAGAAGAGCAAAAACTAGGCGAAATTGAAATACAAGCTGAGAAGCTGCGAAATAGTATTGACTCAGATGAAATTGATCCTGAAGAAAAAGACACACAAGAAGAGCAATTAATTGAACTCGAAAAGAAGAAACTTCAAATATCGAAACGTGTCGCAGAGGCACGTAAGAGAGTAGAATTACTTTCCGAACAACTTGAAAAGGAAGTTGAAAAATCTCAACAGTTAATACAAGACGAAGAAGAGGGTGTGAAAGATCAAGGAGAATCATCACTGCGTCACACCAATGAAGATGACGACGAAATGCAAGACGAAGCCACTCATAATGAACTTGACTCCACAACAACACCAACAGACATGAATGACATTATGACAAATTCTGAATCACAAACAGAACCTCCTCGAAAAAAGAAGAAAACAACCAAAACAATTTCAGCAGAGGAATACACCACATTTTGCAATCGAATTGCTTCCTATGTCCAACTTCAAGACTCATGCTCACGAAAAGACATTATTGAGTTTTATATTCAAACACATGGGTCAACACTTTCTACAAAGAAGGCAAACAAGTTAGCAAAATTATTGGACAAGATTATTGACAAGATGAATAATGAGAGTATTTTAATCAAGACGAATATTCGAAGCATTTCTAAGAATAACAATCGAATGGAAGATGTATTTATTAAGAATTCCAATTTTGAGCCAACCGTTATGTAACAACGCACATAATGGAAGAATATTGTGAAATAAAAATTCTAAGATTCAATTTGAGAGTTGAAAAAAATGTATTCATCCAACACTGACAAGTTTGCATCAGATTCGATTCGACTACTGCATTCTGTTAACAATTTTCATGAGAGATTTTTGAATGATGATGGTGAGCGCATTCAGCAAGTGAAAAACTTTTTGATCCATAGGATCGATTTTGAAATCTTGATGAAAAGGCGATCAAAATATTGTTCTATGAATATCATTCAATTGTTTTCAGCCCTAATAATTTAAATGACATCTTGCAAGACCATCATGAGATTCATTGGTTGAATTATAAAATTCACAACATGTATCACAAACTCTTACCTTATTTAGAATACAGAGAACATGATGAAACGATTGGAATAATGCTTGCAAAACAAAAAGATGGATCGGCAAGCTTTCATTTTTCAAAACAAATTCATTCCATTCTTAAAAGAAATACCATTTACTTAGAGGCTCAACCAGGAGATCGCGTTCAAAAAGATATCCTTTTAAGCCCATCTAGTTTTCAGCCGTGTCCTGCCTTACATCTGCCAAATGTCATTTCCTTTTATCAAGCGTTGACATGTCATGTGGGTGGCAAACAGGATCCACATGTTGTTTTATTAAGAAAAGGAGATGAAGTGAGTCATTCCATGAGTCTATTGTTCAATAAGCTTTTTCAAATGAAACCAATAGAATGTGGATTCCGAATTGAAATTGTTTTTCAAATGACCAACAAAATGGATCATAACTTGGAGAGTTGCATTTTGAGTGATGAACAAGAACAAAACAATCTTACTGTGATTCATTTGGAAATGGAGAATTCCATTCAACAAGCATTGCAAAATATTCAATCTCTGCAGTTCGAATGCCACTTGTCAAAACAGTTGTAAATCAATGAATACTTATTGATGAGAAAGAAATTATAAAGAGTTAATATAAATTGCAAGTGTGGCAAATCATCAGTATGCACTTGTTGTGTTTATTGCTCCTTGGAGTACAATCGGCCACTTCCTCTTGGAGATGGAAAATCCAAAAACTTGGGCAATTCATCATTCACATCACACACACGATTTTCATAATTCACATGACGTTCCGGTTTGAAAAAGTATTCCACTCCATTCTCTCCTTCCTTTTCAATAACATCCTTCAATGGACAAAATGTTTGTTTCATTTCATCGTAACAACACGCAACAGTTGACACGAAAGGAGCTTTGAGAGGTTTCTGTGCCACATAGCCACCACTCTCTGCACAATAACCCTCGAAATTTTCAGTGAAAGGCATAGATTTTAGGAGGGCTAAATTGTTGCAAGTCCATTGAAATTGTTGATCTGGAATACCAATGATGAGAGTGAAGGGAGCAGAGGTTCCTTTTCGACAATTACGACAATGACAATAGTTGCTGAAGAGACGAGGTCCTTGAACGGAGAAGGTGAGTTTGCCACATCGACAGGATCCAGTGCGAACCTTGGGACTTGTAGTGATACTATTGTTTGCTGTGGTTGATTGATCAGTCGACATTATAAAAACTTTTTGTTTTTTTGAAAATGAAAGATGAAAATCATGATCAAGGTTCAACAGGATTGAAGCTCCTGAGTTTCAGTGCGACAAGGAAGTGTATCAAGATTGTGAGTGTCGAGAGGACTTTTCAATGAACGTCCGCACGCGGTGATCAGTACTGATTTGCATGAATTCCAAAATATTCAGTGTTCTTTGAATTACAAAAATCATTCAATATATTTCTGAACCAGGGTGAGATTTCATAACTAGGCAATCAAATGGATTTATTTCTTTTGAGCAGCCTTTCCAGCACCAACCTTAGCACGTCTCTCTCTCAACAATTGCAATCTTCTGGATTTCAAAGCATATGGGTTAAGACGGACCAAAGCCTTGAAGTTTCTCAATGGATTGCTTCTGTTTTGCTTATTGATGGCAAATCTTTGAACGACCTTCTTTGGCTTCAAGACAGCTTGAACAGCATCAGATTCAATAATTCTTGCAGAGTCTGTGTTGACAGCAACTGGTCTTGGCAAGTGATAGGTAGCACCAGATCTAAAGTGCAAAGTGGAAGCACCCTTCTCATTGTTATAAGAACCGAACTTTTCGTTCAAAGCATTGAAAGCAGATTCAGTCCAGACAATCAATCTACCTGGATGGCCACCAGGGGCCAACTTCAACAAGTTCAATTGGTTGACATTCAAAACATCAACACCTGGCAAGTTTCTGAGAGCGAGAACGATTGGTGGAGTTTGAGTACCAGCCTTAGCATTGTAAACAACCAAAGGTCCCTTCTTCAAAGTGTATCTTCTATTTCTCATCTTTCCTCTTCCCTTTCTCAAGGTCTTGGAGTCCTTAGCCTTCTTTGCATCGGACAACAAACCGTGCTTCTTCAAGAAAGCAACAGCTTCCTTTGTCTTGGCAATGAATTGCAAATCATCGGTAACAACCAATGGAAGTTGTTTCACTTGTTCAACCTTGTGACCTCTGGCTTGAACGAGAGGAGTGATAGATGAAGCAGCAATTGCTGAAGCAGTAGCATATCTTCTCTCATTCTTCTTAACGACGTGCATCCATCTTCTCCATGTTCTGGTTGGAGAGAACATTCTACCCTTTCTACACATGTTACCGAAGGCACCTTGTCCGGCTCTGTGAGTACCACCACCGCTAACTCTAGGAATACGAGAAACAGCACGACCAGTACCCCATGAGATGGCAGAGTGTTGATGACCAGCATACTTGTGGACTCCGTATGGTTGTCTGAGATTCATTCTCAAAAAGTTCACCATGTTGGAGACAATATCAGGTCTGATTGGAGCTTGGAAGACATCTGGCAAAGCGACTTCCTTAACGACTTCAGCAGTCTTGGCGTTGAAGACAGAAACAGTTGGTCTTTGAATGGACATGGGTTTTGACTTATTTTTTTCACAAGAAATTTTTGAAAATTCTGCTCAACCATGATTTTGTATTTTACAATGAGAAGGAAAAAATATTAAAACTTCAACATGTGCTTTGAGCTTTTAATATTTTTTCTTCAATATATATAACGTACTCATAAAATCAGTCAAGTCACGTTCAGGAAACTGACACTGCAATAATGGAAAAAACCAAACCATTCTAGGTTGTGTTCTCTAAAACATGGCCATTGGATGCATGTTTGAAGTGTTTGAATGGGTATCTCTGTCTTCAATTTTGCATCATATACAGCTGATATCGGTGTCAACAAATCATACAAAACTTTCATTTGATGTCCCAAAACAAGGAGCATCATAAATTTTGATGTGTCGACTGCCGCCAATTTTTACTGCTTCAACAACTGAAAAAAAATCATTTAATTCTGCGAGCTCTCTCTCTCGAAACGCACACCAACCGCTGCAATACTATCATCATTACCTTTGGAAAAGACAAATTGATCCATTTCCAAAGAGAGAGATCATCATTGAATTTTTCAATAAGACGGAAGAACGAAACATAGAGTTGTCTCTCGTCTTATCGCCGCAATATTTTGAGCCACATACATACATCTTTTGTCTTAACCGATAGCCTTCCTTTTATCTCTTCACCATCACTTTCATCGGGTGGTACAACAATAATATCACCATCCTTATTTACTTCACTCTTCAAAGGTACCCATACACACCAAATACAAGCCTTGCATATTATATTGCCGTTCCTTTCTCACTAGGACAAAACATTTACAACACAAGTAAGGCAAACAAACATGAACCGACAAAGCTCAACAAGTAGCGGTCTTCAAGGCTCTCCTTCTGGAGGTTTAAAAAACTCACAACAATTATTTAAAAAAAGTGGCTCGCATGGTTCTCCAACGCATACTGCAGGTCAACAGGAAATGCTCTATCATAGTGTTAGCAGCAAGACTGCTGCTCCGGAAGTATTCTCTCTGTCCGTTGAAGAATTAACAGAGATTCACCAAACCAAAAATCTCAAAGCCATTAATGAGCTCGGCGGTTTTGCAGGTCTTGCAAAAATACTTCGAACGGATCTCAAGAAAGGAATTGATTGGGAGAAGGAGGTCAATTTTGAGGAGAGATCTGCTCTCTATGGCCTCAATATTTATCCAGAGCCGCCCGCAAGAAAAATTTGGAAAATATTTATTGACTCACTGAATGATACAACCCTATTAATTTTACTCTTCTTCTCTTTCATTTCAATGGTTTTAGGTGTTGCATTCCCCGACACTGAGGATGAAAGACCTATTGGCTGGATTGAAGGCTTTGCAATTTTCCTTGCCGTTGCAATTGTCAGTATTGTAGTCACAGTGAACGACTACTCGAAAGAACGAAAATTCAGATCTCTCACAAGGGAATCCAAGAAGATTGAGGTTAAGGTTATTCGAGGCGGTCTCAATCACAGTGTTTTAATTGATACTATTCAAGTTGGAGATGTTGTTGAAATTGAACAAGGTGATGGTATTCCTGCCGACGGCTTGTGCATTGAGTCGAATCAGCTAAAAACAGACGAGTCGGTCATGACCGGAGAGCCAGATTTGATTAAAAAGAACACAACTGACAGTCCGTTCTTGTTGAGTGGCTGCACAGTCGCTGAAGGCTCAGGAAAAATGTTAGTCACTTGCGTTGGTGTCCAGAGCGAATGGGGACGTACTTTGCAAAGTTTAAAGGAGGCCGATGAGGAAAAAGGATCAACTCCTCTTGAAGAGAAGCTTGACAAGCTTTCCGTGAATATTGGTAAGATGGGTATGGGCTTTGCATTGATGACACTGCTAGTTCTCATATTTGGGTATTGGATTAAAAAGCTCATTCACACGACAGAGTGGATACCACCTGCAGCAGCATTTAAGGAATCATGGCAAGAACAAAATATTGTTGAAGTTGTCAAATTCTTTGTTATTGCACTCACTATTGTGGTTGTAGCGGTTCCAGAAGGTCTTCCTCTGGCAGTAACAATTGCATTGGCCTACTCTGTACGTAAGATGATGAAGGATCAGAATTTAGTTCGTCACTTGGCAGCTTGTGAAACTATGGGAGGTGCCAACAATATTTGCTCAGATAAGACTGGTACTCTCACATTGAATCAAATGCGAGTCACGCATGCATATTTTGGAGGTCGCTATTTTGGGGATCAACTCTCTTCCCTCCTTTCCACGCTTAACTCGAGCGCTCTACAAATTTTGATCGATGGTGTTGTGGCCAACTCTAAGGCAAATCTCGTCAGAATTGAAGACAACAAAACAAAAGAGTATGCAACTCAGGGAAGTAAGACTGAGGCTGCTTTGTTGCTTCTTCTAGTGAAGCATCTCAATCAAACCATTGACTCGTACCGAGAGAGAAGACATGATTTATTGAGTGAGGAACGAGGTTGCCACTTACAATTACCATTTAGTTCTAAACTTAAAAGAATGAGTACGGTGATTCCCAATCCAGATGGTGATACCAAGTATCGTTTGTTCACAAAAGGCGCTTCCGAAATTGTTCTCAAGCTGTGCTCCAGATACATGAAAACAGATGGTACTGTCGAAGATATGAGTAGAGACAAAGAGAGTGAAATGATGAGATATATTGAGGAGATGGCCAATCAAGGACTTAGAACCATTTGCCTTGCATTTAGGGATGTAAATCCTGACAGAGAATTCACATCTCGACAAGATGAAATGGATTATCTCGAAAACCTGGACCCAGTCACTTTGGAAGAGGACCTGGTCTGCGTCGGAATTGTGGGTATTAAGGATCCAGTGAGACCTGAAGTTCCAGCAGCTATCGCTCAGTGCAAGAAATCAGGTATCACGGTTCGAATGATTACAGGTGACAACATCCTTACTGCCAAATATATTGCAAGAGAGTGTGGGATTCTTTCAAAGGATGGTATTGCGATTGAGGGACCTGAATTTAGAAAAATGACACATGACCAAATTGCTGAAATTCTCCCCAAACTTCAAGTGATGGCAAGAAGCTCTCCAACCGACAAGTTCAACCTCGTCAGATACCTGAAAAAGGCAGGAAATGTTGTAGCTGTCACAGGAGACGGTACCAATGACGCTCCAGCCTTAAAAGAGGCAGATGTTGGTTTGAGCATGGGTTTATCAGGAACTCAAGTCGCCAAAGAGGCTTCTGATATTATCATTCTTGATGATAATTTTTCTTCAATAGTTAAAAGTGTCTTGTGGGGAAGATCCATCTTTGAAAATATTAGGAAGTTTTTGACATTCCAATTAACAGTGAATGTTGTCGCTCTAGTTCTCACCATTGTTTCTGCAATTAGTTCTACATTTGTGAATGAGACAGGAGGATTTAAACCTCCCTTAAGCCCTGTACAAATGCTGTGGATTAACTTGATTATGGACACTTTTGCTGCTCTTGCTTTGGCCACTGAGCCACCTATTCCCGAGTTATTGGACAGGAAACCTTATGGCCGAAAAGAAAGTTTAATTACACCAAAAATGTGGGTTTTCCTGCTTGGGCAATCCTTATTCCAACTTATTGTGCTTTTTACATTGTATTATGGAGCCACCAGTTTTAGGAATGGAGCATTTTCCTTTTCAAGAAACGACGATGAGACGAGAACTGTTGTCTTCAATGCGTTTGTGTTTTGCCAAGTCTTTAACGAGTACAATGCAAGAAAGATTAACTTTGAGTACAATATTTTCTCAGGTCTATTCAAAAGTGCCTGGTTCATTTCGATCAGTTTGATAATTGTGGTGTTGCAAGCATTGATTATCAATTTTGGATATTACGACCCAACACTAATTGCAACCGGAAAGAACGATGGACTTCATGCATCCCACTTTACTCAGACCATTCCTCTAAATTGGTATCAATGGATGTTGACTGTTAGTATTGGCTTCTTGAGTATTCCTTACGGATATTTGATACGTTTTGTTGCTAGAATGGCTCTTCGAGTTATTGGCAAGAGGAGTACCAAGAATCGTATTGCCGATGAATTTTCTGAGAGTACGACACCAGAAAGTGAATTGTAAAAAAAGCCATCTCGGTGTTAAATAGAGGTTAAAGGACAGTTCGTGTAGTGGATGATTTTTGAAACCAGCAACAGGACGAGTTAGGCAAAAGAGAGACGGTATTGATTGACGACGAGATTGCATTTGATCATGTTTCAAGAACTTTATAGATAAATAAATCTCTTTGGTGATGGTGCGTTTGCTTCATGTTGGATAAGAATCATGCACAATTATTGTTGTTTTTTACTTTCATTTCTCTTCTTCACACCATAATTGTAAACTCGAGACATGTTCACTTCCGTCGTGGTCTTTTGTTCCTTAAGATATGCAATATCTTCATTGATTTCACTTAACTTTTGTTCTGCCAATGTGACATTCTTATTGAGTAATTCCATAGCTTCATCCAAAGAATATTCAACCATAATATCACACCCCAACCAGAGAGCAACACGATCAGTTTTAGGAATGATTGCCTCAGCAAAAACAGTTTCATCAAGTTTAAAGTGAGTTTCAATCTTGTCTGAAGCATCCGTTTCATCATCCCCTTCAAAGCTCTTCTTTAAGAATTTGACAGCTTCAATAGTCTTTTTAATATCTGGAATTTTCACTTTTAATTGCTCACGAGCTTCATGCAAACGATATTCAAAGATTTGATATTGTTGATGTTTTTGATTTTGATCTCTATAGATTTGAGAGATTGTGTCTTGAACATCGGAAGAACCTTTCTTGTTCACCAATGCCTCTACATCTTCCTATACGAGTTGTTGTTGTCCAGAGTGAATATCATTGAAAATGTCAAGTTGGAGCATGTAGCGCGTGTAGACATTGATATGAACAATTTGATATATTTTGGTTGTTGTTGTTGTGGTGGTGGTGTTAAAGGACCATGTAGAAGTGTACACACAAGAAAGATGAGAATGATAGTGATGAAACATTTCGGAATAATATTTGATGTTGAATATTGGTTGTTTGTTGTTCAAAAGACAGACAGCCATGTAAGGTGTGCCGATATTATTACCATCATCATCATCGCCAAACACACGTATAATTACGGAATTCATATCAATTTTTGTACCATCATACACGAGTTAACAATAATCACCAAAGAAAGCGGATTGATTAAATATTAATAAATCGTTCCAATTTTGCAATCGAACACAATGTTCAACAACAAGATGAATTACATACAATAAAATCAGCCTTTGGAATTTTTCTTGGACTTTGATAGCTGTCGGGAAAACCGTGCAAAATATAATCGTTGCTGCTTGATGACATTTTTTTGTACGTTGTATTGGGAAAGAAAATTTGGGGAATCATCGAGGAAGTGGAAGATTGCATCTATTGAACATTCCAGTTTCTTTATTGTCATCATGATTGCATCTATAGAACATTCCTTACATCTTGCCTAAAGGTTATGAGATTACCTGTGAATTTGTCGCGATTTTTAGATTCTAAATTCATCTCGACTCCATCCATGAGCTTGTCGAAGGCTTCTCGAACTTTTGTAATTCGTTCTGGGTCATTTCCTGCCACTGAATTAATAATACCTTGCTTCAACGTTTCATAGAATGGAGGATTGAGCACAATGAGCACCAACATGGTTCTTGACAAGCTCCACTGATTACCACACTCTTCCAAAATAATAATTCTGAAAAATTGAGAAAGCATGTTTGGAATGAGGTCAATGTTTTGTTTAAGGTGACTGGCCAAGAGTTGGGCATCTGGTGTGTTCTTTTTTGCTTGGGTGTAGTAGAAGGTAAAGAGATTATCCAGTGCTGCACATATCTGAGAGGACAAACCCAAATCTTCAATAGAGACACCTTCCTCGAGTGACTTTAAAATTTGCAAAAAGATTGGTGTTTCAAACTTGATGATGGTGTGTGTATGCTCTTGGAATAGAGTCTCCATCAAGCCATAGTATGCTCTACACAATTTTGGATATGCCATAATTTCTGAGTATGGAATGCTGAGGGCCAAACGTAGAACAGTATTCAGTACCTCATTCAATGATGGATCCTTGTATAAATCAAAGACACCAAAGTTGCAATACTTTCCAGCGAGGCATCTCGACAAAATGTTCATACTCGTACAGATTCCCTTATACTTTTCGTCATAGGCTTTCTCTCGAATGGGCACATTTTGTAAACGTTGGCCATAGTTTGTGAGAATGGAGCTTGTTTTTTTAAAAATTAAAATTCCATGTGGAGAGCTGTAACTAAAGCAAATTCGTTGGTTCTTGTTGAGAACAAAATCTGCCAGGAATTTCAATAATGAATTCATGACGAATTGATTGTCGTACCATACTTGAGCAGCTTTTTCTAAAATACTGCTATACTTGTCGAAAAACCAATCAAAGAAAAATGTATAGGTCCTCTTGTTGTTGCAGCCAATGACAATTCCTCTCAAATCACGACACCAACCAATTAGAGCGTTCTTAACTCCTTCTTGTTTGAAAACCTCTGGATTGTCTATGGCATTGAGTCGATCACTGACCGATTCGAGTGGCTTAATAAATGAAAGAAAATCATCTTCCGTATAATTTTGAAGGAACAACAACTTGCATAGTGTCTTGTAGAAAGCAGTTCGTTGTCTGAGATTGGTAATTTCATTGAGGAATGGGAAGTTTTCAGGGCCATGATTCAACAATAGGTATCGAGTAGTTTCCAGTTTGGATGCTAATTTTGCGCTCAAGTAGCCCGAAGCAATGTCATCAAACAAGCTCATTGTTTCTGTCACAATATTGTCGACACGAGCCCACACTTTAAGATTGCTAGCTATTTTTCCAATGAAAATGTTCAACACTTGAAGTTGTTCACCCGCAATATTCAACAATTCATAAAGTCTTGTAAATATCTTCGGGGTGCTACTATTTCCTACGGAGCCAGAAGCATCTCCCAAATAGGACTTCTTAAAACTTTTCATGAAATAAAGAAGGGAAAATTCTAAATGTTGTAATGATGTATCGCGCAAATAGTTGGTATGGGAATAATTCTTGATTCTAATATCAATCAAAGGAATGAGTCTTAGAATTCTAGCAGATAATGTACCGTCCAATAATTCTGCTTCTTCCACAGATAATGAACTGACATATCGCTTTCCAATAACTGAACCCACAATATAAGTTAACCAAGTGAGTTTTAACTCTAATTCGTTCAGAGATTGAATTGGAATGTTTGTGTTCACTGCTTCTATGTACATTTGTAGAACTGGGTCAAAAAGTTCGGTTAAGTGTTGTCCTGAAACTTTGTAATCAAAGTGAATGAGTTGAGGAATAGCATCAAGTTGCTCATCGAGATTCTCCTTATGTTCCAATGGGTTCTCTACACTGTCATCACTGGCACACAAGCTTGCATACTCTAATCTGGATATGGTGTATTGTTTGGAAATCTCTGGAACGTACTTGTCAAGATAGCTCTCGTGCTCTGCCTTGAGATAGGGCTTTGAGGCAACAAGTCTCGACCACAAATTTAAAATGTAATAAACGCTTTGATTAGACCATTCAAGAGATTTGAAACTCTCTTGAGAAAATGTAGCGCTCAAATCTAGCCATTGCACATAACCTTTGCAAACCACAAACTCATTCAATTGAAAGTTGGACTTAATTCGTGCCAAGAGTCTGCAAAATTCATTATATGTATCTTGATCGTCAAGTCCAAACCTCGTTTTTAAAACTCCAGACATGCCATCAATAAATTTTGAAAGAAAATCTTTTCTCTCATCATCACCCGTAAATAATGACCTTCTCACACTACACAAGAGCACAAGAATTTGAAGGACATCTTTACGAAGTTTTGGATTTCCAAGAGTTGAATATAAATTCCAAAAAAGTTCCAAAGTGTCAGACTCCTCAAAAAGAGGTCTCCAAGCACCAGGTATCTGAATCGTTCCAACATCCTCTGATGACTCATCTGGGAAAATACCGACAAAGTCGAATTTAAGACAACTTAAGGTTAATTCTAGGGCCTCTTGGCAAAGTGCTTCATTAGCCTGAAGGTTATTGTTCATTCCTCCAATGTTGAGGCCCATTCCACTCAAAGATCTCAATACATCTTTCAATGTAAAAAGAGAAGTTTCAAAAATGCCTCGTAATGCCAAATCTCTGAATGAGACTGCAATTTTACGATGTTGAGTTAAGCTTTTTCGTGTTGTTAAGGTATTCATTTCTTCAATGATACTGTTTAAAATTCTGAGTCCAACAATGGAAAGTTGTGGGTTCGTAACTTGTATAAAGTACTTTTTAATTTGCTCGGGAAGATCTCTATTTTGCTGATCCTCTAGCCACCCCAATTTTGTTAATCTACCAACTAGTTTCAGTAATTCTGATGATACAAACTTGGGAATTTCAATTCCTCTCTTTGCCAAATAGTTTAATAAATAATTTCCTGTTGTAGATGGAATTGATGGAAAATTTACAAATAGTTACAAATGAGAAGATTTTAGTGAATGAATGTGGATTTCATAGAATGAAGTACGTAGTAGTAGTAGAATGTACAAGGTAGTAATGATGGCGTTCAGTCAAGATAATTGTTCAGATGCACATGAAAAACGTGTGTTAATAATAAAGGATAATTGTAAAGAAAAATATAGATATTTGTGAATTATTATAATAACAGATTTGCGAGCATTAGAATGAACAAAATCAGGGTAAAACTTACTCAAATCAGTCTTCTTTTCTGCCGAGAAACTATTCCAGTTATTTGTAATCATCTTGGTAATTTGTGAGGCTGCAAAAAAGAGAGCATGAGGATCTGCGCTTGCATCAAAAATCATGATAAGCTTTGGATAATTCTCCAATTTTTGGAACATGTGGAGTTGCCGCTCCGCTTCTTTTCTCTCGCTTTCAACCTGTCCGTAAATGGATCTGCACAGAGATTCAAATTTAACAAGATCTTCCTGGGACATCATTTTCGAAGAGAGGTATTAAAGAGTGTGGAAGTATTAAAAAAAGTTTGAACCCGAGAGTTTAAACGGTGAGTTGTAGTGAGTAAATATTACTAGAGTTGGTCTTGAAGAAGGATGCCAGATTAATAATGATTGGATACCCGTATGATGATGATGATTTTGTTAATTATTGGGAAGAATTCTCAAATTTAATTGCGGAACGATGATGATGATAAAAATATATAAACAACAACGCTCGCTCGTAGAAAGAAGGTCGATTTGAGAGAGTAGCTGCTGGCTGCGCCGACGAATACACGTGTTGTTATTCAAAAGAAATTTCGAAAGATCAAGTGCTCCAAACCAAAACGAGGGAGAAAATGCTTGAGATATCGTTTTTTTTTAAAATAATATTTGCTGTTCTTGTGGAATTCTTTTCTTGGCGGGTTGGAATACAGCAACCCTTCAAAAAGCCGTCCAACAAGATCCCAAAGCTCTATCACCTTCAAGTCCATCACAAAAGCAGAAAATGACGGCGAGAAAGACATTCATATCCATCCGATTCCACATCTTCCTTCTTTCAAAAACTGAATAATATTTAATTGTTGGGAGGGTAACAGTTATGTCATGCGCTGGTGGAACGTTCCAGGCTGACACATGCATGACGAACTTGCGGTATTTTTTGAGGCTGGACACACCTTGAACCATGAAGGTTAAAAAACACAAAGGAAGAGTACATGCACATTCCTCGCTTAATCCATTGATTACTGAAAGATCCTACCTCGTATCCTTAAATTTTTTTCGACATCATGACAAGTGAAAAGCAATGGCTGCGTTATTGATCAAAAAAAACCTCACACACCTCTCACGTGTGAGGCAAACAAACTTTTCAAATCTATCAATCCGTGAACACACCACACGGTGTGCTACGAAGAAACTTACCGAATTCAATCATTTTAACCACTACAATGTTATTCGTTTCTTTTCCCTCATTCAACGATCCTGAATCAAATGCTCTTGTTGGAGCAATTTCGTCATCACCACCACCATTCGGAGTGGTAAGAGCCTTTACCATTCTGAGACCTCTACCATCTGACCTCCTTCCTCTCACTTCAGCCGTGTACAACATTTCCAATGTGGCAGGAGGTTTTGAACTGAGTGATGGATTTGATCCTTTGAAAGCAACGCTCGAATCACCCATTGGATGACTCACCATGTATCAACAAGAATTGTACATGAGCGATCCCTTGAATGCAGTGGTGAGAAAAATCGATAGGGTTCAAAACACCATGCGTACGGTGTTGCAGTTTCAGACCTTTTCATTCCCTTTAAATTGATATCAACCTCTTTTTTCTCATGTGGACTTCAATGACAAGAGTGGAGATGTCTTTGTCTGTGATCCGTATGCCCATGTCATTCTGAAAATTCATGTGAATTCGACAACTAGTTCACTATTTGCTGGAATTTCCAGCAATGGTTTGCCTTTCCACCATCACCTGCCTGACCTGTACCTGCAATGGTTGTAATGAGACCTGTCGATATCACAACTTATGGCTCTGAAACTATCTTGGAGAGTGCCTTGTTAGCAGATCCATCCGCAATTGCAGTTTCTCCATTCACAGATGACATTTTCATTGCAGATATGAATCATCACACCATTCGAAAAATTGATATCAGAACTCGATCCATTTCTACCGTCGCAGGAATTCCTGGTGGCTAGAAACAGTGGTGACAACGGACCTGCCACTCTCTCACAAATTGCTTTTACTAAAGGTGTTGCCGTCTCCCCTCTGACTGGAGAGGTCTATTTCTCTTCTAAATTCAAGGTAATGAAAGTGCTGTTGAATGGAACACTTGTCACTGTGGCTGGTAATGGTCTTTACAATTATACGGGTGATAATGGATTGGCCACACAGGCTTCGCTGAAATCTCCTTCATGTCTTGCTTTCATGTCCAATGGAGATTTGTTAATTGTGGATAATGGTGCCACTCTGGATGGAACGATGCTGACAACAACCGAATTCGAAAAATTTCACCAAGTGGAGTCATTTCAACGATTGAAGGATTGGGATGGTGTGGTTTTTCTGGTGACCATTCGGATGCCACATTTGCTGCCTTGTGTTATCCCACAAGTGTGGTGGTGAGTGCAATAACTGGAGAAGTGTTCATTGCAGATACCATGAATCACAAAATTCGAAAAAATTTCACCAATGGAACGATTTTGACCATAGCTGGAGTTGTCACAACTAAGGGCTCCTCTGCAGGTTATTCAGGGGGTAAGTGTTTCAATCTTTTTTGGAAATAAGGAATAATGAAAAATAATATAATTTCTTTAATGAAAAATCGATTCATAACAACATGAATGAAATACCAATGATGATGAATTCAAAATGAATTTCATGAATAACAGAGGGAATGGATGTCCGAATAAGTCGATTGAATAATCCCACCTTTATGGTCTTGTCACACAAAGGTTCTCTATAGTTTTTCAGATACCAATAATCATCGTATAAGACAAATTGCAACGGATGGTCTCCTCTGGACCATTGCAGAAAATGGAACTGCTTGTTATGATACAGGTTCTTCTTCAAGCATTTATGGTCTCTCACCATTTGCCACTGGAACTTGTCTCAACTATCCTCAAGGTCTCATCATGTCACAAAATGGAGAGTTCTTCATTTCAGACTCGAACAATCATTGTATTCGAAAGTTATCGCCTAATTGTTTGAATCAATGGTATTGAAATGATGAAACTGAGGAGTGTCAGGAATGCCCAAAGGGTTACACTGGAGACAAGTGTCATGTTCCTGTTTGTTTTGGTTTTCGTAACGATTCAACTCTTGCTTGCAACACTCCTCGAAATGGAATTTGTGTGTCTCCAAATAATTGCCAGTGTTTGAATCAATGGAGTGGACCAGATTGTTCCATTCTGAATTGTGTCTCTGTGTCATTCAATGATCCAGCGAAATGTTCATTCATCTCTTCTTCATCCTCTTCGAATTCACAAACCAAAACAGAAGCCATTTCACAATTAGAAAATCTTTCATCGAAATTAATTAATTTCACAACTGATACGAGTGTGAAGGCGGAATTTCCTCCCTCTTTGACACAACATTTTATTGAAAAAGTAGGTTTGAGTTAGCTCTAACTTCCACCCACTCAGGTACAAAATCGAACAGAGACAGACTCTCCGTTGGTGAGTTCAGCATCAACCAAGAGGAACGATTCACAGGGCATGTCTGAGACGTCCTTTATTTCCATTGTGGTGTCGAGTCATGTTGGAGCTGTTTTGATCATTTCAGTGTTGGTTTTGATATTGGTTGTGATTATGGCCATATGTTACAGAATACGAAAGAAAACAGCTGCTTCTGTGTAGAGACAAGAGCATATGAATTCCTCATCCATTTTTAGAATCAATAGAAAATATCAAATTGAAATGAAATCATTCGAACATGAATGGATTTAAAATGTTTTTTAAAAATTGAATAAAAAATTTTTGATTGAATGAAAAAAAATGTTGCTGAAACACTCGCTCAAGGCTTCATCATCGTCATCACTGAAGAAAATTGTACATTGGGGAGAAACTTCCAGCACTTCCTGTTTTATTCTTACAGAAGCTGCTGGAGTGAAAGGTATTCACAATAGATCATTCCATAGTACTACATCTATGAATGCCTCATCAACCTCCGATGCAAATGTACCTATTTATGTGCATATTAAAGAATCAAATATTCCACCCTCAGTTCATTCAAAAATTGGACGTAATTTACATCGGAAAGAGAGTCATCCATTGTGTATCATCAAGACAGCCATTCAAAATCATTTTATCAAACAAGCTGAAAATTCGAGTGGTAGGTTGTTGGATGATATGATGTGAGGAAGGTAATTCGGAGATGATTTCACAAATTTCTCTATTAATGATATGAACAACGTCATGTTATTGTGTAAACAAACCACACCATGACCTCCAACATGTTCATAATTATGGTGATCTTTTGATGATTCATTACGAATAGAACCCCATAAGGTTCATATCTTTGATGAATTCCATCCAAAGGTTTCTACCAAACAAAACTTTGAGGATTTATGTTTCCCATCGGATCACATTTCTCGACAACCAACAGACACCTACTATTATGACAGCTTACATTTATTAAGAACTCACACAACTGCTCACCAAGTTGAAATTTTGAAACAAGGTTATAAACAATTCCTTATTGCAGGAGATGTCTATAGACGTGATGATGTGGATGCCACTCACTATCCAGTATTTCATCAAATGGATGGAGTTAAAATTTTCAGTAAGAAACACTTTTTGGAACTTGTCAAGAGTGGAAAAATTGATTTTGAAAGTGGAAAACCTACCTCACAGTCGAGGGGAGGATCGGTCGATATCAGCGCAAAAACTCCTGATGAAATTCAAAAAGCATTTGAAAATTATTGTATTCAAGAATTGAAAGGTGATTTGGAAGGAATGGCTCGAGCTTTATTTGGCGATGTCACAATGAGATGGAATTCAGAGTATTTCCCATTCGTCGATCCAGGAATTGAACTGGAAATTGATTTCCGTGGAAAATGGCTCGAAGTGTTAGGGTGTGGATTAATCAAGAAAGACATTATGAAAAATGCTAATTATGATCTTTCTGAATATGCTGGATATGCATTTGGAGTTGGATTGGAGCGATTGGCAATGATTTTATTCGACATTCCCGATATTAGACTCTTCTGGAGTGAGGACTCAAGATTCCTCTCTCAATTCGATCAATCATTGGCCAACAATACTCAAAAATTATTGTCCACCAAGTTCAAACCTTTTTCTAAATATCCTGGATGTTACAAGGATATTTCCATGTGGGTCAATGCAAACTACAGCGATAACGATTTTTATGAAATAGTTAGAGAATTAGCAGGAGATTTGGCTGAAAATGTTTCCATTGTGGACGATTTTACTCACCCCAAAACTGGACAAAGAAGTAAATGCTACAGAATCATGTACAGAAGTATGGAAAGAAGTTTGACCAATGAAGAAATTGATCAAATTCAATTTAAAATTAGAGAGATAGTACCACAAAAATTACCAGTCTCCCTTAGATAAATGAAGCACAATTTCTGTTTTTTTTATTTTTTGTAACCTGTTGCAGATTGTTGTCAGCTGCAACCGACTATGGGATAATTTGTGCTGCCTCAAAATAATTAACCACCAATTTTTATTTCAAGAACCCTATGACACATGTTACGATAAAATGATGGTACCTTATCATGCATCTCAGAAACTCACTCATTAATCCTAAGATAGAGCATTGACAATGCATGTTTGATGGGGTCCTCGTGTCATTATGAGATCTCTTTTCATGTTTATGGAATATATCAATTCCAAAAACACTCCTGTGCTTCTCTACTGCATGGTTGGATGATTTGGGTTTGCAGCAATAAAATATTGAGGTTGAAGTTGTGGTTGTTGGGGTATCAGAACGGGCATACCAGGAGATACTTGTTGCTGAGTAGTAGTGGGAATCATAAAAACAACACTACCTCCGCCGGGCTGAGGTTGTTGCTGCAACTGTTGCAGAGCCATCATTTGTTGTGCCTGAAGCTGTTGTTGCATGTGATTCAATCGCATTTGTTGCTGCTGTTGTGTGAGTGGTCTGTTGGCAGCTAATTGTCTCTCGGCCTCACTTCCATACCTCTCTCTAGAATTTGGCTTAAATGCATACTCGACGATAATCGGTCTTCCTCCAATGTATTGACCATTCATGTACATTTTAGCAGCATCGGAGGACTCGAAATTATCATATGATACAAATGCAAATCCCTTACTCTCATTCGTTTCGGGATCTCGTTGAATGCGTGGAGTATTCTGAATCATGACTCCAAATCTTCCAAATAATTCTTTCAAAATTGATTCATCATTAATACTAGGATCTAAATTTCCAATCCACAAATTTGCTCCGACATCCAAATTTTTGGCCGATTTGTCCTGATCATATCGATTCAGCTTCATGGGCCTTCCAAATAATTTAATTTGATTTATCACTTGAATGGCATAATTTGCATCATGTTCATGTTTAAATTCTACAAACGCATATCCCGAGTGAGTATTCGTAATTCGATCACGCGGTATTTTTACATCCACCACCGGTCCTACTTGCATAAATAATTCCCACAATAATTCTTCATCCGTTTGTTGATCCAAATTTCCCACAAAAATTGTTGCTTCCTGATTCCGTTCGTATTTGGCTCCGACGTTGGCTGCCGATGAGGAAGACATCATTCCAGCGGCTGTGGCCATTTTTTTTTGATTTTTTTAAAAATTGAACGGGGAGTTTCAATTTTTTTGTTTTTGAACTTTTGGACCCAACCCTAGATATGTAATTTGGTGTCGATTAAGGCTGTCACTATTGTCATGGGATTCTAATGTTGGACCTAGTCAAAGACTGTGCACTGGTTTTACAATGATTTGGTGTCACTTTCACAATTCAAATTAATATCAAATTTTTAAAGGAATTTTAAATATTGATTTCATCTGCCATTTAGAGTCATCACCCAATCACAAAGGAACATTTCGAAAGTATACCAGCAAAATTCTCCCAGTAACCTTCCAAAAGGAACTTGAAGGATCTCGAAGGATCTCATTGTGCAAAATATACCACAAAAAATGACGCAAGATCCCAATGCACATTCTACAACACCTTCCTCATCCTGATCATTGAGCACACCAATTTTTTGATAAATGGTTCCTTCCCTATCACAACACCTCTCGTGTGAAATATTCTGTCTTCTTACTGCATGTCATTCCTGGTGGAATGGTCTTCTTTTTGACACCACTTCAATTTGTTCAATCCATTCGAAAGAATATTCCATCATTGCACCGATGGATGGGTTATTTGAGTCTTTCAGCAGTCACAATTTCAGTTCCTGCTGCATTATGGTTGCTCGTATCGAGTTTAATGGGAATGGTGTGTGCTGCGACTTCTGTTGTTGTGGGTAATTGGTGTTTGTATTGTGTTGTGAGAGCCATTCAAACAGCGCGAGAAAAGTATTTCATCTCTCATCGTCGATATGCTATTCGTATGTGGGCTGTCTGCTTTGGTGTGTTCACAATGAGAATCATGATTGGAACTTTGAAGAAGGTGTTTTATCCGGTGGACGAAAAGACTGCAGTTTCATTGTTCTCCATTGAGTTTGTGGTTGGATGGTTCGTGTCGTGTGGATTTGGAGAGGCATATATGAAGTGGACAAGCAGTGGTTCCAATAAGGTCAGTCAAGAAAAGAAAATTATTTGAGTGAATTCAACAGCAGTGATGATCATTAAAGAAAAAATTCATTCCATTTCGAATTTGAATTTCACAAACATGTCAAAAACTTCAAAAATTTGAACTGCAGCAGTTCATGTCAAAAACTATCTATCCACTTCAATGTTTGAGACTTTGAGTGTGCTCTCTCATTTACTGTAAGCCTTCTCCAATTTGTACATTTCAATAAATTTATCCACAGATTTGGCAGGTGTTTCTTGAAGTTTAAGGAAAAAATCATGATCTGGAATCACTTCACCACCTCCCATTCGATCATAACATTCACGATAAATTTTACGCCATAACGACGAAGTCATGGAAACATCTGCATGAGCTCTGTGAGCATTCATAGATGCTCGTCCCAGTCCCAAATTTTCAATCAGACTTCCTAATTTGTAATCGGTTTGACCTGGAAATAATCTTCTCGCTAATTTCAATGTACAGAGCGTATTGGCAAATAAGGGATGCTCTGAAAAATCGTTATACATTACCGAAGAGGACAATTCCGTAGTGTTGTTATTGATGAGATTGTACCTCACAAACTCATTAAAGATCACACTTGCATCAAATCTCACATTATGTCCAACCAATAGAGAGGGTTGAGAACTCAAAAAATTGTACAATTGAGACAAGACAATCTGAGGAGGAGGTGCTAATTCGAGCATGGCTTTGGTAATTTTAGTAATTTCTGCCACTTGTTCTGGTACATATGGAATATCAGCATTGACTAAACTTGTGAAAGAGCTTATAGAAGTGCCATCGATGATTCTGGCTCCAGCAACTTCAATGATTCTGCACATGCTCACATTAGTGGAAGTTCCTTCAATATCAACAATAACAATATTATATTTGGGAGAGTAGGGATTGGACGTTGATGCGTTCGGAGTGGGTACTGATGGTGAGGATGATGATGCTTGTAATCCATTGAATGACTTTTTCAAAGCAACGGAGAAGGACGTATGAAATTTTCGTGTGTGGTTGACTGTTGTTGTAATGAATGGATTATTCTTGATGATCATCGTGTTGTGATTTTTCGTCGCTGAAGTGTTCATCATCAGCCTCGGGAACATTCCACAAGAATGCCGTTGTTGTGGGTGATGATGAAGAGAAATTCTCAAAACATTGAGGAAGGCTTGTTTTCTCATTTTTTTGTTTTGATTGGCGCCAAAATAACGGTCATTTATATTCATCCTTATTCACACACATTTACGTGAGAATTTTACTGAGAATTTTACTACTTAAGCTGTGATGAAGTGGAGGTGCTTGGGGTCATGTGGACGGCATGAGAATTGTTGTTGTTGGCATCCTCTCGAATTCTCGATGACTTGTTTTCCACATTCTCCAAAGTAATGGAACGCAAGATTGGATAGAATGAAATATCTTGTCTCTCCAAACAATTACTCACATATTGTTCTGATCCAGTATATTCTGTTTTTGGTTTCGTTTTCAAATAAATTAGGAAAAATAAATAATTCCACATGTTGTGTTCCTTCTTAATGTGATTATTGAAAGTAATTCCTTCGTTTGCTTTTTGATCAAATCTCGATCTCACAATATCACAAATAAAACACTTATTTTTCACACGATCTTCAGTTTTTTCTCGATTTTCTCTGAGTTCAGCAAATGAGTCCAAAATAATACCGAACACGACTTCGAATAGAACGACAATGACCACCAAAATGAAGAGCATGTTAATGACTTCTCTTGCCCAAACTCCCCAACTTGGTGTAAATTGATCTTCGAAGAATCCTCCTGTTCTCAAACCATAGTTGAGTGTGTTTAACATGCAATCAGCAGCAGAGTCACACAAAAATTGTCGTTCTGTTGTGGTGGGTGGATTTGGATCTAAAAAGAAAGTTTCTGGAACGAATGCAAAAATCATTAAGGAAAAGAACCAAATTGCAACAATCATGAGTAAACTTGTCAATACAAAACGTTCTGCAGTGGTTTGAATACTTCTCACAATATCGTAAAGTGTCTCAAAACGAACCACAACTTCAAACAAGTGAATCGAATAAATGATGGGATTCAAAAAGAGACCCAACACAGAAACTACCCAATACACCACCAAAAACCAAATATAAAAATCTTGAGCCAAATATTTCAGGTAGGATTTGTAAAAATGTTTGTCTCTCGGCAAATCTTCCCATTTCTCTTCCATTTTCAATTTGAATTTTTTCTTCACTTCTAAGGTGGCTAAAAAGTATAAATATGTGATAAAGAGAAGGGTTGTAGTTAAAATTTGAATGACACCCAATATTGTTTGAACAATATCAAGCCATTCGGTTTTCCAATCTCCTTCGTAATAAAAGTCTCCAGTAGTAGCATCGTCTGGATCACTATAACCAGGAAGTGGAATGTCGCCAGGTGTCACTGAATACATTTTCTTAATTCCAAATAAAACAATTAAATTGATAACCATGGCAATGAGGAAACTCATCATTTTGATACGTTGCCAATTTTCTTCTTTCAAAAATCTCCAAATAAATCCTCGAATGATTTTCCAAGTACTAGCTTTTTCATTCTTGTCAGGTGTTCTTTCAAACTGCTTGTAGTGATCGATTTCAGTATAGAATGTATGAGTTTCATCGAAAAAGTTTCGAATCTTTTCCTGAGCTGTGTATTCTTCCGAGTTTACCGTATTCACGAAATTCTTTTTTGAACGATCCGACAAAAATCGACTCTCTTCTGGAATTCGGTAATAGACATTTTCGAGAGTGTTATTTCTCACAATTTCCATTCGTCCAGTTTGTTTTTCGAGTGGAACTAAATATCTTGCATATTCTGGAGATTCTAATAATTGTGTAACTTTTCGGTGACCGGGTTCAGGTAATTGTTGTGACTTGGACATATCTTCAATATGAATACGTTCAAAATCAGACAAAGTATTCAAAAGGAAGTAAATTTGGAATGCAATTTCTTCGTGTTGATTGGTGGCAAGTGCAATTCTTCTTGCTTTTTCCTTATTGAGTGCCTTATCTCTAAAACCATCGTGAGTGACTTCGGATTGAATACGTGATGCCATTTCTTCCCTTGCTCCAGTATTGAGGTCTAATTTAGGAAGACCCTTTTTTCCTTCTTCTAAAAAGTCGTTTGGAGCAAATGAAATGATACAACACTTTTTAGCCAACTCAATGATATCGATGAAATTCAAAGAGTCACGCATGATCATGGCAATCTTGTGATTGTTACTTCCTTCCAATAGTGAAGTCAAACAAATAAACATGGCACTTTTCAACTCCAATGTCTTGTCTAACGTCAATACATTTCGATAATCTTTGGATAGAATTTCATTACACACAAAATAAAATTTGGGTGACATTCCAATGACTTGCTGAGTGGTTAAGCAAGGTCCTTGAACAAATTCAGTCAAAGAGTCAAAACATTGAATGGCTGTTTCAATATTTTCACTGGTAATGTCCTTTTCGAGCGCAACAATAAAATTCAAACATTCCTCAACAATATTCACACTTTGCAGATTGTACTTTTGATCTGCCAAATAATGTTGCAAGTCAGCATTATGACCTTCTGTCATTAATTGAAGGAAACGCAAAATTTCTTCGATGTGTCCCTTTTCTTCGAATACATCTTGAGTATCATCTCCATCGTTTTGATTATTTTCGGATGAAGAATCATCAGTACCTAAAATACCGCCTCCTCCAATCAAAGAATTCTTATTTCGATCTGTGGAAGGTGTTGAGATAGGTGTCGCTGCAGCATTCAATGCCACAGGATCTCCTCTTGCTCTCAATTTAAGGGCTCTTGCTTGTTTAGAATCTTGTTTCTTCTCTTCCAATCTCTTGTGATAAGCTTTTCTTTCCTTAATTTCATCAATCGATAATCGAATTCTATCACGAATGGAAAGGAAGAATTTCTCAGAGCCTCCTCTCTTGAATAAGGTATAAATATAACTCTGAACAATATTGTTTCCTTCGAAGAGCATTGCAATTCCAAGTTCAATTGCAGATTTCACAATTTTATGATCATCCATGCAAACCATTTCAATAATGAGTTCAGGAATTTTTGCTTTGGTAAGATCATGATGGAATTTGTTCAATTTTCTCAAACGTTGTTCGGGAGAAAATTTTTCATCACCTTTTTGTTGAGTGTCCATAATTTGTTTTAACATTTCGAGCGAGTAGAGTGTGACATTGGTCATGCCTGTCCGTTGTCCTAAACTGACGAGTGATTTGTTACTCTCAGATGATGTCATGTTGGCTGTCACGTTAAAATAATGTAGCTCTGGAATTCGACGAATGACATTGACAATCATGTCCAAATATCCTCTGTATTTTTCATACAGTAAAACTCCCAAATTTGCAAAATTCGATTCTTGTGTAAGAATAATGAGAAAATCAGACACATAGGCTTTGTACTTTTTCATATATCTTTCGTCTTCATCCTCCTTCTTGTTGGTATTATTGGATTGTTGTTGTGAATTCAATTGTTTGAGTCTTTGATGTTGCATCATGTGTTGCTTAAATTGATTTGCTTTCGAGTTAGATGCTTCTTTTAGGAATTTGAAGATTTCTTGTGTGAATTCTTGAGGCATAGATTTGTTTTGATTTCCTCCCTTACTGACTTTACACATGGCTTGCAAACACTTGATGACTGCCTCTTTTTGAGATGTCTCCGTGACAAAATCATATAAACTGAATAAACCTTCAATAAGATGTTTGATTACTTCTAGTTGTTGAGGTTCACATGAAAAGTCATTTGGAGGGAATTTCAAGTGGAAATAGTGATGAATGAATGGAATCATTAATTGGAAAATATACTTCAAGTCGACATAAAGTTTCTCATCCTTATCAAAGGATGTCAATGAAGAGTCGTCTTGGCCATCAAGAGGTTTCTTCCATTTCAAAACAAAGGAAGATTTAGCAAGTTCTAAAGGATTTGAATCTTGTGACTCTGTGGTTGCTCGATTGTGAACGGTAGCGTTACCCGTGGATTTAGTAGGTGCACTAAGATCAGTTGGAGTCGAAATCGAATCAAGTATAATTTCAGTACTTCTTCGATTCAAATTTGGAGAAGTGACAAATAAACTCAATTCTCGAGTCATTTTGGCAATAAGGCGAAAAATAGGTGCGCTACTTGACAATTGTTTTTCATCTTGAACCTTATCGGCATTGATGTAAACTTCATCGAGAAAACGTAGTAAAGGATTTCTCAATTCAGGAATTGTGTTTGGGCTCAGTAATTGTTTTAAAATATCCTCCATAGAAAGTAATGACTGAAGCTTCACCTCTGCAACATGGTTTCGTCCATCACCACATTCTGCTAAAAGTGACAACAACTCAATGTGATAACATAAAATTCCATCTGGTTGATTTTCATGCTCTAAATTTTTGATTCTCTTATCTCTTTCTTTGATGCCTTCCTCGTCATTAAAGAGAACAATCACATCCTTTCTACGATCTAATAAATTTTGAGTCACCATTGATTGATTTCTCTTAATAGGATTTCCTTCAGTATTGTTTAGGATGATTTTCAAAAAATTCAAATATCTAGGTTTTAGGCCATGCTCTGCCATTAGATCAATCATGCTTCTCACATGCTTCTCTTCAATCATGCTACACAAGCCTCTATTGTTTCTCATAATTTCACAAAGAAGAGTGGAAACTCCCAATTCTTGTCCAATTTTGGTCATGAAAAATTCCAAGTATGGAAACAGAATGGCTTGATTCTCATTATTCTTTTTCACAAAATTAATTAAAAACCGAACGCAAGATCTGTGAATTCGTCCTTGACAGCGATTATCAGAAAAGGTTTTGGTTAGAGTTTCGATGGCAATTTCATGACCGCTCAAGTTTCTCAAAATTCTTTGAGTACGCGAACCATTCTTTTCATAATCCTCTTCAATGCGTTCGAAATGTTGTTGAATGAGTTTGGAATAATCCTCTAGAGAACTTCCTGATGTGAATTGGGCCAAGTCAATCACATTCTTAATTTCTTTAAGAATTTCAAGAATATTATCGTAACTGCGAATCACAGTAGAAGATACAAGTAATTCTATTTTTGGCAACAATTCTTTTAGCTCTTCCTTTTCTCTGTGAATACGAATTAAGAGGTTGAGAGCTTTCACAGCTAATTCTGCATTCTTAGATTTTGTCAAGTCAATCAAGATCTTTGTTAATGTTTCAGTAGAAGCACTATCATTGAAAATAGAATCTTTGAAAAGTGAGTTTTTCACAAAGTCTTGACGTTTGTCTTCACTCACACTCTTATCGCTCACCGTAAAGCTGTACTTGAAATTGATCAAGAAAAAGTCAACACGAACATTCAATTGTTGTGACTTGATAATATCAAAAATATTGCAAACTTCTTGTTTGATTTTAGTGGTAATGAGCGTCTGTTCGTTCTCTTCATAGATGGCATCAAGAGCAGATTTACCGTTCAACTTGTCAGAAGAACAATCCAAAACTTTCAACAACTCGACGACTACTCTGTGTGTTGGATAAATATTTGACAAATCAAACATGCCCAATTCAAACATTTTTCGAGTCATGAATGTTAAATTATACATGAAAATATTCTTTTGAATACTGGTAATGTCATTTCCACAATCGAGTTCATAATTTTCTTTAAAGAAATCTGTCAAAAATGATCTCAACTCTTTGAGTCTCTTTTCATCCTGATTCTTTTTCATCTTTTCAATTTCTGTCCACTTTCTTGTCAGTGATACTGTTGGATTTGTTTCATAGGGATCGACATCCAAAAAACAGTTCAGTAAGAGAGTACAGAAACTCGATCTCAACTCAAATGTCAATCTCTTATCTTTGATACATGCCAAAACAAGTTCATAGGTGAATTTCTTTTCGATATATTCAATAGCTTGCTTGTTTCTTCCCAAACACAACAGTGAAAATAATTCGATTTGCTTCTGGAAAAAGTATAACAACACTACAAAGTCGTCCTGAACATCGAACATGGTCGAACTATTAGCAGACATGATTTGAACGAGAGCTTTCGAGACAAATTCTGCCAATTCATATTCCACTCCATTCACCTTCATACAAATCTTGGATTTTGTGTTTTCATCTGCAAAATATGGAAACATGAGAGCATTATTCACACATTCATCTTCAAAGAGTAACTTGGTGATGAAATTTTGATTATTCTTGATTGGTCTATTACCACATGCACACAAAGCACTCAAGAAAGACAAGTAAATGCGATTCTTTCCACTCACATATTGTTCTTCTGCAGCACTTGTATCGCTCTCTCCCAAATTAATTTCTTCTTGTTGCTTGTTTGATTTTCTTGGGGAGGGACTTCCTGGAAGTCTAGGGCTCAACAATTTTCTTGGAGATGAGAGTGATTCATCGGACATATTCTCTTCCTCATCGACAAGAAGTGTCACAAAGTACTTGATTTGCTCCTTTGGCATTCTTACAAGCAAATTGTAGTTGTTTGTTAAAATTTCGATCAAGGCAACACTTGCTCCGACATCCAATTTGATATGTTGCTGAATTTGAGTAATGTACTTGGCCATGTATAAACCATTTTCAGTATTCAACTTGACCGATTGCTTAACCACTCGATATAAATTACGAATCAAATAGTGATAGGAAGCCAAATCAGATTCTGTCCAAGAACTATCATTTTGTTGAAAGACAACCTTCAAGAGTGTGTCACCTGATGAAACCATTTCTGGAACTTGATCTACCAACTGCTCAATCAACTGCATAATCATGTCAATAATTCCACGCTCTCTAAGAATATTTTGTCTATTTTTGAAAGGAATACCCTCTCTTTTCAAAGGATCTTCTTCATCAGAATCTGTCAAGAAATAAATCAATTGTGAAATGGCTGGTAACAATGTTTGCATGAGAACTTTAAAATCATCAGGTCTCTTGATAACTCTTGCTTGTACTTTCTTTGTAAAACTCTCAATCATTGGAATGATACTTTGTACAAATAGTAAATCTTCCAATTCTTGTTGTGGGACTCGATATACAGAAAAGACATCTTGCTCATATAATACATTGGTAGAATAGAGTGGATAGGTATTTTTGGATCCATTCTTTTTAACTTTCTTTTTGATAGGTTCCATCTTTGTTGACTTTTTATCATTCACAGAATCGGTTTCATCTGCTCGCATCAAACTTGATCCCACTCCACTGTCACTATGAACACCATGAACCCATGTTTGAGTGTGTGCATGTTTGAGACGGAAATAGCTCTGTAATGGAATTGGATAATTATGAAGAGTTGAAATTGCTGGATCGTGTTGTGAAGTCGATGCTGATGCGGCATCATGAGGTAAAATGACAAACGTGGTATCTTCCGAACCCAAATCCTCTTTCACAGCTAAATGCAAAGAAACTCCAATTTGTTCCTTTTTCACAGAGCTCAGTAATTTCTTTTTCAATAATCTCCATAAATGATCGGTGGAGTTATGACTTGAGGATGCAGAGGGCGTTGAGACAGCAGATGAAAGTGATGCAGTGCTATCGTTGTAAGCAGAAGCCCGTGAAAATGGATCGTGACGAGGATCTTTGCTAAAATCTGTAACAGGTGTTTTTGTGGATTTTTTCACACGATTAGAAAGTTTGGAAAAGAATGCACCAGAAACTCCAAATTCATCATCGTCCTCATCCAATGATAAATCTTCCATTAGTAATCCAGAATCATCTTGATCACTTTGCAAAAATAGTCTCGAATCATTAGTGGCAAATAAATACTTTCCTGTTGAAATGTGTTTCAATCGATATTTTCCGAACCACATTAAGGCGCCACCTCGAGTTGGATCCAACATTTCAACTTCCCACAGAGTATCGGTTTGACTCGAATATTTGTCAATACTTGGAGTTTCATTCACTTCATTGGATTTCTTTGACTTGAAAGGTAAGTTATGTTTTTCACCTTGTAAGGTACTTCCTGAGGAATGAGAGTGAGATTTTGAATGTCCAATACATTCAACACGTCCAGTTTTAGTATTGACTGTGAGAAAACCTCTCAACTCAGTGTGATACAATCGAATCACATCACCTGCTTTCAAAGTATTTGAATTCACTCCCAAATATGGAGAGAATAATCGAATTCTCCAATTTGTTCTCGAATATGATGATGTGAATGATGTGCCAGGAATCATGTGAATTTCTTTTCGTGAATCCTCATCGACTGTCAATTGAGAAGATATTGAACTCATTTGTGAATTGGCAGATAAATGAGAAGGTAATAATTCTGAATATTTGTATCGACCTAAATGAAGAAAAGTATTGCTTTTTCTATTGTAAAATCGAACTTGATCACTCAACTTGACTGCATCTCCTTCAGATCTAAACTTGTAATATGGAAGCACTACAAAATGTGCTGTTGAATTAATGGATTCTTCTGAAACAAGTGTTAACTTGAGACAATCTTTTTGCTTTTCAGCTTTTTCTCTTGGATTTACACATAAATATTTCTTTGTTTTCAAATGCATTAATTGAATGGGTTGACCATATAAAATCTCTCTTCCCATATTTCTATCCGATTCAATCATATTTTGTTGCTTTTCACGTTCCATCTTTCGTTCCAAATCTTCAATTTGAGCACGTTGTTCCTCTGTCAAATCTAAAAAGTGAAATTGATGAGAACGAATAAAAGTTTTCACAGAAGCTGCTTGACCAAAATTTGCACCATGTGAGCTTGATAAAACACGATTTGGATGAGTATCTCCACCCACAACACTCTCATTAAGCCCAAGTGTTAATTGTGTACTACTTGTGTTTAAATCTCCCTTAATAATTCCCGTTAATGAAGTATTTGGAGGATTAATGCTTGAAGGAATGGTCGAAGTCGTGGCCGATGTTAAATTATTACTTGTCACAACATTTGTGACATTCCCAGAAGGAGATGAGTTTCCAGTAGCACTTGCCGAATTCGCATTTGAAGAAGAAGCTCCCGTATTGGAGGTTTTGGTTTGATTCATGGATTTGATTTTGAGATTGAGTTGTTCAATTTTTTGATAAAACTCTTTGTGTGCATTATAGGAGTAGGCCTGTTGAACTACAAAGACACAGGCTGTTATTGATGTTGTTGTTGTTGCAAATAATTCATGAAAAGTGTGAAAATTGAATTATAATTATATTATAAAATATATTATATATTATAATAATGATAAGAATCAAACTTGAAACAACACTTGAAAAACATACATTTAAAATTCGAAGGTAAATTTTCATCGGAAATGTCCTCCAAACCACATCGAGCGTTAGAGGTAAATCTATGTGTTCAAATCACATGTCGAGGTAATGAATAATATTTAAACACACATGATTCAACATTTTTGATTCCAGATAGTTGTTGTTGTTGATTTGGTTGTTGTGTCGAGTGTTGTAAATCATCACGAAAGGTTAGGTTCGTCGTCCACGTGTTGGAATCCATCACACACAAAAAACATTTTTTTCAAATTCATGTTCGGAATATGTCATCATCGTTAGGAGTCGTCATTTAAATTTCACATATTCACATTTACACACAAGTACGCAAATAAACAACAATAAAGGTTCAACAAATATCAATCAAAGATCATTGTTGGAATTTTTCCTAGAACATCCACACATTCAAACAAATAATAAACACTTACCCCTTCACACTCATAAAACCAATTTCATCAGACATGTCATCCGATGATGAGTTGTTGTTACTATCATTATTTTCATCATCTCCTTGATAATAAATTGAAATCAAATCACCAACACACAACGAACGTTGATTCAATGAATGTTGATGTTGAATGGCCATTCCAAATTTTCCTAGTGAATGAACAAGTCCTCCTGAATGTGTTCCGATCGAAGAGGAGGATGACTTTGAAGTGTTGGTGGTGGTCGATTTGACATTTGGTGTAATGAGTGTTCGTAAGGATGATGATGATTGTTTGGGAGGTGATGAGAGGTCGTTGTTGGAAATCATCCCTTTGTTGTTCTTGTTGGAGATGAGTGAAGTGGTGTTGCTTGGGACAAGTTCAAGAAGTCAAAAGTTCGAATCTCAAGCGAATGATGATGTGTTGAGATTTTTCTTTTTTTCTTGATGGTGACATCTGATAAAATGACAAGAGACAGAACTTTGCCACATTATCTATTCGTTTTGTTCTTTAAGGCTTTGAGTCGTTTTAATGTCGTTCAAGTGATGGAATTTAAAAAATCTTATATATATAAATATCTTACACTACAAATTAGCAGGCTGGGACGTAGAAAAAATGGTTTTCTGAAGAGATTCAATTCTACCCTTCGATTCTTGCACATCCGTGTGGCAAATTTTTGTCACCGTAGAAAAAGCCATTTTGTCCTCCTAATTTATTGTGTTTACGCAAATTCAAAGAGTACATCGTGAAATTTTTCTTCTCGGTCATGAGCACGTTGTTTCAAATTACTCCAAAAGAAAGAAAGCATTTTGGAAGAATTAACACAACTCTTAAAAACAACGTATTGCCATCCACCTCCTCGAACATCATTAAAATCTCCTCCAAGTGGGAGGCGAAGTTGAAAGTTTTTATACTGTGGGAATTTATGAACCACTTCTCCAACAAATATTGCTTCAGTGTCTAATAACATGATGATGATGGTTATGACAAGTGACAGGGAAGGAGCATGGAGCCATGAAAGGATGAGTTATATTGAAAGAATGACCAATGCATGACAGCATAATTTGATGATTGTTTCACAGAACGGTTTGCATTTGTCAAACCACAAAGTATTTAGTCAAATCTCAATGACACCATCACATCAACAAAAACTTACCTGTTAGAAAAACACTTCCACGAGAAGAGCATTGCAACCTCTTTGGATGGTCTTTTTTGGTCAAGACTATCTCTGTTTTGGAAAACGTGGTGGGCGATTCCAAACGACAACACTGTTTGAGATCATTGTATCCTGTTGCGTAAACATTTCCATTCTCCAAAAGTATCAATGAATGAATGTATCCACATTTCACTTGCATAATTTTCTCCTTAAATTGATCATGGGTGGGCATGAATTTTTCACGAGCTTGTTGCATACCTCCAGTGGAGCCGTTTGAGTCGTCACCAATCACATAGAGCATGTTATCTTGTGTGGTTATAAATGCACAAACTGGGCTCACACACAAACTGGTGATAGGAGAACAAACCTTTTCATTATTCACATATCTCAGAGTTTGAAAATGGAAGCCATAAATTTTGTTGCTTTGTGTTACAATCATGACCTTCTCAGATTGTGAGGCTCCTTCAATGAATCGAATTCGATCATTGGGAGCCATGAAAGTTGTGTTTACTCTCACTCCAGGAGCCGTTGCTGAGGATGTTAAACAAATCAATAAACCATTACTCATCTCGATATAAAGATGTTGTGAGTCACACGCGATCTTGTTATATTCATAGGATCTCATACTTGTGTTGGGAATTTCAAATTTTTCATAACAATAATCCACTAATTTAAATTCATCGATCAAAACAAATTCTGGAGTTCCAATTTTTGATTTCTTGAAAATGGCTCTCAGACCTTCATTCATATGGAAGGCAGAATTCAGAACTAATTTGTTTCTCGATGTTTGGAAGCAAAGAATCTTATTTCCCAAATAAATATCGGAACATTCAAATGGCAGGAATAATTCAGTCCAGTTTGAGTCTGCAATATCTTTCCGGGAGTAGACTCCTTCGGATGAAGTTGCAACGAGATATTTGTGAAATTTCTCTCCTACAAATTCATCATAATAGAGACCTAGATCAACTTTGTGAGAGAGAAAAGGCTTCTCTGGTTGTAGAGGTGTTCCCATTTTTTTGTTGGACTCATCAAAATATATATTTGAACTTGTGTCATTTATCATATTAAATAAAGTGGATTGTCCCAGAGCGAGGTGATAAATGGAGGCCACATAAATTGAAATAAAAGAAAGCTTGTGGAAACAGAACTTTCTCAACTCACGAACAAATTTTGTATCCTAGCAATACCATAGAAAGGTAGTGTGATACATCACCAAAATATATTGTGGATCATTGCAGCAAACCACAACCTCATTGTAGATACACAATACCCCAACTTGGTAGAATAAAACAAATTTTTTATCGAGGGACAACCCACAAATATTTGAATTATGTTTATGAAATCGATATCGATACTGGTATTGAATAGGTTCAAAAGAAGGAAAAATCCATTCACAAGTGGTATCAAATTACTTGTTCACTTCTCGTTGCTCGGCAGTTATGCTCATTTTGTATATTTCTTCATCACTCATTTTCTTTCTCTGTTGAACCACAAAATACAAAAACTCCAATATTTCAATATCGAGCCTTGAATTGGATTCATTCTGAGATGTTTGTTTAAACATTGATTTCAATTTGTCCTTCAAGGACTTCTTTGAAATGATTTGAATTTTGTGTTCTATCTCATCTTCCTCATTGCTACTCATCTCTAATCCTCCTAAATAGTGATACAATATGCTTGGTCGAAAATAAATTCTTCCCATTTCTCTTAAGGTTGGAGTAATATGATACAAGTGATATCTGATATCTGAACTACCGTCAAACAAAAAAACCAAATCTGTGAGTGAAACTTGTCTATAATTGTGAATCATTTTGCATGTTCAAGGATTGATTGGTCAATATGAGAGTTAAATTCAACAACAACGACAAAAATAATGTCAAAATCTCAGATCGCATGATACATGCAACTTACAACAATGTTGTACAACATCTTGATTGTTTGATCTTTGCATGGTATTTTCGGAATTTGGTACCTGGTGAGAGGACTTAGGCCTTTGCAATCTTTCAACAACAGTTCATAGTCATTACTCTTTTTTTGTGCGTTAATGGTTCGTTTCATTCTATGAACTGCTCCATTTTCGATAACAGTTTGAAAAAGTTTGGCAGATGAAAAATCATTCAATACAAAACTATATAACATGGCCTGCTCAATTTTTTCATAAATGCTGGCTCTGTTGTTAAGGTCATTCTCTTGTACAATACAAGTGGTAAGAAAATTCAATAAATTATTCCAGCACGAACAATTTCTCAACAAGACTTTGGATCGTTTTTCGTATGGTTCTCTCACGCTTAAAAAATCTGAAATCGATAATTGTCTCATCCCATAGTCGAGCATTGCTGCCACATGTAGGGACAATGTTTTGTAAGTAAATTGTGGATTTAACAACAAATTATTTTGTTGGAGTTCTGAAAAGTTCTTCACATGAGGATTATTCTGGAAAATTAACTTGTTTTGATCCACATTCTCTGACAAGTGTGAAAATGGATTCATTAAAAAGTATCTATTCTTTTCTTGCTTGATAATAATGTTTTGAATGTATTCACACTTCTCCTTGCAAGTGGCAGCGAGAGGTAGATCCATTTTGGTCAGTGTTGGAATGATGAATTGAGAACAATAACATGCAAATTGAAGCAACTCTGTATATATTGTTGATGACATTCCTCCAAGAATCATACTTGAAATAATATCAAGAAGTAAATCTAGTTCCATATTGAACAATTTCACTCTAATCTCATAATTAAGATGCTCTGGAGAGCGAATTGGAGCTGCATATTTCATGTTTGGAAAATATAGTGACCAATGTGAAAAATTCTCAACATCCAAAGTCAGCAATCTCTCAAATAACTTGTACATGAGGAGAGAAATGTTGGAGCCAAAATACTCGCAAGCGACTGGCAGCATGTTCAGTAAACATGGGATCGTGTCACCTGCATTACTCAATCGTTCCTTGAGAAGATTCAAAATATCTCCAATGTCGGAGGGGCCAGTGTGAGGTTGAAATTTGTAATCATAGATCACTGAGAAGATGAATTGAATCACAAAGGTGGCTCGTTTTTCACAATCCATTGCAGTTAAAACGGGTGCGGAAGAATTTTCTGAATGGGTTCTCCTTGATGTGATCGTGAAAGTATTGTTGGAGAAGGTTTTACTGAGTGGCTTTCTTTCTTTGTGACCTTTTAGGCATCCCAATATGCATTCAAATTGCTCCTTGTCCCAAACTACGCATGAAGCCATGGAGGCAGTATCTGAGCTCAGCTCTGATGAGGTGGTGTTGGTGTTAAAATTTTCAGCCTGTTTGTTCTTTGATAATGAACTATCATCTGTGGCAGTACTGTCAAACTCAGAGTTATTCTTCAATGTCGACAACAAACTGGAGAATGTTCCTCCTCTTCTGAAAGAGTAAGCATAGAGAGAGCGAATCACTCGGAAATTTAAAATACAATCATTCCATTTCTTGTTCACAAGCCTCATGATGTGATACATCTCGTCTATGGAAATGAAACAAAGCACCTGTGGGAGAATGTCTTCCTCCCTGTTGAGAAGACATGCAGCTGACCACGTCGACATTTTTTGTTTGACAACGAAGAAGAAATAATAAATCACCAACTAATTTTTTGTTTGACAACTGAATAGGGGAGAGTTCGGTAACTTTGGGCGATCTCAGAGAAGATCAAAGAGGGTTTGTCCAGAATAGAGAATGGTTACGATTTGGTGAGGGAAATGGCCTTAAGCTCGTCTTCTTGCTTTCTCATTTTTTGATGAAACTCAATTTCAAAACGATTTGTGTAAATTTTAAATTTATTTGCGAAAAGCTCGAGTAGCAACCATTCAAATTGCTTATCTCTTTCTTTGCAATTTGGTGGTGTTTCTTCTCTTCCAATCTCCTCTTCTGGATGGTCTAACCTTGGATGAAGTGCATCCCTTTGTTCTCAAACCACGATGTCTCTTACCGGATGAGGTGAGACCTCTCATTTCTCTGTGCTTATGTTTGGTGGTTGCAATCCAGTTAATTTGTGGATCGACTCTGACGGATTCAGAGGTTGGATCAACACAAATGACTTCATACCACTTGTATCTACCATCTTGATTGACCCAGTATGAGTTCAACACTCTCAATGCACCAACTCTCTTACCAACTCTTCCTTCAGCAACAACTTGCAAGTTTCTCTTTGGCTTCAAGTGGATACCTTGAGTTGCTGGCTTACCGTTGACTCTACCACCTGGAACTTGCTTTTTACGACCACCACGTCTAATTCTGACTCTGTAAATAACGTATCCTTGCTTGGCCTTGAATCCGAGTTGGTGAGCCTTGTCTGGTCTAGTTGGGTGATTGACTCTGTGGATTCCTGGCAATTGTCTCAATTCCCAAGAACGAATACGTAACAAGTATCTCAAAGCATCAGATTGCTTCTTCTTGTACAAAGCATTCAAGTATTTGTAGGCACCCATTTCTAAAAGTTATGGCTGTTGTGTAAGAAAGTTCAAGAATGATGAAGTTCAAAAGAAGAAATGATTTAATAACAATCCAGAGAAAGATTATCTGAATACATACTTTTGGCGTATTTTTTTTTCAACAATTTTTTCAAAATTCTAGTCAACCTGAGTTTTGAAGTTTACAATGAAAGAGAAAAAAGGTTTGTTTGCTGTTTCCTTAACGCTTTTGGGTACCAAACAATGAAACATCAAGACTTAGTTCCCCAAAGACATCAAATGTTTCTCGTTTCTTATTGATTGTGGGAAAACCTTGGCATCTGAGCAAACTGACCTTCATGATTCCAAAAACCTTCCAAAAACAAAAATCATGAAGCAACACCCGACACGCACCACATCAAGGATGACAACACACTTCCGAAGCAATCCTCATCATTTTCGACAAAAATCAATGATATCCTCCACAAGAGCAACAAGAACAACAACATTCCGGTACATGACCCTTCTTTCTCTTCTTGTTCTTTCCATCATCACCACCCTTCCGAACACCTTCATTCCTTCGCAATATTTCTTTTTTTGTACACGGAGGAATTAAATTATTCCCTCCATCCTTCTCTCACGCTCCGAGCTTTCTCTTCCGAGAGAGTATTCTCTATGACGTGAGTTCTAATGTGGGATTTAATGGAATTGAAGGAAGAATAGAGGCTTCGGGAGATTTTGCCAATCAACAACACACCGATCTAATTGTTTCATCGAAAAATCGAAAACAAATTATTATCTACACTTGGGATACATACCAATGGAATTTCGTCAATTATACGAGTTTCGATTATGAAACATCATCCAAATTATTGGCTCATGTCAATGTGGAAATTGTGAATATTGTGGCTTCGGATTTTAACTTTGACGGAGCACTGGATTTACTAGTCACACTCATTGATAAGGATACTTTTGATGATGACAATCCTTCATATATTCATTCTATATTGGTTGGGAATTTCAAGACTTTGCGTGAAGAGAAGCTGTTAGATGAAAGGACAACAGACCAACTCTTGGTAGGTTTTATCGGGTGAATTGGTGACATTGAACATCATCATCATTGTTGGATTATTATTATTATTGGATCATTATGACGTTTCCACATTATATTTGTCGAATCTTTAATTTCTCGAATTGGAATTTGTTTTTTGACATTATATCTGCCATGATTTTTGGAAATTTTGTACATTAATTCATGTTTGATACTCGACTTGTTTATCGTTGTGGGTATGAATGATCTGTTTGCACGTTGTAATGCACATTTCATTTCACACCAGGTATTTGACCTTAATGGTGACTTGTTGCCAGATTTATTTGGTACTGATGTTACCACGAAAAAACGATCGTATTGGATAAATAACAATACCAATTATGAGGCAGGACAATTGAACTTTATCAAATATCTTCAAGATGGTCACGATGGATTCCCAACGATAGACTCGGCCACAAAAAAACGTTCTTCCTTCGCTACAAGCCAATCCAACTTAAAACCTCTCGCATTTCCAATCTCAACTGCATCGATCGATATAGATGGTGACTGTGGTTCTGACCTATTCGTGATGAGCTGTTCAAAAGAAGACGCTCATGGATTTTGTGAGGAACCTATTTTCGAATTTTGGATCAATTACAATGGGAAGCTGCAATTGAACTCGACCTTGAATGCACCCAAGGGAGCTGGGCGACCAGTTTTTCTCGACATTGATCATGACGGCGATTTGGACATGCTCTATCCTGTGTGCTATCCTCTTGACTCATGCTCTGAGACGAATGAAATTCATATTCTCTACAATAATCAACTTGCATTGTGCAAGAGCATTATTGAAACAAATTGCCGCCCGTCGTCCAATTTATGTATGAAAAGCAATTTTGATTTCAACCAAAAAGCAGTTCTCTCTTTTCCAAAAGACAACAAGAGGAGAATTCTTCATCACTACAAGCCAGACCACAGATACCAATCATCACCGCCATCATTACGAGTTGGGGATTTTAATTTGGATGGATACCCAGATTTGGTGGTGAGTGTTGTGGAAACAATTGGGAATGATGAAAATGACAAGGATTCTTATCAAATGGTCGGCATTGAGTTGTGGCAAAATGTGGAATGTGAAAAAGAAACAAACAATGGTGCCCTTTCACCTTCCCCAAAGACAAATTGGTACTCAACATCATGGATCTCTTCTCTTTCACAATCAGCCAATAATGATCAATCTGAAGTCTCATCAACATCTCTTAAATGTGACTCCAATGTGACGCCCAGGACCTATCAGATTGTTTCTAAAGGTGTGGACGCTCTGAGGAACTCATTTTTCAAGCTTCCCTACGCTACAGGAATGAATGAAATGCCATTCTATGATGCATTCTTTCTCGATATTGATGAAACTGGAATCTTAGATATTATCACCCTCTATAACGATCCAAAATCGGGCAATCAAACATTGAGAGCCTTCTTTAATTGCTTCTATAATGACGCCTACTTTTTGAAAGTAATTTCCACGAATGGAGTTGCACCTGAAGGAACACAATATTATTATGGAGTGAATGCTCCAAGCATGACAGTGAAATTTATCTCAACCAAGTTGAATGGAGAGTATCAACCAAACATGAATTCATTGCTTTCGCAAACCAGTTATTTATCATTACAAACACCCTATCATCTTTTTGGAATTGGAAGAACGAATGGTTATATTGAGAAATTTTTTGTTGGTCGTGTAGTTGCCAATAGCAGTATTCACGAGGACTTTTCCACAAATTATTATGAAGCGAGTGCTATAATGCCAAATTCTCAACTTGTCACCATTACGACACCGCCCAATGATCCCGGTTCATGGCAAGTTCAATTATTTGTCAATCCATCAGCTGCCGCCCTTTGGGTCATCATTGCCGAGGTCGTTTCCTTAATACTTTTATTTATTCCAATTGCCATTTTGTATATTAGAGAATATAGACATGACAAGAAGGAAAAAGAAGAATCAAGTCGGGAGATTAGTTCCGTATTTATTTGAGCAAAATGTCCAATCATCCAATGAAAGGTCGTCACTCCACAAGTAGCGAAAATTGCTGTTTGAATAGAATAGATCACTGACAATTGACATAAACCATTTTCATAGAGTCAATCATCAAAGCAACACTGATGACAGTTTCAAAAATTAAACTTAAAAGTTCCACAAAAAAAACTCAAACCCACCGCTCTGTCACAAATGTTTGACCCATCCAACCCACCACCTCCAAAGCAACACAGCAAAGGGTTTTTTATCTCAGAAAACGAACTTCCAAGCACCGAAGAGGACGAAGACACGAAACCTCTCGAAAATTCTTCTTTCTGCAATAGAGATGTAGCTGAAAGACGCGGAAGTGATGTTCTTCTCAAAGTGACCATCAAATCATGCGACAATTTAATACCAGCCGATTGGAATGGCTTTTCGTAAGTATATATCTCAAATTTTAGGTGTTTAATATTGAATCATGATGACAATGTATGAAATTCAATAATTGAAGTGATCCGTATGTATTTTCGAATACTTTGATGTCAACACAAGGCTTTTAAATATCTCTCATGTCATCCTTATATTTTGTTATTTCATCATGAATATATTCAAATGTATCATTCGGACACAAACTTTGATGTAACGACAATTTCATCTATTTCATGATATTATTTCATGACACGAGGTTTATTCAAATAACTACCGAATTTGATTTTTAATTTTCTCATTCACGCAATTTCATTAGATACTGTGGTAAGTGATGATGATTTATTGTTTCTCTTTCTTCAATTTAATTATTGATGAATGCTACAATTTTATCTGTCCATAAATAACTCATTTTCAAATTAATATACTTCCACCGAAACAACACCATTCACTTCTATTGTTGAACATGAAATGCCAACAACACTATTATCAACGAAATGATAATTTACAAACCACTCAGAATGTCGTCTGTTCACGTCATCACCAATAATTGAAACGAGTCTTGAAATTAATCATCAATCCAGTGCAACAACCTCTCTCACACCATCTTCAGCTGCAAATTCCGTGGACTCACTCTCTCAGAACGAAATAGCTCATTCTATAGGAGCCACCATTGCAGCTGCATCTTTTAGTGCAAAAAATCAAAAAGCAGCTTCATTCTTCAATCGCAAACCAACTAAGAATTCACTCATTTCTCAGAAAAGCATGTCACACATGACGATGAAAAGAAGTGACTGTGGAAATACTCTCATTACGGACTCTCCAACAAAAGAAGAATCAAAAAACGATCAAGTCATTAGGGACGATTTATCACAAGAATCAAAAACTCCTGTTTTGTGGTCTCAACTCGGAAAACACACCAAATCTTCAATCATTTTTAAAAATTTAAATCCTATATGGGGAGAGAATGGAGAATGTATGACATTTCATATTGACAGAGAAATATTTGATGCCATCACTTTGCAACAATCACAAAGAGATCGAACAAAATTTGTTCTTCGTATTGATGTCTTTGATTATGACAAATATACGAAAGATGACATTTTAGGTCATTGCGTTGTTGATTTAGAGCATGAACAACTTTTTTCAATTTATAACACTAGGAAAATGAAGTTACTTTCTAAACCATTATTAGGAGTGAAACATGGAGCGATAAATTTCGACATTGCTCTCTATGATGAAACCACAATTTTTGGTGTTGAATTACAAGAAGTGTTAGAACGGAAAAGAGAACAAGGCAATAAGATTCCAAAATGCATTGATACTCTGTACGACTATTTGTTAGAAAATTGCTGTGAGACAGAAGGAGTCTTAAGAATTCCAGGAGCAAGAGCTCAAATTTTAAATATAAAGAGAGCAATGGATGCCATGATTGAGTTACCGACTGGAAAATTCTTTGAAACATTTGTTCATGAGGATGTGACTGCAGAGTTTGTTCACACTGCGCTCGGTGTCATGAAAGAATATTTAAGACTTTTACCAACACCAATTATTCAATATGAACTCTATGATGAATGTTTGGCTTTTATTGAGTCAAAATCAGAAAAGACCTTTGAAAAATTTGAGAAAATTCTTCGCCAAGTGAACCGATACCATGTTCCTCTGTTCATTCGAACTTTGGATTTAATCAAAAAAATTACTGATCATTCTCTCAATAATAAGATGACTCCTCGAAATGTTGGAATTGTGATGGGACCAAATTTGTTAAAAAAGAAAAATCAATCGGCTGAGTTGCAAATGAGACATACGAACCACATTGCTGCATTTGTAGAGTATCTCATTCAATACTATGATCAATCGAGAAGAGTTTTACAAGAGGTGAGTGATGAAGGTTTCACACAACGTGAACGTTTACAAAATGTGATGGATTCTCTACAATTTGTGGATGTTCATGATGATGTGGATTCTATTCATGATGATGATGACGTAAATGAACAAGATCATCAAAATGAAGCATTAACGTCAACAGCAGAAGCACATCATGATCAACAAAAGCACTACACACAAGAGGATTTATCGAATTTGCCAAAGAGTATGAACAACAAGGAGAATGCTTGTGTATGCATCCAAGTGACCTCATGTTCTCCCACCATGATGGATGGACAAAACACTGTAGATGCATCTGTTGATCATGGGAGGTCATGTGAACAGAACTGATGAATGAGACATTTGGTTGTATAATACTTTGTAAATGTTGTGTGGTCAATATCTTTTAAAATATTGACAATGACAGCTCCAGCTTTACATGGTTAATCGAAAATAATTAGCAATTAAACTGATTCCTAAAGAGTTGCCAAAAATGAAGGATGACGTTCTTCCAACAAGCTGATTCTGATGTGAAAATATCAAAATTGTGAATGAAAGATGATTTAAACTATTTAAAAGTATGAAAACCAAAATTAAAGAGACAAAAGGGCGAAACTCTTTGGAAGGATTGATATCCTTAAAATTGACATTTCTTTGCTGTGCGTTTACTACAACAACACTACAAAAAAAATCAAACAAAATCTCACAATCGAATCACCATGACCACTCCACTGTCTTTCAACGGTTACTTTGTTCGAGATGATCGAAGAATCTATCAAAGCTTCAATACTGCACCAAGTACATTTGGACCATTCTTCTACATGTTCTTGACTCCTGATCGTCTCATTGAAGGTTTGTACTTTAAAATTGATATAAATTATTCATTCACACACAATTGGTTGTTGATTCTTGCATTGGTTCGTGGTGAAATATGATTTCCTTTTGGAATAACAGGTCAAGCTGGAGTTTTGAGTTTCTATACACCAAACTCTGGACAATTAACAAGAACTCCTTTCATTTATTTGACTGAATTTCCAGATGTTTTTCAAAGAATCCAATTGTGTCCAGTTTAGTAAGTGTTTTGAAGGGTATCATCAAAGAATGAATAATAATTCATTCATTGGTGTCATATTTGTTGAATGTTTGACAATTAATTGTGTCTTTCAGTGATGTTTACAATTATGGCATGTATTTACAAGTGACTCAATTCTGGGGAAATACTGAACTAGGAAGAACTCAAATGCGTTATGTAAGTTTGTGATTTCACTTTTCATTATTTACAAAATTGTTTTGGCGCAAACCCCCATTGTAATGGCGAAACAAATAATTGGTCTTTTCTGTTAGCTCTGGTATCTTAATTTCGGAGGAGGACAGAATAACACCAACCAACCTACATCGATCAATTCGACACGTTCATTCGTGACTACTGCAACGACCAACACGAATGCTAATGACCTTCCTAATGCTGTTTTGGCTCCTGCAAGCAGCCTTCCAAAACCTGAAGACCTCGATTTGGAAAATCCATTTCATCCACAAGGAGTGACTGTCAAAGACATCATTCGAGTTCGTTTGGATGACAAGACAGGAGAATGGTGTTGTGAGAATGAAGAACATTTAGAACATTTTGAAACTCACATTAAACCCAAGTTAGTGGTTCCAAAGGATCAAGTTCCTCAATACCTAAGTAATCGAATGAGTGATGAGGAGATTAAAAAGTTCAAAAAGAAGTGGTTAGCTGAACAAGAGAAGAAGAATCACAAGAATGAAAAAGAGCATGAGAAGGAGGATGACAAGCATGCTCTGCATGTTGAAAAAAAGGATGGCAGGCACGACAAGAAGCACAACGACGACAAGAAACATGAAGAAATCTCCTCTGAACAAGATTCAGCCAGAATCGTCACCACTGAAGCATCGATGAACACCATTAACACAGCTACCGCCAACAACCCATTTACTTCATTGTTTAATTATTATCCTGATCCTTCCAATTGGCTCATGCCAGATTATTATCAGGAGAATTCTGGAAAGAAATGGCAAATTTATGACGTTTGGTACACTGGATTCAAACTTCAGAATACCGCCGCAGGAGATAAACGAACTGCCACTGCTGCTTGGGAATGGGACAGCAATAAGGGAAAATATATCATTTACTTCAAATTCTTTGATCCAACTGGAAATATTTTGCAAGCCTTGTTGAGAGGATCTAGTGATGACATGTTTAATGTGAAACTGGAGAATGGTGACACTTTTGCTGGTGGATTCAATCCTTATAATTGGGAGCCTTAATTCATTGTAAACCAAGACAGAAGTAAACCCTTTTAGACATGCATTTCTAATGAGACTGAACCACCGTACCTTATAATTGTGCTCACCGAAACTGTGGGTTGTTGTTTCATTAACAATGTTGATTAAAAACCGCCAAAAATAACTAACCGTTAAATTTTCAACACGAAAAAAAATGCAATCACAGCATAACCAAAGTCTTTTCAAAAATTTTCTTCTTTCATCCTCCAAGTATCATGATCGCATTGCTGAGATTATTTCGTCCTATGGTCGCAGTAGTGGGTCAACGAGCTCCTCAACGATCGGAAATGACTCATCATCCTCCTCGTCCGATACCACTAATAATACTGCTAGGCTAATCATCAATATGAATGATTTGAGAAGTTTCGATCACAAGACGAGCACACTCGTTCAACAGGAACCACTCCGCTATTTACTTGATTTTGAACACGCTCTTCATGATTTTATTTTATCTAATTTTCCTAAATTTTTCGAAGAGTTTACCAAAGCAGTCATTCATTTAGGATTTGAAGGAGAATTGGGAGACAATAATCATGTCACTCCGAGACAGCTAATGGCCAACTATTCCAACAAGCTACTTTGCCTGTCTGGTATAGTTACAAAATGTTAGTAGTTGTTTTGTGTGTATTATTCCATGCAAGCTTTTCTCATTATTAATTATCAATCTTGGAATAATCATATTGTTGAAATCGATTTGTACTTTTATCAACTCTTGATTTGCTGATTGCACTTTTTGTCCACTCTTACGAATGTTTCACACTCTCTACACCTGATGATTTTAATTGGAATTGCACACATAATAGGCTCTTCTGTCATTGAAAAGGTCATCAAAGTCATTTATTATTGTCCAGAAACAAACAAGTTCCATCAAACTGATTTCACTTCAGATGCCAATGCAGGAGCTGCCACTTCAAATTTGCAATTTCAAGACGCAAATGGAAATATTCTGGAGACAGAATTCGGTTTATCGGATTTCACCGATACTCAAACAATATTCATTCAAGAAGCTCCAGAAAATGCACCACCTGGACAACTTCCTCGATCTGTAGAATGTATTGTTGAAGATGATTTAGTAGATCAGGTGAAACCTGGTGATCGTGTCATCATGTATGGTGTGTACAAATCATTACCGCCTACCAGTGGTGGTAATGCTACATTGTCAAGCAAAATGAGAATGGTATTTATTGTGAATCACATTGTAAAGAAAGAATATGAAGACTCAAATGAGAATGAATTTTCACTAAAAGAAATTGAAAATATTACCAAACTATCTCTGAGGAAAGATTTATTTGATGTTCTTTCTCGCGGCATGGCTCCCACAATATTTGGCCATGATTTTATTAAGAAGAGTTTATTGTTACAAATGTTAGGAGGAGTTGAGAAGAACTTTGCACATTCGAATACTCACTTGAGAGGTGACATTAACATTCTCATGGTGGGTGATCCGTCCACAGCAAAATCACAAATGCTTCGATTCATGTTAAACACAGTTCCACTCGCTATTTCAACAACTGGTAGAGCTTCCACAGGAGTTGGTTTAACAGCTGCAGTTGTGGCTGATAAGGACACTGGTGAGCGATCTCTTCAAGCAGGTGCCATGGTGTTGGCAGATCGAGGAGTTGTATGTGTCGATGAATTTGACAAGATGTCTGATCAAGACAGAATAGCCATGCATGAAGTGATGGAACAACAAACGGTTACCATTCAAAAAGCAGGTGTTCATGCCTCTCTGAATGCTCGATGTTCTGTTTTGGCAGCAGCGAACCCCATTTATGGACATTACAATAGAGAAGTGTCCATTCAGAGAAATATTGGCTTACCAGATTCTTTGCTCTCTCGTTTTGATTTAATATTTATTTTGCTTGATGACCGTAATGGAGAGAAGGATAGATTAATTGGCAGTCATGTTTTGAATGTTCACAAGCAGCAACAAGCCCAATATCATTCGGCAAAGGTTGGAATTTCCACAGAGTCACATTTGACAGAATTGGATGAGATGAATTCCTTCTTTGCTGAACTTGACAAGATTCCACATTCTGATTCTTCATATACAGAGAAACATCAACATTTAATTATTCCTCTTTCATTCCTTAAAAAGTATGTCAAGTATGCAAAGAGAATGAAACCAATACTCACCGATGAAGCTCGAGAATACATTCACAACAAATACTTGGAATTGAGAACAAATAATGGACAAAAAACTTTGCCAATTACTCCAAGAACTTTGGAATCATTTATTCGTTTGGCAACAGCACATGCCAAAATGAGATTAAGCCCAGAAATTAATATTTGTGACGTTGAAGCAGCCTACAAATTGATGTACTATTCGATATGGTTCCTTAACAATACAAGCAGTTCGGATGCTATCCTTGCTCAATTAACCAATCAACAAGATGTTGAAGATAACCAGACGAATGGAACATCAGGTAGCAACAAGAGAAGGAAAAAGAAGAATGCCACTGCGAGCTCACAAAACAATCACGTTCGAGAACAGTCACAACCACAGCAAGACAGCAATGACGATGATGCACAACAACGAAAAAGAACACGTGAGGACTTTGAAAATGAAGAAGAAATTGAAGATTCAGAAGCTCTTGAAGTCATTAAGAGAGCAATTTATCAACATGCACACGATACAAACTTTTCAATCGAAGAATTACACATAATTGTTTACAATGAGAGCCAAATACCAAAGAAACAATTCCTAAGACTGTTGCAAGAATTGGACAAGGATTCGTTCTGTATTATTCAAGACAATGAAGTGCTATATTCTGGAGTTTAATGACATGCCACCGTAAATAATAAAAGGATGCATGATAACGTGTTCATCTCGAGACACAATTATTTCCTTCTTCTTGCTTCGGGTGCTTTCATTTCCTTAAACAAATCACTCGTGCTGAATCTTATAAACATGTCCTTCATGAGTGAAGCATACATTTCAGAAAGGACACAATCAAAAATCGATGGTGCCTTCTCATTAAATTCTTGTTTCGTTTCTAATGATGGAATGGAGTCTTCTTGTGTTGGTGGTATGAAAACATCTGTAATATTGTTTTTCACTTTGTTCCTTAAATGGTCGGTGGTATTAATAAAAGTGAGAGCGGATTCATCAAAAAGAAATAGTCGACCAATTTTCATTGCCACTTGGTATGCATCCTCTTTTTTGTCAAATTCTGCAATGGGTTTGTATTTCAGATTCACTTCTTCCCAAAACTCTATATTTTCAGAATTATATTCCTTATATGAAAATATTTTGAAATATTTTCGGTACTTTCCAGTTTGTAATACTGTCATCAAGTCGAGTGAAGCATTCATATTATTGGTGTTGTTGGGCAGCTCTTGTTGTGAATTTCCTAAACACGACATTGGTGATGATGTTTCCATCTTTTCCAACAATAGTTTGGCCTTCTCATTTCTTTCTTTCTCTTCCTTCGCTTTCATTTCATTGGAAATTTCTTGCAATGTTGCCACATGATTCACCTTAGTGATTCGATATCTTGGTGATGGCTTTGAAAAAAACGAGAGAAATTGTTCCTCGTTCTGGAGAGTTGTTTGCAAAGTTAATGCAAGTTCCTCCTCCTTTGAAAGTATTGCAATTTCCTGGTCAGTTGCGAGTTCTTTTGAAGGAATGGATTTTTCTTGAAATTGGTCCGTGGTAACCGAAGAGTTGTGAGAAGTGTCATCTGTGTCGGATTTCCTGGAGATAGCACCAGTATTGTTCTGTTCTTGATTGGACAGATCCGTCGTATTCAAAATAATTTCCTTAATAATATCTGGACAAGGATCTGCATAATCATGTCTCAATGATTTTACAATTTTACCATTTTTGATGATAAACATGGCAGGTTTGATGAAGAAGGAATTTCCATCGTAGGATGAAAGTGTTCTCAAGGGTTGCTTGAAACCTTGTTTGTATGCATTCATCAAACCTGGAATTAAATGAGTAGCCATCTTGGCAAGAGGAAATTTCCTTTCAAAATAGACATTGAACTGTTCAGCATAAACTTGGTGTGGATCTGCCACTCGCATCATTTCTTTAATTTCCCTAATGTCAAACTAAATGACATTTCATGCAATGAATTATAGCACAAACCCAAATAGAAAATTCCTCTCTGCATTGACTTCAACTGTAAAAACTTACTGAATTAAAAAACTCCTCTCCTGTCTTTTCTTCCTCTGGATACACAACTATGGGAATGACATTAAGCTGTTTCAATGAACGATACATTTCCAATATCTGATACATTCTTCGATTACACAATGCACATCCTTCATACTTGACAAATCTTCGAAAGATGAGCAACACGTAATGATGACACGACAATTCATACACACTTTTTTGAGTGGGAGTTTTTGTGGCCATGATGGTGAAAGGATTCGTTTCGGACTTGTGCTCGACATTGGCATCATCATGTGTCTCTCTCTGTCCTGAAATTATATTGTTTGGTTGAATGTCATCACCACCACTCTTGGGAAACATTTGCTTGAGAGTGGATTCAACGGAAGAAGGATCTACTGAGTGGAAAGAATGAATTTGGTCAGCATGATCGTTAGCTTGTGGAATGGAATTTGTGGACATCAGTAATCTGCAATTTTTTTTTCGTTGACAAACTTAAACACCCACATGCCAAATATATCTTGCCATTTCAGAAGTTTATCTCATACTACATATATTTCGAATGATTCGTTCAACAAACACCAACCCGATTCGCTCCAAGGAATAAATGCCAACCTCCAAAATTTGGAGATGCGGGAACGAATCAAGTTGATTTGTGTGTCGGAGAAACGTTCACAATTCTTGAATGGCAATTTGTGCCCCTTTACCTTTCTTTGAAGTCTTTGCAGTACCATGATTTGCTACAATCAATGTTGTGTCATTTTTGGATTGTTATTAACCTTATTAACAATCATTTTATCTTTGTGATCATTTTGCAAAACTAACCTTTTTCAGCGATTCTCTTGTTAGTTTCCTTTTCATTCGCATCTTCACTTACAATGGATGCCATCTCAATTGTTGTGCTTCAAACAAGTCCATTGGGACCAGATGACAGAAATTACCGACCCCTCTATTGCGTTCCATGAAGCAAAATGCTTAACGACCTTTTAATGTTGAAAAAAATCATTTGGAACTCTATTTTCGTTTTCTAGTTTTGGTCGAGGGTTCTATCGTGCTTGTTCGTGATGAAGAGGAGGAACGATCAAAGGCATCTTCGTTTTTGCGTTTCTTCTTCGAGGTGGATTCATTGTGTTGGGTTTGTGATCTTCTCCAGGTACTGCCAGACTTTTTTTCCTCGCTTGTGTCGTCGTCACTTGTTTGAACTGTTGATGATGCTTCATTTTGTTCAATTTCATTGTCGCATGGCAACACAGATTCAACAGAATTGCTTTGTTGTGCCAAATCCGAAGAAGACGACGTTGATGATGATAATGCCAAATTCTCCTTCAAAATTCGCTCTCTCACCTTTTCCAGATCGAATTGTCTCGACTTTGGAACACCTCTCGTGCCATGCCATAATTCAGCATCTCGTGTGGCCAATAATACCTTCTTTGCATCCTCGTTTTGTGAAAATTTACAATATAGAATTTCTTGCATGATTTCATGTTTCATTCGATTCCATTGTTTTAATTGATTTTCATCTAAAATTGCTGCTTTACGTTGTTTTCTTGCATCCTCTCCATCACCTCTGGAAAGCTTACTTTTACTTTCCATGCAAAACGTGTGGGCAAGTGTTTTAGAAACGAGTGCAATTTTATGAGCTTGAAAACAGTGTTCTGCTGTTCGATAGGTTTTTCCATCATATATGAAAGGTCCAATATGGAAATTGGAGAGTACTCTTCTCCAATTCTTGATGGCAGCCAATTCCGAAAAGTAATCTTGCTTGTTGTGGCCTAGTGTTTCATTGGATCCTTTTCCTGGAGGTTTATCGCTGGATTTGGAATAATAAAAGAGAACACTTGGTTGTTGTTCGGAGGAGGAGATAGAGGAGGAATTATTAGCTGATGAAATGGTGCTTGTAGTCGCTGATGACGGCATGTTTTTTCTTTCAGTTGTTTTGTTTGATGATGAGTGCTCATCAACAAGGGGAAGAAATGTATTATTATTATAACACTCAATGATGAAATTGGTGAATTTAGGACTTCTCTACATTTTTCGTGCTGTTGGGTGGGTTTTGGGTTTGGGTTTGGGTTTGGGTTTGGGTTTGGGTTTGGGTTTGGGTTTGGGTTTGGGTTTGGGTTTGGGTTTGGGTTTGGGTTTGGGTTTGGGTTTGGGTTTGGGTTTGGGTTTGGGTTTGGGTTTGGGTTTGGGTTTGGGTTTGGGTTTGGGTTTGGGTTTGGGTTTGGGTTTGGGTTTGGGTTTGGGTTTGGGTTTGGGTTTGGGTTTGGGTTTGGGTTTGGGTTTGGGTTTGGGTTTGGGTTTGGGTTTGGGTTTGGGTTTGGGTTTGGGTTTGGGTTTGGGTTTGGGTTTGGGTTTGGGTTTGGGTTTGGGTTTGGGTTTGGGTTTGGGTTTGGGTTTGGGTTTGGGTTTGGGTTTGGGTTTGGGTTTGGGTTTGGGTTTGGGTTTGGGTTTGGGTTTGGGTTTGGGTTTGGGTTTGGGTTTGGGTTTGGGTTTGGGTTTGGGTTTGGGTTTGGGTTTGGGTTTGGGTTTGGGTTTGGGTTTGGGTTTGGGTTTGGGTTTGGGTTTGGGTTTGGGTTTGGGTTTGGGTTTGGGTTTGGGTTTGGGTTTGGGTTTGGGTTTGGGTTTGGGTTTGGGTTTGGGTTTGGGTTTGGGTTTGGGTTTGGGTTTGGGTTTGGGTTTGGGTTTGGGTTTGGGTTTGGGTTTGGGTTTGGGTTTGGGTTTGGGTTTGGGTTTGGGTTTGGGTTTGGGTTTGGGTTTGGGTTTGGGTTTGGGTTTGGGTTTGGGTTTGGGTTTGGGTTTGGGTTTGGGTTTGGGTTTGGGTTTGGGTTTGGGTTTGGGTTTGGGTTTGGGTTTGGGTTTGGGTTTGGGTTTGGGTTTGGGTTTGGGTTTGGGTTTGGGTTTGGGTTTGGGTTTGGGTTTGGGTTTGGGTTTGGGTTTGGGTTTGGGTTTGGGTTTGGGTTTGGGTTTGGGTTTGGGTTTGGGTTTGGGTTTGGGTTTGGGTTTGGGTTTGGGTTTGGGTTTGGGTTTGGGTTTGGGTTTGGGTTTGGGTTTGGGTTTGGGTTTGGGTTTGGGTTTGGGTTTGGGTTTGGGTTTGGGTTTGGGTTTGGGTTTGGGTTTGGGTTTGGGTTTGGGTTTGGGTTTGGGTTTGGGTTTGGGTTTGGGTTTGGGTTTGGGTTTGGGTTTGGGTTTGGGTTTGGGTTTCAGGTTTGGGTTTGGGTTTGGGTTTGGGTTTGGGTTTGGGTTTGGGTTTGGGTTTGGGTTTGGGTTTGGGTTTTGGGTTTGGGTTTGGGTTTGGGTTTGGGTTTGGGTTTGGGTTTGGGTTTGGGTTTGGGTTTCAGGTTTGGG